TGTTGATCGTGGGGATCAGGTAGTCCATCTCGCGGAACTCCTCCGAGGCCCTGAATCTCTTCCACCACCGCTCCAAGGGGATCCACCATCTGGCCCCCGAGAAGGAGAACAATGGGGCGATGAGCGGGACCGGGTTCCGTTTGATGGCCACTGCCGACGTGGTCTTCGTTTGCCAGGCCAGCAGCTCCAGGGTGTTGCTCGTGGCCTTGACCGTCTGCGGCGAGGTGTGCTGCACGTCGTTGAAGCGTGCACTGCAGGCCAGGTTGAACCTGGCCATCGCCATGATGTACCTGTCCACTGCTTTGGTCAGCTCCGGGACCCGGTTCTCCGACGGGGCCCCTTCTGCCCCTTGTTCCAGGGCCCAGACAATTGCCCGGGTCGGAACCACCGCCTTGCGTTGTGGCTTGACCTGGGTGTCCACCAGCGTCTCCTGGATGGCTTTCCGCTTCTCCAGGAGTTGTTTGTGTTCGTCAACGTTGAGCATGCCGAGTTTAATGGAGAGCCACTTCAAAGTGCCCCACCACTTCTGGAGCTTCGCCGGAGTGACCTCCAACGTGACCGCCTGGTTCATGAGGTACCGGACGTCGCCAGCCGTCCAGGGGAGGTTCTGGAAGCCGATCTTGCGCATGCCCTCATAGGCCAAGCAGTGTGCCCGGATGGTACGGAATCGGGCATCACCAAAGAGGTGGCCAAACTCCTCCAGCTCCCTGGCCCCCATCACCTGGTGCATGTAGGGGATCTGGTGCCGGAAGGGGACGAAGTATCCCAGGAGGCGTTCCAACCACCTGGCCCTCAGGTGTTGTTCCAACGCTCTCTGAGATGTCGGCAATTGGGTTTTGATCTTCCCTGGTTTCCAATGCCGCCACTTGTTGGCCACTGCCAGGACATCCGGGGCCTCAATCGATCCGGAAAGGATCCACTCTTCGCGGTCCCGGATGGCCTGTTCCATTTCCAGTGGAGAATAGGTGTGCGATTGCCTGGCGCCTGCCGCACGAAACAGAAGTTGTTGCAGGGTCTTAGTAGTGAGCTCCAAATCCGCCTCCTCCAGCGGTTGTGGTTGGGAGCCCAGCATCCTCGTGAGGATCAAGTGGTAGGTGTCCGAGGCCACCAGGACGTGGTTGCCGTCAGGTGCCAGCCCCACGATCCGTGTCCACGGCCGCGGGTCAAAGACCACCGCAGCCGGGTTGGCGACCTTGTCCTTCTTGGCCCATTCCAGGCAGCACGCCACGAGGATTTCCCCGTCCGACTGCACTGGTGCAAATCCCAGGTCATGCAAAATCAACTGGAGCGCGGTAGGCGCCCCGAGGAAGGTCGTCCCAAACGGGGAAGGGAGGCGGGGCCTCCACATCATCATGATCCACTCGAGCCGGGGGGTTAGTCCCTAGGTGCAAACCCCAATCAAACAACAGGGGGGCCCCCCAAAACCCCGGAAAGCCAACCCCGAAACGGAGGGAACGGGGGAAAAAAGGGGGGGGACCCAGGGAGCCGCCCCGAAAAGGGAAAACCAGACAAGAGAGGGGAACCAAGACGCACCCCGGATCAGCCCAAGCCGCGCCAATTTCTCTCGCCTGGTGCAAGTCTGGGCCTGCTCTGTTCCCTGGGGGGGGATATCAGCGCCTTCGGCAGCTGTCCCACCCCCGGGGTGCGCTGCGCATCCGTTCCGGCTGGTCGCGGTCCTGGACGATGTGCCGGAAGATGGCGTTGTCCCGCATCATCACGCGGCCCCCTTCGCGATGTCATCGAGCCGCCTCCGGATTCCGCAGAATCAGCTCCCAGATGGCATTGGAGACGTGGCCTGTCTGGGTGGTCTGGCTGAATCTGAACCTGGGCACCTTCTGGTCCACGATGGAGACGTCCCGCAACGGGGCCGAGGGCTCCACCCGGCGGTAGTACTCCAGCCGCTCCTTCACCCAGCGGTTGTAGAGGCCCTCCGGCGGCTCGTCCAACACCAGCTGCAAGATGGCCTTGCCGGCCCGGATCTGGAGGAGGCGGGTGCCCCCTCCCCCGGCACGCCAGTACCCCTTACAATACTTGCACATGTAGCCCCCCCGGGTCTCCCCTTTTGTCTTCGGGATGAGTTCCCACGGGGTGACGGAGCTCAGGACCAGGCCACACTCCATGTGCGCCCAGAAGACATGCTTCGTCTCCACCGGATAGTTCTTCTTCCGGTAGTCCTTACCCACCACGCCGTGGACGTTGTCCGCCGTGATGGGGGGGTAAACGATCCCCTCATCGCCCTCACCTCCCCTGGGGCGGATGTCAGGGCCATCGGCACCTGTCCGGCACCCAGGGGCGGAGGGGTCCAACACCGGGGTGGCGGACGGCTTGTCAGGGCCCTCGGCACCTGAGCTCGTCCCGCCAGAGCCTGAGGCTGAGGAGATGGTGGGCGGCCTGTCAGGGCCCTCGGCACCTGGGCACGCCGCACCAGAGCCCCCCGCCTTTGGCATGGGGACCCCTTCCAGGTCCGGCAGATCTGCCAGGAGGGCCGCCGGGAAGGGATTCCTACCCAGCGAGATGACCGCCTTGGCCTCAAGGTAGGAGTCCGTGAGGGATGTGAGGTCGTCCATGCTGAAGTCCCTCCATGCCGTTGTCGGCTCGAAGACCCCAGTTTCAATGGCGACACGGACCTGACTAGGCCAAGCACTGAAGGGAGGCGCTATGGGCGCGAGCAGCCTGGTTTCGAGGGAGCCCTTCGCCTGTCTGGCTTGGTGTTTCGCTTTCGCCGCCTCCGCAGTGGTCTGGGCCTGGAGGAGCTCCGGTGTGGGTCTCCCCCAGTCCGCACCCAGCTTGTCCAATAGCTTCTCACGGAAGAGGTCCAAGTCCAGGTTCTTCAGGAGCTGGCCTCCAACACCTCCTCCGTCAAAGGCAAGAAACGTGTGATCCGGCGCCTTGCACGCACTTCAAAAGAGAGACCCGGGAAAAGGCCCCGGGGGGCCCCAAGTCCTCTTCCCGGGTCTCTCTTTCACTCAATGCATGCGGCAGATCGCTTCTTGGACGGGTCCGGGGTCTTTTCGCGAAGCCGGACGTTGGAGGCCCACATCCACTCCGGAAAGTGAAACCCGGGCGGCGCAGGCTCGAACGTTTGCAGTGCTTTGATGGACTCGCAGCACTGAAACTGAAAGGCATCTGTCGTGGACATGTCGCTCAGGTGCTTCGCCAGCGCCAGACCCTCCAGTGTCTCTGCCCCATAGCGCTTGATCAATCGGGTGCCCGCCCTCCGGTAGGACAGCCAGGCCAGGCGCAGCTCGCGGCTGTATAGCTCGAAAGCCGCTGTGGAGCACGTGTCCGTGTTCAAGCTAGCTTCTCGCCCCGCAGCCAGGTTCAAGAACTTGCGGGCCCCAGGCCCAGTCAGGGACCACTGGGAGTCCTCTTTGAGGAGCACCTTGGGGACGCGGGCACGGGTGTAGATGCGAAAGACGTTCTTGGCGCACAGGGCGCCGACACTTTGCAGACCCTTCGCCAGAAACTCCTTCAGCACATCTCGCTTGTTGCGTGTGCATCCGGCCTGGTCTCGCAGGGGTAGTTGTCCAGCATACGCTGAAACGAAGAAGTTCTGTTCGCGCAGCCAGTCTTTGGCTTCCTCCACGTTCTTTTTCTGCAAAATGTGCTGCTTCACCCGCCCCCAAATGCTGAAGCTCGGGAACAACGCGCTTGGCGCCTCCGACTTGGCCACCAGCACTTCTGCCGCGCCCCGCAGCGTCCTTGCCTTGAGGACGTCGCTTAAGTTATCCTGAACCACCTGCGCAGCTGAAAAGCTGCAAAAGATACCCAGCAGGACGGAAATGGAAAATCGGGATCTTTTTGGCACCTGCTGAAGTATTGCATCCTGGAGCAGGGATGTACGATCTGATGCCTCGTAGTTCCACTGGTGGCTTCTCGCCATGGACAGCATGCTAACGCCCGTCCACATGAACTGGCAGCTGTCCAGCCGGAGCGCCGTACGAGTCTCGTACTCGCTCCTGCATGTCACGCCAGCTCGGATGGTCCATAGCATGAAGAAATGCTCCCAAACCGCTTCCATTTGGGCACGCACTGGCCTCAGGTCTGGCCTGGGGTTGGCGTACCTTCGATTTGGCACATCAGCCATGGCCCAGCGCTGCCAGTATACATTTCAAATCACAAGACCAAATGTCAAAAGGTCCACTTGAGCCAAAATGGTGGCCCAAGTGGATACTTATTAAGAGTCAAGACAAGCGACCACCTACGGTTAACGCTTTAGCCCAAGAGCCACTCCAGCAGTGTTTTCACCGCTTTTCTTGAACCTATGAGCTGATGCCTTCTGGGCGGCACGATTTTGACTTGTTGCTGGAAACCACGTGACTCGCTACTGTTCACGTCCATGACTGAGGTTATGAGCTTGAACCCACCAAGGTTGCCTGTCCATGGTTATAGGAAGTTCAACTAGGTCCTCCAGTGGAGAGGCTAGAATAAGGGTGCCCTTTTTTTCTGTAGTCTATGTTAGTAGGGGAACCCTCACCCAAAAAAGGGTAAAAAGGGACTACTGGGGGACCTGGTCAAGTGGTCCCGTCCTTGTGCAAGTCCTTGCATTCCCTGACCCCGCAGAATTCAAAGAGCTACATTCCAGTGGCAACCGCTTGAAAGAACCGTGAGCAAGACCTCTACCTGTTGTCAAGCACGGCAAATTGTTGAACACGTGTTCTGCTGTGTGGGTATGGAGCCAGACTTTACAACGCCTGTAGAGTTACAAAGTTACACATGCTCATTTATGGGTTCCGTGTAGTCGATGTTCGCCAGCATCATGTGATTTTCGGCTTGACCGCAGGGTGCTTGGACCTGATCTATTTTACGCGGTCACTCTGACTACTTGGATGTTCGGCCAAGTTAGGAAGTGGGTAGCCTGGGATATAGCCTACTTGAGTGAGTTGGGCAAGTTGTAGGTCATGCCCCAGGTGGCGATCCCCACATAACTTGGCGAATCGAGCAGCCAAGTAGGCTCCTCCAAGTTTTGTCCGAAGTTCAGAATACCAGAACCAATGGTCCTTGTGCACGTGCCCAAAGAGCTGAGCAGCTATGACAGATCCGAGCTCGGGATCTTGCACAATCTCCAGATATGCCTCCAGGTACCTGAGTACCATGGTCCAAATGTGTGTTCCCTTCGTTTCCCGCCAAAAACCTCGGACCTTCATGTGGACTCCCTTATGCCTCGAAATCAACCTACAAGTAGCCCAGTGGATCACAATCAAATGAGGAACACAAAGCCCCTGACAACACTGATTGGTGCAGCTTACCAGCTGAACTAGCCCACAACCAACTTTCCGCACGCGCTGCCGCCACAAAGACTTTGAGCCGCCGAAGAAGCTGAGCCGAACGAGAGAAAGGGCAAAATGGGTGCGTCCAACAGGGATTAAGCAAGCAAGCAAGCAAGCGACAAAACAAGCAAGCAAGCAAAGCAAAACAAAGCATGCAAGAAACCAACCAAGCAAGCAAGCAAGAAACCAAGCGACCAAGCAACCAAGCAACCAAGACACCATGCAACCAAGCAACCAAGCAACCAACCAACCAACCAACCAACCAAGCAAGCAAGCAAGCAAAGCAAAGCAAAGCAAAGCAAAAAACAAGCAAAGCAAGCAGACAACAATCCAAGCCATTAATCAAGCAAGCAAGCAAGCAACCAAGCAACCAGCCAACCAACCAACCAACCAAGCAAAGCAAAGCAAAGCAAAGCAAAGCAAAGCAAAGCAAAAAGCAAGCAAAGCAAGCAAAGCAAGCAAAGCAAGCAAAGCAAGCAGGCAACAATCCAAGCCATCAACCAAGCAAGCAAGCAAGCAACCAAGCAACCAGCCAACCAACCAACCAACCAAAGCAAAGCAAAGCAAAGCAAAGCAAAAAGCAAGCAAAGCAAGCAAAGCAAGCAAAGCAAGCAAAACAAGCAAAGCAAGCAAAGCAAGCAAAGCAAGCAGGCAACAATCCAAGCCATCAACCAAGCAAGCAAGCAAGCAAGCAAGCAACCAAGCAACCAGCCAACCAACCAACCAAGCAAGCAAGCAAAGCAAAGCAAAGCAAAGCAAAGCAAAGCAAAGCAAAGCAAAGCAAAGCAAAAAGCAAGCAAAGCAAAGCAAAGCAAAAAGCAAGCAAAGCAAGCAGGCAGCAATCCGAGCCATCAATCAAGCAAGCAAGCAAGCAAGCAAGCAACCAAGCAACCAGCCAACCAACCAACCAACTAAGCAAAGCAAAGCAAAGCAAAGCAAAGCAAAGCAAAGCAAAAAGCAAGCAAAGCAAGCAAAGCAAGCAAAGCAAGCAAAGCAAGCAAAGCAAGCAAAGCAAGCAAAGCAAGCAAAGCAAGCAAAGCAAGCAGGCAACAATCCAAGCCATCAACCAAGCAAGCAAGCAAGCAAGCAAGCAACCAAGCAACCAGCCAGCTGTTTCTCTTCAACCGGTTTTACCCACGGATGTGGCGACGTCTCCAAACGCCGAGGAGCTGAGGATGCCAGAGCTGCGTGTACCCAAAGGTCTCCATGCCTGGAGGGATGTGGCCCACGATCCATACCCGCCGGTCCTGGCACAGATTGCTTCGAAACTTCCTCTGGCCTTATGCAAATATGTATACATATGTATGTATATACATACATATTATATATGTAAAATATATATATATATATATATTACAATCAAGTTCTATTTCGGTCCTTTTGCCACCAAATGACACACTAAACACTCAAATTGTTTTGGACCCTCCTCAAGTTTTTGAAAAACTACCCCGTAGTCATTCTGTCAACAGCCAGCCGCGCCGTGGCCTGAATTCCGGTCAAAGAGCTGATGAGCAGCCTCGCAGATTGTGACTTGTAAAATTGTTCGACCTGGGATGTATATCTCTATACATATATATATATGCTCATGTTCCCCGAGCGGCGAATGGTTCAAGGTCCAACCGAGTAGCAACAAAGTTGCGTTCCCTGTTAAGAGCTCTAAGGTTTCAGCACGTTGTGACATGCGCCTCGAAAACAGACTTGACCAAGGCTTTGCGGAAATGCCAGGCACCGGCTCCTTGCGTTGGATTCCTCTCGTGAGCCCAAACCTTTAGGTTTACATGCCTCTAAATGCGGACGTCAAATGTGAGACCCACTTTTTGCTAGGACAAACATCACACGGAAACCAACCCAAGAGAATCCTCCATTTGACAACAACAAGATTGCTTCGAAGACAAAGGTCCGACCCGACGACAAAAATACAAATTCAACCAACGACGAATATTACATCTACTGCCGACCGAAAAGCGATAATCAAACCACGCCTAAAAGAAAAACGTCGGGGAGTTGTCCAGCAAACAGCTTGGCTTCCATGACGATCCAGGTTTTCCTATCGTCAGAGTGTTTTTACTAGCGCTGCTGCTGCTTCTACCACGACTACTGCTGCTGCGGCTGCTTTACAACTACAAATGTACACACACTACTAGCACGACTTGTGCTACAAGCAGTTCTAGCAATAGCTTGCGCGGTTTCCATGATGACCTACAACCGTGGATTCTGCGGAGTTGTCCAGCAAACCGCTTGATTTCCATGACAAGCAGTTGCTACTCGTGCTACTACTTCTACTACTAGCATTAGCCCTATAAGAGTTCTGTATCAAGCACTCCTTATGTTCTTTCTAAAGCGCATGACCTTCTATACTCATACCACTCGTTGTATTACTAAGTTACTAGCAGCGTTGCCACCTCGCGCAATCTTCGCGCGTTTTGACGTTAAGAACCTCGGGCGCGGCTACTAGTCTTGCTGAAACTACTATTGCTGGTACTAGCCTGGGCCTTGTAGTGCCACTGCGTCTTGCTAGTGTTGCTAGTGTTAGTACTAGCCTGAGCTTTATGAAGGATTTTTTGGAGCGGCTGCAATTTTGGCAGCAGGAGTTTCCGTGCCAGCAGGACGCAAAAGAACCTGACTTGCGCCTTCTCTGTGCAGCTGCTGCATCTCTGCAGGCACTGCGCGTGTCACAGCAACGCTCCTCGCCGGCAGGATGCCTGATGCCACAACGTCGTCAATCAGGTCATCCGCAGGTGGGAATGCCTGGCGGTGTACATCCTCGGCAGTCCCCATGCCCTGGTGAGGAGACAACTTGCAACAGAAGTGCAGAAAGAAGAGCAGGACACACATGATTAATCCTCAAAGCCAAGGCTGGACAGAGCCCCACCCTCAACACTCATCTGCCAGGATGCAGCGCGGACTGCAACGCGCGCGCTTGTTCCAACCCGCATCTCCCTCGCCACTTTGTTGCCACTACTGTTCAAGAAGCGCTGAACTCGCGCGACACAAACGTGTGGTCCTCACTCTCTTTGTCGTCGCCGGCGCAAGCCTGCAAGCTTGGTTGCTGACTGCTGAAGTTGGGGCGACCCGTTTAATGGGCTCTACCATAGCGCAAGTGGTGACATGGCTGTGATACGGTTGGGAAACCGCTTTCTTGAAATATGGTTCTGATATGGTTGAGATATGGTTGGGACACGGTTCGGATATGGTTGGGGTGTGGTGGCGATATGGCTGTGGCACGGTTAAGGTACGTTTTGTTTTTTGGGATACGGTTGCGATATGGTAAATGGGTGCGATGACGTTTTGAGCCTTGGTTCATGAATGTTCGGCAGCTAAGTGCCACCCGAGAACTTTAATTCATTGGCATGCGTTCAAACCTCGTGACCCTGGCCGTGACGAAGCACCATGTTGGCAAAGCAAGACGGACACTCGGAGATGTGCTGCTTGTGCCCGCGCAGGGCAGGGAAAGGCTGCGTGAAGTTGTAGATGCGCAGGCGGCGGAGAAGCATGGTGAAGTCTTTCTCCTTGCGAGTAAAGATGGGACGGTCCCGGGGTACAAGACGTGACCAGCATAGTTCCCGTTGTTCTGTGGACGAGTCAGCGGAAAAGGCTTGCCCTCGTACCACAACAGTTGGGTTGGGAGAGAAAGCACACTGTTGTCAAAGCACCAGTCGTCCATCAGAACCACTTTCTTCTTCTCCAGACCCAGCAGCGGAAAGGAGCCTTGCGCTGCGCGCGCTTGTACGGGGCGCCTTCAGTGCAATGTGCCAGTGGAAAGGGCCTTGCTCCTCGCCAGGCCGAGCAGCATGCCGCTCGCGGAAGACAGCAAAGCGTTAGGCTTGTCAGCTTCGCTCACATCACGGTAGGTTTTAGGTTGTTGGGTTTGGGTTACAAACTTAGGCTTTTGGGATTCGCTCACATCACGTTAGGCTTCAGGGCTTAGGGGCATGCGCCTGAGAGCCAATGAGAAAGACTTGATGCATCAAAGCCTCCAAGAACCAGATGACACGCATTACCTAGTAGTAGCGGTGGTGGTGGTGGTAGTAGTAGTAGTAGAAGTAGTAGTAGTAGTAGTAGTAGTAGTAGTAGTAGTAGTAGGAGTAGTAGTAGTACTAGTAGTAGTAATAGTACTAGTAGTAGTAGTAGTAGTAGTAGTAGTAGTAGTAGTAGTAGCAGTAGCAGTAGTAGTAGTAGTAGTAGTAGTAGTAGTACTAGTACTAGTAGTACTAATCGTACCTAGTAGTAGTAGTACTCGTAGTAGTAATCTAGTATTATTCTTGTAGTAGTCGTACCTAGTCGTAGTAGTAGCAGTAGCAGTACCAGCAGCAGTAGCAGCAGCAGCAGCAGCAGCAGCAGTAGTAGTAGTACGAATGGTGCTTGCAAAAACGTTCCAGCAAAAGGAACATCCAAGATCGTCATGGATTTCGAGCTGCTTGTGGGACAACTCAGCAGAATCCAGGGTTGTCGGCTGATCACTTCTTAATCCTGGTTAGGCACTAAAACTAGAAAAAGTTTCCCCAATTTTGTTCAAGTTGTTTAAGATAAGTCGTCAGTATGCTCCCCTCTCTTGCTCCGAACCCCTGGCACAAGGCGTTCAAAACTTGGTCCCTGGTAGGGAAACCTACCCTCCCAAAGGTTTGATTGGGGGTGTTTTTTCACCCTGGTTTTTGGGCGCCTCAATTCAGCTTCCCTCTAATTGGTGGTTTGGATTGGTTTGGCGAAGGTCGGGTTCCCAGTTACCCTCCACAAAAGTCAGGGACTCCACTCCAACTCCAGTTCCCACCTCAATCCAAACCTTCTCTCGCGTCAACAGTGGTCAACAGCTCCGACCCCAAAACGCCGCGGCTCCTCTTCAAAGGCCTCCCCCAACTTCCGGCGCAGCCAGGCGAGCTGTCTGAAGGGGTCCTGATGAAACCCAGGCTTCGCCGCGCGTGAGCCGTCAACATAGCACTAGGTCCTCCAGATTTGAGAGGTTAGAATAAGGGTACCGTCTTTTTTCCCGTAGTCTATTTTAGTAGGGAACCCTCCCCCGAAAAAGGGTAAAAAAGGGCACTACTGGGGGACCTAGCCAACGAGGCAAGGTTAGTTTAAGAGAGTTCCTGAACGCATGCAAATCCAAGTGCTGCACAAAAGGATCCAAGTCAGCTTGTAAGGTGATTTGTTGCAAACTGGCCCAACATGTCCAACTCTAAAAATTGTATCAATTAAAGTGGCTCACTCCTGGTTTGGTCTTGCCAAAAAGGTAGAAAGTCCATCACCTCTTGTGCGTGCCGGATGGGTGTGATCCCAGCAACACAGGACCCACCAAAACTAAATGGAGAGTCCAGGAACTCAGGCAGTTAACTGGAACGGTCCGTTGGCAGACCACTGGGACTGCTGGGCTGGTGCTGCACCGAGTAGATCACTGTGGCGATGCTCAGAATGGTGAGGTTCCCATACTGCGCCTCCCGACGAACGAGCTGACCAGGGGGCTGGGGTCAGATCCTCTGAAACATCTCCCACGAAGAGGCATGTAAATAACGAGTGTCTCCTCAAAAAAAGGGGAAGCAGCCCCCCAACTTCGCGAAAGCAGCTGGAAAGTGCATTCTTCAATTTTCGTATCTGAAAATCCTTTCCCGGTTGCTTTCCCAGTTGGTTCCCCCAGTTGGTTCCCCCAGTTAGTTCCCCCAGTTGGCTCCCCCTGGTTCCCCAGTTGGTTCCCAGTTGGTTTGCAGTTCCCAGAAAACGCCTCGAAGAAGCTCCCGTAGTCGTACTGCTGCCGGGTCTCGTTGCTCATGCAATTCGCCCTCTGCATGCTGGCGCTGACGGACCTGAACCACGGATTCGTCGCCTGGTCCGTGGTGATGTTTTGGAAGTAGTTCGCTGGGTTATCCTCAGGATTCGAGAACTGAGCCGGGAATTCGAGCAGCAAACAGCAACAACACACTGGCATCGCTCTTGAAAGGGCCGGCGTGCAAGATGGGGTTTGCTTTTAAACTCCTTGAGCCACGACAAATCCGCTGAAGTGTAGTGGTTAGTATTTCCGCCGGTCATGTGTCTGGTGTTAAAAGAATACCAAGTAGAACAGGTCTAGCTATTCAAAATCAGCAAAACAAACAAACTATATGTGTCAAATAGCTGCCAAGCTGTCCTGTTGTTGGAACAAAGGCAAAAAAAAGTGGACAACCGAGTCTAGCTAGTCAAAAATCAAAGTGGTGGAAGTTCAAACAGTTGGTCAATCTGCCGGGTGTCTCAGCTCGGCCGAAAATAAGTACCTTCAGTAAAACTGTTTCAGAACGTCGTTGGCAAAATCCGCCTGTGTCACGGGCCGATTGAACTTGGAGCTGCTAGTCCCACTCGAAATTGGTCTGGGTTCAAATCCGGGCTTCGTCGTTGCCCAGCGCGCCGAAGAGGTTCGGCAGGTTTTTGAAATGCCCCTTGATGATGCCCGCTACACTGCCGATGATGTTCGACACGTTCGTGTAGGGGTCCTGCAGCGGGATTGTGTAGCTTGTTTGAGTACTGATATACCCTTTTCAGGCTTTAATGGGACGCCAAAAAGAATGCAACCATTTCTAGGACCCTATTGTGGCACTAGTTGCTTCAATGCCTTCGCCACGGCACCTTGACCATCTCTCGAAAGCGGAAGTAAACCAATGGCTCACTCGCGAAAGCGGGCGTCAAGGGACCGAGACATTCCTGAGGCGCAATAAGCCTCTCTTAAGAGCCTTGCCAGCAAGTCTGCCGTGAGTGCCACACGAGGCCTTTGTGAGCAGGCAGCAAAAAAAACATCTTGAGCGCAGGCCCACTCTGGACAGCATGTGATGGTAAGCAGACTGGCCTAGCTGTCTCCGGTTCAGCAATGATTTGCGCAAGTACTAAGTGTGCTGCACGCGAGTGACTTTTTCAGCTATGTGGTTGACTTGCAAAGACAGAGGCGGCCCCGTTGCGTGGGGGATATGTTTGGCATCATCGGCTTGATCTAATCTCAACCATGCCATGACACAGATTGCGCATGCCAGCTTGACCTGCTTTACGACTTAGTCTGGAATACATGTCTGTTGCATCGGGGCATGACTCATCGCGTCCATACAGTGACAACCAACAGGCTAGCCAATTGGATGGGCATGGTTTCAGGGTTTTCTTTCTTATTGTCCTTGCCCCTGTCGGCCAAAGCATATACGGACTCTCACGCTAGGCTCTCGATGAGGCTATGCGTTTTCGCGCCAAAAAGTGGCCAGCTTGAACCACCCAAGTCTCAATGCAGAGACCAGAGAACCCCTTGAAATGTCAAACTACCTGTTTGGGGTTCACCCGATAGGTGTCCTTGCTGGCAAAAACACATTCGTCGAACCGAACTGCAACCGGTGGAATCAAACTGTGCGCTTGACAGCTCCAAAGGAACTGCAGGTCGCTTTGGGCTGCAGAGGAGAAATCCACGTTAGAGGTCAGCCTGCCAACTTTTCGGGACCCTATGGCCTAAAGCAGTTGCAACAGGTGGCTTGCTTTCAACAGGAAAGACTGAAGTCACAGTGCCCCTCTCTCAGTCACCCCTTTGCGGAAGAAAGTCTTGGCGGTTGATCTCCAGATGCTGCCCCAAAACGGGCGGTTTGCATGTCGAAAACAGCCCCACTAGGGCACAGTCCCCTCAAACACGGACACGCACAAACGTCAATCGAGCACGTGTAAGGAGGGCACATCCAAACCCTCAAGTCACATCCAAACCCTTAAGTCGCATACAGCGCGACGCGGTTCCTGAAGGCCAAACAAGGCTTTCGTGGGGCATTCTCGAAACCACGGTTCCCACAGTCGAATGCCTAATTGACCGAAGTTGGCAACTGAAGTTAACTGGAAGTTCATGCCTTTGCCAAAATAACCCGTCATTCCCAACCAGGGGAGATTCACTGCAGGGAGCCAGGTCAGCTTAAAGCTTAAGCGCCCTTGTAGGTGAAGGCTGAACCAAGTTGTTGCTTTTAGCCGCAACATCTCTCGGGGGGTTGAGCAAATTCCAAGGGGGTCATCGCTCCTCCATCATGAGCATGCGATGCCGCGAGAAGTCCCCTGTGTAGAGCACAAACTCAGCATCGGCCTCCGCATCGGGTGGAGATGGCGAGGAAAGCGGAGAGGAAGATTCACAGTATATGATGACACCATGCCCTACCAAAATCATGGCAAGATCGCCAAACACGAATGCCCTAAATGACCCTTTGGACATGCTGAATCATTTTCTGCTAGCATGCAGCTCCACAGAAACCTTCTGTCAACAGCTGCCCAAGGTCATGAAAATTGGCAAACGTCACGGTTTCGGGGACAATTGTGTTGATTTCCCAGAAAGGCCCTCGTGAGCTTCCTCTTTCACCGCAAATATGACGCTTATAACAATAGATTGCCCCGCTTCTGCGATTCCTCCGCAGCCGTCATCCTAGAGCAAGGCGCTGTTTAAATTTCAAGCTGAGAACTGCTGTGAAACCCTTCACACTTTCCCCCTCATTTTGAGACAACCCGAATAGACAGGAACTTCCCATGCATTCGCTCAGGTGACCGAAAGCTCTACAAAGTCTGGCCTTTCAGGCCCACTCGCTTGGGTCTGGCTTAACGTCCTATTCACGAATGGAGCCAAGGAATTCTTCACGGGTGGCGCCTATGAAGTCTTTTCATCTCACCATGTCGGGATGTGACAATTTGCTCATTCTCCTGGTGTTAGCAACAAATGCCTTGCGCAGTGTCAAACTCACAGGTGCAAAGCACCTTCTCAGTAGTGCGAGGTCGCCGCTTTCCAAAAAATCACCACTGGCATCCCTAGTTTTTAGGTTTGCTCGGTGGCGAAATCTGCTAAAAGTGAATAACTTTTAGTGGTGTAATACGGAAAACCCATTTGTTGGCAAAAGTTGTTCAGTCCTAACATCTCTCGGCAAAATGCACCAAAGTTTACCTGGCATTCAATCGACCAAAAGTCTCTGCTCCTTCAATCGACCATCTGCCCGTCGTCTTTTGCTCCTCCCGCCTCGGTGAAGCTCCGGGCCGCGGCCGCCGCGGAGCCCATGAGGCCGAAGGGGGGGTCGCACCTCGGCTGCGGATGGCCGGCGCTTTTCGCCGGGCCGAAGCAAATGACACGCCAAAAAGCCTGCGGAGCATGGAAGATGGCTCCAGCCTGAACAAGTTTCTCCCACAGGGAGATGGAAACATCATAGAGTGTCACCACAAAGTCCACCCAAAAGACAGAAGCACACACAAAATACCTGGAAAGAAAAACTAATCTTTGTCAAACCACGATTTTCCTCGGAAGAACAAATGGAACAACTTCAAACCAAAGAACGAAGGCGAAGAACGAAAGCCATGGCCACCGGGGCGCCCCATGAACCCGAAGCTGAAGCCCTGCAGCTCCTCCACGGTGCGCCTCGTCTGGGTCCCGACTCGTCGACTCGGGTTTTTGTATTTTATACGCGACCTCCCGTGCACCAAGCTGGGGCTGCAACTTGCACCATGGAACTTTGAGGCGTGAAATTGGAGTCTGAAAGATGCTGACCCCACCGAATGCTTGGTGCACAAGCCGTTTTCGATGCGGCCTGAAAGGATGGGAGCCTGTGCCAGCTCGATTCCGTGTTACTTGGCGGCAGGGAGGGCTTCCACGAAGATGGACTTGTCCTGAGGTTTGTTTATCTCCGTTCCTCCGGAACCCACACGAAACAGCGCCCTTGGACCGCTCTGTTGAGAACATGGAAGGAGAACAGGGGGGGGGGACGGGAAAACATGGCTCCACCCATCCCAGCGCCCAGTTTGGCTCAGTCGCTTCTGGCACTGGCGCACAGAGGTCAAATAGAAGGGGTCCCCGTGCAAATCCGTGAGCCACAGAAGCCGCGCGATGCTATCGCTCGACAAGTTGTCCTGGCGAGTCAGTCAACCCCCTGGCTGCATGTGTAAACCCTTATTGCTGAAACGTGCTTCTTCCTACCAGGCAACCATGTTTACTTCCGAACTGGCAAGAAGGTTGATGATATCCCTGCTTGTCTGTAGAGAACACCTGTCAAACCTTTCCCAGCGCAGATGTGGGAAGAGTAGGTTGAATAGATGAGCTCCCCTTGTCCGCGCCCTGAGATCACAAAAGGTAACACTCCCTCCCTTACCCAGAAGCCAGCAGTCAGTATCTTGGCATGTTTGTACGTTAAAGAGCTGTTTGCATGTTGTGATGGCTTGTGGCAAGTTCAGATTACACACACACGCGCAAGCACACCGAGAGACACGCCACATCCGTCAAACTATGTCATTCCTTCACACGATAACCTACCACCACAGGCCACTGATCTTTTTCGGCCTTGTCAATCGGAGCAACCTCCTAGGGCTGGAGTGGTGAAACAAATATAGCCAAATTTGGCCACTGCAACTTGGCCATGTGGGAATGACTCGTTTACTCGCCGCTGCGTCCTCTGCGGACAAACTCGGTAGAATTCAAAATCAGTTGCTGCAGATTGTCGACATCTAGCTGGGACAGCACTGGGGTCATGAAACGAGATCCCCAGCTGAAAGCTGTCACTATCAAGGACGCGATCCAACCGTTTCGCAAATTGGCAGACACTGTGATACCTAGGAGCTTTTGCTTGTCATCGTAGGCAGACAGCCTCAGCGCGATCGCTTGTGGTGCTGCTATCACCTTCGGCCGCTCAATCTTACTTTTTATATGCACTGCTGTCAACATGGTCTCGGTCAAAAGAAGTGTGTCGCGGTCTAAAATATTGTTGATTCCAATGCACTCTTCGAAGACTCTGAACATGACAAAAATCAGAACCAAGGATAGCATTAGGATCAATAAGAAGCCTGGCGAGAAAGCATCGGTGTGAAGGGACCAGTCCACTACGCCGGAGAAAAGGAGGCCAAGCAGAAGCAAGAAGACAATGGCCCCACAAGCATCAACGATGGCAGACTCGTCTTTGAAGTCGATCTGAATATACCTTCGCACTGCCCACCATTTTTCAATGTCCGCCACACAGGTCACTTTCTGGAGCAGCAAGTCATCAAACACGTTGGGCTTTTCAGTTGATTGGGTAATCCGGGACTTCAAGGAGCCCTTCTTGAGGTCAATGTATTTGTCCTTCACAGGTGAGTCTTTCAAGTTGGTCGACTCCAGAGCTTTCCTTTCTTTTGCACTCAGCAACTCAATAGAGCCAGAGGAGATCAAAGAAAAAAGTAACAACTGGACTTGATTGTCCTTCATCCCCTTTGTTGATGAAAATATGCCGGAGATCGTGTTTCTCCAACTCCAGCTCGATATAGTAGCCGTAATCACGATCACAAAAAGGTCCAACCATGACACGCCCTCAATCGGGCTAGCAAGCGACTTCGCCTGCTGATAGATCTCAAAGTCGACCCACACGATGGCACGCGAGACTTGGGTCTCAGGGTCAGCCCATAAAAGCCTCAACTTGAGAAGAAGCATGCCTGAGAACATCCCAATGGTTGAAATCCAGGTGACGACTGTTTCAATGCTCCAACACCGTACAACAGGCCGTGAAACCTTGCGAAAGCAATCTAAGACGTGCTCCTCGTGGTCAAGCTTCCAGCTATCAATAAATGCTTCCTCAAAGGACTCCACCAATTCCACCATCTCACTCAGATTTTCGCCTGCTTCTGAACACCTTCTCAATGCCTCGCACTTGTGCCAATGAACCTGAGCCGACACTTCAATAATATGTATGGAGAGAATGCGCCACAGCATAATCGAACCCTTACTGAGTATATCTGAAATCTGGTTGATCTGCATTTGCGCCACAATTGATCGCAAGCTGGCACCCTTGTTAAACGTCTCCCAGCTTTGAATGACAAAGACACTGGCGCTATACACATTGAAAAAGAGAATCACCCACATCCAGCACTCCAGAATTCGACTTGTCCAGTCTCCTGAAATCATCCTTTCCTGCTCACAGTGCTCTTTCATGGGGTTCAACAAATGGCGCTTGCGCCAGCCACAATGGAAACACATAAATGGCACGACCAGAATGCTTGCACCAGGGATGATACAAGACATCGCAACCAAGCCCCAGGCAGCCACTCTCATCCAACTCGATCCAATATCTGTAAGTGGTGCTGCTATGGCCATGTTGCTCTCCTTGTTGAAGACCTTGTCCAATAGTTTTTGTGCCTTGGCCAAACGTGGATTCAATTGGGTTGTTACATGCTCTGACCGATCACGAGCATGTTTCGATTCCTGCACCTCCAGCCCGGCCACTTCACTGTCGGGCGCCCCTGCGACTTCTTTCGATGGAACTTCGTGCGCTTGCCCTCCATGGCAGATGGGTCATATGAATTGCTAGACATCTCGCAAAATCCTTGAACAGCAATGCCACGGATGTTGAAGAGAGACAGAGGACAACAGATCTTTGTCCCATTTGGCAAATATGTTGACTTTCGGCCCTGATCATCCGCAAGTGTCTTAACTTCTGACTAAAACTCATAGGCCACTCACGGCCACTCCACTGGACTTCTCAAGCGGTCGCGATGCACCAAGCGTTGCGTGGCGATGCGCGTCGAGCAGACGTTGCCTCGCTCGCGACTCTTGGAACAGGGCTCAACTGGCTCCGATGAAATGGACGATTTCTCAATACAACGGTCCCTGGAACGGGTGGATTTCCTTTGGGTTTTCTTTTAAATACCAAAGCAAAAGCGAAATCTAGGAGAAACTTGGAGGCGTCCCCCTCCCCCCGCCCCACTGCAGTCCTCTACCCGCTGGCCCCTGCGCTGGAGAAGCGAAATCGGCGCATCCTCGCCTCCACCAAACGCGGCGAAGCGGCGAATTCCTTGCGCTGGGTTCATTTGGGGCATCCTCAAAGTGAACCTCTCATCTTGGTTGCTGTTGACCCCTCTGCAAAAAGTTTCACTTTGTTGGGGTTTAGTGGAAAACACCTTTATTTCCCCAAAAAGTTAAAGTCTACAGATCCAACCCAATAGCAGTCGAGTCATGAACAACTTGTCGTTTCAAAGGAGCCTCCTCCCCCCCAACGACATCCCCTGATGGCTTACCAAAAATCAAACCATGCAAAACCTGACGATCGGTTTGCTGACCGAGCCGAGATCCCTCGAAATTCAGCGACTTCTGTCCGGCGTGGCAAGTTGAAAAACTGTTCGCCCATTGCCGAGTCGCAGTCTTGACCTTCAGCCAAAAGCAGCACAGCTGCTCTGAGGACCCATGGCATAGCCATGGAAAAAAGCGAGGTGCCACAAGGGTACTGATGTTGGCTTCTGGTTGGCTTCTGGTGAAGGGAAGCCAAAAGCAACCGAATTTACCCATGTTCTATTGTGATGTGATGCGGCTCGGAGCATGAATGTCTTGGCAGACCAGTACCGGAGCCACCCGTCAACTTGGGCCCTGTGAAGTTGTTGGGGTCGGCAGCTGCGCGTATCCAGCGGTTTGGGTCCAGACGAAGAATCACCAGGCTGCAAGCCTTTTCCGAAGGGTTAAAGAAGGTGTAGGGCGATCAGCGTCAGCAACTTATGAAGGCTAAGGGTGGATTCCCATTCGCCGTGGCTACCTGAGGGCATTGGCGACCGACATGACGGAGTCGGATTGGTGACGCCATGCCTTCCGTCCTAAGGACTCCTTGAGATTTGCCCGGCGCGAGATCTCCATCGGTGTGTCCTGTCTGGGCGTCTGTGTGTGCCGAGGGTATGAGCATGGTGGACACGATCCAAGGAATCTCCATTGACTGCTCGTCAACTCAACTGACCCCGCGCTTCTGTCCACAAACAAACCCAGCAAAGAAGCTCGATTAAGGAGTCCAAAAGGGATGGGTTGCCTTCTCTAGGTTGGACAAATGTGCTATGATGGGAAGACTCCTTGCACTGGTTCTCAGGTTTGGGGCCTCGCCAAGGAAATGGAGATGGACACGAGCAGGGTGGGGACCTATGCACATATCCCACACATGACGACATGACTAGCCCCTTGTCGTCAACATGTCTGTGCATGACCGCCAAAGATGTACCCAAAATCTCAAGGGTACATTGGCGAAGGACGTATTCCTTGCGGAGCGGTTCTCCATTTGTGAGGGAATGGAGTACGATGGCTAATGAAACGTACGAAGGCTCAAACCTGCGCACTAAGATGCAGCAAGATGACATCCATGCTATTAGTGGCAGTGAGCATGGTTGACGGGCAAATGGGTGTCAGCCAAATCGTTGCGTTGCAATGGCTCCTCGTTCGCTTCGCCCTGTTCAACTGTTCCCAGAAACCGACGAGAGGCGACCCCTGGAAGATGTGAATGTTCTCCCCAAAGGGATAGAAAGCGGGCCCTCCTGGGTGTTGGTCGAGGAAATTTGGAGTGGGCCGCTCCAGAACATGAATAGACCAAGTCAGTTTGGCTGTTGCTCATATTTTGCTTTGGCGTCCAGGTTCCCTGAGGAAAACACATAGCAACAGACCTAGATTCTTTAAACCACAAACAATACCACACCCCAATGGTGCAAAGTCGGGCACAGCGCACCTTTTGTTAGGCTTCAAGCTCGAGATCACGTTCCTCCGGCCAGCCTTCGTGACCACTTTTGCTCCTCCCTCTCAATTCGACACGTCAGCTCCCAGTGTCTGAGTCGCTCTGAAACAACTTGAGAGACACACAGAGCAAGCGCCAAGATCTGTTACAGTGGCGGCAGTCACTTGCAAACGAACGGGCAATCTGACCAAAGCTTCGTCGCCCTCCGAATTCTGATTAAAGGCCGGTGCTCTAGCACCTGCTCACTGCAGAGGGTCAGGTTCAGGTTCAATTAGATAGCCTGCTGAGTTGACTGAGCAAAACAGAGTTTAAACTCATTGGCGCGGTGTAGTACACTCCCAAAATATCTACCATAAGCGACCAAGAATATGATGAATTCACGGATGTGCCTTTTTTGAGGGACCCCCAAAAAAGTAGTGTCCTTTTGCTTTGCCTTGAAAACCCCCCCAAAAAGGGGTACCCTATTGGGGTTCCATGTTAACCAAACATCTTGTGAGCTGGGAAGCCCTGAATTAGTGGTGCCCCTGCTGCCTTTAATTCACAAGTGACACATGCCTTTAAAGAGGAAACCCTTCAGCGGGCCAAAAAACCCTTTCGAATAAGGCGTTCAACAGGATCGAAATCGTTTCGGAAAAAATAGGGGAAAACAGAAGAAGAAAAAAAGCAGATCCTCTGAGAAGGCTCCCATGCTCGTTTTAGCCGCGCACGGCACAAGTCGCCAAGCTCCGAAGCGCGCAGATTCCGCTATCAATGGGTCTCTTCGGGCAGCAACCTGAGCACTTGGCAGCCGCGACCAACTGAAACCTTGTGAGGTTGGCTCAAAATGGATTGTCTCCAACAACCTGGCATACCTCCGAGTCGAAACTCTGTACCACTTTTAGGTGGAAACACTCTGTCCAAAAAGGCAGTCTGTGTCTGAGCCACTTTCGTTCAGGGGACTCTCTTTGAGGTGGCATGATGGTTTTGGAAGTCTAAAAATGACTTCCAACGCCAAGTTCCACTCGAGATGTTCGCCTTGCCCTCAGCAGTTCGCTGTGCAATTCCGCTTTGGTATGGGAAGGCTCCATGCCTTCCCTCCAATAGCGGACACTTTGAGCGAGGTGGCGCAAAGAAAAGAAGCAAGGCCAGGATTTGCTGTAAAGCCTGGAATTTGAGATGCCATGGCTCCGGGGGGGGGGGGGGGCTGCCATGGATTGATGTTGATACTGATTCGGTAGTGATTCGGATGCTGATTGGTTGGGCTGCTAGCAAACTAGCTGAGACTAAGGGACTTGGACCAATCGATTGCCGGTCAGTTCTGGTGGCAAGTGGGCAAACCATATAATTTAATTCACTGTGGCTCACAAAAACGTGCAATGGCACCTTGCTAAATGGAAATTAACACTACAACCTGCGTAACCCTAGGTCCAGGAATGTCGAGCCGGGCATAGGGAAGGCGTACATCGGTTTCGCGGGGCGGTTTCGCGCTTGAATTTAAGTAAGTTAAAATGTGAACACCGACCAAACACCGACCCCAACCACATAACGCAAGTTGCACTAGACGCTGGGGCTTTCCCATGACTTGCAAAGAGGTTGTCGGGATAGGCTTGGTTTCTTTTCTCCAGGCCTGACGCGTCCAACCAGATTTCCATCGAGGCCGCTGTTCTCTTTGCGCCGGGCGGCGCCTTGAAACAATTCCACCGCCAGAAATGTACAATCCTTGAAATCGTGCCCTTCAAAAATGCGCCGCAGCAAAGTCCGCGGCATCTGTGCACTCAGGTCTGCTTCTGAGCCATGCGAATCGTGATTGAAATTGGGGGACCCTCAAAGGTGTGGTTTCCTTTTGGTTTGCCTTCACACCAAGGTGAAAAGCGTACCCTTAGGAAGACACACACACACACACACACACCCGCGTGGGCTTTCCGTCATCCCACATTAGCTCTGCGATGACTATCGCAGAAAACTTCGTGCCACGCTCACCCCAGCTGAGCAGGTCTGGGAAGAATTGATCACAACTTCCAAGGGAATGAATTATATTTGTAGGTAGTGTCTGCCCAACGCAGACTCACTGGGCGATTTGTAGAACTATGATGAATCCGAATTAGGATCACCAGAAACCGACAAGCTGACCAGCATAATCCGCGCAGATTTGCTTGAGTCTCCGATCCCAGCTTTCGCCACATGGCACCAAGCGCTGTGTGCTGAAGCAGTCCTGGCACTGTAAACCTGGAACAAGTCGCCTCCGGGTAGGGTGGGGACTGTAAAAACGAATCTCAACTCCTGACCAATCCAGGATGGTCTCAGCCAATCGCTGAACATCGGGCCCGCACCCTTTCGCCACTGGCACCCGCGACGCACGGAGGCATGCTGTGACTATCTCAATCAAGCAGCTTGAGGCTCAACCAAATTCAGGAACCCGCCGGTCTCGCTGTTGCCAAAGGCGAGATAGGCTCCAAACTCCTCGCAAACAGCCCAACACCGGCATGCCGCATGAGTGTCTGGGATTGAAACACAATCACTGAGTCGCCGGATTCACCGTTGCATTCGATCGTTGATTTGGCCCATCTCAGTCATACACGCCTCAATGGACATGCATGTTTTTCAGAGCTGTATATATGGCAACTCTAAAACCCGCCCCCCCCCCCAAAAGGGTCCCCAGTATTGTCTGACACAAACAAACAAACAAACAAACAATCAATCAATCAATCAATCAATCAATCAATCAATCAATCAATCAATCAATCAATCAATCAATCAATCAATCAATGAAACAAACAAACAAACAAACAAACAAAACAAACAAACAAACAAACCAAACCAAACGGCTAACAAACAAACAAACAAACAAACAAACAAACAAACAAACAACCAACCCACCAACCAACCAACAAAGCAACGCTGGCACGCGGGCCCGTGCGCACCCAAAAACATGTTATACAATATATATATATATATATATGTATATATATATATATGTATGCATCAATATGTGCACACATACTGTCACCTTGCCACATTTGGGGAGAGGGGTGCAGCAACCCTCTGAGACACACAGGCGACCCAGTTGGCTATTGATCAGCGAGTCTTACGGGATATGCCCATTCCCGACTGGGGGGGGGGGGGTGTTGGCAGGTCTCAGCAGGAACCAAAGCAAAAACACGCATGCCAGGTATTGTCCTGGCTCGGGGTGTAGCTCTCCAAATGAGTTGCAGAAGGATAAAACTAGGAACCTCTTCTAATTCCAAGCGGTTTCCTGGTGGTTTTTCAACCAGGCCAACAAAGGCATTCTTTAGGTTTGACACATTCTTACACATGTATTGCCTCACAAGCAGAGCCTAGGAAAACTAAGCTGCTCATCGGGTGCAAGACATGTCCATCTGACATAGCACAGGATGGGCTTTGGAGTTCTAGTTGGGATTGGCTCACAATTGGGGGAGGGGACCGGAAGGATGTTTGTATTACACCCTCGGATTGCACCCTCAAAAAATGAAATCAGATCTGTTTCTGAAGCAAGACATGAGCAACTCCCCAGGTGAAATCGCAGGGTGCACAAATCCGTCCTTCGGCTTGAGTCAGCTAGCTCTCTACGATGGATGTTCCGCTCAATTCAAAGCCGCCCATTCTCCGATCTCCGAAGCCGGAATCAGAAAATGTCAACTTCGGATGTCTCTGTAGACAGTACAAATTTAGGGGATGTTCTTCTTGTATTCATTTTGGGGGGTACTTCTCTAACATGGATGGTGGTGCGGATAAATGCAGAGTTAAGCTTACTCCTCCCTCCAGACCAGGTCCCGCTCGGAAAAAGATGTAATACACCGGCGCATGGAAGGCCAGTGCAAAGGTCAAGCAATCGCACGTATCCAGGAATTCGCGCGGAATGAGGGCGCAAATTTGAGGAATACTGATTGAAATAGATCCCCCTCCTTACAAAAACAGGACTACTTCTGATTCACTCGGAGGGCGTCTCAATCAATCCCAAGTCGGCATGAATCGTTCTGCCAAGTCGGACCAACCCAGCCTTCCTTCAATATGTGCAGTCAATACTCGCTTCAACCCACCTTGGTTAGATCCAACGTCCAAGATCGCAAGTGCTCCCAGGTTCAGGTTCGGTTCCGAATCATGGGCTCATAACCTCCCACCTAGGATGGAACCTGACTGGGGAACTCGATAGGTTCTATGTTGCACCTGAGCCGTCCTCAGATCCCCGCTCAAAGTTTAACTTTTAGTGGGCCAAATGGAAAACCCCACTAAACACCAAACAGCTAAAAAGCTAAAAAGCTAAGGAACCGGATGGCTGGGAGCCACCAAGGCACCGTTTCGGCACCGGACGCTAGGCCCAGGCAGCTTCACTCAGCCGAAACCGAAACCGAACCCGGCGTCGCCTTCTTGAAGTTCTGGCTGTGAACGTCGAGCATGGCGCGGAGCTTGTTGTTCAGACCTCGATCCGAATCGAATTCCCGGAGGCGATTTCGTAATGTTTGTTGACCCCGGATTAATAAACCCCTGTTTATTAATATGGGGGTGCTACTGGTCTTAGTGGGGATGTATCACTTTTGCTGGGGAAGATCCCCATATCAACAAACAGGGGTTTATTAATCCGGGGTCAACAAACATTACGAGCTCGGTACGGCAAGTATGGGTGGCTCGGTCTTGTTGGGGTACCCCTTGTTTGATGGTTGTACGGGAAACCAAAAGGGAAACCACCATGGGCGGGGGTCCCCCTAAAAACAGGACATATCTGTGTATATAAATGAAATCAGAATTCACCCACTTGAAATGAGAGCTGGAATTCCAAGAAAGGAACCCCATCGCTCCCCCCCCCTTTGAGGGTTTGGTCCTGCCATAGGTGACAACATCCACAGTGAAGTGCATCGTCCAAGTCAGCTGGCGAGTGCGATCATGCAATCTGCCTTGGGGCGTCCTAGCCCTCTTTCTAACAACCATGGAAGTGGACAGAAGGCATTTTCAAGAGGACTTTACTGGGAGGCCCGTTTTCTGATCCCCCGCTCAAAGTAACTAACTTTTAGTGGGTTAAATGGAAACTACCACTAAACACTAAAAAGCTAAAAGGCTAAGGGGATGGCTGGGAGCCACCAAGTCTAGTCAAACCCTCCTCTCCCTTGGCCTTCCAAATGGCGCCTCTTGAAGCCTTTATGAGTCATGAGCAGGGTCTTGGGGGAACCAGGCCGAGGGAATCGACTGTGTTGGAAAGAAGGTCACCAGCTGGGGCTGACTCTGATCATGTCAAGACGGAACGAGCAAGCAGCCCGCTGGAACACACGAGCTGGATGGGGCGCTTGGTCTCGAGAATGCAGTGGTCAGGGTTCCACCACGTCTCTTCATAGGCCAAGCAGTCTGGTTCCCACAATAGGAATGATTCCCAAAAGGGTGCTGCATGTTTGTATCTTGACACACTGCCACAACACATGTTCGCCAACGGACATAGCGGACACTTGAGGTCGTCGGCCCATATCCTCAAACATCCTACGCGTCAGTGGCTCATGTCCGTAGCTAGCAATACAAGGCCGTGATCTTGAAGCTGTCTCACACAGACACCTTCGACTCCAAAGAAGGGTCGTACTGATTCAGCTCACATAACACGGAACCTGGCCGAAGCTCCGGATTTGGACCAGTCCACACAAGACCCACGTTCAAAAAGTCACAAGGCTTCGTGCCGGACCTACAGCTGGCACTTTTCATGACAAAGCTTAAGCCATCTGCGTGGCTCCAAATTAAATAGGAGGGGCAAACCGCAGGTGGTCCATGTTTCCACTTACCAGGGCAACCCATTTTGGTATTCCAGTTTTTTGAGCCACAGCCATCTGCGAAGCCTGAAGCCCGGAACATCTTGAGAGGCCATGACTAGTGGCTGCCAAACTGGAACTCACGTGAAGAAAGGATCCATGCAGAATTGACTGGGAGAGGCTCCAAAAAAATCGGGTTGGCATTCGGTGCTCACAGACTCAAGGGGCACTTTGAAACAGCCCGAAAGGAAAGTGGCCCTCTGATGACCTAGTTGGACTACGAGTCCTTTTTGTGGTTCAGAACCGCCCCAGCTGCCTCTCCTCGATCAAAAGCCCCATCGACCAGAGCCCGCATTCAGGTTGCGGCTGTGGATTCTGCTTAGCGACAGCCGGAGAAGGCCAATGCCCTGGCAGTGGCGTTTTCGGGCTCTGCTGGTTGTTGGGAACCAAGTCCAGTGGATCCATTTACCTGGTTTCGTAGGTATCCAAGGGCTTGCCACCTTTGAAAACCGAAAGGAAAGGAGAAGGGTAACGGCGATTCACTGAGAACGAGAAACAAACGTTTCCGCATTTTGGAGACGAACCTGAAGGAATCTGACCCCAAAGCTCCTCATGTGGGTGATGATGGCTCAGTCAGAAGATTTCCTTGCGATGGCAAGCCCAAGCGAAATGGTGCTGTGACCATGCCACAGGTGGGGGTGCCTCTAAATACTGAACCCCCCCCACGTGGGTGATTTTCCAGAAAAAGAGACACGTCACATAAGATTCGTCGATGACCAAAGGCTTCCCTGAGCCCATCCAAATGCCCAGGGCTTTTCACATGGCTCCAAAAAAGTCTTCCAAGATCCCCACGGCTCCGAACCGACTTCTTGACATGGACCATCACTTAAGACCCTTCGGAGACGGTCCGACCGCCGGAGGAGTTGAGTCGACCAGATGGCATGGGCCATGGCTAGGCCGGTCAAGTAAACAAATCACCCAGGAAACTGGAAATCAAAACTCCGCAAAATGATGATTGAACAACCCAAGCAAATGTAGGGTGGTAATGATCGGGGTCATTTGGGTCATTTGTGTTTGGCTTCCCCAGCTTGACGGCCTGACGGCCTGTTGCATTTTGCATCCTAGCCGTAGCCCATTCTTAAACATGTGGATTTGGCACAGGTGGGTGTTTTCAGCTTGCCAAGTCCATAAAAACGACTTGAGGCACTTCACTGGGGAAGGGCAGCGTGGACAAGGAGATGCTGCAAAAAGAATGACCACCAGAGGAAAATAGTAACGCATGCTGGTCCAGTTTCACGACTTGAGCCACAATTTTCGCCCCCCCCCCACCACTTAAACCCTAAACCCGAAGCCTACATCTGGCAATCATGTCAGGCTATTGATCTGTTTGGAGGGTCCTGTTTTAGACCGAAACCCCGCAAAGAGGCTTGTTCTTTAACTAAAGGACCCTCCAAAATGGGAGTCGCTCTTTGGTGTCCCTTTAAACCAACCCCTCCCCCCCGCCCCACTCCAAAACAAAAAATGGTTCCCTCACAAAAAGACACACGCAAAACCCCACAAACCCAACCCATTAAACCACGCCTCGTAGGACACTTCCTCGTGGCCCTCCCGCTCCGCCTGGCAAGTGGGCCAACATCTGAGTGTTGCACCGCTGGCTTTTTGGTGGGGGACTGTTGGCCAGAAAAAGTCCAGGAGCTCTTCTTTTGCTGTGGGTCAAAAATATGTACCCAAAATGGGAATCCTGGTAAATGGAAACATGGATGAAACCTGCAGTCCCATGGTGGTCTAATTTTGACCCATACCCGCTTCTAAAGTTCAGGAACTGAGGAAGCGAGTGGTTGGGCCGGCCAAAACCAACAAAAGGCCAGCAATTTTCGGTCAGCTCACGTGGCTCGAACTTGACAAGGGTCCCCAGAACACCGCGCTGGATGGGTCAGCTCGGCTTCATTCCCCACCCCAGTTCATTCTGTGAATCTGGCTATCAGTCCGGCGCACTTTTGTCTGTGCGCTTCGAGTCCAAAGCGGCTTCCGGATCCGCTCCTAATCAAATCTCAAACTGTTTTGGAAAACCTGCACTCCTCCCCTTTGTGTCCGGGAGGACTCAAATGACAAAAGTCGGCAGTCTGTGCTGCCTTGCGAGCCTCTCACGTCATCCGAAAAACGTGTTCAGCTCAAGCCGCTCATAGGAGTCCACGCGGAAACCGGCCCGCGTCCCTCATCATCTCTTCATTGTCCTGGGTCACTCCTCCCTGGCAGAAACTGCACGGCTGCAAGGGTCGAAGTGGAGCCTGTCCAATGCCGGTGCAGTGAATCGACGCGTGCAAGAAGCCGTCATCTCCTCTCCAGCTCCTGGCCCCACGAACTCGCTGCCTGTCTCCTCCCATCCAGCATCTGGAACAAGGCAAAACCGCCCGCATTCCGCGAACTGTGGCATTTCGCAACCCGTAACAGTTGCGGCGCCAATGGATCTTGTCGCCCATTCCGGTCAAGTGATATACCTCGACCGCTTCGGGCTCCGGTTGCAACTCCCGCCACCGAAGCTGCTCCATCACCCGCAACTCCTCCCGCCAGCGTGCATTCAAGCGTTCGTCCTCCGCATCCGGTTCCACTGGCCTCGGCTGAGGTTGTTCTGCAACTGGCTGTTCTGCTCGATCAGCGTCTCCCCCTCGGCGCCTCCTCATTGAACTTGCCCTCGAGGGATTCCCGCTTCCCGAGCTGGAAGACCTGGCCGCCGAAGAGCTCTGTGTCCTCGGCACCTCTATGACTTCTTCCTCACTTTCCGTTTGGGTGCTCTGCTCCACACCTCTCACTCTCAATCTTCTCACCTTCAGACAGATGTCCGATGCCACCTCGTGAACCAAGCGGTACACCACAATCGCCACCACTGCAATCACCAAGACCACCACCGCAAGGTCAATCTTCTCCTCCTCCGGCTGTTGATTCCCTTGTGCTCGGCATCCTGTGATCATGATCAAGATCACCAGCAGCTTGACCCACTTGTCCACATCCGGCTGCGTTACCACGGCCTTGTTCAGCCTGCTTTGTTCAGCCTCTTCTCGCATGGCCTTCAGATTCCACAAGGCACACAGCTCCTTGATCCTCGCTGGGCCCAGTGGCTTTGTGCCAAGATCGGCCAACATCTGTTGTCCAGGGCAATGGCGCAACTCCCAATCCCCGGCTCTGATTCGCCACCGAAGATGAAACGCTCGAAGCCGAAGATGCCGCGTTCGCCAAGATCCCGTCACGTCCGTGGCAATCGCCACCGCTGCTGCGTTGTCAGACAGCAGCATCTTCTTGAAGTCGTCCAGCCCCAAGGTGTCCGTGATCAGCGCTTCAACGCTGTCCCCAAGGATCACGCTGTCAATGGCCTCGATCAACTCACATTCCGCCGTGGATAAGGCCGGAAACGCTTGCTTCCCTGCTTTCCACGCGATGACCGTGCCGTTCCACGACACCAGGGAGCATCCTTGGCTTCTTTCCCCAAGTGGGGCGAAGGAGGCATCAGCGTATGCCTGAAGTCCTGCTGCTCCATGGCCGCTCCAATGCCGTCCAGATTCTCCTGACACCCACAGCCCCCAGTCCTTCGTCGAGTCCAGGTAGCCCAGGATATAGCCCTTCGACACCATACTGCATAGTCGGCTCATGCTGTAGAGGAGGTCGGGTCGTGTTCTCGTCATCAACCACAAGATCTCGCCCGTCACCTTCTGTGCTCTTGCAAGATCCGTCATCGTGTGGTTGCCGATCGTCTCCTCCGCTTCATCCGCCATCTCCTTGGACATGGGCGCCTTCGCCTTCTTCACCTCGTCCTTGTGCCGGGTCAGCAGTTCCTCCACGTAGTCCTGCTGGTGTAGGAAGATTCCATTCTCCTCCTTTTTCAAGTTCATTCCCAGAAATCGAATCTGATTCCCGGTCTTCAACACGTCCGGCACGCTCGTCTCCCATTTCTGCGCAATGATGGCCTCAAACCTTTCTCGCACGGCCTCCTCCGCCGCAGTGAGGACATCATCGACGTAGATGGTGACCAGTCCTGCCAAGATCTCCTCCGCGCCTCGGATTTCCAAGATGCGCCACAAATTCTGTTCTGCAGCACACTGATCCAACTTGTAGTAGGCGCCGTCGACCTCCCACTGGACCGTCACAAGCTCCGCGTCCCGGTGGTCTGACCACCTTCTCGGGCTTTGGCGAAGCCCATACATGGCTTTGTCTATCAGCCATAGTTCTCCGGGCTCTGCGTAGCCCATCCTGACCATGATCGCCGGCGGTCGCATAGCCACCAGGTGCTCCGGCTCCTTTTCCCCATGTAGATCTGCATTGAGGAATGCAGACTTGATGTCCAACGCGGACATCGTCCATTTCCTCTCCATGGCGACCTTCACCTGCAAGCGGATCGCCGTGATGTCCGTACCACCCGCAAAGGTGTCTCCTTCCGCCTCCGAGTTCTGGGCGACGTAGTTCCCGCACACCACCAACCTGGTCTTCCGCCGCGAACTTCCCGCTTTCACACTGAAGATTGCCTTGCCCGGGACCACGGTCAGTTTGTTGCCCTTCTCCTTGATCAGCTTCGCGGCTTCCCCAGGAGCCAACCGCCGCAACGCCTTCTTCTCTGTCATCAGCGAATCCAGCTCCATCTTGATCGACGTTGCCCAGGCTTCCTTGTCCGCGATCACCTCATTCGTGGAGACCATCTTTGTATGCAAGACCTTCTCTGCCTCCTTGTGGTCCGGCACGGTCTGCTTCAGGTTCTCCTCTTCTTCCTTCAGCTTCCTCACCATCTTGAAGGTGACCTCCGCTGCATTTTCTCCATCTTCCAACATCCTTTCTTCCTCCTCCATGATGAGGTTCCGCAACAATCGAATCCGCTCCGCAACCTGCTCACCTCCTCCATCGTCCATCCTTCTCGGATCGCTCGTCTTCATCCTCAACCGTCTTCTCACACGCAGAGCTTCATCGAACAGAGCTTCCCCATCAGGATTCTCTTCCTCCTCCTGTCCTTCTGCTCTCGGGGCTTCCCCTTCTCGCAAGCCTGAGAGAACCTTCGACACCGCCACCACCTTGTTATCACAGTCCAGCTTCACCGCATGACCGTGAGTGATGTCATAGAGCGGGGCCAGGTACTTGCCTCGCTGATTCTTCGCCTCAAAGGATTTCTGCTTCCAAGCTCTCTTCGGCACCACCACCTCCTCTCCGAACTGATACTTCGGATGGTCTCCGGTCTGGTCAAACTTGAAGCGCACCTCCGAGACGTAGCGGGCGATGCAGGGCCACCACTTCGGTTCCCATCGTGATGCTATCAGCACCCTCCTCACCATGGATTTGACGACCCCAACTGCGGCCTCCGCCCTTCCGTTCTCCTGCATCTGATCCGGTGTCCTGGTGGACTTTCTAATGTCCCTCAGTCGGCACCAGCTGGCTAGTTCCTTGCTCATGAACTCGCCTCCTTTATCTGAGTGCAGTCTCAGCACCAGGTGGCCCTCTCTCCTCAGTCTGATATAGACCTCCTGGATCGCCGCCAAGACCTCCCGCTTGTCCTTGGACTTCAGCGGGACCGTCATGTACAACGTCTTCAGCGGGTGCGGTTCCTTCTGGATTTCCGGAACCACCGGCTGTTCGTCCTCCTCTCGGGCTCCTTCCACATTGAAGCCTTCTTCTTCCTCCTGCTCGTCCTGATCCACCTGTTCCTCCACCGGTAGTAGATCTTCTCCATCGCCTGGTTCTGCAGCAGGAAGTTCTTCGCCTTCCTCGGTGTGGATCTGTGGCCATGTGAACGCAGCCACGAGCAGGTACCTTCGGTCTTGGACTCCATCCACATCGATGCCCTTGATGAACGGTCCACTCAAATCCACTGAGAGGACATTCCCGGCTGGATGTCGTACCCTTCGATGTGGCCTGTCCTTGGCTGAGGCTTCCTGACAAACTCGGCAGTCCCGCCGAAACGGCAGGTGCCCCAACTTCACATGCTCCTCCCACGACAGGGCCTTCACTTTCGTTCTTGACTCACCGTCCACCTCCTTCTGAAGGCATCTGGCGAGCTCCCGCATCATTCCAGGGACCCATCGAGTCAATGCCTTCGAGGAGCTGAGTTTCTCCTCATCCGTCATCATCCACCTCGGCTTGTCCATCTCCTGTTCTTGCCCTTGATGACCTCCTTGATGTAGCTTGCAGATGCCTTTCTCGGGGCCTTTGAAGTCCATGGTGGTCCCGATCGTTGTAGGCTTCGCCGCTCGCCCACCCCAGTCACCTTGCAAGAACGTCACCTTCTTGAGCTCGTGGAGCTTCTCCAGGGCTTCCCACTCCGGTGTCCGCCACCACGATGCACACCTCGGCTCCGCCTGCGGCTCTGCCGGTTGCTCCAGGAAGAACTCCACAGCTCCTCCCTTCTCCTCTCTGGCCTTTGCCGTGAGGTCTGCCAACAAGTAGACCAGGATGAAGCGAAACATGAGCACGTCATCCTCGTAGACGATGGCTTCTTCTCCTTGGTCCATTCCCGGCAATCCCCAGGGATATTCCACCGTTCTCACCGGTCGCGGTTTGGCCCTGTTGAGCAAGGGGAAGAACCGCAGCACTGATCGCGTCCTGCAATTCGGGCCTCCCACCACTGCCTTGATTCGGTCATCCAAAGCCAGCCGCACCAAGCCACCCATGAGCTCGTCGTCCATGAGGTCGTGGCTGTTGTCACGGAGGATGTCATACTCCAGGATGTCCCTTGGATCACCTCCTTGCTCTTTGTAAGCTCGGGACAAATCAAATCCCTCCTCCGGGCCTGCAAACAAGTGCACGATCGCACCTCCCTTTTTCTCAAGCCTTCTCCTCCGGCTCCTATTCAATCCCAGAGGTTTCCAGTCCTCCGCCGGGTTGACCATCAACCTTTCCTTGATCGCCTCCGGCACACCGTCGAACACCGGGTGCGTCTCCACCACCTTCTTGATGAAGTCCACCTCATCCCGCTTTGACAGCGCCTTGACCCTGTAGCGGTTCACCCCCTCGAGCTCCTGGATCAAGCTGAGGGCCAGTTCTCTCGGTAACTCCGGGCAGCCTTGACTCATCACCACCGGTAGACGTCCTCGTCCAGGGTGCACCACCGCACATGTCTTCCCGCTCCACTTGACCTGGCAATTCAAGTCCTTCGTGAGCATTCCCATGGGGATGATCGGCTGTATCCGCTCGTCTTCCGCAACCAGGGTTCCTCCCAAGGTGACCTTCAGGCGGTAAGTCTCTCCAGCCGCCAACTCTACGGTCTTCTCCTCATAGTCCGAGGTGTCCTCGCCCTTCATCATGGGTCTCAGCGGGTGCGTTGCTCCTGAATCCACCAGTCCACGCATCCCACCAATCTCCATCTTCGACAACCTCACCTGTCGAACCCGCATCTTTTCTCGCATGCCGTCCAGCTGCTTCTGCAGCTCCATCAGCTTCTTCTCGTCGTCCTCCGGTCCGTTCTTGCCGGTCTTGACGTTGATGCTCCTGAGCATTTTGGTCGCCTCCTGGAGCACGTCCTTCATTGCGTCCGTCTCCTTGTCGCCCGATGCCGAACTCGCCGCTCCCGGTGAATCCTCTTGCACCGTTGCCGACATAGTCGCCCTCGGAGTTGTAACCTTCTGGCTCTCCGTCCCGACGTCCTTCTTTGTTTCCTCCTCCGCGTTGACCTTCGCCGCCTTGGGCTTTCGGTCCACGTTGCTCTTGATCGCCACGGGGCAGTCCTTTCGCATGTGCTCGCTCGCCCCGCACGACCAGCATCTCGTGCGTTCATCCTTCTGGTCATGGCTCCAACGGCAGCCACGTCCTCTCCTGCAGCCCTTCTCGGTGAGGAAAAACTTGCATGGTTTCCCACCTTCTCCAGCGCTCTTCACCTCATTCTTGGAGTCGACAGCCTCTGCCTTCTTGATCCGGGTGTCCGTGGCCTGCACCTTCCCCGCTGGGGCCTTGACTTCCTTCTCCAAGTGGGCGATCGCTTCCACCTCCGACAGAACGTGCTCTGCGTACTTCTCCACTGCCTCGTGAGAGGGGATGGAGTCCAGCTGGAGCGAGTTCCTCGCCAGTGCCATCTTAAACGAGAGCTCCGGCTGCATCTCCACCACTTTCTTCACCATCTTGCTGAGGGAGCGGGCCAGGACCGTGGGGTCCGGAATGGTCACCCCAAGTTCCTGTGCCCTCTGCTTCCACCTCATCCATTTCCTCAACCCAACCACCAGCGACGCCAGGGAGTCCACCTCAGGGGGACTTTCCAGGTTCTTCAGGATGACCGATTTCTCTACCAGTCCTCCCGGCTGGTAGCTCGCCATGAGCTTGCACAGAATCGCATAGCAAGTCATGGACTTCGTTGCCACCATCTCTTCACGAGCTCCGTCAGGAAGAGCGCGAAGAAGTAGCCCCACAGCCCGCCTCTCCAGCCTCCGCCATTTCGGTTCTTGAAGCTCCGGAGGGTCCTTCGGCTGCAGCTTGAGTCTTTCCAGCGGCGGCGTTGTCTGATACCTTCCGTACCACCTCCTCGCCGATTCCACCACTTGCTGCCACCATTGCTGTGACGATTCACTGAGGTCCGCCATGATCGGCTCCAAGACGCAAATCCAGTCTCCCAGGTCGATGGGAGCACTCTCCGGCTTATACTCCACGAGCTTCGGCAAATCCGTTGTGACATTCTTCACCGTCTCGCTCGTGTCATCGCCGTGGTCCACCTTCTTCTTGGTGTCCAGCATCTGCTGCTGCATGTTCTGCATGCCCTGCACGATCTTCAGCATGATGTCCAGGGACTTGTCCTTCGGGCCCGTCGGCTCGTCCTCACGCAGCTCCGAGGATTCTTCCTCAGGATCAGCAGGTTCACCTCGAGTTCCACGGCCTTCCGGGGTTCCATGTTCCTCAGGTGTGGCAAACCTGTCACTCTGATCACCTCCTCGAGTAGCTTCCACCTCCGGCGGTTTCCAGTTTTGCTGCATGTCCTGGACTTGGCTGAGACATTGCCCCACCTCCTGGTGCAGCCTCCGGTTATCCGCCAGGATCTGTGCCATGTAATAGCGCATCTCCTGCATCGGATCTGGCCATTGAGCATGCCGTCCTGGTTCAGGTAGTCCCGGCTGTTGTCGCGTTCCTTGATCTTGCCATTGAGCAAGCCGTGAGCCTTCAAGATGTCCCCCAGGTCCAAGAAGTACCAGCTGCGGCCCCAGTTCTTGCCGTTGAGCAGGCCGTGGGCCTTCGGCATCTCCCGCTGGTCCTGGTAGAGCAAGTTGTTGTGCTGCCAGCGCCAACTGCCTTTCCACCTGCATGCCCTCATTGGACCGCTGGATGTAGCCCTCAAAACCTCCATGGCCTGTTGCAGCTCCCGTTGCGTGAATGAGCGGAGCTTCGGCTGTCCACTCATCCAACCTTCTCATCTGCTCCGGAGTGAACAGCTCGTTCTCTGCCGGCCCAGGCTGAATCGACGATGGCTCCCCCTGCGGCCCTCCAGGCCATTGGGTCGAAGCTGCCGCCTCAATCAACCCATCCGGCCTGGCTATCAAGGCAGGTTCCTCCACCTCCTCCACCACTGGGCCGACTCGGCCTCCGGTTCCCTTTCCATTGTTCTCCAGGGTGGTCCTTCTCCGGGTCCTCCCTGAGTCAGCGCCATCCATGGCGCCAGTGTCACACCGCGTGACTTGGGCTCATAACCTGTGAATCTGGCTATCAGTCCGGCGCACTTTTGTCTGTGCGCTTCGAGTCCAAAGCGGCTTCCGGATCCGCTCCTAATCAAATCTCAAACTGTTTTGGAAAACCTGCACATTCAACCGGCTGGTCCGCCTAAACCTGGCCTCAGGGAACTCCATGGCTGTCCTATGGAGGGGGTCCTTCACTGGGGGGAAACACCCCCAGTAAACTCCGGCAGGGTGTGTCAACCTCCGGCATGTCCTTCCAAAACTCCTCCGCTCGCTCCACGCTTTCCGTGGGCTTTTGTGCTTTTCGCCTCGCCTGCAGCTTTCTGATCTCGTCCTTGAGGCGGCCTGGCGGTTGGAGAATCGAGGATCGAAGCGGAGATACGGAAGGAGTCCCTTAGGAAGCGTCGGAAGAGTCTCGGAATCTCAAGGCGCTGAGGCTGTCTCCCGGTTGTTTTTCTGATGAGGCTGATGAGGGTAGCCCTGGTGAGGGGTTGAAGCGAAACCAAAAAGAAACATACGCCACTCTGGCTTGAAAGATTTAGCCCAGAGGAGCTCACTTCAAAAGGAGCACAGCCTTCCACGTTTCGCTATTCGAAGCCAGGGAGCATTTGTGTGCAGGGATCCAAATGGCTGTATTGCTTTCCGCAGCACGCACTGTTGCCAACCATCCGCCTGCCCCGGAAGCCCATCTGTTGTTTAACAAAAAAAGATAGGCAAGGCTGAACCGAAGATAGGCACCTGTGTGTTCTCTGCGCTTCTTGGGGGTGCCGTACTGCTCGGGTCCGAACTCCGAACTCCGAACTCCGAACCGCAAGCCTTCGTCATGCTCCAGCTTCTCTTGGATCTGGACGATCTCTTCCACCGAGCAACCTTCCTCAATGCAACCTCGCGTGAGTGGGGGGAAACATGCGGGGCTGCACATGTACCGGCTTCCCCATAGTTCCCTCCTTAAAAAAGTCACCCCACCAAGACCAAGAGGACACCTATCAAAAATTGGCTCAAAAGATGATGTTCAAGCGCCCACAAGCTGGATCAAACGGAAAGTCTGGGACCCCTGTACTGTCTAACAAACCCCTTTGCATTGCTGAGTGGCTTGTCCCAATATATGTGGCCTGGTTTTTGTGAGTTGTCCGGCCGTGCCCCCACCCTGCCAAATCAATGGTAGAATACCTGGTAGAATACCGATGACCACTGTCAGTTGCTCGCATGTCGTTGCTCTGTGCTGTCCAAGTGTTCAGGCAGTGGCTCAAGTGTCGAGATTGTGCCTTTCTCATAAGGGCGTGGATCGGGTGCGTGGGTGGCTGGGCGTGTTCAGTGCAAGCTCCTGCGCAATGCTTCTCTGGAAAGCCTCTTAGTTGCAAAGTGGGGCAAAGGCCCACCATCAAGTTGGCACTAGCACACGGTCAATGCAATGTTGAAGAAACCGCAGATTCTTGGGCCATGCTTGACTCATACGACTGTTTTTTTAGGCTTCCGCTGTTTTTGGGTTGCGTCTGGAAGCGCGGATGCCTTGCATCGGGATCGGTTCCAATTCGAGGCTGACCATAGACTCTACCTGGAGTCTCCAAACCTAACAAATGGGGTCTACCAAAAAGTTCAAGAGACGTCTGGTTTAAGGATCATGAAGACTCCAGACGTTTTGGGATGCGCTTCCTAGACCCAGCCCAGTCAGGCCCCATTCCAATTTTGGCCTTCAGCCTCCTCCTCGACGAAGTGGGTAACCTGAGCCGTGTCAAATCCCCGCTCTTCACAATGTCTGAGATGTTTGAACAGGATTTGGCACCCTTGATAGGGACCAGCCGTTGCTTGTTGAAACAAATATTGCCCAACCCCGTCGGTGTGTGAAATGTGATGCAGCTTGCATGCCAAATCATGACTGCGAGGTGTACGTTTGCAATGATCCCCTGAAAATAGGTTGCAACGAAACCAAGCTGTGTGTGTGTGTGTCAACAATTTCTACCTGCGATCAGGTCCAGTCATTTTGTCTGACGGAAATGTGGACGTGTGCTCTTACAATTGAACTTGAGCAATAAGCTCTCAATAAGTGTCACCCAGGAAGGGAAACTCCAAGAATTGCGTGTTCCTCTTGTTTCCCTCCTAACGCTAATTTCGGATTCATCCGGAGGACCCTACATCCTTTCCGAAAGGGGGACATCTTTCTTCTTGCGGTACTCCTCCTTAAAATCCGAAGTCAACATTACTCTCCAGTACCCTCCAACCAAAAAAACAAGCATAGCCATAGGTGTCCTTTTTGGGAAAATAGATGGGTTTCCCTGGTAGTTGATTGAACCACCAGGTAAACCAGGAATTGCCCAACCTATTTTTAAACCAAATCAACCAAAAAGGACACCTATGCGCATGGCTCACCAAATCAAACAATCAACCATCGAAAAAAAAAAAAAAAAAAAAAAAAAAAAAAAAAAAAAAAAAAAAAAAAAAAAAAAAAAAAAAAAAAAAAAAAAAAAAAAAAAAAAAAAACACAGCATAGCTTTCCGCCGGCAACCCACAGCTTCGGCCCGCAAAAGGTCGCTGTCTGCGCCCGGCCTCTGGAAGCTCCAAGTGATGCTCCGGCGCCTTCCACGGATCCCGGATCCTAAACAATGGGACCCGAAGCGCTGGGCTGGACGAAATCCATTTGCTTCTCGCACCACCGTTCAGACCTGGAATGATGTGTCCCCTGTAAATACCGGCAAACAATGGTTTCCCATGGGTGTGGGTCAAAAACCGGTACCCAAAACGGAACCCTGGAAAAGGAAGCAAGGACTAAAACCTGCGGTCCCCTAGTGCTTTAACTTTGACCCATACCCACATAGGAATACCTTTTGGTAGGTACCTTTTAACCAAAGGTTGTCCCCTCCAGGCAGAGAATCAATATGGTGTGATTCGTGCCCCACTTGGAGGGTTCCGATTCTCAAAATGGACAGGGCATTTGGGTCAAGGCCATGGCGAGTTTCTAAAATGGATTCCCAGTTGGTTGGTCTTTGGGTTGTCGCAAAGGGTGCCCCAAAATCAAAATGGGTTAGGCTCCTTCTGGCGTCCCTTTAAACCATCCGGTATTTGGCTACCCTGAAAAATCAATATCTGAAGGGAACCCCAGAAGGAAACCAACTATTTTATGGGACACACCCTCCACTCCAAGAACATTTTATTTTAAAGGCTCTCGAAAATAACCGGGTTCTTCGCGGGAAAACCCGGTTCTATGAAAAAACATACAAACGTACGGGTTTTGTATGGGTTTTGTACGGGTGTTGTAGGTTTTGTGTACGGGTTTTTGAAAGTAAAACCGGGTTTTCGGTTGGAAACCCCTGTTTTCGGTAAGCAACAGGCTCAAAACCAGGTTTTTCGTTAGCATCCTTTAAGGTTCTTGGAGTAGAGGGTACTTTTACTTCAGCAACCCCCAGGCCTTTCTTTCCTTTCTTTGGGGGGCCCGAGACCCAAACAGCAAGTCAAAAACGGCGGTTCTTAATCCAAATGTTGTGGGAAAGGGTCGGGCCTTTGACGCGCAGCGCTTTTGGGGGCCCATAATCACAGGACCCCCCGCTCCCCGCCAGGCACCCGATCGTGGGTGGATTTCCCATTTGCCCTCTACAAGGACCTCCTAGGTTCAAATCCCCACACCGACCCAAACCGCCAATTCAGGGTTGCAAGGAAGAAGCCAAGTGTTCAATATGTGATACCCCACGTCCCCATGGTACTCCTAGGTCCGTGCTGAAAGGGCTCTATGACTGGGCCTGCTTGGAAAAAACCGGGGCGGGCTCAAACGAGGATACGGAACGCCCAAAACGGGCGCCGGTGTTCTTTGGCAATTGGGTGTCCCTTTAAATATGGCCCTTGAAGAGACAAAGCCAGATCCAGTCACAAGTACATAATTGAATGATGAGAAAGCTGCTGGTCAAATAAGCAGCTTAGGAACTTCAAACACAAGGCCCTTGCTTGTTGCGAATAGAGGGACCCTGCACTAAAAAACGGAAAACACGGCAAAAGACAATCTCTGGTAGAAACTGGGAACGCAGCCCTCAAAAAGCAAAGACATCAGCCGGGAATGTTAAGTAGACCGGGCTATTGCCCTGCCATGCTATCCTGCCTTCCCCAAATCTGGAAGGCGAAAACTGATTCGGTAGAGCCCAAAAGATCAACGGGCCTATTCATCAAATCTGAGACATTCTTCCATTTGTAGAAATCTCTGGGGGAATGCAAATAGAACACGCAACTCTTTATTGAATTTAGCACCTGGCAAATACAGAAGGTTAGACGCAACTATAGCATATATACAAACTCTTCATTGGATTTAGCACCTGCCAAAGGCTTGCCAAACCTTTCTCTCCGGCGCCCCTTTCCCACGTCCCCCTGCCTCTTCTGTGCCCACCGCTTTGACCTGGCCAGAAAGTCCTTCTTGGGGAGCTTTCGAGTAGAAACTCACCTCCTAAAGCAAACATATGGCTCATGACTGTAATTGTTCGTTCGGGATCCACCTCAAAAGTGGTTGGTGGACATAACTCCGTGCACCAAAGAGTCCCCACTCGAAATGCGTCCCCACATGTTTGCATATCTGCCAGTAGGAAATAGACATACTGGAGAACACCGCGGATATCTAGAGTATGGGTCCCAAATTGCACGTTCTCGGCCCGAAAAGTGATTCCGTTCAGAAATGCTCGGCTTGCACCCGGTCGAAATCCCTCGAACTCTGACTCCGACTCGGCTGCCCTGCTTGTAAAACAAACGACGCTTGCTTCTGGCCACGCTATCTTGATCCTTGAACATAGTGTGCTTCCCACACGCATGTCCCAAGGAAAAGCATGCTCAAAGCCCAAGAGATGCTTCATGTCCGGTGGACTTGGCGGATTTGTGGATGTATGACATGCACAACGTTGTGGGATGTGATGCCTCAGTGGATGCCAACTCTTCTTTTTTTTAAAGATGATCCACAAACACTGGCAAGAAGATTCCGGCACAAGTCGCAATTGATAGTTGCGCACTGTTCGACTCCAACTTCTACAAATGGCTGTGGGTCAAACATGTGTACCCAAATGGAATCCTGGTAAATAGAAACATGGACCGAAAACCTGTATCCGGTGGTTTAATTTTGGCCCATACCCAAATATTGAAGTGTTGGGGAAATCGCCCGTCGCCTCCGCCCGTTTAGGCATCCGGAAGATCCCTGGCCCTCCCTCAGTCTCGCACGCGGAATGGGCGTGTCGCCGGGCGGAAGTTCGACCTGAGAACTCATCGGTAGCACGGCGTGTTTTTTCCGCCAAGTGACCCCCAAGGGACCATCAGATTTCATGATCACCACTTCAAAACCCGAATGGACAACTTGGTTGCTGTTGACACCTGTGCAACAAGTTGAACTTTTAGTGGGTTAATTCCAAAAAAGTTATTAAAGTCTAAAGATCCAACCCAATAGCCGTCAAGAAAACTGCCTTGTGACATCCTTGGAGCAACCTAAGGAGGAGGTATTGTTGGGCATTGGTAAAGACCCGAGCCACCAAAAAGCCGCCCACCGGGATCACCCCCAGCCATGCCTGCCAAAAAGCCATCCATCGGTTCGGCATCTAAAGGGTCGATTGATGAATCCTTTGCAGAGTCAATTCCAAGACTGTGTGTTTTGCTGGGACCTGTTTTGATCCACACAAATCCTTCAACGCATGTGCAGCATCATATGCACGTTGCGAAGTTTAATTTGCCTCCAAATGTGACCGGAAGCGCATGACATGCTGACACCCGATTTTCGAGTCTGGCAGGCAACTCCACAATTCATCTGGGTCGTGTAGGGTTGGAGCGTGACCTTTCTTGAAAACATGTGTGGCCAGGCTTGCTTCAAGATCGATGTTAGTTTTCCTTTGAAAGGGGCCAGGCCAAGTAAGTGCGCTGGATTTCCTAAGCCCCGCGCTCCGGGGCGCTTTTTTCAGCTTTACGGCGACCGCCCGGTGTCCGCCGCGCAAGCGGCGGCCCCCCGACGAATCTTGCTGCCCTTCTGCCAGGACACTTGCCCACAAAGGCAGGGGCAAAGGGGGACAGCAGCCACCAGAGAACCTGAAGCGGACATGGGCCAAGAATCAAAGCGTCTGCGTCTTGAAATATTTCGGGTGTGCAACGGTCTTTGAACAAATCCTGCGTGTCTTCAAAGAGAGGAGTCGGGTCATGGTTGGGGCTACTCTCAGCTGTGCTTCGTGCGACTTCACCTGTACAATGAAAAGACATAGACTGTGTCCGCTGCCGCCACGTCAGGGATCATGTATTGAATGTTTGGCTTGTTTAATTCCAGCCGGGCTTGCCCTTGCCCGTCAAATTCCCCTTTACTTTCAGCCTGCCGGGGGCTGAGTTCCTCCCGATGTCAAGCAGCAGGAAGGGGTCCAGAGGGCCGCAGAAAAAAGCCTGCGTGGTCCTACTCGCTGCCTCTGGTTTTTCCAATGCCGACCCTGAAAGTAGTTAGGTGGGACAACCTAAGGACTTGTGAACAGGTGTGTGTCATAGGTGTCCTTTTTGAGAAAATAGATGGGTTTCCCTGGTAGTTGATTGAACCCCCAGGCAAACCAGGAATCGCCCAACCTATTTTTTGACCAAATCAACCAAAAAGGACACCTATGGTGTCTGTTCCATGTCCTTAGGTCCAAAGTCTAAAGGACACAGTTCACTTCGCGGGCATGTCTGGACACAAACACGGACAAGGGGACAACTGACTCATGCCACAGGGCAATCCTTGAAACTGACGCATGTAAACAGAGTCCAGAGTGCCTGCCTTCAGTCCAAATCGCGAGACTTTTAATCATGAGCACTACTCCTGCTGTGCCAACAAGCCGTGTGCGGTGCCAACACGGGCTTGTGGTTGCTTGAAAATCAACCCTTTCTCCCACCAACAAACTCCCTTCGAAAATACCTAGAAGATACAATTCCTCTTGAAGGGTCCACCGGTCGGGTGCCATGTAGTGGGAGGATGAGCAAACTAATGTAATTTCAACACAAATCCCAGTCCCCGACATCGTATCCCGCCGGTTCGCTCACTTCGCCAAGGAACCACCAGGGCGACGATGCCACGCACTGCGCTCATGGCGGAAGGAGCGGGAGCCAAGTCTCTCACTTGTCTTGAGCAAAATGGCTGCCCCAAAAATATCCTCTTGCAGGCCAAGCAGGACCCTCACATGGGCAATGGGTGAAGCGCTTTCCAGAAGAGAAGTCGCGTTTCAACCGGGGTCTGTGCACTTCCGGTCAATCATTGCGTCTTTTGGTGGGCTGAAACAGATATCGAAAAAGCAGCGGAGGTGCCTTGGAAAATTGTGTAGTCTAGGTATTTTAATCATTAAGATCACGAGCTCGTTTCGAACACCGGCTCGGGAGAAACAACGGATACGCGCATGCACCCTTTCGAAACCTTTAGCCACGTTAGGTCCTGAGAACACGTGAAGACGTCTTAGGTTGGATGTCTGTTTGCCTTTGCAAACGGCGCAGAAAACCCTTTCTGTGTTGCTACCGCTTCTATAGCTCAGTAGAACCATTTAGTTTAGCTGGGCTTCAGTCGACCTATCTGCAATTGCCTGCTCATGCCTTCTGTGACTCCAAGGTGTAAACATCTTACGTCGAGCACCAACCGTAAAATTTCGGCATGGGACAAACCTGTCCCCTTAGGTTGGTCAAATTCAGGAAACCCACGGCAAAGCCGTCAAGCGAAACAAGGGCCGAATCTGGGCAAAAGAGCTGGCCGTGCTCAAAGCGGAATGCGGCCTGCCTGGAGAGAAACATATTTGGCCACCCCAAGAGCACCAAAACCACCCAGAAAGCCCTGGAACCCCATCAGAATGGATGATCATTCGCAGCAGATCTGTCCACGCAGGCATGTGGGTGGAACTACAAGTGGTATAATTAAGGAAAAAACATACGCAAATGCATGCTTCCTGAAACGGGGACCTTCCAGCGGTGGGTTTGCATGTGGGTCCCTAAATTGATCAGAAACACTCCAATGGCTTCCTCCAATTTGAGACCTCCGGGTAGGAAACCGAGATCCCTTTTGAACACTTCCGATTTTCGCGGCCCATCCGCCCAAAGACTTGCTTCCTCGCCCGTTGGGCCTCCATGAGGTCCCGTGGCCGGCAGAGGGTCTCCTGGAAGGTGGGCTGCCAGCCTCGCGGCGAGCGCGACGTGCGACCAAAGACGTGATCCCCGCGAACCCGGTCGAGAACAGTTCCTGGGTGGGGCTGTTGGATTCATTCCGTGGATGGACAGAATGACAAAATCCACTTCGCACCAGTTGGTAGACGTTTTATCCCAGTTGTTTTTGGGGGGTCTCCTCCATACCGACAGCTGCAGGATTCTGTCCATCGAACGGCCAAACCACTTGAGCATCTGGTCTCACTCTCTCTCTCTCTCTCAATTGGTGGACTCGAGTGGTGATTTGAGGATGTGAAACGTGGGCTATATTATATCACAAAGCAACAGTCTGCCAACAACGTTGTCGCCAACAATGTTGTCAGCTATAATAACTGGCCTAAAAGGACACCTATCTGGAGCTGGGTATGATTTACCCGGAGCTACTGAGAATGGACCGAATCTTGCACAGTTGGGATTGATGAATGCGACTGGGATAAACCACCTACAATGGCAACCAGTGACCGATGAAACCCTCTGAACGGGATCTGGGGCCCATCTGCAGTATGTGTCGATGTGGAGTGGTTCTGAGCTGCCCAGAGCTACTGTGGATGGACAAAATCCTGCACCACTTTGAATCCATGAAAAACCATTGTTTGTTGGTATTTACAGGGCAACTATCATTCCAGGTCTTCTTAGGTGGTGCAGGATTTAGTCCATCCACAGTATGTTTCCACCAACTGGTGCAGGACTCCGTCCATCGCTTTGCAAACCCCGCCCCGCCTTCAGCGAGGAGCAGCGCATAGAGGTCTGCCACGTGGCACAGCACCTCGCGCGGTGAACACCACGCGCGGCGAAACAAGTCGGGGCGTGCTAGTTGTTGTTTGGAGGCTCGCGGCCCGTTTTGGGGGATGGCATAAAGTGGAAAATAAGGAAAGCCGCCATTTTGGGAGCTCCCACATGTTGACACGTTGGGCAGGTCTCTTTTTGGATCCTTTTTGGGGCCTACTTCAACCAAACAGAAAAGGTTCCCCGGGTCACGTCAAAAAACCAAGGAATCTGAGCAATCTACTACAACTCCCAAATTGGAAATAAGGGAACCCAGCAGACCCAGCAGAGGACCTTCATCATGGGTCATCATGGGTCAGCGCGGGTCAGCTCTTTGAAAGGGATCATACTGTGATGCTTTGTTTGGGGCAGCACTTTTACTTTTCAGCTACGAAATGGTTGAACAAGTAGGGGCCTGAATGCATGCACCACGCAAACTCATCGTTCTGTTGGCACACCATGTGCAAGGAGGGCCCCGAAGTTTCTGTCAAAGACCCCGGCACCTAAAAGTGCCGAGGGGCTAAAAGGTTGGCGAAATATCCGCCACCTTGTCATATAATTTATTCTATTGAGCTATTCAAAGCTGCCCATTCGTGGTACCCATTCTAAGGCTATACAAAAGGATACCTCTCATTTTCCGAGTCCCCAAATAGGGGGAAGCACCCCCCACCCACGTGTTGCACCGCAGAACTGAGTCCCACAAACCGAATGCGCCAAGAAAGTCGGCAGTCACCTTGCACACGAACCACCGCTGCTTAGGCAAGCGCCACGACCTTCCGGCTTGAGAACTTTGTTAAGAGGGGATTCACGGGAAGCAAACCCACACAAACCATGCATCAGCTAGCCAAACCAACCAGGTCTCATGTTCTCAACCCAACCAATCCGGCCACAACATGGATCCGAGGAACAAGTTAAAAACAAAACCCGCTCAGTATAGCCCGTTCCCAACAGTTGCACCATTTGGGTGCTGTTTTTTGAGGGTGCTCCTTATGGCTCAGGGAACAACTCCTTGAGACGCAGCCAGCCCTTCGGTGGGCTCGACCGGATGGATCCGGGTGCCGGAAGGCCGGCCTTGGCGTGGACGGCTTTCAGCACGCCCTCCTTGGTGGCGGCTGAGACGTAGAAGAGCCTCAGCTCGCAAGCCCTTGGCGTCGTCCCCGGCGGTGAGCCCGCGATTGGCCCTATTGGACCTGGTGAATGGGCAGAAACAAAATTGCGAGGTCCGGATGCACCCCTTGCTACGTCGGTTTCGCGATGACATGCCGGGTTGGAGGTGTGGAGCTTGAGAATCCCATGCCCTGCGCCAGCTGGTGGGTGGTTCACCCCAGTGTGTATAGGGTTTCATCCACTGGTGCAGGGATATGCCCATCCACAGTATTCCACAGTATCACCAGCGTTCTTCTATCAATCCACCGACATTCCTGGGATTTTCCATGCTAAGCAACCAAGGACCTACGATTTTTGAGGTGGTATCCATTATGCAATGATTCTGGGAAACATGGGGAAGCACAGTGTGCTTTTGGACAAAGAGATGTGGTGCTGGTAGATGAAACCAAACCAACTACCCAACTAAACTAACCAAATCATGTGTGAAGCTGGAAAACATCAAGCTATCTATTTAGAGAAATCAATGGGTGCCATGTATTTTCAAGCAAACTAAAGGTAATCCTCTGGTCATGTTTCTTGCGTGTTTCTTGATCGGAGCTGGGTCCTAACCAGTGGCCCAAAAGACACGGGGGAAAATGATTCTGCGGGGTTGGAACTTGGAAGCCACTTTTTTGGGAGGAAGTTCATTAAACAAAAAGGAAACTGGGCAACAGAGCTGGAGGGAGCTCCTTCTACAATTGACACGGTTTGATGTGCCAAACCTGAACACGATTATCAAAACACACACACACACACACGCAAAAAAGAAAAAACACAGGCTTGGAGGTGGCCGTATACAGAAAGAAACCAACAAGAAACCAACCACTTGAAAAGCTCCAACCGGCTTTGACACATCTAAGCACCTGCATGACAAGGGGAAGGAGTCAATTCTTTTCACCTGCGGCATGTCACAATCACAACATGTTCAAGAACGGTTTCAAAAGGAACCAACATTACACCAATCGCTTCTAAGGGGTCCTAGTCGTTGGGCATCTGCGAAAACAAACGGAACTTGGGAGGATTTCATAAGCAGCTTTAAAAGGGACATCCAAAAGCACTTTGAAATCTGTTCAGTCCGAACCCAAGACAAGAATTTTGTGCTGGTTCCCCAGGAACCATCCCTTGCATTTTGAGGGGGTCCCCTTCTGGTTCATTCCCAAAACCAGAACCATATTCCCTGGCACCAGCAATGGGGGAGCTCTCAAAATGGTGGACCCCACTTTGAGTTGGTATCTGAAGGGAAACCAAACGGATAAAGGAGGGTCCCCTGCGGAAAAAGACTTCATGTTGGGGTCCCCTATGCTAGTGCCCTGCTTTGTCAGGAATTCCAAGGACCCCCTAAGAACGCGCATCTGCGATTCCGGGAGCCCACGCAAGGCTGCGAAGGGGGAAGGTACCGTCTCCTCCAGCACCTGAAGAGGGAACTCATGGCAAACAAAAAGTGATGCTTGATAAACCAGGTTTTTGGCCATGCGTTCCACCAGGTGCCATGAAGGTGGGATGTGTTTTGGAGACCTTCAGGAACTGTCACCCAAACTTCGCAAGGCAGTCGGCCGATGGCCAAGAAAAACCGTTTGGATTCCCTTTAAATACCAAAAGGGGCTCAGCAGTTTCAGACACCCCAAGGACATGGAGGATTTGGGATCAAAGAATGCACACGCATGTCTCTGACCAAATCGGTGGCCGTGTCCCGGGCTTTTTTCTCAGAATAGCCTCTTGGGTGCTTCGAAGAGAAACAACTTGTTGTTTTTTTCTAAATGGCGCCTCTTGAGGACCTGTTGAGGAGAAGCAAAGAAACACCTTCTCATTTCGGCGGTCACGACTTGTTGAGACCCATTCCGAGTTGCTTTAGTTTGCAGTTTTGCTTCCGCATCGGCAAAAACTCACCTGTGGAGACCGTGTCTAGAACTGATTTGATTTTGTGCCCAAAAGCAAAAAGGAGTAAAACTGTGACTAAAGCCATGGCTAGACTACGGTCGATGGTTTAGATTTCCTTCGGAATCTGGCGCACTGCGCGCCCGCATCGAGACGGATAGCAGAAACCCGCCCTCTTGGGCTCCCTCTCAAAGTACTTCATCTGGCCAACATCGACTCAGCTAACAGGCTTTGCTTGAAACAGAGTCAGCCTGAACTTTGCCATGGGTTGTGTGAGCCCAATCCAGGAAAACCTCAGTACCGCGCTAGCCAATGAGTGACAAACAAGCCTACCCAAACTCTGCGCAAAAGGCGGCCGCGCCTGCCTATGGCTTCTCCCCGACTGAGGTTCGTGCCGAATCTAAACATGTTTGAGCGTCCAGCGCTCATTTTGAAGGTCCCCTCAATAAATATATATATATATATATATTAAAAACGAAAGCAACCACAAAAAAAAACATCCCCGCCCACGGCAAAGCGAGTCAAAGCGGCCTGTTCCACCGTCTGAATCTCCATCTTCGCGGCTTTGGCCGTCGTCGCCGCCGTGGCGATCTCCTGAGCGACCCGTTGACAAAGACATCTGCGTCGGAGATGAAACGACCCAGGCACCAAGGAGAACTTCCATCCGCTTTTCCGGCCCCTAAAAAGAAATGAAAACACGGCCGGTAGTGATGGATTCCCTTTAAAACCAACAAGGGGGGAAATAAAAAAAGAAGAAGAAAAAACCTTCTTAAGCAAATGGGAGAGACTGTTGGGACGCTCTATTTGCGGAGGGGTCATGGGCTTCAATCCCACTTTCAGGATCCAAATGGATCCGCCTATGGGGCAAACAGCACTGGTTGCAGGTCGGGTGTCGGCGCTGGGCATCGGCTGGCAGCATTTGTCCACTGGTTTTCATAACGGGCGCCGCCTTCGTCACGTCCGTCCCTTTCCGCCAAGGCCACTTTTTGGTTCGGACAGGCGCCCGGTGTCACAAGACATTGTCACAAGACTTTGTTGCAAGACTTTCTGCCGGCGGAATCTCCAAGCTTCAGAAACCATAAGCCAAGGGAGAAAGAAAAAAGGCGACTCTGCGACTCATGTGCTGTGAATCCATGATCCGGCTTGCTTTTCCACCATATGCTTGTACATACCCTGACTTGTGGGAAAGTTGTCAAAAAGAGACTTGGCCGTTCCCAGAAGCGCAGTCGCGCGGCCACCCCTTTTCACTCCAAGCACAACTGTTGACTGCATGACATCACGCGACAGGCTGAGGAACTCAGCTCCAAACAGCCAAGACATGCGGCTCGCTGCTTGTGCTGCTTTTAAGCACGACTCTCCTGAAATTCAACATGGAAGCCTAAAAACACAAGGGGAGCAGTGAGGGCCTCAACTCACCAATCTCTTACCATGGCCTGGGCGCCCCGCCAGCTTCTGTCGCCTCACCTGCATCTTGTCGTCCGTCACCCCCAGCAGTTGCGCCAGAACCTAAGGTGAGTCACAATCAAAGCCCGGCGGGTGCCCATCACCGCGTAAAGAAAGTAAGAATTAGAAGGCCTATTTCTGCTTGGGCCTCACCCCCAACCTTCATCTGCCCGAAACAGTTCATCATGGCTCTGGCAGACCCGCCTGCCCAAAATAGAGAGATTTGCTAACCACGAACTTGACTGCATGTGGTTAAACGACTGAGCATAAGCAAGCTGGCTTGCGGGATCATAGCGCAATAGCCACCGGCACTTTCAAGGGGCATCACTATTTGCCGCCACACGCGTTCAGCTCCGGATCCCGGCACCCCCAAACTTCCATTTAGTTAAGACCCCCGGAAAAGAAAAGTCCAGTGATAGACTCCTTTTTAAAACCAACAAGGGAAAATAAAAATAAAAACTAAAAAAGTCTTAAGCAAATGGAAGCAAAGGTGACCGAGACCCACATCCATGATCACGGTGATGTGCGTGTCTCACGCTGGTGGTGGGCAAAACGCCCAGCGGGCAAGCTTTAATAAGAGACCAAACCAGAACAAGGGGGGACCCCAAACAAAAAGACACAGACATCACAGACCAAAGGAGAGGTCGGGCCACCTGTTCAGCCAAGCGAAAGAAAAGAACAAAAGGATACATGTTTGCTCTCAAGAACCTACCAGCAGCACACATCCCAGGTGTTACAGGGTATCCAAGAACTTCTGATCAGCAGCACGTGTCGGCGATGGCCTGGGGCCAAAAAGTCTCGGGGGTACAAGTAGCTTCTCCAAGAAAGCCACCTGGCATGGCCCGGCTCGGCGTTTTCTAGCGGGTTCAGCGTGGTACCCATTGTGATTGTAATCTTGACATTTCAGGGGTTTCACCCAAAGGCTGTTTGGCATGCCCTACGGGGGCTGAGTATGCTGTAGCGAAGCCAAACAATTGCTGCCCAAGAGCCTTTCTATCCGTCAAGTGCTGCCAAAGAGTGTTGATCTGCGTGGTTGTCAAAGGCTCCGCTATTTAGCTTCAACGTCACATACTGCCAATGATGCGTCCTGGTTTCAAGGCCTGGCACGGCCACTAGTTGACTGTCACATCTGTCGGGGTAACGAAACCCAAAATACCCCAATTCTATATACCCATTCTATATACCCGGATATACCCTTTCTATGCCCTTTAGAAAAGTCAGTATCCCAAGTTGAAAAAGAAACTCTGGTTTGGGGCTCGTCCCAGAGGGGCACCTATATGTGTTCGACACTTGACTAAGGCCCAGGCATAGGACACTGTCCTCACCCACCTCAAGTCAAGCACCAAGAAGCGGAGCTGCAAGCCACATGCTGGCCGTACTGTGGATGGACAAAGTCCTGCACCACCTAAGAAATCCTAGGAGGATGATTCCCCGTAAAAACCAACAAACAAATGGTTTCTCACGGTTCCAAAGTGATGCAGGATTCCGTCCATCCACAGTATTGTCCATGATGTGGAAAAACATAGTTCGTGATCCAAGGCCACTAAGAACTGGCCCCACACATCAAGACTGAACAGCCAACATCGCCAATCTGAAAAGAGCCTAACATCCAGAGAGGGCGGACAAAGAAATCAAAGAATGTGGAAGCATGCTCGGAAACTGTGCTCAGCACCATAGAAGACCCTTGTCAAGCAGGAGCATTACAATTGCTGAAAATGGAATCTTCTTTGAGGCGGCGCGCTTCAGAACAACAAATGCTGAGAAATCTGGGCAGCAAGATCTTAAAGAAAACACGAAACCTACCTGGAAACTGTCTGAAGCAATTCGCAAGAATGCAAAGAAGTCTCGTTGGAAAGGCCCGTATTGGCATCAGAATCATAGCCACATGATCCTTCGACATGTTGCCTGTGCAAAACGGAACAGCAATTGGCAGACCAGGAGTACTTGTTCATCAATGCTAGCATGGCTAGCTTTTGTAACAAGTCCTTGAATGCTGGCAAGCACCATTCCATCGCCCAATCCATCCAATCGAGTGCCGAAGGATTGCAAACTGTATCAAACAAATGCAGCAGTCGGCAGTTGCAGGTGAAAGTAAGTCAAAGTGCATCCGCGGATGCTGGGATCCCGGGACGAACGGCTCGTGAACCGAGTTTTTCGTGTGACGGCTGGAATCAACCCTTCAAGTGACCCTAAGCATCATTGGCCCCTCCATCGCAGTTAGGACTTCCGTTGGAAGGTTTCCGAGAAGCTGGGGAGCCGGCTCCTCGCGACGCCGACGCTTCATGATGTCCTAAGCGAGGAGTGAGGAGAGCCGCCCAGAATCTCACGCTCCTCCGCGGGCCCCAGGGCACCTTTCCACCAACTAACGTGGAAGTGCACATACCCCCTTTCCAAGAGGAAAGTAGTCTTTCTACAGGGGTCTCTGCACTTCCATGCTAGTTGGTGGGAGGGTACCCAGTGACATGTTGGATCAAACACAGCAACTGAAGGGTCACTGCCACAAAACGAAGAACACGCCGCCGGTTCGTAGGCGGTTGGGGCAGGCGCCAAGAAGACAGGCACGTGCTCCCAGTCAGGGCCGCCCAGCCTGAGCTTGACAAGCGCCGGGCAGTCTCCTATCTAGTTGGTGGGTTTCCTTTCGGGCGTCCGTGTAAAACTCATCTAAGAAGGGGTTCCCCCTTTGAGACAGACCCATGTAGTGTTGCACAGTTTTTCTCCTGGGACCTAAACTTGACCAATTTGTTGGTGTCCGTTGAAGCGATCGCCACTTTTGGGGCTCAAACCTCTTTGTCCGAGGACAGACACTGTCATGTTCCCCGTTCCATTGGGTTCAATTTAAGTGGGTCCACGGCACGAATGTGATTTCGCTCCTCCTTGGCTGTTGTAGAGTCTATAGGCACAGTTCCTGGCTTGAGACAATGCAGGGGGCAAATCTAGGATAAGTCCTTGATCATCTGGCCATTGCTGCAATTAGCATAGGAACTTCGTTGTGCCATCCATCCACATGTCAAAACAACCTTGCCTCGTTGGCCACAAGGCAAAGCGAGGGCACCCCCCCCGCCAGTGCACCGCGAGGCACCGCACAGGGGCAACGCAAAGGGGCACCTAGCTTCAATGCATTCATTGCCCAACCAGCGATTTGAGGTGTTGCGGATAATGTGGAACCCAATTCCCATGCGCTGTCTGCAAAAGCATTGCTTAGGTCGACTTCAAGAGTCGAACCACAAAGAGAGCCTTTTTTAGCCTTGCACGGCTTGTCTGCTCAAATCGCATCCACTTAAACGTGGAAGTTTTCCCCCTGGGCAAGCTCTCTAGAATTTGCCCAGTACCTCAGATCCAGAGTTCCTGACTAATGTCCACCTACGTTTAGTAATCTGTGGGGGGGGGGGGGTCTGATTATCTTTTGGAAGTTGACCAGGGTCATCCAGAGGGAGTCTCAAAGATACTTTCGGTCTGGATGAGTCCCATTTATGAGTCCCATTTACTTTGTAGTTGAGGCTCACGCTTCTTCATGCCATAAAATTGTTTGCTCCCACCCCCCTCCTCAAGAGTGTCACGTCTGAAAATTAATCGGCGAAAATGACAAGTGGTTTTTAGCAAACTTGTACTCTTCACCAATCACTCCCAGAACCCACCCGCCCCTCGAATAGTTTCATAGCCAGGGAAAGCCAGGCAACCAAAGGTTGCGATGCAAGAAGCTGTTGGGCCAAGCTCGAGAGACCACCTCTGAGCCTTCTTTGCACCTGTTGACCCTTGGGACCCAGGCAGCCCCCCAATTGATTTAGTGCTGTTGCTTGCTAGTGTTTGCATTTGTTTGCCATTTGCCATGCGTCCTCTTGTCTAGTAGCTTGCTGCCACAAATGAATCAGGGGATTCTCGAGCACTGTTAGCGGCCAGCATTTTGAGCTCATGCACAAATTAGTTTGCTTTGTCGAGCACACTCTCCTGATTTTGGCTTGAAGGGTGTTGGAAAAAACAACAACGAGACATAACTGACACAATTAATGATAAACTCGGGAGAGTCCATTAACTCACTTTGTCCGGGGTCTGACCCTGAGAAAAGCTAAGGAATCCCCCCACCACAACTACTAACCAACATCAATTAACCCTAAATAAGCAAGGGATTCTGTCCTGATCCAATCCGGCATGCACCCACTGTAAACCACACTTGTAGGGGCCATGTTGGTTCCAATATTTGGTACAATTACTGAAGCCAAGCGAGGGCTCACGATGATGTGTTGACTTGAAGCGCTTTTTGAAAAAACAACCCAAAGCAATCAGCCAAGGGTGCCCCCCGCACAGTCAGGTAGCACTAAATAAAGCTACCCCTAAATGAAGCTAAGAGTGTGTTGCCCTGAATAGTTTCTTCTGTCCTATTTCTCCCCATCTTTGTGTCGCCATCTTCTTTAGGTCCAGAAATGGATTCAATTTAAAGTAGAACTGCCCTCTTAAGGTAGCATCGAATGGTCAAAAACACTTCTGGGTCACTTCCCGGAAATGGATGGTGCTGCAAGCCAAAAAAAAATAGTACTGCCACTGTTGAAATTAGTGTTGCCACAGTTCCTGGAATTTGATCGCAATACAAACCCGGTTTACAAGAAGTATTGCCAGACACCGCAACGCCAACAAAGGTCACTGGGAATACAAACCTGGACAAATCAGTCAAAATTGTTGTTTAGGGCAAAGTGATGGGGGGCGGGGGGGGGGGGGGTATGAATCACAGGTGGACATTACCACCCAAAAAACAAGCCCTCCTAAAAGTTGTATGCAACATGTTGTGTGTGTGCTTCTTGAAGGATCCCTTTAAACCAAAATCCATTTCGGGGGTTTTGCAAGGAATCGATCAACTGGGGGCGCGGCATCGCTTCGCGGAACACCATGGAGCCTCGACACGCGCGGTTTTGAAGGAAAACGCGCCCCTCCCGCAAACCTGGAAGTGGACATGCCCCCTGTGAGGTCACTGTGAAGGAAAGCAGTCCTTCGCAAAACACTTCCATCTCACTGGCTGCGCAGCACTTCCACCTTAGTGGGCGGAAGCGACCCGAAGCAAAAGGCGCTCGCCTTAATACGGGGTCGAAGTGCCCAGGCACGCGGGCTGGTTTCGGACTCGAGAGTTACCCTTTGGCTTGGCAACGCCGTCGCCGTCGCCTCCGCACGGCCACTAGTGTTGAGCCCCTTGCCTTTAAGCAGGCAACACCCCGTGGGCAAAGCCTGAGGGCCTACATGTGTGACCTATTCCTGAGATAGCTCGCGCGTACAAAAGTTCATTGGCGAGAGCCTGGGGACTGCTGAAACCATTCCCCTCTAAAAGGGTCCCGCTGGTAGGTTCAGGTCAGAAGGGTGGAACACGTAGAACGTGAACGGATAGCCCAAACTGCCGTACGCGTATCTGCGACCAGAGCTCCGCAGGTGTTACGCACGCCGCTGAGACGATTCCATGGTTCGTATTCGAAGGTTGAAGCTTCATAGGGCTAGTCGTCGCTGGGTCTCTATCACATGGTGTCCATCGCTCACGTTCAAAGGTTTTAGGTTCATGGCGCGTGTCAAGTTGTCAAGTCGCCGCCGGGTCTCTCGCACATCGTGTCCATCGTTCACATTCGAGGGGTGGAGTTGCTTAAAGCTTGTCAAAGTATCAAATCGCCGCCGGGTCTCATGCATCGCGTCCATCGTTAATGCACTCTGGGCAAGGAGCAGCCTAGAGCTAGAATGTGGGGTGGTTTTTTGTCAACCTCGGGTTTGGACCATAGCCTTTTTAGACCTGTTGGCTGGTTTGCCGACTTCAACCACCTCCGTTTGGCGTTTCTTTGTCACATGACTCGGGTTTCGAGCGATGCCCGGCTCTTGAGGCGCCCGGCGGGAAAAGGTGAGCATGGTCTCGCCAGCCACACGCGCCTGGCGAGCTGGGCGGACCTTTTGGCGCTTTTTGCCACCCGGCGCGGTGGACGACCTGATCACAACCTGGTCCAAAGGTTGATACCCCATGCACTTCTCCCATCCTTCTGTTGGGAAGCCACGTAAAATACCATCGGTTTAGGAAAAAGCAAGGGAAACACAGTTGACCCCACCAACTTTGAACCAGGGCATTGCCCACTGCGTCATCTAAAACCCGTCAAAAGCCTCAGTCAATCAAATCATGGAATCTCGATTTCTCCCCCATCAAATCCTGCTTGGGTATCAAGTTAGTCTTCCCAGATGTAAAGAATCACATGGGCAGGCCGAAACGAGTCACGATTGGGACTGCCCTAACCTTCATCTATCCAGGATTTGAGTGCGGCTTCCATCCGGGTTCGTGTCAAAAACAGGACCACAATTCCATAGGTCGATGTCAAGAAGATGCCAACAAGAAACCAACACCAAGCTCACTTCCCGAGTGGATTGATCCAAACAAGTCCACACTTGTCTGCAACTAACATGGCCGTCCCGAAAAATGTGAAGTCCAGGACCTTGGGGAGTGAGCAGATCAATGTTCTCGCCTGTCAAGGTTGGTCTCGGGCATTCCCGGTACATGACTTCAAGCATCACCCAAACTGCGACTTGCCTAACATCGGCCCCCAAAGGTGTTGCTGGTCTTGGGGATGTCACATTCCACTTGAAAGAAAATGACAAGGCGACCCTCCAAACCACGGGCCAAAGTCCAAAACACGATTGGGGCTCTGCTGAGCTAAAAGTGTAGCGCTGCGCCAAAAACAAAAGTACTTCAAACAATGCAGAAAAGACACAAACCAAATGAAGCGGGTCATTCAGCTAGGTTGTCTTAGCTCTGAGAAACTGTCACCCAATAGAAAGGCAAACTAGGCGCCCCTTTCTCTCCATTGCCCAAGACGCCGGGTCAAAAACTTCCATTTGGTTAAGACTCCTGGAAAAAATAAAATATGTCCAGTAGTGATAGATTCCCTTTGAAACCAACAGGAGAAAAAAATAAAATAAAAACAACTTAAGCAAATGGAAGAAAAGGGGTCTCGAGGTGCATCACCGCGCCTGCTCCTCCAGCAACGCCAGCCTGCCAACGCTGCCAAGCCGAAGGCCGGCCATGTGGTTGGAAGCATTGGACAACATGTCTCCAAATGAGCCATGCTCAAAATGAATAGGGTTCGCTCAAAAAAAAAGAGAGGGAAGCTGTTCTTGAGGGTACCCTGTTCTGGCAGGTCTTAAACGGAAACCAAAAGGAGAACCACCATTTTGGGCCCCCCCCCTAAAAAAGACACACCCACATGGGTAAACGACTGAGGAAGCTTAGTGACACATGTCCCTAAAGGCGCATTGAACTGGAATGCTGGAACCTGAAATCCGCCAGGGACCTTGAGCACACCTGCGTGAGGTCCCTTGATTTCTGCAATGCCTATCCCCTAGGTTGGCCACCGCTAGAAAGTGGGGGGAGTTACTAAATGGGGTTACTTACCACACCTATTGACTGAGATGGTCATCCAGGACAAGGTTGATGAAGTACATGTGGATTCTCTTTGGAACATGCAAAATCAAGTACCCAGTACCCACTCTAGTACCAAACAATCTGGAATCTATGGGTTGTTCAGGAAAACAGTTTGCTATTTGGAGTCCAATCTAATCATTGGGCAGATTTGGTCACCCGTATTCAGATTTGTGAATGATCCTTGTTTACTCAGACTGGTCCTGGTCAGGGTGGGGCTTTCAAACCTGCTGATCCGGGCCATGGTCATGTTTTTTTCTTGCTTTCTTTCTTTCTTTCTTTCTTTCTTTCTTTTTTTATTTTCGATAGGAATCCATACAATGGCAGTTGTCTAAAATCCCCTGTGAAGAGCATGACCACCCCTACCAAGCCCCAGAAAAATCCCATAGTTCGAGCATGGCGCGCATGAAAACGGCCGCCGCATCGCACGTGGCTGAACGTGCCGGAGCCGCTCGGGCTCTCCGGGTCGCGCGGCTTCCAGCCGGTGGATGATGTCCAACACCAGGCGGAGAAACGGAAAAACCTCGGGCGGCGGATTCGGTCTGTGACTTTGAAGTACACTTTTTGGTTGGTGAAGGGAAACCAAAGAGAAATCAAAAGTCAAGTGGGTATGTTTCTTGAGGTTACCTTCTTTGGGTAAAAGGACACCCGAAGCATACCGCCTGTTTGTTCTTGGTTTCGCCGAACGGGCGGGGGGTGGTTAAGGAAAAGGATGACGACCATCTATGTGGACAGCCGCAAGAGGGTGGGGGGGGGGGTATTTTGACACATACTCAATTTGGTAATACGTTTGACATTATGAGGCGTGTTTCTTCAGAGTGACTTTGGCGAACTGTTCACTAGAAGGACTCTATTTTCGCCAATGGACTGCTTTTTCTGACACGACGGAGGTAAAAAAACAAAAGGGCCATTTAATCTGTGGGATGCGTGCGCCGTGCCAGTGATTTGCGGCGTTGGGGGCGCGCCGGAACAGGGCGCAGGAGCGTTGTTGTTGATGGTTGATTTCAAAAACAAATCTGCAAAATGAACAAAAGAACAAGGGTCCCTTCAAACTTCCCTCCCAAAGGCAGTCAAGTCAAATTGACCCAAATGGCGATGCTTCGGCCGCCAAAACGAAAGCTCTCATGACCCCTGCAGGGCCGGGCAGTTGCTTGGCCACCTCTCCAGGACAAGTTTGGCATACGTCCAAGACGAAACGTCAGTACTTGTTGGGGGCGTGTTGCATACTTGTTCCGTGAAAGGCCATACATGTATGCCCAATTTTAGTGGAGAAGCATACACGCTTCACAATTTTGGAGCAAATTGTACCGCTGTCCAAACTTGTTGAGAAAACAGCTCATTCCCCTATCAAAGGGCCGGTTTCCTGCACTCTGGCTTGGGTCTCCCACGCTTACAGGGTTCCCTATATGTCCAATCCAATAACATTACCTCTACCAAGAAAACCTTGAGCAAAAAGGTGATGTTTAAGAAGTTTAAGACACAAAGGCAACAAATACGGGCACTAGTTTTACCGAGGGACCCTTTGGACATCGTCTGGGGATTCCTGCGCACCAACCACTTCTTGAAGCGTTTTTTCTTGGAAGTCGTGTCTCGGGTCTCCGGGCGGGCACCGTTTCCGGGTTGAGCCCTTCGAGCTTCTCATCGGACTCCAACTCCTTCGGCTGCGGCGCGGGAAGTTGGGGAGTTGGGGGCAAACCAGGTGAGTCACCATCAAGACCGATCGGTGCGTACCAAAATGGTCTACCTCCATGTAAGGAAATTGAAAGTCAGCCGCACCTATTTCCGTCTGCGACCGACCCTTATCTGTGTGGGGGCAGGTTTGGGAACACCAGGTAGGCTTGGAAATTGAACTTTCGGGGGTGGGGAAGGCCAGAAACAAGAGAAAGAAGAGGAACTCTTGCTCTTGTTAGCTTGACCATTGGTAAAAAAACAAACATCTATGTTTCACCAAACCCATCAAAAGGCCACCCACCTGCCCCACGACTGCGGACCATGTCGCTCGTTTCCTTGGCCAGCACCGAGTAGCACCAGTTGCAGGCCTGCACCACGGCCTCAGCGGGTACTCGGTTTGTGGTCGGCTATAAATCGGAATCCGGGGAAAGCCGATGGAGATGTTTTTCTCATTTTTTTGGTGGGTGGGGGTCCGACACATGTGGCAAACCTAGACCTTGTTCGTTCCTTCTCTTTTTCGCTATTTTTTACCCTCCTGAACCTTTCTTCTTGAGTTCTTGGAGTTCCTAGTTCAACCGTCCTTCCTTGCTTTCTGGGTAAAATCTAATGGGCCCTCGTGAATGGACGCTGAATTTATCCCACTTGCATGCACGTTACATTCCCCTAATATAGGCAATACTGTGAGTCTCAGCTTTGCCCATCATGCCTGTATAAGGGGTATGTAAGGGGTATGCAAGTGGGACAAATTAAGGGTCCATTCACAAGGGCCCACTAGATGTTGCCTCGATGCTTTGAACTATTTGCCGAAATGGCCTTTCCAGTGGAAAGGAAAGGAAGGATCCCCATACATAGCAAGTTCAACCGTCCTTCTTTTCATGCACCGGACGATTCCAGGTGTTTGGCCGGTTATCTGGGACAAAGGCCTGGAAGAATCAACCTTTGCTGAGCCTTCTGTGGCTTGGGAGGCTCTGGCCAGGCTCAGACCTTGAGAGGGTGTCCCGCAAAAAGACGAAGACCCATCTCCAGCGATGGCTGCAAAACAACGAAATGGCTGACCAGCAAACCCAGCAAAGAAACGAGTGTGTCCACGTTTTGAGAAACCCCTCTTTCGGCTTGGGAAAGCCAAAGTAACACCATCTTGAGGTTCCACCTCCTCCTCCCCATTTTGAGACAAACTCAAGTAGGCGCATGGGGCAAAATCCAAATCGCCCCCCCCCAGTGAACATCCCAATCCAACCACTAAAATAGGTTCTAAAATGGCGAATTCACCTACCAACCAAAATGGGATCCCATTGGTTTCCAGCCACCGCCAAATAGGCCCATGGCTGGACGGGATCTCAGGACCCCGACCAGCGGCACGCCGCGAATGGCCGTGGCGTTGTGCTCCGGTGAGGGCAGCAGCATCTTCATGATGTCCTGGCAAGCACCGAGCACCGAGTCACGAACGCGCCGGTTCCGCCGAAACCCGACACGGAAGGGGGGGGGGTCGAAGTCCATTTGCTGGGGCCGAAAGAATTAGAATCAACTTTCCTCATTGCCGGTTGTTTGTGATATAGCCCTTGTAGTGTCTCAGCATCGTCAACATTCAGCCCTCCGCACCTGCCCACCCTCATGAAACCCTCGCACAACCAGGACCCACCCAAACCCAGGACCTGGGGCCCCAGTCTCGCAAGCTGGGACATCCAAAAATGCTTGGCTTCCCATCATCAATGAGAGCAGAACTTGGGGAGACAACTTGCTCAGGCCATAGTCCTTGGCCGTTAAATCAAACTACCCGTAGCATCAAGCTGACTTTATTCGGAACCAGTGGGTTTATCAGGTTTGGCACGAGGATCCCCAATAATCAGTACATGGGTCTGTCGTTGTTTGAGGGTACCTTTTCGGGTTGGCTTCAAGGGAAACCAAAAGGAAAAAGGGGGGAAAACCCCAATTTTGGGGGGGCCAAAAAACGACACCCCCCACACCGCATTCCCAGGTTGATAACGGCCAAGCTCTTTGCCAAAAGCAGACTTTTAAGGAAACCAAAAGGAAGCCAACCGTGCCAAATATGGGTGACCCTAAATGGGTTGTGGCGAATGGACTGTCCTTTAGAGCGCGTTTGGGCTCTCACCAATGACACGGATCCCCTCATGTCTTTTTCCACAGGGCCGCTCCTCGAAGTGGCTGTTCACCAGCAGCTCGTTGATGGAGTGCCGCGAGATGCTGCGGAACACGAACACCGGCAGCGCTTTCAACACGAACTCCTCGAGAAGAATTCCCAGAGCCTTTCGAGGTGAACCAAATACACATTGGAGGGTCTCCATACCCTTTGGGTTTCCTTCAGAGACATCCGCAAGGTGGCCTATGGCAGGCTTGCCAACATGATACCTCAGCTTCTCCTAAGAATGGAACCTTCATACAAGTGGCGCGCCAAACCTTTCTTCGGCTGAGGAAGCACGGCCACAACCTAGGGCGGGGAACATGAAAATATATGAATATTAAGCATAATGAAATCTTGGCGGTCACTCCTCCCCAGAAGAAGGTGGCCGTCCTTCAATAACTGCCAAGGAAACCAAACTAATTTCACGCGTTCCCACATGAGCAGCGCCAAAAAAATGTAGATTTTTGGGTCTATTCATATGTGGTACAAGCTTTCTTGGAATCCCAACCACCGAGCGACAGGCCAACGCGCCAACGCGCCACCGCTCCCAGCAAGCGTGTCGCAGGCCGTCCTCCTTACCTTCGCCCTTGCTGGATGCGCGGTCGAAGCCACAAAAGATGCGGCCTGCATGTGCCACATCCCCGCCGCAGGTGCGCAACCAACGGCCCCGTAGGTGTTGAGGGAGGAAGGGAATGGGGGCTAGGTGCTCCAGTAGAGAGGTTGGACTAAGCCCGGTACCATTTTTTTTTGTAGTCTATTGTAGGGGAGCCCTCCCCCAAGAAAGGGTAAAAGGGCACGATACTGGGGGACCTAGGAGAGATGTTAGGGGTGAAAAGCCTGGCAAGTTTCAAGGAAATCCAACCAAGAACCAGAGGCTTCAATCAAGTGCTTTTGGACTGTTTCTCCATCCGCGGGAAAGAAACGCAACGCCGTGTTGCCTGCAACACAAAGCAAAGCTGATGTTGCCACAAGGAGTCGCAACTAAATCACTAAAAACAATGGCTCGCAAACGACATGCAACAGCTTCATAAGCCCAAGCCCCGCAAACTACGTAAGGAGTGTGCGGCATGCTGACGGCCTCGTGGGTTCGCTCGGCCGCGCCTTGGGAGATCTTGGCGAAGCCGGGCTTAAAGGCGACCTTCACCACTTCCCCTGCGGATAAAATTCTCGAGCTTGAAAGGGGACCCTATGCCTTCTCAGGTCCTGTCAGCCCCTGTCAAAGGTTAGTTATTAACCATGGGACATATGATGCAAGATCCTTCCAACTCCCTCACCTCAGAAAGAGCAGTGGGTTAAAAATAGGGTAAGCCCAAAATGGAACCCTGGTAAATGGAAACAAAGACTCTTGCCAGCGGTCCTCTGGTGCTTTAAATTTGACCCATACCCAAATGCGGAACTGAAACCTCTCCAACAACTCGGGCAGGGCCGCCTGGAAAAGGGACAGCGCCGGAAACCAGTGGTATTGATTCTGTGCCTTTGGGGTGTGATCATCTTTTGGAGGCTCGGAGCAAGCCTGCCCTACCATGGAAGATGCCCGAGGAAGAAAAAAAAACTGAAACATACACACGCAGACACAAAGGGTCCTAAAGGCCTAAAGCCCGCCCAGCAAAGAGCTGGATTCTGACCATTCCCAATCAACCCGTGCAAAAAAAAAAAAAGCAGAATCAAGTGCGTGGGCTGCAGCAAAACAAGCGAGGACAACACATAAAGTGGTGACAAGTTCGGCACCCTTGCACATTCTCGAGTATCTTAACCCTTGGTCACACGGTCATGGCCAAGTCATGGTTTTCAAGCTATGACAGTGGCAAAGGGCACTCTACAACACCCTTGTGACCAACCCACAAAACGAACGGTTGAACCTACGACAACTTCGGTTGTGCTTCCTGGGTGTTTAAACTTTGAACCCCTGAATTGTCTGCTTCACCGATAGGCATGAAGGCCTTTTTGGGAACTGACCGCCAAAACCCGAAAGTACCATTCCCCACACCAAACCGGGGTACCTCAATCGGTGATCTGATTAAGTCCTTTTCTTGGGACCAGCGCCAAGAACGACTGCACGACTAATCAAAGGAAGCCAAAAGGAAAAGCCAACCATCTTACATAGGTGTGTCCTGTTTCGATGCCCTTTGTGGGGTTGTTTTACAAGCAAACCAAAAGGAAAACCCACCCTTGCTTGCCACGCCTGCGTTCCGGGTGCTCAGCAGCACTCGCGCAGCGTCGTCCAACCTAGGCTCGGGCCTGAAACCGGGACCCTAGTGTTTTGCTCCCTACCGATGACCCGAAGGGTAGCAAAAGGCGTCCATTTCTTTTTTGAGGTTTGCCGAACCAACGAGGAGTGCCACTCAACCAGGGCAGCCTTCCAGAGTGAAATGATAAGACAAGTGCAAAAATGATGTGATTGAAGACATGAAAAAGGCTACAGCTGGACAATGAAAGGACATGGACTGGATTAATATCTGGACACTCCTTACACTCTTTTGTCTACTGGTGATGAATAACTCTATTCTAAGCTCTAAGTCTCTTTATCTTGGTCACTGGTCATTCCTACCTTTAAGAGCTGTAAAATTTTCTCTGCAAAAAGTCCCCTCCAAAACTGGATACCCCTATCAACCACAGGTTTGTGAATCCTGGGTCCCGCTACACACAAGTGATCATTATGTGTGGCCACACCAAAGTCGGTCATTGTGTAGTTGACATCTGCCTTCGCTGTCCATATACCACTACATTGCAGGTCACACACACTATATGTCAATACGTCTGAGAGCCAGCGCGCGACAGGAGTCTGATCTACGTCATAGCAGTTGAACAAAAACTCCCTCATAGCATCGACCAAAGCTTTCTGAGTGCGAGGTTGCCAACTACTATGGTGGCATTGTTGTTTTTGGATTTAGACAAGATGGACACGTCAGTACACTTTCGGACAGAAAAATATTGAGCATACATTGGATGAATGGAATTCCTTCACGACCAATTTTCAATCGATTAATGATGTTAATGCAATAGACGTGTGGGGGAGTTGTTGTTTTTCTTTTTTCGGGGAGCCCCCAAAAAGGTGGCGTGCATTTTGGTGTCCATCAACCAAAAAAATGCCCAAAAAAAACAGCCACCCGTCTGTCAATTATCAGACCTCAGGCAGGGCGTCAGGTTTGTACGTCAACGCAGACCGTCGAGCGAGTCTCAGTGGAGCAAAGGATGCATCAGTTCATCAACGCTGAGAATCCAGAAATGGCGAGTTATCAAATCAGGGGGTTGCCAAAAATGGTTGGTTTCCTCTTGGCCCCTTCAAGCCAAACTGGAAAGGGCGCCGGCTCAAAAAAATCATCACTTGGGAGGGTCCCCGCGTTTCGAGCCCCTAAAAGTGGAAGATGGAAGTTTCGACTCGGTAACTGGGACTGGCGGCTTTTAAAACTCGTCGCAACCAGCTGGACCCCAGTTGGATCCCTCCAAACGCCAACGGCTTCATGTCGGCTTATGTTGCAAGCCCACGGCAGATCCCACATGCAAAAACTCAAAGGGCACCAGCCCGAAACATTTTGTGGGCGGCCAACAGGTTCCGATTGAATGGGGAAACCGAGCCCGGCGCACAGCGCAGTTCATCTCAACACGTGCAGCCCCCCCTCAACCATCCGTGGAGGGTAAAGGGTCTCAAGAAGGCTTCAGAGTCATGATTTCTGATTTAGTGCTGGCGTCTATGGGAAATCTGTGATTCAGGGCACCTCGGCATTCTTTGAAAGCCACAAGAGTGTCGCGCCGAGGTCAACAGAGCAAATCACAGAACGCTCAAGCTTCAGACCTCCCCCTTCTGGACTTAACCCTCTGTTTCTAACCCTCCACCTTGCCCTTTAACCCCCTATGGCCGAAGCCTGCGGCAACTGCAATGAGCTAGGGTGGGTTTAGGGTTGGTTAGGTTTAATGTGGGTTTAGGGTGGGTAAAAGTTAGATTTGTGGTGGGGTTCGGGTAGCTTAAGGTGGCTTAAGGTTGGTTTCCCGGCGAGCTGAACGTTGGCGTAGGATGCGTGACAGTGGGTTTCGGGTTGGTTTAGAATGGGAAGGGTTGGCCAGGCTTTTGTTCAGGCTGGGCTTGGGGTTGGCTTAGGTTGGGTTCAGGGTGGGCTGTTTTTGGTCTGTAGTTTTTCGGGTTGGTACAGGGTGTGGGGAGGTTTGTGGTTGGCTTGACTTAGCGTGGCTTGGGGTTGGTGAAGCGGGCTCAGGGCGGGTGCGCTTAGGGTTGGCTTAGGGTGAGTCTAGCGGCGGCTTGGTCCAGGCCTGGCTTGGTTTAGAATTGGTCTATGCTGGGCCCAGTTTCTGCGCATTGGCGCCAATCCCTGCGCACATACACGCCACTGATAAGGCTGCAAACATCGAAGAGAAGGTGAAGAAGCAATCCTGCGATCGATCCAAGGCACTAATGCGCGGGCAGTCCTGACACGGTCTGCAGGACGAAATTCATACGCCGGAAGCTTGGCGAGCCTATGCCTCATGTAGGTGACTTCGCTCTTTGGAGTGTCTGCGGGCAAAGTGGCAGTCTTGTTTGCCAGAGCCGCGATCTTGGCCAGGTCTGCCTGATAGGAGGCGACCAACTGCGGGGCAGGCAGACTTCCCAAGAACATGGACAAATTTCACTTTGTGCTTGGATTTTGTCGTTTTCACCTTTGTCGCGCGCCTCTCCAGGTACTTCGGGAGAAGCACTTGCGTGAGGACTGGCAGGCTGCGGGTCGAAAGCTGGGCCATTGGGTCCCCTCGCACTCGGGTGTGTGGGGAGCCAACGGCGGCATGCAGTGGTACAGCTTCAGGCAAAACTCCATGAGGTTTGCCCACATTATATTCCCTTTGTTGGGCGTTTTGGTGTCAGCTTATTAGCCAGCCGCGCCAAGGCGAGCTTTGGGCAGCTGCCTCAAAGTAAAGTAATCCTTCACGCCTTGCGGGATGTCATCTTCCTTGAACTTCAAAGCGCTGGGGCCAGGACGGCGCTCTGAGCGGTTGCTTTGGCGCACTTTGGCCCGCAGGATCAGCCCAACCAGTCGGCACAACTGCGTCGAAGTGCCAGTCCTCAGGCCGGTTTCAACCTAGTTCACCCTGTCGCAAATCTCCAGGAAAGCGCTGGGTTTTCGTTGGAGGGCGATCACCTTGTGCAGGTAAGCTTTCCAGGACAGGTTGTTCTCCACATAGTGTTCGTAGCGCTCTTGGTCGAGCCTACAGTTCTTGCCCTTGCACTTTCCCGGCTTCGCTGAGTGCCCAGCACCGGCAATTACAGCCGTCAGGGACACCCGCCCTCACTCTCCCCATGAGACGCGACCCAGCGTCCAAGCTGGCAATCATGCTGCGGAGTTCCTGAACATCCTCCCAGCTCTCAGCGATTGCTAGCCTCAAAGGATATTCCCGTCATTTTCACTGGTTGGTCTCTTTCTGGTTTTTGGGGCACATTTGGTCTGGTAATTTGACGGAAGCAACTCGTGAGGTGGGGTGGTGGAGTAAGTCAGTGAGTCAGTGAGTCAGTGAGTCAGTGAGTCAGTGAGTCAATGAGTCAGTGATTTTTTGGAAGCGCCGTTTTGCAGTTTCGGAATCGCCTGAGTGAGAGTGAGTGAGTGAGTGAGTGAGTGAGTGAGTGAGTGAGTGAGTGAGTGAGTGAGTGAGTGAGTGAGTGAGTGAGTGAGTGAGTGAGTGAGTGAGTGGGTCAAGTTGTGAAGGGAGGTGGAGGAGGTGGACGAAGTGGAGGAAGTAGAGGAAGTGGAGGAGGTGGAGGAGGTGGAGGAGGTGGAGGTGGAGGAGGTGGAGGAGGTGGAGGAGGTGGAGGAGGTGGAGGAGGTGGAGGAGGTGAAGGAGGTGGAGGAGGAGGCACGGACGACGAGACTGAAAGTCAGAACCCCACGCAGGGATGTGGGCTGAAAGTGACAGAGTGAAAGAGGAAAAGGGTGAGTGAGTCAAAGGCCAACAGGACATTGTTGACCTGCGCAAGACAATCGGCTCGGTGGCAACTGATGGTCTTCTCCTCACATCGCCAGTTCTACAGCACATCAGGCGCTTCAATGGCAGAGGTCTCCGGCTGTCCGATTGATCGCACTGGTTCAGTTCAAAAGCAGAATCTCAGAAGAGCCGTAAGGACTGCTCCGCTACCATTACCAATGAAACCCCAGAGGTCAATAGGACTGTTTGCGACGTTTGCTATCGAACACAAACAAGGGGAAAGGCCTGTTCGCGATGTTTCCGCGCGCTTTGGCTGCCGACACGGGCTCGGTGATCCCTGGGCGAGCTTTCAATAGCTTAGGGTGGAATCAGGGTTGGCTCAGGGTGGGTTTGGGGTTGATGTAGGGTTGGGTTTGGTTAGGGTTGGTAAATGGTGGGTTTAAGGTTGGTTTAAGGTTGGTTTAGAGTGGTTGCGAGTTGGTTAGGGTTGGCTTAGGGCGGGCCTAGGCTTGGGTTAGGGTGGGTTTAGGGTGGGTTTAGGGTGGGTTTAGGCTTCTTTAGGTCGGGTTTAGGGTGGGTGTTTGGTTGGCTTAGGGTGGGTTGAACCGAGACCGAGGGTGAACAAAAACAAGGTCAGAGGTGAAACATGCAGGCTCGCGGGTGAACAAAAAACAAAGTCGGTGTGAAAAACACTGCAAAAAGAAAGGATTCCTGAGGAAGAAAAACATGGTTCCTGTAGAGGTTCTCAAGCAGGGTTTGAGTGTGAAAAGAAGTAAGAGTTTTAAATTTGGAGGGTGACAAAAAAGGGAGCCTCAACCTAAAACCACAGAACCTGGCACCTGGATAGATTAGCACCAAACAGAAACCAAAGAGTATAACTGGGAGCAACCCTGCATCCATGGGCCTTGAAGTAAACAACGGTTCCTCCCAGCGCATTCCCAAGTAGCAACAACGCGAGTTTGTCTTTGTAGGGGACCCCAACATTTGATGATTATCCCTGTGGTGCTTCTTTGATGCCAACCAAGAGATGGTTCCCAAGAAAAGGCTCACCCGTGTTTGACCCTTTATGGTTCCCCCACTCCAAGTGCCTGCCAAATTGACGAACTGTCTGGCTGGTGCTTGGAAACCTTCGATTTTCAGAAACTGAAGGCGAAATTTCATTGGCCGCCCAAATGGCGGCGGGTCATTGAATGACCGCTGCGAACCGGCCATGAGAACCAGGGTCTTCAGTGTCTTACTACACTGACCGCTTCTCAAAATAGCAGATCCCCCGCCCAAATGGTTTCCTTCAGGTTCCACCTGGTTTCCCTTGGGATTTGTTCGACCCCCCAAAAAACGTCGTTTTTTTCCCCCCTTAAGTTTTCCCTTGCATTTTTGTTTGACCCCCCGGGTTTCCTGCGGGTTCCCCAGCCCACAAACGGGTGCTTCGGTCCCATTACCTTCGGCTTCCACCTGGGCTCCCGGCTCCAGAGACATCGCCTCCTCTTGGCCTGCCGAGCTTCGCCGCTTCGGAGAACGGCTTCGGGTTAGCCGTTGAGCCGCTGAGAGGGGAGAGGGTGTTGGTCCCCTTTCTTTGGGGGGGAAGTAACACTTTCTTGGATAAAAAAAATGGGGGGGAAGAACTAAAAACACATTTTGCTCCCCCTGATTTTTAGACATATACCCTAATGTGGCAACGCAAAAGCCTTTTTTGGGGTCCCCCAATTGTCCGACAAATACCTATGACTGGAGGAACATGTTCGAGGTACCGTTTTGGGATTGGTTGAAATCAAACAAAAAGCTGTGATATTTGTAGCCAACATCTGGAGTATGCTACAAGTTGCTGTGCCAGCGGTGATCTAAAGCATAGAAGGCATGTTGGCATGATGGCCTCTTCCAATGTCAGGTTTACATCTGCGCTGCTGGCATGCAAGAACGAAGACGGTCTGCAGTTGAACCGAACTGCTACAATCGGCAATGCCAAAGTGAAAACAATCAGACGCGCACAAGACGCAAAGCGCAGAACATGTCGTCTCTGCTTGTTTGTACGTGTGCATGTCGCGTTCACAAAGTTTGCCCCCACCAGTCGTTCAAGATATGCGTGTCAAGTCCAAAGGTGTCGCCCTGCCCGCCTAGTTGATGCTCTACTCTGGATGCCTAACAAACCCTGGTTCCTGATTCTCCTGAAAATACCAACGAACGTTATGGTTTCCTTCCCATGGTTTCATTCCGTGGTGCGCACGGATCTCGTGACCATCCACATGAATAGCCATTGGACCTTCAGGGGGACCATGCAACTCAGAGCAAAACGGCAGCGGCTTTCCGCCTGTGGGCGTCAGGAGGATGTCCGTATTCATGGCCTTCTTGCTCTCCCACATGACCTGGACGTCCGGCCCCAGGCCAACCCCCAAGGAACCCGCTAGCAATCTAGTTCTTGGCGATAAAGTTACCTGCAAAGCAGCGGAATCCAGAGGAATGAAAAAATATGGGTAAGTTCTGGAAAACAACCTAAAAAGAGGTATCCTCCAAAAAAAGGAACACCCGCATCATTGCGGGGAACGGGCACTCGACCGTGTGAGCTTAGACTGTTCCTTTTGGCTTGTTCACACCTCCAGCACTTTGACATTGGCAAAACAGGGGCACAAACAAACAAACAAAAACAAAACAACACAAAACAAAACAAACAAACAAGCAAGCAAGCAAGCAACAAGCAAGCAAGCAAACAAACAAAACAAACACACAACCATCAGCTTCCCCCCAATTGGTGGTTTGCTGGCTAGGGATGGTTTCCCATCTACCCTCTGCAAAAGCTGGGCGTTCAAACCCCCAAACCACCAATCCAAGCCGCCAACTAGGGTAACTGAATCAGGGCGGGCAGGCAGAGAGGCAGACAGACAGACGGACACCCAGACAGACAATCAGACAAACACACGAACACACACAGACTAACAAACTAATACAACAGAACAAAAAAACAAAACAAAAAAGAGACCAATCAAGCAAACAGACAGACAGACAGACAGACAAACAAACAAACAAGGGAACGAGGGAACGAAGGAACAAACAAAGCAAACAAAAAGCACAGCAATCAGAAGAATCAAACACACGATCAAGCAAAACACAGCAAGCTAAACAACGCAGAAACAAAACAAAACAGAATGAAGCACTATAACATAAAACAAAACAACCAAAACAAATAGAATCGGATTTGTTTTGTTTAAATGGCCCGGGCATCTTTGTTGCTGGCCTTGACGCTGATCGCCCCCGGCATCTCGAAGGGCAAAGCCGTGTAGATCTTCGAGCCGTCGTCCGCGATGCGCTCCTTCGCAGATTATTTTTTGATTTCAACGAGACATGGACTCAGAACTGAACGAGACATGGACTCAGAACTGGTTGGGTTCCTTGGTTCTTCGGTGTCCTTCGGTGGTCCTTTTGAATCATGCTGATCAAAAGGCCCTTGTAGGAGGACCATTGGAAACCGCCGAACAGGTGATATGTCAACCACCTGGGAAAACTTCCCCATGTTCCTCGTGGGCGGCTTCCCATCAAGAACCAGGGGTTCAAACCAAGCCACCAAGCCAAACCCGAAAAAACAGGAGACCATGGCCTCCATTGCGTCGGGTGACCCTGAGAATGGTAGTTGGGGGCTCAAACTTGGGTCAGACGGTCAGAGAGACCATGGAATTGCACTTGACGCATTTTTTTCTCCACGTGGTGACTGCACGTCAAAAACCGCCCAAGCAAAGGACAACTACTTCAACTTTTGCCCCCGACCAAATGTCACTGCCTTGATACTCCCCCTCTTTCATCGTTCAAGGGAACAAACCTGAAGCAACCATTTGGTGGGGGGGTGCAATTTCTAGCCAAACCAAGATTGGGAAGACTCCAATTGCAAGCAGGATCAAGGAAATACTTTTGATCAGGGCTTCTATTCTTTTCTCTTTGGCCCAGGGTGACATCTAAGGCATGCGTGTGAATCTCAACGTTGAACCTCTTGCGAATATCATTTTCATGGGGATGTGTGAACCATTCTTGAGGAGTTTTTATATCCCAAGTCAGAGCCATGTAAAGCAGCGCTAGGGTTTGTTTTGCTCAGCTCAAATACGGATTTCCAGCAGTAGCAGAGGATGTTCACGGCCGACTGTGGTTCTTGACCGCTAAAAGGTGCCAATGGTCAGTCTGCTAGAGATGGGTGTGCCTTACAAAAGCAAAGCTCCAAATTAAGAGGGTTCGCTAGTGCTTCCCTATAGCAACCAAGCAAGAAAAGAGGGCATGTATGAGTCTCATGTGCCCTGTGGTCAAAGGACGAGAGCGCCCGCACGTCACAGCGAAGCAGCAAAAAAACAGCTTCCCACGGTGCCGGTCATTGAACAGGTGCCGATCGGTGCTGATTCAAAGCCCAGGGAATCGAAAGATTGACATTTACGGCAGGGCCGAAAGCATTAGACGATGACAATTCATCACATAAGCTTGAAAGCTGGGATGTGACAAGGTCTGGAACAGTTTTCCTGTGCCATCAGCAGCAACCCCTGGAACCCTGATGGAGCCAACAAGACCGAGACGACAATTGGATCTCAGAAGATGAGAAAGCATTAAACATATTCCTGATGCGGTAGCTTTGAATCGGGGAGTGCATGTTACCATGCGCGCACACATCACCATGGTTGCTTGCTCAAAGGACGTCTCGGCCATTTCTACCCAAGGCTTCTTCTGGCGGAGGGCAACCGGACCCTACGGATCTCTATAGTCATGTGCTTTGAACATCACGTGCTCCGAAATCCCTGGCACAAGGGCGCAAACATGACTTCTAAACGAGGAAACCCAAAGGAAACCCAAGGAAACCCAAGGAAACCCAACACTGTGTTGAAGGTTTTGTCAATGTGTTGAAGGCTCGGAGCAACACTGCACCTCTGACCGTTGACCGCCATCCCAATGATATCATCGCACACCAGACCCATATCCAGGTGGCATCCCATTTGTTTGCGGCCAGGGAGTCTCACTATCCCGAAACTAATCAACCTTGTAGGCAATTGTGTTTCTCCCAATAGTGAAGAATCTCCAAACTACTTGCCTTGTATTAGAATTCTGTGGCAGCTCATGTCCAGGCAGGGCCACTGGTAGCCGCTAGTTTCGGCCAAAGAAATGAAACAGAATGCTGCCAAGCAAGCAACTCGGCAGCCATCCAGCTCACCAGCCATCCAAACCAGCCAGCCAACCAACTGGCAAATACCCACAAAGCCATGAAGCAACCAAACAGATCGCACCGCCCTTCGCCCCTTCGCCCTCTAAGGGCAGGGCCAAGGAGCAATCTTGCGGGTAACGCTTCAGGAGCTCCGTCACCTGAGCATCAAACTGAATCGTCGCGCGGCGTTACCGTCAAAAGCTCAGCCCAAGGGGCGCCTGGGATAAAGCAACCAGGTGCTCATTGCAAGGATGACTTGTAGCTTGAAGAACATTGGATTCCCCACAAGGGAAAACCGCTTTGTTGATCAGATCAAGCAAGAGGGATTGCTCAATGAAGAAAGGGACGCCATTCCCGCCCATGAGAGCAAAAGCATACGCAAATGCTTCGCAGGTGATCAGGGTGCAGCGGGCTCAGTCACATTCAGGGCGTCCTCGTAGGTATCCGTTTGAAAACATCGACCGGTTGACCTAAAAGGATAACACAATGGGCGGCCTTTGCCCCGTGCTTGATGCATGCGGGTGGAGTGGTCTTCTTTCACGTACCTCTGGATTGGCTTCCATGGCTCCTACCCACAAACCCTCCATGTTTAGAGGAAGCTCCGTTTGCAAAACCCAATCATTGGGTTCCATCTACTTTTTACTCTCTGGGTAAGCAAAACCCTCACTCCTAACCCCTAAACCATCCACACCACCCTGGTTCAGAAGGTAAAGCGCTTATTCGGCCAAACACAACAGAAAACAGCAAGAAATAAACCCATTCAACGTTGAATCCCCATTCCTAAACTTGCAATCACTCCACGAAAAAAAAAAAAAAAGGAAAAAAAAAAAAAACGACGATCCCCATAGGTTCAGTTGAATAATAATATGCATAAGCATGAAATTATGTAATAACTTACAAAAACAACACTGAAAATAATGATGATAATTACATATGTATACATACATAGTCTGCTCAAAGAAGCTAAACATGAAAAGCACCAACTAGAAGTTGAGCATGCATACATCAAAAACCAAAGCCGAGCATTAACAAAAAACACAAACAAAAGTCGAACTTTGGAAGCTTGATCTCGGACAAATCTGCCCTGCCGACACCTCGGCCCGCCGAGTCCGCTGCCAAGCCGGTCGACAAGTACGTGAGCACCGTGCCTGCGTGACTGGTGAGACCAAACAACGGGGAACTGGTCCTCAAATTCTTGCCGTTTCAGCGGCAAGCTGCTTCAGGCTGGTTTAACGGGAAACCAAAAGGGAATCCAGCATTTTGGGGAGTTTCAGGGACCTCGATTCTCGTTCACGTTGCTTTCTGCCAAAATGGCGAGATCGCTTCATTCCCGGCAAGGTGAAAGGGAACCCTTTTTGACACCGGGAACCCAAATCTCGCTGGTTCTTTTCCCCAAAAGAGCCCTCCTGAGGCTGAATTTGGGGCTAATGCAGGCCCATCTGGCGAGAGGATTGCCAAGGCTTGCGGTGTCTCACTCAGGTGAATGGCAAATTCAACCCACGCAACAGTGCATTCCCTCAAGTTAACAAGTATGGAGTAAAAAGAACCTGCTATCTGGTTATGATGCAGCCCAAATCAAACTTGATCCTGGATCCGGGGTGTGTGGGTTTGGACTCCTCAACGACATGCCACCTTGGGTATGCCGGCAGAAATCTGATCCAAGGAGCACAAACAAACCCGAGTGGAATAATCGCCCTAGCGACAGTGTCGCATCATTGCCATGAATACCTCAGACAGAAGATAGTCAACATGAAAACTCATGCGTGAACCTTTTGTTTTGCACCAAATCCAGGTCTCAACTGGCTCAAAAAGACATGGACGCCATACCAAGTTGCAGCTTTGCACTTCATCCATTCTCATGTAAAGGGGCCAGCCCTCATTCTGCAAAATGCATTGAGACAGTAAGCTGTATCACACTCCGTACGCATTGTGGCCACTCCCAAGTTTCCACATAAGTCCCACCCCCAACTTCCGCATAACATTCCCAACCCCCCCCCCCCCCCCACCGCAACTTCACCAAGAAGTTCACCAAATCGGGCGCCCGCGCGCGCGGCAAAGGTCGCCACCGCGTCCGCTGCCTGGGGCTGCCCTTTGGTCCGCAGGATCTTCGAGGAACTCGGCGCGGGCGCTGCCCGAGGCAGCGGCAAAGGCGCAGCAAAGGCGCGCCCGTGGAAAGCGAGCCCCGGGATGAAACCCAGGGACATTGGGAAAACACTAAAATCCCTTGGAGTGTTTGACCATCTTGGAACAACAAGAGTCTAACTTACACGTTAGGCTGGGGGCGCGGGGTACTGCGAGGCCAACGTTTGCCATGACTGCAGGAATAAACTTGAGTAATCCCCGTTCTCTTCTCCCGTCGTTGAACCACGAGCATCCCTGCGAAAGGTGTAACCTTTGTGAATCGACATAATTCCCTACAAGCAGAGGCACGGACTTTTGAACCATGCTGGGTTGTTCCCCAGTCTAATCTCAAGGTACAAAACCCTCAGGAAGCTCTGGTGAGCAATCAAAACATGTGACTCAATGCCTCCCAAAACCCATGGAGAATCAAACTGACCTCGCCTATTTGTTAAACCCGTCCCCTGCGAACCTCAAGCTGCCCAGGTTTTGACTTGCCGCCGCTTTGGAGCGGGCAGAGTGGCAAAGAAATTAAGGATTCGCGGTGCACGACCAGAGTGTGAACTTCCCTTCTCGCATCAACCTGAAAAAGTCACACCCCAGTTGTCCAAGTGCTGCAACCGCTCACGAGATTGTCGCTGACAATGCATCTCATGAACCCAAACCCCAGCCCAGCATAGGAACGTTCCACGGGTTTCAACCCCATGAAGTGCTTAGTGCGAGATCCACCTTGATCCACCACATGCGGCTCAAAGAAAAGCGCCGCTCTCGCGGCCCATCGACCAATGAAGAACCATGCGCCGAAGAGGGGCCTGCGAGTTGCGCCTTGCGGCAGCGGAGCCGTCAAAAAAAAAAGAAAAAGACAGTGGCTTGCAGGACCGCAAGCCGAGCGCCCCGGCCCAGTCTGTGAAGGGTACCCAACCTCCGAGGTACCCTTTTCGGTTCCGGGGTGGCGACAGGCGCAGAACCGATGGGTCTCGCTCCAAGCAACCGAGGCCCTTGCTCCAGCAGACGCCTCAGCGAGTCCGTCAGCAGACTGTTCTGCTCTGTGGTCGGCAGGTGCCGCAGCCTCACCGAAACTCGACGTAGATACCGCCCTGAACCAGCCCACTGGATCCGAGACAAACATGTTCATGCTGGGTTACCCACTAAGGTACATGATGGTAAATGGATGTGGGCAAGTAGAAGAAAACAAAAGATCGATTTGACAATGCCCCCTTCTCGGAGTCCATGTTGATTTCATTTAGCACCAAAGAACCTTCTGTAAATCTCTCAAGTTGATCGACCCTATGATGATGAAATAGGTCGCTTGAGAACCACAGCTCGCCTGCCGAACGCAGACGCATTTTCTGACTCCGGCACGCCCGTAGACATGCGTCCTGGCTCATTCGGTCCTAGCACGACCACACTATGCATGACTCTGAGGGATCTCTCTTTTGGCATCATGTTGAACAAACAAATACGTCAATTACACTGTTGCCGGACGCCAATAGGTTCTTACACCTGGCATGAAAGCAGAAGGGGCAAACAAACGCTCATGGGCGAAATCCTGGTCTCCGGCCAACAGCCACCTGGAACCTGAGCCGTACGCCATCTTCCCGATGGGGCTTTCTTCCAGCTGGCTACTGGCAGGAAAATCCCGGTGGATTCCGCCCCAATCTCCGCCTCAAAATGCCGAGAGCGACGCGCTCGAATTGCGGCGCACCGCGATTCCGCGAGCACGTCACGAGTGAGATGGACGAGCAGACTCCGGCTGCCGAGGGGTTTTCCCTCGGCTCCGATGTATCGCGAGTCTCATTGGGGGCTAACAGTGTCCATTCTAAAAGTGAACGCTCGGGCTGTGACTTACACAACATATCAATTCCAATGTGATGGTTGCAGTTGTCAGGACATTTGCGATCTTCAACCGTTCCACTCATTTGACACCCTTTGCCCCACCCTCGTCCGGCCGAACGGCAACTCGGTGGGTTTGGATCGGAAAGACTCGGAGATGCAAAGAGGGGCCAGACGCCTACGCCAAACTCATGCCGACCATCAAACACTTTGCTAGTCAATGAAAAAGGAACCCCAACCAAGCAAAGGAGCAAAAACATGTCTGCAAAATGTCTGACCTGCTTGGTCAGCGGTGCTAAATGCTGCAAGCATGTTGAACGGATGTCCAGTCTCAACAGGCAAACATGCAAATGTGGGCAACTGCCAACATTTGGAGTGAAAACAACTTCAAAGCCAAGAGAGCTACACTTCTGCCCTTCATATTTCACAAAAAGGAACAGCAATCAGCTCCAATTTGTACGAAGGGCAGCGCAATCATTTCCAACCCAAGCCCTACCTATCTGCCGCTAACTGGGAGGAACCGTCCAGCTCGACTGGCCAGTCGCCCGGTTGTAGTAATACGTCCTCGGAAGCGACGGAGTGGGTCCGAAGGTGGCTCTTGCCGGTCCCGTCTTGATTTGGGTGCCCTGTGAGGATGATACTCCCTGTGTTCCGAGTTGTGATCCAGCACAGTTTCTTTATCATACATAGAAAGAGTAAGGCCGATATTTCAGCAATTGATATGACTTAAACAGACCAAAATACATTTGATACACATATCCGACATTGCTTGACTTTTGCAAACAAGAAGCCAGAAGTCGACTGAACAACCAAACGGTGCGTCAACAGCTGAGCTCCCCACTTTCCGGTTCCTGGGTCTGCCCCTTGCTCCCAGCCGGCTGGCAGCGCCGCCGTCGGCTGCGCTGCAGGCTGCGGTGCGGGCTGCGCTGCAAGCTGCACTGCCGGCTGCGCTGCCGGCTGCGGTGCGGGCTGCGCTGCAAGCTGCACTGCCGGCTGCGCTGCCGGCTGTGCCTAGCTTTTTTGAGGCTGTGCTAAACGGAAACCAAAAGGAAACTACTGTCTCAGGGTTCCATTGTTTTGAGACAAAACCGAACGAAAATCTTTGGGGACCTGGGGATGCATTTCCACCGCTTGGAGCCATCAGTCCCAGATGCTATGGGGAAGCCCTGGTTTTGCCATGGCTCGCGACACGTGACCTCCGATTTCTGAAAGCACCAGAAGCGTACGATGATTCCCATTCGTTGTGCTCGAAACCACAACCCATGCAAGAACAAAAGTAAGTTCTTAAGAATATGAAACACCAATCCCCACGCTCAAAGACACGCTCATGCACTCATGCGCCGTGTTACTAGCACTCAAATAGGGAATAGACTTCGGAGTCACTCTCATTGTTCGCATATGGTTGCGAAAAAAAATGAAAGCGACCTTGCGAAAAATGGGTGTGCTTCCGGCTACCTCAAGCCTTTGACTTGACCCTGGGGAACATCGGGATGGTGAATGCCCAACAGACTGCAAGTAAACCAATTATACAATTGCTCAAACGGTGGTAGTTAATCTCTAGGGCATCCACCGAACCTCCCCTAACCCAGTGTTGCCTGGGACAAGTTCAATAAGATAAGTGGCCCCGAAACAGCCATCGAAGTGTGGACCTTGGCTTGCAGGGCCTCTGATTGGAGCGGAACACAGCCGAGCCACGTGGGAACGCTGGCGTAAAATGTGCGATCGATATTGGTGCCAAGCATCGCATGGAGAAAGCACACGACATGGGTTTGTCATTTTCTTGGTGGTGCTTTCGTGTTCGGTTTCAAGTGAAACCAAAGGGGAACCCCATTTGCCGGTGTCCCAGATTTGGAGAAAGGGAAAGGTGTGCGATGGCCATCATCCCCGTGTTGCCGGGAACCAACAAATCCACATATCCAAATGACATGATTTTCGTGTAGTGCATTTGGACCAAGCGAAGTAAGGCAATGTCGTCCGTGGGTTGTAAGCCGGCTCTCTGTCTCTTGGCTGTTGTGGTGGGTACCTGCAGAGGTTCAGAATCAATCTGCAATCACTTCAGTCAAAGCATGCTTTCTTCGCGGAAAACTCGCATTGTGGTCTATCTTGCCAATTTGAGGTGGTGCTTGGCGCCTTGATGAATAACAAGCACAATCCATCCAACGAAAAAGTTGATCTCTTTACAGGAGTTGTTGCAGTCAGAGTCGTTACGGCCCATGAGCCATGATTTCTGTTTGGCTCCAGAGCTGCAACAAAGGCCAAAGCGAGCTGGAAACAAGCGACTTCACCTTGACCACACTTAGACCCCCTGCAAAAAGTTGAGCTTGTTGCTCCCCGCATATCTGTGGGTGGTAACGCGGTCGGTGGTTCGACCACGAGACGCGAACGAGCGTGCAGATTAAACTATTGTTGCTGGTTGAAAGGAACACTGAAGGACACCCAAAAAGGCAAAAAACAAACAGGTGCAGCTAAGTCTGGCAATGTCACCTGGCCTCAGCCGCAGGTGCTGCTGCGGGTGACGCAGTTGCAGCTGCGGGGGCTGCCGCCGGTGCTGTTGCTGCCGGTGCCGCCGCCGGTGCTGCTGCAGCCGCCACCGGCGCTTCTGCTGCCGGTGCTGCCGCAGGTGTTGCCGCCGGTGCTTCTGCCGCAGGTGCTGCTGCAGTGGCCGGTGTTGTGGCAGGTGCTTCTGCCGCCGGCGTTGCCGCCGGCGTTGCCGCCGGAGCTTCCGCTGCCGGGGTTGTCGCCGGCGCCATTGCCGCCGGCGTGTCAGCCGCTGGCGCTGCTGCTGTCGGATTTGCGGCCGCTGGCTCAGGTTCCGTTGGCGCTGGCAAAGCCAGATGCGGTGTTTCCGGCGTGCTGCCTGTTATGCTTCCAGGCACGCAACCGGGCATGCCGCCCGGCATCGCACCTTGCATCGTCCCTGGCATGCCGCCTTGCATAGGCATGCCTCCTTGCATAGGCATCGAGCCTTGCATAGGCATGGAGCCTTGCATGGGCATTCCACCTTGCATAGGCATTGAGCCTTGCATCTGCATTCCACCTTGCATTTGCATACCACCTTGCATCTGCATTCCACCTTGCATCGGCATTCCGCCCTGCATTGGCATTCCGCCCTGCATAGGCATCCCGCCTTGCATTGGCATTCCACCTTGCATTGGCATTCCGCCCTGCATTGGCATGCCGCCCTGCATCGGCATTCCGCCCTGCATCTGCATTCCACCCTGCATTGGCATTCCGCCCTGCATCCCGCCCATACTTCCCTGCATCCCGCCCATGCTGCCCTGCATCCCGCCCATGCTACCCGGCATTGCGCCCTGCATTTCAGGCGGTGCCATCTGCATCATGGGCATTGGCGGGGGTGTCCAGCTGGTCTCGCTCGTTGCTCTGTTTGCATAGTAGACCTGGCGCCGAGTGAAAACTCCAGAGTAGCTGAAACACGGCCACTCCGCAGAATGCTCAAGCTACACCGACTTGCTTCCCGCCCAGTTAAGAACAAGCTGGACGACTTGTGATAAGCCTACATAGTTGAAGACAACAGCACGCGCGGCGCAAAGGCATGACGCTGCAGAATCGTTTCTCTGCGCAACTCCTCTTGGCAAGCTTGTCAGCTTCTCCGTTCAAGAGCATACTTCTTTGTATGCAAAAGTTGATTTCTGCGAAATGTTCGCTGTGCCATTTCTCAGCGCAAGTTACTCTACGCTATTTCTCTGTGCCTAGCTTTTGGTGCGCAAGTTGCTCTGTGCAAGTTGTTTGTATATGCAACTTTATCTGCCCAGTTTTCTTGCGGTTATGCAAGCTCCTCTGTGCTTCTGCGCTAGTGTCTCTGCGCAAGCTCAATTTGCAATTTCTCTGCGCGAGTGGTCTCTGAGCAAGTTCTCTCTGCAAGTTTATCTGCACTAGATCTCCATGCAAGTTGTTTTTGCGCAAGTTCAGATGGGGCTGCAGCCAGGTTGCTTGCACTTTGTGCTGAACTGGGCCACTGTTTAGAAGTGACCCCATTTGAAACAGTGCTGCTCAATCAGACGCGGCTGAATGGCGTAGTTGCGCAGGGAAAGATCACAACACCCGACGATGCCCCTCTCCATGTGTGTGTGTGTTTTTTTTCTCTCTCTCTCTCTCTCTCCCTCTCTCTCCCTCTCTCCCTCTCTCTCTGTCTCTCTGCTGTCTCTCCATCTCTCGCTCTCTGGCTTGAAAGGCGAAAGGCCAATTCAAGATGCTCACTTCAGGTGGGCCAAACCCGGCACTTGCCTTTGTGCATCCTAAAATCCGATGAACTGCTGGCCGTGGGTCAAAAATAGGTACCCAAAATGGAACCCTGGTAAGTGAAAACATTAACTAAAATCGGCGGTCCCCCGTGGGTTGAATTTTGACCCACACCCTGCTGATGCGATGCAATCCGAAGTGATCCGATGCGATTCAATCCGATGCGGCCTGCTGCTTTGGGCTGCAATGTGAGTATGTGCAACATCGACTGCCCGTGGCTGACGAATACTTACGACTCATTCACAACGCGCTTATGTTAATGTTGGTCCGTTCAAGGTGCGGGTCCGACGTTCGCAAGTCCACGCTTTCGCAGTACGTGTTGCGCCAAGTCCAAGCATGCTTTGTCTCCTGGTCATTGGGACAACCCCCTCCCATTGCCTATTGATCTCCCAACCTTGCGTCCTTGCACGTGCTCCCAGAACCTTGTCATGCTCTTTCTTGTCTATGTGGCTGCGTCCTTTTTGAGGCTACCAACAGGAACACTGCCGTGTCAGCTATTTAATGACGGGACCCGTGGTCTTCCCCTCACATCATCCTACGTCATCCTGCAAACGTTCCAGCCGACCCGCTTCCTTTGCGTTTCCACACCAACGAATCCAACGGGCAAGCTGCGTGAGCTGGAGATGGTCAAAATGTCTTAGGCACAGTCACAGCTGCCATGGATCACGTTGCTAGATTCCTTCCAACTCTTGATAAACCTCAATCAGCCCAAATAAACCTAAACATGATACCCACAACACGCCGACCACTTTTTTGCGGGCCCCATTCATTAATACTGTCAAAGTCCCTAAGTGGCGTGTTGAAGGGAAATCGATCAGTTCCTGACTTGACCCCAGAGTGAGCCAAATGACCCCTGTCATGGCAACCTCCCAGATCATCCAAGTACCAGCGTTCCATTCTTGACTTGCCCAAGACAGACTTCACCCAGGAGTAGATTTCCCCAAAAGGAGAACCCCTTGGTTGAACCCTAAACCCTGGGCTACTCAGAACACATGGCTGTGGGTCACAAGTGGGTACCCAACATGACTTACCCTGATAAGTGGAAACATGGACCAAAATATGCGGTCCCCTGTTGGTTTAATACCCACACCCATACCCACACCCACATGGACCCATGACCATACCCATACCCACATGGACCCATACCCACATGGACCCATACCCACATGGACCCATACCCATACCCATACCCACATGGACCCATACCCACATGGACCCATACCCATACCCATGACCCATACCCATGACCCATACCCATGACCCATACCCATGACCCATACCCATGACCCATACCCATACCCATAATTTTGACCCACACCCACATGGACCCTGCCAGCTGTAGGGCCCTCCTTCTTCGAGCGCCTTGCCGGTGGCGGGGTCCACGGCTTGCTCCCAGCCAGGCGGCAGAGCGGGCACCGCGGGTGTCATCTGCATGCCTGCGATTCGGCATGCGAGGGTCTCAAAGGAGTTGGAAATCTCGCGAGTTCAAAGGGTCCCAGGGGTCTGATTTAGCTCTAGTCAAATTAACCTTGGGGGAGGGGGGGTAGTTGGCTAGGGGGTAGTTTGCCATCTCATGATATTCATGTGGATGGATACGAAATCCGAGACCGCACCACGAAATGAACCCATGGTTGGAACCATAGGGTGTGTTGATGTTCGCGGGGGAATCATCATTCCAGGTTGCTTAGGTGGTGCGAAATGGAGTTCGTCCAAAAGTATCGAACCTAACTGGGGGATCCAAGGTAAGTGTCCTGTAAATAGGACCCTCGGGAGTGGTCCGTGTTAGACGGGAGAGTACCCCCTAATGTTCAAAGGAATGATCAAACCACAGCAATTGGCGATGACCGAAACACAGGCCATTTGTGTGGAACCCCAAACCCTATTGTATTTGAGAGCCCCTAGCCTCGACGCACAGACACAAGGCCCCAAAACCCGAAATCGAAACAACAAGTGGGAGGCTTAGATTGTCAGCGGTTGAAACGCGAACTGGACGCCCAGAAAAGATTGTCATTTACCGACCTGCCTTGCTCTGCTCGTATTTGCTTCACTTGCAACATCCAGGAAGCCCACTGCAAAAACACATTGACCGTTGTAGGACATGGTCAGTTGGACCCTGTAGTTGACTTATCAACCCAGGTATGCAGCCAGAGATTTCCTGTTTGGACCAGCCAGCCAGCCAGCCATCCAGCCATCCATCCATTTGCCCTGATTCTGCCAGGGTCCCTTCGCCGTGGTTGCCACATGGGCTTGTCTTAAAACAGTCGGAACCTCCGACATTGACACTGCAAAAAAACACGTGTTTCACCGTCCTCCTATTTTGACACAGAAAACAATCACTTGTTTCTCCGTCCTCCTCTTTTTTGACACAACCACGAAAATCCCAGGTTTCACCTTTTTGGGGGGCGGGTCCTCCAATGTTAAGACACATACCAAAACGGCCCAAACGACGGTTTTCCGCCCAAACGAGGCCTTGCTGGCCCTGCAGCACGTAGCCTTTGGGCGCGCGGCGTGTTTCTTTCGCGCGCTCGGTCCCAAAACCCGAGTCCGTCCTCTGCAAAGGCGAGACAAAGTCGCAACCATAGGCGTCCTTTTAGGGGAAATAGATGGCCCTGGTAGATGATTAAACCACCAAATAAACCAAAACCATCTATTTTTCGAGCAAATCAAACAAAAGGACACCTATCTATGGTCGCAACCTCTTGGGCTGATGGTGCCTGCACCCCCCCCCCCACCCCCAGTTTGAGACCAAACCAAACCCCTCGCTCGAACCGACCAAGGCTTCATTTCTTAGAGTTCATGTGTTGGGGAACCGATAAAGTGCCTGCCATCCGACAGGGTGCCAAGAACTGGTGGACGCTTGGTGTCTTGTGTTTTTGGGGGCAGGAAGCAAACACGACGCGGATTGGCTCTAAATTTCCCGATGCAAATGCGAATCTTGCCGCATGTTGGCTCTTCAGGTCTCTGACCGAGAGTACAGTGTCTGCAACACACAGAATGATACAGTCACTCTCACATTCTTGGAATCACAAGGTACGTTTCCATTAACTCGTCGTGGCGCCTCCACAAGTACAGTTATCTTGCAATACGACCGCCAAATAATCATTCAAACTTGAAAACTGAGACACCGGAGCGGAGTGAATCATAGGTGTATACTCGCTCTGACCCTCCCCAAGACCCCTTTGCCCCAAAACCTTTGGAAGACTTATGTGACGTCAAGCGCCAGTCAAGCAACCCTTGGGTAAAATAGAGAGAGGGCTTTGACGGAGCATTCCGCTTGCAGCTGAGCTGCCTTGTGGCATCGTGCCCTGCACTCCCATGGCTCCGGGCATCCCACCTGCGACGAGCGAGGCGACAGGCGAATGAGCACGGCAGCCAACGCATCAGCACCAGCACCAGCAGCTGCGAAGAAGAAGAAAGAAGACGATAAGTCAGGGATCCTTACATTATACACCTGAACATTGCAACTTGTCAACGGTGGCTTCCCCTTATTTTGGTGTTGAAAAAGCAACATGTTTCAAACGGTTGCAAAATTGAGATCTTTTAAGGAGCGCCGTAAATGAGGCTAAGAAAAGAAAGACGCAGTGAATGACCCGTTCAAGATGCCAACCTGTTCCCCTCTTTGGGGCGATGGGCGAACCACAGGAAGTGTGGCAACTGGTAAACCCTCTTGCAGTCTTTTAGTCATGGCTCCATCATGAGGAACTCTTATAGAAATGCAAAAAACAAAAAAAAACGCAACTTCAGTGCTCCATCGCCCGTATTTTCTCCTAAGCAGTTCCTGCGAAGTAGTCGAGGTGACATCCCACCCACACCGAGAATTCGGTCCCCACCTTGCACAGCGTAGTTCGCCGGCATTGTCTGGCGCGAAAGCGAAGGAACCAAAACTGGTGAGGGAAAGGTTAGAGCGGGGGTTCCAGGTGGATGACAAATTCAGACACCATGCAAAGGAAACCAAAGGACGGGCGAAGCCGCAGGGACGTCTTGCAACTCAAGTTGGTGAAAGGCCGCATGTCTGAGGGCAGTTTGCCAGAGATTCAGGTCAGGAGGCAGCCAAACTTGGAACTGGCAGGTTTCACTGCAAAGACAACTAGGATTGCTTTGGCAGTTCCTCGATGTGTGACCCAGCGTACACCCTACCAGGCCTACACATGTTGATTACCTGCTGAAGTGGCAGTCTTCAACTCAGCCGTGATGCACACCTAGCCAGGTTTGCCCCACATTCTCATCTCTTTTGTTGTCCGCTCCATTCAGGGAGAATGATATTCTGGAGGAAATCAACCAGACAGAAATATCACCCAAACCGCCCAAACCACCATGGCAAAAGTTGCGGCTCCGAGGATAGCCCTGCCTGAACTCATCAATAGGGCGAAGTGAGCTACTGGAACTCCCAACTCACGGACATCCAAGATCAACATGGATCAACCACAGGAGCTTGGCCACAGCTTCACCTACCCCCTCCACCCAACACCCGTCTTTAACGAGATATAATATATATATATATATATGTATGTATGAAAGAGTTTCCAGGGGCTGACATCGTCAGAAGAAAGCAAGTATTTGGAGTAAGGTACGTAATGGGGGGAAATGCGTATGTCTGATTTTCGGGTCCCGCGATCAAGGGAAACCCGAAAGGAAATCGAACGCCCGCGCTTTGACGCACCTGGAGCCCCGCGACGCCATAGGGGGAGTACCTCTGCCTGAAAGTGCGGGGAACCCCTGTGGATGTCTTTTGTTTTTGGAGGTCGACAGGGACACCAAAATGAAAACCGCCAGTTTGGGGGTCCCCCATTTCGAGACAAACCCATTGGGTTTAGCTCAAAGTGCGATACCACAAGAATGCAACTGGTTTGTCCTTTGGTTTCCCTTGAGAAAGAACCAAAAGGAGGTCCCCCAAAAAAGACACACAAACACACATTTTCCTTGACCAAGAACTGGGAAGATTTGGAAACGAGTCACAAGCTAAACCTTTCGCACGTGCCCCCTCTGTCACACCCCATGAACGTGATATTCGCCTAGGAAGATGGACGGAAACAAGCAGCAATGCAACAGAAACGTGAGAAGGGCCCCCGTGACAAAATGTCCAGTGAACAGCTATGGGGCAACCTCGGTCTAGTATGCAGCAACCTCAGTTCCTCTCTAGTAGTTGGACCACCGAGTGTAGACGGCCGTGGCGAATTCCGGTGGTGTACATCACACTTTTTTGCGACGCTGTCCCATGTTGAGGGCTTGGTGGGGGTGGGCGGGGAAAGCCACAGGTACATTAGCATTCGCACTGCATGTGAGCTGTGCAGCATGACATGTCTCTGTTGTGCATCCCGCGGTGGCTTTACCATACGGCAAACACGAAGAGCAACAGGCAATCAGAAAGCCATCCCGTCCCATCCGTCAACATGGAACCTGACTGGGGGTGGTGGGGGGGGGTGTTGGACTGTTCCGGACTATGTGACAAGACGGGGAGCGCGAGAGGGGGGGGGTCTCCTGGAAGACCAGTTTCCACCAAAAACATTCTGGTGGGGTCCATGCTCGCGGACGCTAGTGGAGCGGCGTGGAGGATGCCAGGGACCCTCAGGACAGTCAACGCTGTTCTGTGAATCGTCTCAACTCATTCACAACTCACCAGACTGAATAATGTTGACCCCAGATTAATAACCCCTGGTTGATTAATAGGGGGGTGTCCCCCTGTAGTGGGGACTCGTCACTGTTGGAGGGAACAGCCCCCTAATCATGGGACGGGTCTATTAATCCTGGGTCAACATTAGGTTGATGTCACACAAGCCAACACCCTTTGTGAGGCGGCAAGCTGTATGCGAATCCTGTCGCTTGAGGGTGGCGCATGTCGACATAGCCGTTGGCGGCGATAGCGCCGTAGCCTGCCGTCAATTGGCCCGGACGCGAACCGGAGTGTGGTGGTAACTTCTGAGCATCGAATGATCGAAAGCCCTGCATATTTCGGATTCATCCGGACTGTGATGCAAGGACCCTCCCTTAGATGAATACCCATGAAATCCGGTTCCCCGGAATCCATGTGGCAGTATTGATTTGTGGACACGCGGCAGGTTCCACTCTGGGAGCTCCTGAAGACTTGGCCGGGAGCTACATCCAGACTCCCGGCGGTGGATGGGAACTTGCTCAAAGGCGGGCAAGAGAAACTGATAATGTTGACCCCATACTGTGGATGGACGAAATCCATTTCGCACCACTTTGAAACGATGAGACACTATTCGCTTGTTGCTTTTTGTAGGGGAATCATCCTTCCAGGGTTTCCTAGGTGCTGCAAGATTTCGTGCATCCACGGTATTTATCAACCCCAGTTTGTTAGGGGAGTTTTCCCCTCCAAAAGTGAGGATCCCCAAAACTAAACCCAAGGACTCCCGTGTCAATAAACTGGGGTTGATTGGTATGGGGGCAACATTTATCCACTACCTGTGAAGGCACCTACCCACCCGCTCCCGGCTGGCCTCCGGCATAGCCGAGCGCGCCTTGCACGCGTCAAGTATGGCTTGATCCAATTGCAAGGCGAATGACATTGCATGCCTCATGGTTTACACTGGCCATATGAATCGTAAGTTAAGGGAATGCAAACCCAGTTCTATGGCTACAACCAGAAATAGTCAATGATCACAGTGACAGCTCCAAGCCATTGCAAGGAAACTTACCCCCAGTACCGAGGTAAACCTCAGCAATAGCATGCTTGATCTGGGCTGGCACCCAACACCCCGGCAAATGGGACATGCTTACCTTTTGGGCCTTGTGATTTTGCTCAAGAGAGAAGTGATCCTGAAAGGACCTTGCGTCAGCCAGGCTGAGAAAACCCCATGATCTGTTCATCCACACGGCCGAAAGTCAAGGGTTCGAGCTGAGCAAATCAGCAAAGGCCTGCTTGAGCCATCTTAGCTCAAAACGAACCTAAGAACAACACAGACTAGGTCTTCCAGTAGAGAGGTTAGAATAAGTTGTTCCCCGATTTTTGTCTGTAGTCTATTTTAGTAGGGGAAGCCTCCCCCAAAACATCGGGTAAAAGGGCCCTACTGCGCGACCTAGCAGAAGAAGCACAACCACGAACGAAAGCAACCACTGCAAAAGAATGGCACACACACACGAAAGCAAACACAACACAAACAAAGCAACCACACAAACACCAAAGCAACGACCACAAAAACAAAACAACCACAACAACATGAAAGCAACCTCCAAACAAATGGCAACACAACCACACAAACACGAAAGCAACCACAACAAAAGCACAACAGCCACACACGAACAAGAAAGCGACCACAACAAATACGAACACAACCACAACGAAACCAAACAATTGGCACACGAAAACAAAAGCACAACACGCAAGCACGCAAAAAGCACCACAAACAAACAAGCGAACATGCAAACAACAGAAAGACAACCACGAAAAGCACAACAAAAACAACACAACCACCACAAAGACAACGGCCAAAATAACACAGACAAAAAGCACCGCGCAACACGAGCACAACCACACATCCAAAAACATCACCCAACAACACAAAGACAACCACGCAAAGACAACCAGGGCCGGCTTCCGGGAAAAAGGCGGCCTGGCGCCTGTGGGAGTGCGGCAGCAATGACGCCCTCCAGGATGCCTTGGACGTTGGGTGGTTTTCGGGAGGTGTTCATTTGAAATTCAAGGGATCCTCGGAAACCAGATAAAGTACCTCTACTTCATTTTGCTTTTTGAAGCAAGGGATCCTCCAAATACCCACTTGATGTGAGTATGCTGTCAAACCCCTGACTGGGAAAGAGGGGCTAGTTCTTTGACGTGGAAAACCTGATATTTTTGTTCCCGATGCCATACAGAAAACGGGGTAAGACTAGGGAGGAAAGTGGCAGGGGACATTCAAGTCATGTTTGGTTTGGAACTTCACCTGGAAACATTCCAAAACATTAAAAGGGGGTCCCAAAACACACGGGAGGGTGCCCTTGGTAAGAACCATCAAATATTTTGCCCCCAGGAAAGTGGCCCCGGAGGTTGTAACCTTGCCAGAAGGTCCGTCAAGGTTCAACTAACTGCCATTTGCTTAAGCCCCCTGGAAAAACAATATGTCCAGTGGTGATAGATTCCCTTTAAAACCGACAGGGGAAGAAAAACAAATCTTAAGCAAATGGAAGCCAAACAAACTCGGAAGATTGACCCTTCCTCAGCCTCAGGGACCTTCCATTCTTGCCATTCTATGGAGACAACACCAAGCACCTGCTGGAGCAATCTAGTGTTGAACAGATTCGTTCATGGGCTGGGGTGTAAACCCAAGTTTCAGGAACAGCTTGCCCCACATCCAAAGCGAACCGGCGGGGCAAACGGACTCCGGTAGAAGGGAAAGCTTCATGAGCGTACCAGCCCCCCACAAACTCTGCCAGGGGTACACCCGAGGCTTGCAAGGATTGCCCATAAGTCAGCCAGAAGCTTGGTTTGGAAGGTACCCATTTGGGCTTTACTTTAAAACGGAAAACCAAAGGAAACCGTGTATAAACTGTCCCACATTTAATTGCAGATGGGTATTGAGTCCCTCAAGTGGGTAAGGTAAGTCCTACATTGGGCCAAAGCGCTTCCCCCTCGAAGCGGGTTTTAGCCTTGGAGCCGAGAGACAAACCTTGTAGCTTCCACCGAAGTATCAGAACAGGTCTTGCGTACCACTCGGCTGGGTTTGTAGGACCATCTACAAGTTCCTGGAGGCGTTTCTACATAGGGTTGTCAACCGCTTAGTCGCAGGCCTTTGAAGTATGTGTTTGCCTTTTGCCTTCTTGCAGCTTCACCTCAAGTGTCCCACCCAAAGCTTGTGTTTGATACCTACCCCACAATCATATACTGATTCAGAGCCATGCTGATGATGACTATTCCTGACTAATGCCCCTAATAGTCCCTTTTTGGTGGGCCATTCATGGCCATCAAGGGCCACAGGGAGGTTTCTCGAAGTGGCAGACCAACAGACCCTCAACCAGTTTTTCTTTTTGGGGGGGGGGGGGTCCGAAAACTGGTTGTTCTCCTTTTAGTTTCCCTGCAAAACCACCAAAACGCAGGTACCTGCCAAAAAAGACAATCCGGTTTCAAGGGATTTATAATAATAATAATAATAATAATGATAATAATAATGATATACAGAAGAATGATGAAAAAAAAGCTAAGGCTCCCGGCTCCAGGTCGTCGCCTTGGGCTTGTTGGTGCGAGCCTCGGGCTCGGTCAAACAATCCGAAGGCCGGTGAAGCAGCGCGGGGTTGCAACCCGTTGGGCGACGCCCCTGCGAAGTTGGTGCAGTCTACGGCGGTTCGTTGTGCTAAGAAATCTTATTCAAACAAGAAAAGAGACTCTTGACAGCGAAGAGGGATTTCTTGTTACACAACATGACCGTACTTTGCAGATTTTCATGGAACTTGAAAAGCCGTCCTTGAGAGGAATTGCCAGCACCATTCCAACTTTTCAGCTCACCGCGGGGATTTTCTCACCTGGAATCCGTGTGGCTTACTCCTCAAACGAAGATTTCTTGGAGACGGAGTGTAGTGAGGGGGCGGCTCAAGCCGTGCTTGGAACATCAGCATACCTGGCAATAACTGGGCTGATCGATCAGCACTGTATAATTGTCAGCTGGATTGCTGCCCACAGTCACCGTATCTACGAGAGGGCTCGGACTCCCCTTTGGGTCGGCTGGGAAGATTGAGACTGGGCAATGGAGCCCCTGGCAAAGGGCTCCTGATATATCCGAAAGGCTTTGAAGCTTGCATAGAACTGGTCAGCAAACCTGTGCCGCTAAAGTACACGCGGAGCTCCCCTCAACAGGGCGAGCCACTGGTACATGTACAGAAGCCATCGCAACTCACACCACCCGATGTGCTGTACAACAACATGTTCATGAATGCACACTAAACACGGCAACACTCGGGATAAACGGAAGGCCATGCCAAAAGCCAGGCCGAAGGAAATCGGCTCGGAATTCACACCAGCTAAGTGGTGTTGCTCAGCTTCAAGGGGAAACTTTCGGCTACCATGAACTCCTGTAGCCCTAAATGCTTCCAAGTTCAATGTGTACTCTTGACAAGCTCGGAAAGCCATGTTTGGCCCCTCACACGTTTTCCGGAAACCTTCTGCCGCAGGAGCCACAAGCATGTTGGTGTTGGCGCATGAATCTGCACTGCTTTAACTCAGGAACCACTCGAAAGGGACCTTCATCATCGTTAAGCTCGCTTCACCCCAAATGGATGAGTTTGGCTGCACTGAGTTGACCGGAACCTGACCCCAAACTGTCAAACCATGCCAACCAAACTCTGTGAAGAAATGACGCCCAAACTCATAGGGAGGCGGGGGGGTTTGCTTTCTGGACCCGTTCAGGCAAGATACCGAGGACCTTTTTCCGAGCTCCCACCTCGATCTCGGACTCGTAGGTCACCCGCAGGCCCTCCCGGCACTTGGACTCATCCGTGCCCACCTCGACGACAGGGGAGCGCCCTTCTGAAAAGTGTTGCAGGTTAGTGCATTTACCAGGGGGGTTCCATCATTTTTTCAAGTTTCGGTCACCTATGGGGCTATGGCCTAAGTTTCAAAGCTGCGAATAGGTTTGGGTTTGTCTCCTTGCCCAAAAACTGGTGCCCCACAAAACAGAAAATGGCCGAACAACCAGGGAAATCGAGCAACAAACACTGGAGGCTCAAGCTTTGGACTTAAATGTAGATGGGTGTGTCTCAAAGTAGTGGAACCCTCAAAATGGGTGGTTCCCCTTTGGTTTCCTGTGTAAACAAGCCAAAGAAGGGGAGCTTCAAGAAAGACCCCTCTGCGTCATTCACAATCAACAATTCAGGATGCGCGGCCCTTGGTGAACTTGGATATATGTCGCTAATCTAGTTTCGAGGGCACTAGCCCCTTGCGAACTGGGCCAAAGAATAAACTAGGAACGTCGGGTTGGGGTCGTGTGTTACAATCATCGTAACTAGGCTGTGAAGCCACCTCGCCCTGCGGCTGCCTGTGCTCACAAACGGACCTGATTGTTCAAAACCGCCGCGGATATCACAAAGGGCCTAACACATAAGTTGAATCAAGTCACCATCATAGCGCAACAGTTTACAACTCTTCTTACCCGCACTACTCCCCATCCAGGTGCATTCGTCACAATATCCCAAAGCCTGGAATAAGGGCCGTTCGCTCGTTTGACCCCTCGGTGAGCTCGCGAACGCCATCTCGCTGCCCAGGCGCCAAATTCCGCGCAGGCGCGAAGATGTCCGACTGACCGGGCCTCGGCCGCGGGGGTTGACTGAGATGGCACCGCATGCTGCAAAAAGGGGGCGGGGGGTTCTGCAAAGTGGACACTGGTGTTTCTCACAATAGTTGTTTTTTTCTTTTTGCGTTTTGGATGGCTTTAAGGGGAAGCAAAAAAGCGCAAGCCAACTGAAGGGGGGCTCTAATTCTTAGAAACACCCATATGCATCTACTCCTTGACGTTGCAACAGCGTGAGAGGCGGAAAAGCCCAGGAGTCCTTTTGAAAAATGGATGGCACTGATACGCAGGGTTGTGGGAAATGACCGCTTCTGTGATACAACAAAAAGGTCTTCCCAAAGACTAACACCCCACATAAAGGGGGAGATTCCCTTGCACAGAAGTGGGAATAAACCCCTTGATTCCACAACCCTGCACGTGTGAAGCCAGTGCAATCTATCTTCAGCCAACCACAACCAGAAAGACAATGGCAACCGAGCACAATGCCTGGTCGACGCTCACCAGCTCGGAATCACAACATTCGAAGCTTGTAAGTTGGACTCCTCGGTTGGATTGATGGGACTTGGTGATGCCGACATGTCCTACCCATCTGTGGTTGATCGACCGCTGATTGTTACCGGTTGTGTGTCGAGGAAGGGGGACCTTTCAGAAGGCAAACCCCTCATTCTCATGGATGAATACAAAACAGAGGCCTGGTCGCGGGCAAGGGTTCAGATTCGTGTCCTGCGCATCTGGCTTTCATTCGTCCCAGCTGCACATGAGAGGCGCCTCCTTCATGGGCCTGAATTTGCCCAAACCAAGTACATGTGTTGGCTGCATGTGCATACAGGAATCCATAGTTTGCTGCACGAACTCAAACTGAGGGGTGGTTCAATTCAAACAAAGAACCTTTGGGTTAGGTTCCATACCAAAACATGAAACCTTGCCATGGCACCATTTGCGGCCGGCCTGGTGCCTTACAATTTGCCAGTTTCCCTGGACAATCTCCTTTTGGTTCCCATATAAAGCAGGGCCCTGCTTCTTCGAACAAATAACACATGTTGCCCAACTCGAGACTAAAGTCGTCCAAACCGGAGAGGTGCCTCGGACAGAGTTGCTTGTTTGGAGGTAGCGACCACACCACGGATCCCCGAAGCGGTGTGCCTCTACCATACTGAGGGTGGGGTTCCGGGCTCATCGGGTGTGATAAAGCCGAAGCCCTTCTCTGTGAAGAACTTCTTCAAGGTCCCAAGCCTCAGCTGGCGTCTTAGGTGCGGACGACCTCTGGCCCCAAATTGAACCACACCTGGAACAAAATCCAAACGGTCCAATGAAAAGGTTGCGGTTTGGTGGGCATCATTTTCAGGGGGACTTTCTGTGTGCAAGCAGGTGACACTGTGTTCCAACCATCAAAATTAATATGCAAATTCAGGCTTTGTTGGAGGAATTCGGATCTCTAAGACTAAACGGATCTTCAAAACTAACCGGAGCAAAAAAAAGGCAGCGACCCAAGAACCCCCTCTGTGTCGCGTGCAATAGCCCGGGACAGTAGATGAATGCATGACACAGAATGACCTGTCTAAGGCAACTCAGCCTGCAGCCCGATGTCACTCTCAAAATTCGAACTCCTGCTCGTAGGAAAATTGGCTTGGTTGGTCTTTGACCCCCTGCAAAGAAAGTGTGTTTTCTCTCGGGTTAAACTGTGAAACATGTAATTTTCAAAAACTTTAAAGGTTATTTCGGCCGCTCCAAAGAACAACCAAGAAGGGTAGAAGCCACTTGCCAGTTGGGCTCTCTCTCGGCCCCCACAAAAGCCGGTGTGGGTGGCTTAAGTGGGCTACAATCATGGAAGCTAGCACTCATCCTCCCGGTGTCTCTTGTTGGAAGCACCGCCCAACCTCCAAACCCCCAAGCCAAGCCAAGCCAGGGCAGTGGTTGCGAGCGAGCAAAAGAACCCAGGACGGTGCGGGAGAGAAAGGCACCACCTAAGAAACGCTGGAATGATGCGATTCTCCTGCAAATACCAACAAATACAGTAATGGTTTCAGCCATGGTTTCAAAGTGGTGCGAAATGTATTTTCGTCCATCCACAGTACGTCCCTCCCAAATTTGGCCTCCCGGCGGCATCGGCAGGCCGCGCCCCCCGCGGCCGGCGCGAGGCCGGCAATGGCTCGCGTGCGAGCCAATAAGCTGAGTGGCAGGTCCCGCGGGGGTTCTAAGCAGACCATGGGTGGTGGAGATCTTTTCAAAGTCAAACCTGCTTTGGGATGCCCCGTGCAAAGAACCACCTGTGAGTTCTTCGGAGTTGGCCAGGCAAGCTTTATTGGCGACCAATGATGCAGAAACCTGCCGACGACAGTTCAAAGTTTGCCAAAGTTCAAAGCCTGCCATAGCATTGCAACATCCCAATCCGTCAACAAAAGAACTGCATTTCCTTGTAGGTGGCCCAGGAACCTGATCAAGGGGCAACATCCCCCTGATCATACAGGTCATAGCACTTGGTTGCTGCGAAGGCCTTGATGCAAAGATAGAACGCATACTTCCGGCAAAGGAAAAACATTGTCTGCTGGTAGTCGGGGCACCGGAATATCAAGTTCAAAGTGGTTGGCTGCGTGGGGCACAACATAACACGGCTGAAGTTAGGGGATTCCCCAGCAAGGAAGCTCCAATTGGATGCTCAAGTGAGGTGCCAACAACTGCTACCCTGATCCGTGTGCTCAAGATCAACCCGGCCTTGGCAAACCAATCGAGTTGTTTTCCGGTGTTTTTGTTTTCCTGTGTTTTGTTCTGTATCATTATTCTCTCTTTCTTTTTCCGGAGCTGCGATATGGGCCTCATGCCATGTGAGGATTCGATTATTCCACCCAATTGCCGTACCTCCCAAAAGGAACACGCCTCTACGGTCTCCGCACCAACCACCTCCCCGTCTCTGCCCTGAGGGCCGGGCAGTGAGAGCAAGGAGTCTGGCACCTGCTCCAGCCTCGAAGCGCCAGACATGCCGGCAGAAACGGCTTCCCCCAAACGGCCCCCAAACGGCTTCCCCCAACTCAATTGCATCCCGCAATGTTCGGATTCCTGGTGAAAATTCAGGGCACGTGAGTGGTTGGGATTGGTCATGTGAATGTGCGGTCCTCAAACACGATTGATCTCAGGGTTCTGTGTTCTCCTTTGCAGGGTCACCCGAGGAGGTCGGAACGACGGCTTTTCTGACAGGCGATCCCATGAAACAAACTTGCAAAGCAAGGGACCCCTGGCGAAAAGAGCGCCCACGATCAGCTTCCCTCCCATGGGGTAGTGGTTTGGCGTTAAGGGGTGGTTTCCCATTTACCCTCTACAGGAACCAGGGGTACAATCCCCACACCAATGAAGCTTTACTTGAAACGAGGTCCCAAAGCGGGAGAATCACGGAGGTTTCCCCTAACGTCTGACCAATAGGCCCAAACACTGCCCAAGACTGAAGCCTGGCGAAAGATTGCCCTTCTACCCCTTAAAACTCCACTCCCTCAATGCTCTGCTCAGAACCGCCCTTTGCGGGGGCCGCATCTCACAGAAGTTCTCAACAACCAATTGTTTGAGCAGTTTGTATTTCCGGAAGGTCAAAGTCAAGTGTTAAACGCTCGTGTACCCCAAACAGCAGGTCAAAACCCAACCCCCCTGCCCCAACCCCCCAATATCACCCCCCCCCCCCAAACCACCCACCAAAACGACCCACCCCAGCCCCTGCGCACAGAGCGAACCCCCTCCGAGGCGAGTGGCGCCCCGAGCATCCGCTTCGCAGCGCTGGAGGCGGAGGCCAGGGCGCCCTGGGACAGGTGCATCACCTCGGCTTCTTCTCGAGGCCAGTCGATGCCGGCGAATGAAGAGGTGGGTGGTGCGTGCGTTTGTTTTGGGGGCAAACCGTTTTTGGGGGACCTCCTTCCCTCCGGTTTTTGGGAGGAACCTCTTTCCCTGCCGTTTTTTGTGGTTTCCCCATTTCACCCAAGAGAAGGACACCTAGAGGGAGAGGGGATTGCCACCAACAACCCAGCTTAACCAGGTCTTTGGAAGGTTCTCTACTGTGTAGCTTTCACGATTTCCACGGGGATTTCACGGTCAAGAAGGGGGATTTCACGTCCATTTCCCGGATTTTCACGGGGAAAATTTGTCAGGCGCGCAACCGGGTTTTTCAAAGACCCCCGCCCTAAGGCTGCAGATGTCTTAAATTTAAGAAGCGAAGAAAGGAGTCCCCCAAAAAGAGGCTCCTCTATGCATGGTTGTTTCTTGGGGCGTTGGATCTGCAGCGCAACCTTGAGCTTTCCACCAGCGACAGCCACGAGGAGGGCTGTGCTTTACCCAACCCTTCCAGGGGGCTTACTCCACCGCAGTCTAGCGGCGAAAGCCACGGCATCGGGGTCGGGGCAATGGGTCATCAAATCTTGGCGATGTCTCTGGTAGCTGGTGGGATACCGAATCCAGGCGTTGCTCCAATTCGTGCATCGCATTTCTCATATTTCAATTCATGTTCCCTATACAAAAACATGTGACCCAAATTGGCCTTCCAAGCGTTTGGGTCCGTGTCAAATTTGGGGCACCTCCAAAATGTGGTTTCCTTTTGATTTCCCTTTAAACCCAACCCACACCCAGACCGTCCGAGCCGAGGCACCAGAGGCACCAGGATCTTCGGCGAGCAGGCGCTGCGCACCAGGCGCAGGTCGCTCGCCTCCGGCTTGCGGCCCGGAAGCTGGGCTCCGCTTGAAAAGGGTCGACTGAATACGTCGAAAGACCAGGGGTTCAGAACCGCATGCTGAAAAGCAAAGGGAAGAGCCACCGGTAGGGGTCAGGAGTAGTCCATGGGAATGACAGTAGATGGATGCCATAGGATTCCGCTCGGTGCTCATCATTTTTAACTGAACCCATCCATTTTTCCAGAAGGACTACTTTCCTCTTCTGGACATGCCAATTTTGAGTGAGGATACTTTTGGTGAGGCGAGCATGTTGTAGTTTCTGACGGACCACGAAAAGGAAACCAGGACGGGATTGAGATTCTTGGGATGAAGATGGAAACCGACCGCCTGGATAGGGTCCAAAGTCCCCGGAACCCGGCTGGGAGCTTGTCACCTGTTTGGCTGCGAGGCCCGCCTTTGGACCTTGAACAAAAAAGAAGCTAGGGACCCCGCCAAAGCAGGGAAACATCCCAAAAAAAACCACCTGCTCGAGATTCGGATCCGCTGAAGCCGGCGAAGGTGATCTTTTTACTGAAATCCCAAACCCCACCTCTGGGACCCGGTGAAATTCCCAGCGCAGGTTGGCGGCCAAAAAAAACGCCCCCTTCCACGGCACGAGCATGAGCAAACATTTTTCCAACTTGGGACCTCAAAGTTGGGAACATCCAAAAGTTCACCTGCAAATCGTTTGGGATCGCATTTGGATACGTCGTTTAGGGACTCCCCAAAATGGGTTCGTTTTCCTTTTGGATTTTTTTCCAAACGAAAAGACACCCCCACTTCTACCGGAGGAATGCTCTTTTGCAGCAATACCTGTCCTTGTCCGTGTCGCCCTCCTGCGGCGCCTCCTTGCCACGGGACTACCTACTTCCAATTCATGGAAGTGGGCTCCGGGAACCTTTCGTAAGCTTCCCGGTGGAGGGAAGGAAAAGTCGGAAGAACCCTTACCCTTCCTCCCACTAACATGGCACCTTGGAAGATAATTTTCCTCTTGCAAGGACCCCATGTCAGGCGCCATGTTGGAGAGAGGGTAACCCTTGAACTGTCGGCCCAGGCTTCCCAAGTGGGTGAAGAACCTGCAAACACCGAGCTGCCAGGCCAGCACCGGAAAACAAGCCCTTTTGTGGCTGAAAGCAAGAGCAAATCTGGGCCACTGAATGAGTAGAGCATGTGGTGAACAAAGCGTAAACCTTCATTTGGTGATTTCAAGCTCGGCTTGGACATTCGGGGTGAATGCCTAAACCACCAAGCCAAGCCAGAATTGTCATGTCTTCCCAAGATGGAAGCCACCAGGGAAAGTCACGAGCCAGCCTCAGGCGCACAGGAGAGCTGTACACCCTCTGGCGCCAGGCAAACCGTTCTGATATTCTACCCCAGTTTGATCATCCCTTTGGCTCAACTGTGTCGTCGCAAGCGGGCTCCTTCTGTGGCTGTTTGGTTGATTGCCTAGAAGGCCACTGCGAAGCAATAGGACGACCCCCCCGCCAAGCATTCATGAAAATGCTTCAAACTGATGAACTTATTACTTGTTGAACTTAACCTTCAAGTGGGCCGGGGTCGGGTTGGGTAGAACAACGGCAAGGCAGCTATGCTGGTAATGTTCATCAAACTATTCCGAGCACCGTGCTAAACCCGAGCAGGCCAAAAGGAATCCTCTTGCACGAGGAACCACCCTTGATCAAAGCTGTCCGAATGGGAACACAGGATTGCTCGACCAAGTGGATGATTCAGAGGTGCTTCCCAAAAAAGTGAAGAGCCTCCTACCAATCAACCAGGGCCAAACTAACTCCTTGCACCTCCCCCCCCCTCATCCTGTTCAGCTGCACGCACCAGCCAGCGCAGCGTCTGAGCCTCATGTTGGACATGGATTCGTTTAAAAATGGGATGCACAGGAGGGTCCCCAAACGAGGCAGTCCGACTCCAAAAATGCCTCCGAGGCCACCCCGTGCTCGTTTCCCCTGCACGCCACGCCTATTTCTGTTAGATCGAGCTCGGCACTTCTCGACGCCCGTGTTCTTCAACGGCTCTCAAAAAGGGCGGTTTGGATTGGCGGTTTGGAGGTTTGTGGGTGGTTTCCGATTCACTTACCCTCCACAAGAACCCGGGGGTCAAATTCCCATCCACCAATCCACACCATTCAGGGTATACTGAAGATGATACACACATAACCTCTGGGGCTTATTTCAAGAAAGCAAGACCCTTTCCTGCGGATCCGCCACAACTCATCATAGGCAGCGGATTGAGAAGTGGACGCCACCTCGCAAGTCGCTGCCATATGAGCCTCGCAAGTCGCTGTCAGATGATCTGACAGCAGAGGCATCCATGCGTCTTCATGATGAAGCACGCGGCCGAACTCGATGAACGCAACGTACAAAGCCATCATATTTCTCTTATTTTCAGGCCTGAGAACGTTGCCCGGAGTGATCTCGTCAGTGTACAGGATGTGACACTGCTCTCAAGTTGGATCATCGGAGAGCTGCCCGGAAACGAGTCTTTGCGACTGGTGGCTGGTCGTCCCATCGACTTACCACAGGGGCTTACAGAGTGAACAAAAATCTCAAAATTATTCACTCTCCTGAAAAGCAAAAAGGGTAGGTATTACAGAAAACAAATCTGCCCGAAATCCCGAAAATATGTCCCCTTCCAAGAATGGACTATTTTTGAGGGTTGAAACGTCTGAGTCCAGCCAGAAATGTCCAGAATTTCTGGATTGCTTCCTGTCCCAAACCACCAAATTCCCTATCAATCCCTTTACTAGAAGATGCACCCTGACAAATTTTCAAGGGGGTGGCACACGGAACCCCCAGGAAGGCAATAATGCAGTTTGTTTAAGGGTAGGGAATTGTGAAGAAAAAGATGGCCAGGGCAGCCTGCCAAGAAGAAAGCCCTGGTGTTCTCAGATAAAGCCAGAAATGTCCAGAGTCTCTGGATTGCTTCCTGCCCCAAACCACCAAATTCCTTATCAATCCCTTTACTAGAAGACGCACCCTGACAAATTTTCAAGGGGGCGGAACCCCCAGGAAGGCAATAATGCAGTTTGTTTAAGGGTAGGGAATTGTGAAAAAAAATGGCCAGGGCAGCCTGCCAAGAAGAAGAACCAATACTAAACCAATTCTAAACTGTAGTGAGTCAACTGAAAAGAATACAGAACTAATACTAAACCAATTCTAAACCGTAGTGAGCCAGCTCAAAGGAATACTAAACCAATACTAAACCAATTCTAAACCAATTCTAAACAATACTTACTCGAAAACTAGTCAGGCAGGTCCCAGTCTGACCCCCATTTTGTTTTTGGGGGTTCTCGCTATTGACCCCCCCCAATTCGTTTGAGGGGGGGGGCCCTTTATTAATCACTCTCCAACATTACATACTATCAAACCAAGTTAGGTCATGATTATGGCAGAATACTGTTTGTAACTATTTCGCCCTTGTAGTGTTCAGTGCGTGCCAGCTGCGACCGTAAGTTGAGCCAACTAAGGGGCACCTGTCAGAGCACGATCTTTGTGCGAAGGGCATCATGCTGCCAATGTTGCGGGACTTGTCTGAGTGATCAACGAATATTCGAAGGTTCCGATCCCTTTCCACGTCCTCCGGGCATTTGCCAGACTAGGGACACCCAAAACTGGTTGGGCGCTTGGGCGCTGGTGGAACCCCCCACCCCAACGACAAAACCGATGGTTCACAACCGCCCGCATGAGGTTTAGGCTGAGAAGTTGGGACCATCCCAATGTGCCTTCACGGGGGCGGGGGGTTCTGTCAAATGGTGTTTGGTTTTGTGGCAGAGTTGTAAGAATTACCCACTTTGACACCACTGGAGGGCCGTTTCAGTGACCAACTCTTCAAGGGGGGTAGCGGTCCCCTGTGCCAACGTCCTTGAAAACTCCGACCCCATTCCCAGGTTCCTTCCAGGGTGTGTCTCAAGAGAGGTTAAACTATTGGGAGGGGAGCCTAAAATCGCGAGGGAGGCCTGTGCCTTATCCCCAGGGAAGCGAGGAGCAATTTCTTGGACCGGCCGTCAACGGCGGCCGACTCCTCGGCTTTCGAAGCGCTCGCTCGAGCTGAGGCTGCGGGCGACCCAGCGCTGGCCGGGGAGGCCCCCGGACTCCAGCACCTGCACCACCTGGGATTTGAAGGCCCCGCCCGTGGCTAAGCACCTGGAAAGGCGGAACACCATGAGTGACCCAATAGATGGAGGGGGGGCAGGGGCTTGATGTGGATTTTCCGGCATCAAGTTTTTGAGGCAGGCTTGGGGTCAGATGACATGGCAATTGTTTCTTTGGTCCTTGTCGGATGTTTGGGGACTGGTGGTTTGCCCCAACATGGTGGCAAGTTTGGTTGAGATGGGTTCAGGTTCCGGGCTTGGTTTTCCGACTGCAGGGGGCCCTACCTTTTGTCACCCGCAGCCATCCACCCAGGTAATTGCCACTCTGAGTCCATCAGTGTTCGCCTTGTGTGCTGAAGCCAGCTTGGTTTGCTTCTGGCTCGGCTTTCTTCTGAAACTAAAGTGGCTTGTCGCACCTTTTGGCAAGGGGCTTGTCCCGCAAAAGAGTGGTCACGAGTGGCCAAAGAAGGCTTAAGCAGCATGTTGTTCAGGTTGGACCCCTCAAAATAGCTTCGGCGTTTCTGGTGGCTTTCCTTTAAAGCCACTAAAAAAGAGGTACCCTCCAACAAAAAACACTCGCCCATCCCTTGCTATGGCTGGGCCCCTTGCCACCACCCAGAACTCATCGGCGATGCCCATGGCCGTGGTGAGCTCTGTGAGCACCCGTTCGTTCAAAATCAGGTCCAGCCTGGCTGGGCCATTTTTTTTCGGCTCCAGATGTTGGAGGCTGCTAAACTGCGAAACTTGCTGAAGCAAAGGATCGAAAAGGAAACCCTCAGGCCGGAGTCAGGGAATGGAATCTGCTGAACTGGGGGCAAAGGATCGAAAAGGAAACCTCCACAGTTTCTTCTTTTACTTGAATCCATGTCCTTTGAGGAACATAGATGGTAGATGATTGAACCAATAGGTCTACCAGGGCCCTTAAAAATTTACAACCAATCTGATTAAAAGGGAAAGCAAAGGAAAGCGGATGCCGTTTTGGGGCAAGACACACCCTTTTGGCGAAGGTGGCGTACAAGGAAAGCCTTGGGTAGACAATTCGTATTTGTCCTTTTGACGTTCCTTCTTCCAGGGGCCAACTTTCTACCCTTCTTAGGTCTTAGCACCCCACTTTCAACATATGCAAGAGCATGACGCACCCATCCTGCAAAACACCGTCTAAGCACGCTGCACAAAGTCACGGACCGAGGCTTTCCAGTCCTCAGTGGAGATTTGCAGGGAGAACAAACGTCGCAAAAGCCCTGGTCCTCTGATTCTGTTGATCCATGACACGGCACAAAAGGCATTCCCGTCCAATTACAATCCTTACCCCGTGGGGCAAGATGTTCCAAGAAATCAGGAAGAAACCAGAATATTCCACCTATACACAAATTCCTTGCCATCTGGCAGGGCAGTTTTGATATTGATTACAGGTTGCCAAATGAGAGCTCTCATGCCCAACCAAAATGTGTTGTGTAAGCTTTTTCCCAATAATTGCTCCATCCTTCGGATCAGGCACGCACCCTACACAGCATCTGCTACATCCCCCTCATCCCTGGCATCTGCATCCCTTGCATCCCTTGCATCCCTTGCATCCCTTGCATCCCTGGCATCCCTGGCATCCCTGGCATCCCTGGCATCCCTGGCATCCCTGGCATCCCTTGCATCCCTTGCATTCCTTGCATCCCTTGCATCCCTCGCATCCCTCGCATCCCTCGCATCCCTTGCATCCCTCGCATCCCTCGCATCCCTCGCATCCCTCGCATCCCTTGCATCCTTGCATCCCTTGCATCCCTTGCACCCTTGCATCCCTTGCATCCCTTGCATCCCTTGCATCCCTTGCATCCCTTGCATCCCTTGCATCCCTTGCATCCCTTGCATCCCTTGTATCCCTTGTATCCCTTGTATCCCTTGCATCCCTTGCATCCCTTGCATCCCTTGCATCCCTGGCATCCCGGCATCCCTGGCATCCCTCGCATCCCTGCATCCCGAGCATTCCTTTCATCCCCTGCATCCCCAGAGGATGCCGCAGCCTTTTAGGACACTCGAGCCCTGTGTGGCTTTGGTATCCGGTATCTTTTGTTTGCTCAAGAAACTCACTTACGAGCATGGGAGAACCAGACTAGACTCACCGCTTTGCCCTGTTGCAAACTCCAAATTGGCGCCATCCCGTTGTCATGTAAACGGTATTTGTTCTCGGCACTTTATGAAGACCTCATCACGCGGGGTTGCCAACTTGCGCACCAGGTTTCCTTTCGTATTGCGATTTCTTTGTAGGGTAAGTATCCGCGTTCGCCCGTGGCAGGTTTCCCTTTCATCCCCTGCATCCCTTGCATCGCTTTCATCCCTTCCCTCCCTTGCGTGTCACGGACGCACACCAGCTTGTCCGCAAAAACTTGCAACAAGATTGAATGGATGCTACGAGGTATCAAGGGGAGGCAGGCGATCGAAGGGATCCGCGATGGATCCAAAGGATGCAAGGGATGCAAGACATGCAAGGCATGCAAGGCATGCAAGGGATGCTGGAGAACGTGGGATGCAGGATGAAGGGGAGCCAATGCGAGGCATGAAAGGCATGAAAGTGATAAAAGGGATAAAACAGATAAAAGGGATGAAAGGGATGCACCTTCAAGGGACGGGCGATAGAGATGCGGAGGATGCAAGGGATGCAGTGGATGCAAGGGACCAAACAAAGTGCAGACTGGCGCTGCCCGACATTTCGCATCTCCGCTTAGGCTTTCGGGCCAACGCTCGGCGGAGGAAGCGCGGACGCAGCAGCCGCAGGAGGTAGACCAGCACCTGGCGGCCGGATGGCTGCACCCTGTAGAAGAAAAGGACTGAGCCGACCAAGGGTCTTCCAAAATATGCAGATATATATATATATATATTGTATATATTGTTGGGGTGTATATGTATGCTGTGCATAAAATGCATATTGACATGTGTGTCGATAATACACCATCTACATATACTCAATGAGTTCCAAGTAGGATGTCGTAAGTGGAGCCATTCTCTCCGCAGTCATTTTTTACACCTGCAGGGCGCGCCAGTCTGGCTGATCTGCATAGGTGCTAAGTTTTAAGTTGGCATCTGAAAGGTGTGGCCCTTTCAGCTCTGTACACTGTACACGAGCAATGGCGAAGTGACAAACGCTGTACAAGAATCAGCGCGGGAGTGCCCATCCATTTTGTGCATCCAATTGATCAGGATCTGCCCAGCTCGCAACGCAGATTTGCGTGAATTACCATGAATTCGCCAGCCCGATATGAGAGCTGGACCCAGAAACGAGCCTTCCTATGGTCGCAGCCGTGTTTGCTTGAATCCAACCAAAATGCCACATTTTTGCTTGAACCATCAACCATCCACCAACCTGTCGCAAGGAAGAGCCAATGCCAAACAAAACCCCAGGCGCTTACGCCACGTCCACCACGTCCACCACGTCCGGGCGCCGCTTCTGGAGCCGCCGTGCCGCCCGCAGCTCGGCGGCCCGGCGCTCGGCCGGGCGCGCGGCTTTGGCCTCGGCGGCGCGCTGGCGCTTCCGCTGCAGCGGCGCGGCGCTGCGGAGGACTTCGCCGGCGACCCAGGCCTTCTCCTGCCGGAAGGGGGGGCGGAAGGGGGAGGGTGTCAGCACTCCTGCCATGAAGGGGGGTGGGGGGCCATGGGGGGGTGGGGCTAAAAAAGCTCAAGCGTTTGGGGCCAAGAAGGCCAAAAACGAAGAAACCTCCCAAAGACAGGCAAAACAGAGACAACCCACATCCCGAAAGACAAAACATGTGGGTGTTGAGGCTGAAAATGAGTGGCTTGTTTACAAACCCAAGATCACGAGAGAAGAAACATGCGGCAGTTGACCGTTTTGGGCCCACCCCGCCCCTCGCCTCGGTCCAGCGCAGGGGCTGATGCCTGTAGCGGTCCGAGCGCCGGACTTGCCGCTGGGAAGGGTAGGGCCGCATGGTCTTCTGCGGCATTCGACGGTACCAACTGCACCAGGCATCGTCCTCCAAGTCTCGCAGTCAAAACGACTTCTTTCCCCAAGAGGCATGGCAGAACCAGCGATTCGTCCGAGTTTTGTGGGGAAGTTTTGGTCAGTCGCTGACCATGGACCAATCTTGACCGAGCCTCATGTGACATCCTCAGAATGACCCAGGTAGCGGTTTTAAAGGGAAACAACTCAAAAAAAGTTGAGGCTACTCTCTAAGTGGTGGTTTGAATTGGGCTCTCGCCGAGGCATTTTAACCCCTCAAAGTGCCAATGCTTGGGACCCAGTCCTCCTCCTCGTCGTCGCTAGGATAGAAGTAGTAAAATGGGTCCTCGAGGTCATAAACGTCACCCATGTCCTTTGGCAACTGACCCGCAAACAGTGCTTGGCCTGTTTGCTCGTTCATGGGGAAACATGTTGACTGCGAAAAGGGCCCACATTCTGGTTGAAAGGGAACGTGAAGCAGTATCCTTAACTGGCGGAAGGTAAAAGGACGATCAGCAAGGCGAACAGCTAAAAAGGCAAAGCCGAAAAGGCAAGCTAAAGGCAAACAAACGCATGCCCAAAAGTAGCCCAACCCAAAACAAGAGAAACGAAGAGCAAGCCAGAACCAAAAAGCTAGCTTGAACCAACCGGAAGAATTGAAAGTTTGTTCAGGCCAATTTCTCCCGCAACGGGAAAGTGAAGCAAGGCCCAAAACGGCCAAAAGTTAACCAAAAAACGCCCGCAGAACGGCCCAAAATGGCCCATGCGTCAAGCGTCGCCCTCCTCGAGCCACTGGATCGCCGGCAGCTTCGCCACCGCCAGATTGCCGCCTTCGCTTGGCTCGACGAAAGTATCCCAGGGCAAAGGCACCGGAGCCCGGGCCATCCACAGCCAGAAGTGCAGGGAGGTGAGCAGCCGCTCCTGGAAGAAAAAAACAGAAAAAGAAAATGCGGAGACAAAAAAGGCCGCCGGCTCAACCCATATTGATCAACCCCAAGTCTTATGAAAAGGGTTCAAAAACATGGGTATGAATCATGTTGACCCCTCAAAATCATGGGCCCCATATCGATCAACCCTAGTTTGTTATTTTTCCCTTGTTCAAAAAGGGGGGGGGGGGTTCGTGGTTCTCCTCCAAAAGTGGTCTGATTCCACAACTAAATTCAGGGACTGAACTGGGGTTGATGAATATGGGGTCAACATTCCCGTTGTTGAAAAAATACTCCCCTTTCGGCTTTTCTTTAAAGGGAGCCAAACATGGATTGAGCATTTCTTAAGCAAACCTCCTTTTGGCTCGAAAGGAGGCCCTGCTTGCTTAAATGTCTTTGAAAAAAAAAACAACGGGATGCAGTTTTTGTTCAACCTCTCTTTGACCAGCTGAGTGTACTCTCCTTCAGTCCCCCGCCTCCTTCGGCCCTTCGGAGCGGCAGTCCCAGAGCCACGCGACGGGGCTCTCGTCCGCGCTGCGCAGCCAGGCCGCGAAGACCATGTCGGCCTCCCAAGCCCCGAAAACCGTGGCTTCAGCCGCTGCCCCTTTGGCTTCAAACCACGGGGGGAGAAACAAACAGTGGCGAGAGGGTCCTGTTGGTTTCCCCTTAAAACCCTGGTGTCCCTTGAAACCAATGCCAAAAAGGGTATCCACAAACCAAAAGACAGACCCAGGTGTGTCTTTTTGGTAAATCTGTTTGAGGCTGGGGCATTTGACCAGCTTTGGGGAACCAGTTTTGCAGAAGAGGAAACCTGCATCCCGACCGCTTTTGGCTCAAAGGGGAGCCGGACAAACGGATCCTTTATAGTTCTCCTGCTTGGTGTGTTGAAACGTCAGCTTTTGAGCCAAGTTCAAGTGAGCTTCCTTCAAGCAAGGTGATGTTTGAGGGAGAAATCTTGGGTGTTTGGACAGAAACACCCCTTTTGGGCTGGTTTCAAATGGAGCCTTGTAAGAAACTGCAAACCATTTTACATCGGTCTCCTTCCCTTAAAAAAAGAAAAAAGCCTGCTTCTCCATGTGAGGGCAAATGCAATCCCAGCTCGGGCCGCCGCAGCCGTAGCAGAAGCTGCAGCCGCAGCGGCAGAAGACGTGCAGACACCCCGTCTCCCGGCGCACCAGCGCCAGGCAGCTGGGGCAGGGCTGGGCTTGCGCCAGCAGCCACTCCTGAAACTGTTGGAATGCCATCTTTCGCAGGCCTGGAACCAAGTAACAGGGACCCCTGGAAGACAAACGCGCACGTGGCCATGGGTCAAAAGCCGAATCGTACCCACAGCGAACATCCCAACCCCCGCTAAAATCGACGAAAATGGGTGGCGCACCTACCCCAAAATGCGATCCCATTGGTTTTGACCCACAGCCAAATGAAGGAAAACCCGTCGGCTTTCCCCATGGGGCCAAGGTGTTCCATGCCCAACCTGTGTCTTGGGCGTTCAAAGAACAGGTTTGGGGCTAGCAAAGCAGGGTCTGGGGCAGTTGTCGCATACCCACATGGGCTCAACGGGTTTCCTGTTGGTTTCCCTTTAAACCAACGCCAAAAAGGGCAACTCCGGGAGAAAAAAAGAAAAAACACGACGCACAAAACCGGCCATCCTCTGAGTCCCCCTTCTGCGTCAGCAGCTCCCGCAGCCTCTGCTCGTGGCACTGGGACCGAAGCTGCTCGTAGCGCTCCAAAAGGGCGGGGCCCGAGGGCAGGCGCTCCAAGGCCCTTTGCACCTGGCCACGACCAAGGCTCAGATCTCAGACTGATGGCGGGAGCCCCCCATCCACCCATCCACCATCCACCATCCATCCGTTGCAAGGCTCAGATCTCAGACTGATGGAGGGAACTCCCCCCTATTGATACTGTAGATGGACCAAATCCTGCACCTGAGAGCTTAAACGCTGGAATGATTCGATTCCCCCGTAAATGTCAACAGACGTTATGGTTTCAACCATGGCTCCAAAGTGGTGGATTTCGTCCATCCACAGTGGCACGGGATTGATTATCCGGGTCAACATTAGGATCATATCAGCTTCCTTCAACAAAAAGAGGTTTGGAATAGTTTCCACCTATTCACATTGCTGCTTTTCCGGACAGACACGAGATAATTGCAAGCAAGCCTAAAAACCGTCGCAACTACTGGGGGAAAACCAAAAAAGCAACTGGTGATGCAGGCACGTCCAGAGGAATCAGGCGATAGCTGCAATTCTCCCCGGGGCATCTGACGTTGTAGTGGCCTGCCAGGCCAGGAAAAGAAGTGCTCTGTTTGCTGGTACCTGAAAAGGGAAACCACCTCCGCTTTTTAGGTGGAGTCCCCGTCGTTCGCTGGTTTCCCTTTAGGCGGTTTCCCGTTTGTGGTTTGCTGCTGGATTTTGCAGGGAACCACTACTCACTTGCTCAAAGGACCCGGAAGTAAAAGGTTAACCTTTTGGGACCTTTACCAAAAATGGACCAAATCAGGAAACCAAAAGGTCAAAGGGTCGGCTTTGGGCAACTGAGACTACAAAAAAGAGAGAGAAACGCCACCACAGGTCTGGGCCTTCCAAGATTTGGACCTCCACATGTCGAGAGAGGCAGCTCTCGCAGACTCCGTGCGCGTCGCAGCGCCGGTTCTGCCAGCTGTGGTTGTGCATGGTCGCATAGTTCACGGGCGCGGCAGAATCTTCGAAGCCTCAGTGGTCGATCCAGAAACACAAAATAAAAGATTCACCTTTTGGGGCCACGAAAAATGGGCCAAGGGGAGCCCAAAAGATCAAAAGATCGAAACGCGCTCTGGACAAGTGAGAAGCAAATGGGGCAGGTCATGGCGAAGGATGCTTTGCGGTCGCTTTGGGCTAGGCGCTTGAGCTAGAGATCACGATCAAAGCATGGCCCAGCTGGACGTGCCACAGCAAACCCACGCGAAGTGATTTCACCCAGTGACCGTTTGCGCCCTTGTGCACTGCGAGCCCCAAAAAAAACAACCTTAAGGGTTGGAAAAGCCACCAACACGGCTAGTGAACGTCAATTCCGGCGAAGTTGCCCAAACTCTCTGGGAAAGTCGTTTGACCCAACGCGCTTCGCCCGGAAAATCAACCGCTCTGCGGTCCCCTTCGCCGCGCATGGCGGGGGCACGCTGATGCGCTCCCCGTCGCTGATCATGTTCGCCGCCTGGCAAGCGCCGGGAAACAGGTCGCCCCGACCGGAGGCGAGTCACCATCGAAACCTAAAAGAGTGGTCTACCCAACTGGCCTCGTTATTTTACCATGATCAAAGTCATCCCCTTTGTGGTGGGTTAAAGGGAAACGACCACATTTTCTGACTTTGACAACCCCAGAAACAGTCAAAATCATGACCCCAGTCGAACAGGAAGAATTGAAAGGGCGGATACCCGCGCCTATTTATGGTCAAGTTGTCCCTTAAGCTTCAACCCGAATCGGTTTTGAAGGCGCCGCTCGGGTCTCTGGGGTTTGGGTCGTCATGTTCTACGCCACTCAGATTTACCGGAAGAAGAGTAGGTGGCCTGCCATTGTCCGGTCGGTTTTTTTGTACAGAGTCTTCGCTTGTTTACCTGAAAAGACGTCCATGGCATCAATAGGCTCCGCAGGTCACAAGACCGGTAATTACAACAATATCTGTGTCAACTTGTGTCTACCTCAGGTTTTGCCCGCCAACAGAGTATCACATATTGACTCTGGTTCATAATTCGGGAACCTCATGTCAAAAGACATTCCGAATATAAAGGAGACAAACATAATTCCCAAACCTGAAGTAAGCTAAGACGCTTTCACGTTCCAAAGGATAGTCGAACTGACATGGAAACGGACACCAATTTCCGAGCAAGATGGGTGGCTTCTTTTCGGGTTCCTTCCAAGTAACCAAAGCGCATGGTTGGTTCATCCGTCGCTCTTTCCAAAACCACTCATGTTCGTCGGTGGCAATCATTTTCGGAAAATCGATCCTTCAGACAGGGAAATTACAGGTAAAATTGAGTAGCGCAAAAACACGTTCACTTTGTGCTTGGATCTTTTAGAAAAGATAATTATGACGCTCGCTTCACGGTAGTCACAGGAGTAAGTGCAAAACCTTTCCTAAATCTGCCCAATGCGTTGTTTGTACCAAAGATGTCCTCCAAGCATTGTGTGAAGCTTGTTTACAGGGGACTCCCTTTTGCTTGGCTCAAAACAAACAAACTATTTGGGGGGGTCCGAGTGTTCCTCATATGTTGGAACAATCCGTGTTCCTGCGGGGTTCCCTTCAAAATGCGAACCAACTCATGACATACCACATAATCCAACCATCCATCACCCCCCCCGCCAAACAAGAAAAAAGAAAAAACAAAAAAAAAGCTCGCCTCTCCCCTCCCCCCTCCCCCAACCCCCCCCCCCCCGCCCTCCCCACCTCTCGCAGCAGCCGCTCCGCCGGGGTCTCCCGCTCCCGCGGGCGCGTGTGCCTCGGAGCCGGGAGCTCGGAAGCGGATTCCGGGCTGGTGGCTCCGGACAAAATTCGTTGGACCACGCGGAATGAAACCCTGGTTGGTATGTATAGCTACTGTGTCTTTGGTCTTCCCCCCGGTTGCGGCGGTTTGGGGTTGCTTGCAATTGTCTTGCGTCCGGAAAAGCAGCGACTTGCTTTGTTTTTTGCGTTTATGGGCCTGGGCTTCGCGCTCATGGTCTCACAAAGACTACGAGAAAAGCGGCAACTTGGATTGGCAGTTTGGGGAAACTATTCCAAACCGCTTCTTTTGAGGAAAGCTGAGTTGATCCTTGATTTCTATTGCTGACTCGGATAATCAATTCTGCGCCACTGTGGATGGACAAAATCCATCTCGCACCACTTCGAGCCATGGCTGAAACGCCCTTGTTTGTGGGTATGTATAGGGGGAAGCATCCGAAACCAGGGTTTCTTAGGCGGTGCAAAATGCCCACAGTGGGTCCACCAGTCACCACCAATTACGGGAACCCGATCAAGAGAAACTGGGAATCCCTGAAACCCTCCCTGAAACAATATGAGGAACCAAGAGCCAAGTGGCTTTCTCACTTGTAGGCTGGATATCTGCAACTCCTATCCTTGTCCGGGTTCATTAATCAGGGATCAAAATTGCCGTAGCATCACACTCTGGCTTTGGAGATCGTAGATTGCAACTGTTGGAACAACAACGCAAACGATTGGCTTCGTTGCAGTTTGCCTGAAGGCCCAGTGTTCCAACCAGTTTTTTAGGGGCTTCCCCGCGGAAACGTTCATTGGGGGTTGCATGAGAAGCTAAGTTTCCACTTGTATCTGCCGCTGAACATCACCCCACCACGAGGCTTTCTCATCTCAAGGTGGCCGAAGATGTGATTTTGAAACCAGCTGAAGTCGGTTCGCAAACTGGCATCCCGGCTGGGGCACGAAGACCAGGTGCGCAAATTCCTCCTCCAGGTCCTCCATTCGATCTGTACGCGACGGATCGAAGACCTCCCTGCAAGTCGACAACTGAGACCGATCAAAACCAAACTCATAGGACTTTGGTTCATGGCAGGGTTCCTTACAAGCTATCTTGTCAGGCCCCCGCCAAGGCACAAGGTGATGCTTAAACCAACAAAAAAAAGCCAAGGACCCCAGAGACAATAACCCCGTGACAAGATCCAACAGCGCGCCCCTTGCAAGGCTTGGAATAGCAAGTGCGGAGCAATGGGTAGCTGCTTCAAATGGTAGGCGTAGTCACTTTGCAAGGAAATGTGTAGGTGTCAGCATGTGGGCTGGCACCCTTTTTGGTCCATGGAAGTCGGGCCTCGCGTTCTGAATTCCCTCCAGGTTCACCTTACCCCTGCTTGGTGGTTTGCGTTGGGTACCTTCCCCATTTGCTTTCAAAACTAACTGGGGCTCAACGCCCCCAAAACCAATGCAAACCGCCAATCAAGGTGCCCTGACCGGTGGCTGCCCTTATTGAAGTGACAATCAAAACCTGGCATTAAAATGGTCGACCCAGAACCATGCTTCAAGAATTAAGAAGGCGGATATCCGCAACAATTTATGGCTGGGACTGTTCCTTACTAGCCTTTATCTTACCCGGGTTTTGAGCAAGTGACTCAGCCCATCGGCCATCGGAACTCGACGTCCTCCTTCTTCACCACCTGTACTGGGGAGGCCAGCGGCAGCAACACCTGCAGCAAGTCCTCCACCGCCTGGCGAGTGTCGCGACTCGCGAGTGGCGCGAGTCGCGAGTCGCGAGCGGCGGCTCGGGTGGCGCAGCTTGGCTCCGGCCAATATCGGATTCCACCGAGGGTGGTTGGGTTCCAAGCAAATTTTGGACGCACCAAATCTAGACGCATCATGACCCATCTTGGGTTCCCCCAAACAGATATGGCCCATGGCTGGGTTCCGTGCTCAATAGGGAGGGTGGGAAATGACCCTTTGGCAACCATTTTGGGGTTCTTGTATGAAGGCATTGGAAGGTTCATTCCCATATTCCAAACTCAGAACAAGACAGGACTGTGCATGAGGGAATCTGCTAGAATAGCATTCCCAGAAACGGTGACTGGTAGAGGCACTTGGGAGTACCTTTATCTTTTATGCTCTCCCCCCCTCCGAATTGGGAAAGAACACACAAAAAAGAACGGGCCAATTTGTTTAAGGGCCCATTGTTCAGAAAGCATTGGGCAAAGGGAAAACCTTGATCAACGCGGCTCCTTAGAGGGCGGGCCATTGTCTGGGCTTGTTGGGTTTCAAGGAGTCAGCAGGCAGTGGGCCACGCCACGCCTCATCGTCGGGATGTCCAAGAGCATCCAGGAGTCGCGGGAGCCTATCGCCAAAAGACGTCGGCAAGGAAGCCTATCGAAGGACAGAGAAGATGGATGCGTTGCTCATGAAGTTGCCTACGGTGTCTACACGTGCCGCTGCATAACAACTAAGCTTTGCTCTTTTGGTTTGTCAGACGAAAAGCCCCGCACATGGCCTTTCACGAATTTCGAAATGACCTTCGAACGGATTGCCTGGACCATATGCTTCAAAGGAGGGTTTCCCATTGGCTTTGGATCCCATTGCCTTATCTGGCCAGGAAGCACATTTGCTATTTGGCGACTGTTGCTGCGAAACTCGGGAACCCAGAGACAACTTCCCACTCGTTCCCCTGTCAGGCTGCCATGATTGTTTGCAGGGCAGCAGCTGATGGTTTTCTTCAGATCATCTTGAACACCTGAACTCCTTAAATTCGCATGAGCCATAAAACTCTCTATGTGCTCCCTTGCCAGGAATCCGTAAAACGGTTGTCACAATTCTCCAGAGGTCCAGGACCATCCTTGCTACATAGCAGCCCTGAGTGAGAAAAGGGTCACCTCCAGTGCGATTTCACGGACAAAGGGGAGGGGGGGGGGTTCAGGGTTTCTTGGTGCTTGGTCTAAAAGAGAATCCCTTTGGGAAAACAAAAGGAACAAAAAACGGAAACCAGCAGCAAACAGGGTCTAAAAGGGGAAAGGGGCCATGGTTGCCAGGCCCAAAAAAACAACAAAGAAAAAAAGAAACCGGATGAGGTCCGGCCACTGGAGCTGGTCCAATTCCAAGACCCGAGGCCCCCAGCATCCAGTACTCCTCCGAGCTCTGGCCGCGAGGCCGCGTGGTCAGCTCGATGGTGTCCTGCGGCAGCCTGAGCTCAAAACCAACCCTCCTGATGTCCGACGTGCTACCCTCCTTGGTGCCCCTACCCTTGGCAAGTTTCCAATTGAGAAACTTCCGTTTCTTTGGGGAAGCTTTTTGGGAAATCGCCTGGGTTGGCTTCCTGCTGCTAATTGACTCGTCTCAAAGAGCATCGGTCCTCGCTTGCTTTAAAGAAAAGATCCCCTGTTTGGAGCTGTGAATTAGTCGTACAGTTGATTCATAGATGGTGCGGATGCTTGACTGTGGGCTTGGCACCGCCCTCCATGCAGCTGGGGCTCCTTTTCTCGAGGCTCCAAAATCGTTCTCCCGGGAAGCCAAGGGGAAAAGCATCCTCGGGGCTCACCCCCCATTTGCACACGCCCCAAAGTTGAGCAAGGGACCGTGTTTTTGTTGGTTTGGTTTGCCAGGCCGAGACGGAAACCCCGGCGACGCCGAAAGCGGCCAAAACGCGCCCGGATGCGCCTCCAGAAGAGGGTGTTCAGAAACCGCGCGGTGGCCTTCTGCAAGCTCCGCTTCCTGCTCAAAACGCCTGTGCTCCCGAAAGCAAAAGACTGACTGGGAGGTCCGTTCCAAACGCTTCAAGCCTTTTTCAGCACAGGACAACTAAGAAAGGCATCGCTAGAAACCAAAAGCTCCGCTTCGAAGCCGGGAAACGAGCCACCAGAGCTTCTAGGAGTCCGATGAGACGGGCCTAGGCTTATGCAAATGGCTCCAACCATTGCAGTTGGAACCGAACAACGTGTGTGCTTGTTTAGCAAACATCTAGCAGCCACATTGTCCACATCTGGTGAAAGGAAAAAAAACCAAACGCTGATGAAGAAGCAAGCACATTTGACTAACAGTCCTTCGCTTGCCCATAACAAGAACCCTACTTTGCCCACAACAAGAACCCTACATGCAGGCAAACTGAATAGGCAAGCGTGATTTTGAAAGCACCGCTGGAGCCGTACAAGGTCGCGCTCGCCAAAACTCAGCTGAAGCCGGCCAGGGTTCTCTGGGCGAAGACGGAACGGAATGTTCAAATGTCGCATTTGCTCTTCCATGAGCACCTGCATTGTGCTGAGTAGAAGGTCACCGCGCTTCTGATTTGCCACCATGTGCAGAAGGTCCCTCACTGGCATAGATTGCAAGCCAGAATCCTGCAAAGCAGCCCGCACATCCTCCAGTGCAGGGCGTCTGCGCAGCTTGCAAAGCGCCGACCCGTCTGGAATTGAAACGCTGACTCCGCGTCGAGCGGCAGAGCTGCTGCGAACGCCACGTGCTTTCCTCTTGAAGTGATGCCACACTGCCGTGGCACCCGAGATACTTGCTGTCTTGCAAGGGACGCCCACAGGCGCAATTCTCGAGGTTGGTGCCTTTGCTGGTCTAGCCCAACGCCAGGTGTTGGCCTTTGGTTGAAGTGGCACAGCATCCATGGCTACGGGCAACCCAAGGGGTGTTTGTGCACTTAGCCCAGGCTTGCTGCTAAAGACGGCGCGTGCTTGGTGGCTCCCAGCCTACGACAAGAGATTTGTTAGGATCGAGCAGCGCCCCACAGAGGCTCCCCATCTTCAAGCAAAAGCCTCTAAGCATGCGCACGAATTCTCTTGTGCAACTTCGGGGAGGGTATAATCCGGGTGTAACCGAACCATATATGGCTGTGGGTCAAAACCCTGTACCCCTGGTGAACATCAAAATAGGTGGCAAATGGATGTTCATCCCATATATGCCCCATGCCCATATAGGAAGTGTAAGCAAATGGATACGACATCAAATAGTTGGCAAAGCACAGGAGTGCAGTGCAGGGTGATGTCAAGGGATGTGCGGAATATGCGAGATGGCAGGGATGGGCTCACCGCCTCCAAGGGATTGGCTTATCATCCCGAAACGGAACCCTCCTGCTGGTGGTGCTTGCAAATCTGCTAAACGATGCCGACTACAGTCAGCCTGCATCCCAACTTCACGTGCTGCTGAGTTCAAAGAGAACAAGACAACAAACAACTTTAAACCAGTCACATCTCTGCCTATCAACAACAAGGGATTGCGAGGATGCTAAAGACCATCAAGTTGGTACGGTTCATGCCCAAATACATGAAAGTAGGGGAACAAGAGCATCACCTCATTTACCACCATTCGCCAGGGCTTTGTGGTTTTTGGAGGTGTTCGGTGTACTCAAAACATTTCGTTGGATTCCGATCTAAGATCGAGAAATTTGTAGCCCCCCGCTCCTGGAAGAGACCAGGTCTGCAAAGGTCCGCCACAGGAAGAAGGGCTTATCACCGTCCACCTGAGGCACCGGTCCCAAAGCATGCAGCTCCCATGGGAAACTCGGGCTCCGCCACCCTGGCTTTTCATTGTTGATATGGCCATGAATTTTAAGAGGGAGCCAGCTGAAAAGTGATGAATCCCCACCTAAATGATGTCCACCAAAGGGCCCCTTAAGAAAATTCAGACCATTTTGTGAGTCCCCACACGATGAGCTCGCCGGAGACACCCGGGTTCGGGAAGCTGAATGAGCCCTCCCTGGTTTTCCGCTGAAATTTAGTGAGATACCCACCCGAAACCCAAATTAACCGTTGAGTTGCAAGTGGATTGGTCAAAGCTGTGTGGTTCACAACATCCTCAAGGCACATCCCAACATGCCTTGGGTCTGCCAAAGTAGGGGGATCCTGTGCTTTCTCTTTAACCATCCGCAAAAAGGGTCCCCTCCATCAAAAAGAACAGGTCCCTTTCGAAGCTCTTCCCAAGCCATCCACGAGAAATTGTCTGGGGGGCACGCCACCACGCCGTCGTGGTACTGGTTTTCCAGGATGGCCTCCGGGTCAGGCTGGCCTTTCTGTCAGACGGTTGACCCCGGCAGAAAAAAGACTATGAACCCTGAGCAAAACACTCTTTGGGGCGCCATGAAGGGGATAACCCGCTCCATCCTCACCTTTCCTCCACAAGCCAATGGAAAAAGCGAAGAAAGGGAGAGCGCCGAACTCCCAACTGTTGGTTGCCTGCAAGGCTTGGTTTAAATAAAGTGTCGGGAAAGAGCATGTTTGATCCTTTGCTTGGACGAGCATTAAGATATCAATATAGTAAACCACAGAGGCAACCGCGAGGGGAATTCATGTCCGCTTCATAGGATTGTTGCATGGCAAGCCGTCGTTTCCTGGCAGCGTTTTGCCGATGGCTTGTCCCTTCCAAGGCTCTATTCCAAAACATCAAACATGCCATGGTTCCAGCTGTACCTTCTTTTCAGATGCCAGGCAACTGTCGGGGGTTGGAAACGACAAGAACGCACGATCCAAAATGGGAGCCCAGGCTTCAAACTGCACTGACTAATATGGGGGCGCAGCCCAGTTTGGAGGGGAACCACTCTGCAGGGAAACACCACGCAGTGATCTGCTGGGTTTAAGTCTATCGTGGGGTAGTCAAAAGGTGGAGCCCTGGGAGTCGCACTCAAAAGCTCGCCCGGTCGCCTGCTCGCAGGCGTTGATGTCGCGCGCGATGATCATGGAGGCCAGCCCAACCACCGACACCTGGCCACAAATATGGCCATGGGTCAAAACCCCTTACCGTGAACATCCCAATCCCCACTAGAATAGACTACAATGGGTGGTGCACCTACCCCAAAATGGTAGCATTGGTTTTGACCCACAGCAATATGAGTTTTGCCGCTTACGCAACTGGTGTGTTCTTTTCGAGAGAGCCACTTGTTGACCCAACTTGGTGTTTTGGTGGTGCTTTGGTCGAGAACCCATGATATTTTGGTGGAAACAACTGTTGCTCAAACCCAAGCTGCCACACACACACACGCACGACAGGCACACACACCACAATGACTCAAGAAATTTGCCAAGCTGCCAACGACAGTATCCACGGAAGCATCGCGGATGGCCCAAGAAGGCTCAAACGCGTCTTAGCTGGTCTTGTCATTTCTCCTGATCTCAAATGTTTTTGAATATGACAATTCATTCCTTCCATTGGTGATTAAAATACACGACTCACTCAACCTGTGAGGGCTCTGCAATGCTCACTCGCTAGCTTGGGCTTTAAGAGAAGATACTGTATCATATGCACATGATTGGGCGATCAAATCGCGGAAAGAATACGTTCAAAGTAAGAAACTGGCAAGCGCTCAAGGCTTGAGTCAACAGCACCTTGCGTCCAGCGCATGTGAGACATGACCCATGACTCAGAGTCTTCCAGAATTTGGCGGATACTTGGGAGAACTTGCCGAACAAAGAGACTCAGCAAAATGGACCCAGCGCCGTCTGTCTCCAAATACGAACAGATCTTCTCAGCGATCTTTGCTCGATGCACCTTTCGTACTTCAACTTCTCCAAGTGAATGTGAGCTATCGAGCGATGCCAAGGGTTTTGGCAGCTTCTCCATGTCATATTCTGAAGCGAGCTGCTTTGCATCTCTCAAGAGAAGCTCCATTGCTTCTTTCTGTGTGGCGTGGCCCGCCAGGCTGCAGCGGAGACCTCTGTTCGAAGTCACCCCAAGGCCCAACCTCAGAAGGCTTGCGATCAACCGCTTGGGCTGTGACGAAGAGGCCAACGCTCACATTGAACTCAGAAAGTGAAAGCTGGAAACGGTGGGGCCGGCATTCAGGTTTACAGAACCGTGCGCATTAGAAGCAACCGTCCCCACCCCACCACCCCCCCCTCCCGCCGCTGAGGATCGCCTGAAATCATTTCGGTGTGCGGCTTTCACATTTTCATCACCACATGTCCAACACCCTCCCTGTCTTGGGGGTCAAAGAAACACGAATGTCCCGCGCTTCCAGATCTTGGGGTTGCCTATTGAGGGCAGGAGTTCCTCTCCTTGCAGAGACTCGCCCCTGCGACTCTTTGCCAGGGGATTGCACATGTCTCGCGCGCCTGCACGTCCTCGGGTACGCCAATGCTGATCTGAGCGAGACAAGAGATGGAATGGCATGCCGAAGTGATTGAAATCCCTATTTTCATCTTGCAGGGCGTTTGGAATACTTGGTGTGGCACAATAGCATGTAACCACCTATATTAGAGGTCCCAAACATACCCGTGTCGGCACAAACCCATCCGCAAACAAGGCGATGTTCAAATCACCCAAAACGAACATCCAAACATCCACTGCAACACCACCCCTCTTGTGCCGACTTAAACCCAAGGTTCTTTGTTGGAATGCACGTTGGTTCTTGCGCCCCTTTGGGATAGTCCAATAGAATCCAGCCAGAAATCCAGCCCAGCCTGAAACTTGGGAAAGGGGGGTTTAACCAAACCACTTGTATCCGCCTTTTTTCTAAAAAACCTGGCACAAGGGTAGGAGAAGGGAGACCAGATGTCTAACATCTCTGCCCCTTACACATCACTCCGAGGGGAAGCTCATCCAAAAGTGGCCCAAGTGGAGATGTTCGAAAGACCCAAAATGGAAATCCGGGGACCCTTAAATCCGCGAGCAGGAAAGGAAGCGTTGTAGAGACCCGAGTGGGCCCTTGTTGTACTCTCCTGGCCATGGGTCATAACCTATGCCGATCCCATTTTGGGGCGGATGAACACCCATGCACCACGTATTTTGATGTCCACAGGGTTTTTTGACCCGCAGCCTTCTACCCGCGAGATCTTTTGAAGCCAAGCCCAGCCCAAGTTCGAGGCGGAGGAGAGCAGAAGGCTCACCGCGCTGGCCTCGGCTTCGCTTCGAACTCCAACCCCGGGGTCCCGAGGAGGCGTTCCGAAAAACGCGGGCCTCAAAATCGGGGGGGGGGGGGGGTCTTCTTTTTTGCCACCTCAAAGGTGGAAAAATGATCGACCCCCTGGTGAAGGAAAATGATGGAGCCCCCTGGTAAGTGAAGGAGTCCTTTTTGAGGGGGTCGCCAATTTTCTCACATAGGGCAAAAAGAACCCCCCCCCACCCCCCGCCTCAAAAAGAGGAGCGTTGCATCCTGAAGGGTGCGAGAGGAAGCCTGAGAAGAGGATGGTAGCAAGAGCAAACCCGGGAAGGGCGGGTTTCCTGCTGAAACCAAGGCTTCAAGGAAACCAAGTGAAAGCGGAAAAAAAGAACCCCTCGCTTCCTTCCACATGGTAGGCCAAGAGCAATCCATGCTCTAACTCTAAAACAGAGTCATCCGTTTAGGGCGCCTTCCGAATTGCTTTTGCTTTCTTTCCAAAAGTGGCAAAGGGTCCCGCGTTCTGATACATCCCAGGAAAGTAGCCAACGAAGCCGTGTGACAAGGGACGCGTTGGGAGGTCGACCATACCAGCTTCAACCAAAACCGCCATCTTGAAAAGGGAGTTTTCACACCCTTTCGTAATTGGATCAGGGCTTGCAGACATCCGCATTGGATCTCGACTTATCCTGTAGCAACAAAGGGAACTGCCTCATGCGAGGCAGCGTCCGCGACAAAGCTTACCCAGAAACTCTGCTTATGAACACGCCTTCTGCCCCAAAGAAATGCCCCATTCCTTTGGCAAAAATCGGCGTGACAAGGGTTCCACAGCCCCGCCCTGGAATCCATGACCTGCCCAATATCTAGTCAATGACCTGCCCCATGGTTTGGTTCCTTCCTTCCGCGGGCCCCAAACCTCTTCAAATGTGAAAGGACGAGGCTGGAGGCCATCTACAGGTGTCATTCTGTCTGCGTTTGGGGACCAAGGAAACCAAAGCTGTGAGCAAATGCCTTGAAAAATTCCCCATCGGTTGCGTGCAATCCAATGCCCAGCCCACCTTCCCTTCCAGATCCGATGGAACATGCAGACAAAATTCTTCGTCCAGCCCCCAAGTGGATCGACGGAAACCTCCAAATCGCCCCAGCCGCATCATGCGCAGGCTTTATGCCCGACGCGTCCCGGATCGAGACTTTGCCCTCCGCGTGCAACTCGGGCGGCGCCCTGCCGAGATACGTGGCCCGTCCATGGAAACTGACTTCAGGGCGAGGTCACTGGCCAGAGAGAGAGGTCAAAGCACTTCAGCGTCCAATACACATAGAATCCCCCAGGCTGTTGCCGGTTCTCCGAGGGTCCTGCAGTGAATGCTTGTCTGTAGCAGCTTAGCAAAATCCTGACACCCAAAACCCACCAGCGGATTGTCAACATGATGCCCATCTTCCCAAGGAGAAAACGGTCAAAACAGAACACAAGGCCCCAAACGCCCCCAAGCAGACGACGGAAGACCTTATGAGCGACCTGTATATTCACCAAGCTTCATGCTGGAGTCCTTGTGTCAAAACCCAAAACCGTGTTCTGCCCAGCCTTCAACCTTCCAACATGCGTGGTAAAGCCTTTGTGGAACGAGGCCAAGCAGAAAAACACTGAAGCAAGCTGAGCAGTGCCGAAAATAGGGTGCATAAGATCCTCTACTAACAAACTGCTTTCGCGGAACCTTTCGCGATGCTTTCGCGGCCACACGCATCACTTTCGCGGGTATGTGTTTTTTAAGGATCACTTTCGCGGAGCTTTCGCGGCGGGTTCTGGTTTTGGCTGCTGGCCACAACTTGCCAGACGCAAGTCGCAACTTTAAGTACAAGTGTGCTGCTTGAAAAACACTTGGGCAGCCGGAGCTGGAAAGTTGCGACAAGCGTAGTACGCGAAGTACACTCTGGCAGCTCCGGCTTTCGCGGAGCTTTCGCGGAGCTTTCGCACAGCCTTCGCGGAATTCGGCAGCATTTCGGATTTCAGTCTGGGCTCAAAAAGGACTTATGTCCGCAATGACTCGCGCACCTGCCCTCACGAGCCCGAAAAGGGAGGCGAAATCTGCAAAGCAGAAGCTGCGAACATGCACCTTCGCGACGCTTTCGCGGCGGGCTCTTCTTCAGCCACTTTCGCCGCAAGCTTTCGCGCCCTGCGTTTTAGCTTTCGCGAGGCTTCGCTAGAAGAGGCCCTCAATTAACTCCTTTCTTAAAGGTTTTTTGACGCTGCTCACCTGGCAATAAGAACCATAATAAAACCGATAGCAGCTCCAAAACCGAGACCAGCATACCCATAGGTTTCTGAAAGCCCTACTGTAAGACCCATGAATCATAATCAAACCAAGTATTATAATTGTCTACTCAACGACTTGCAAAGAATCAAAACGGCGGCTGCAATGGTTGCCACCGCCTGCTGCGAAGCACCTGCAAGAATTCCTCGAAGCCGTCGAGCGGCGTGAAGGAGGAATGCGCGATGCGCCTGGCGAGTTCGCGGTAACCCGGTTGCGCGGTAACACTGGTAGAAGGGAACCCTTTTCGGGTTTCGCCATGTTCAAACGAAAAGGGAGAACCCACGGAAAGCTGGGGTGATATTCACCCTGGATTAATCAAACCTGCCAAGTAGGGGCGTCCCATTTGACACCCTGGTCTGACGGCAGTGTTGATTCGTCATCAACATATCTCCAAAATAGGGGGACGCTTTCACTAGCACTCAGCGCAAAATCAAATTCCAACTTTAATCTCGAAACAAGCCCGGGTTGGCGAGAGGCTCTCGCCATTTACTTGTATTGAAATCCCAAAAAGAAAGGGCGCTCTTTGTCCCAATCAAAAGTTACTTTCGACTCGCCAAGGTTGAGTGACCCCACTTGATAAAGACTGCCACCATCGGGGAGAACAAAAACGCATCATGGTTGCCAAGCTGTGCTCCAGGGCAAAGTGACTAGAGGGGGTGATGGTTACGGCAGTTTGTCCCCAATTTAAAAATTCGGCACTGCAAAAGGGAATACAACCCTGGCCCTTGCATCCTTTGAACTATATTCTCTGGGGCCCCCAAGGCCAGCTTGGCTTCACACCGGACAAGAGCAGAGCCAGCCAAATGGCAACCATCTACGTCGAGTTGGGCATCAAGCCAGCTGTCGTAGCACTCCTCAGTTTGACTTCAGCCTGTTTCACAAGCCTGGGTTGCCGTCCAGTCCACCTTTCGCGCAGATCCCATTGGCGCTACCTTCGCTTCAGGCGCCGACAGGAGCCTCAGACATCGCCTCGAGAACTCCTCGAGGAGGGACTGGGCCTGGATAAGCTGACCGCCTGTCTGGCAGGCGCCGATGGCTGCGTCAAAGCCGATTTCACTCCCCACCATCGCCTCGCGCATGAGCCAGAACAGGGCCAAGGCTCGCTGCCACTGCCCGGCTTTCTCACAGGCGATAAGAGCTGCGCCGAAGCTGATCTCAGTTGCTTGCACCTTTGCTTCGCACATTGTGAAAAAGAGAGCCAATGCATGCTGCCACGCCAAGCCTTTCTCGCATGCGCTTATGCTGGCATTAAAGCTGATCTTATTTGCTTGCACCTTTGCGCTGAGCATCACCTTAAACACAGCCAGAGCGTGCTGCCACTGCCCACCCTTCTCGCAGGCGCTGATTGCTGCGCTGAAGCTGAAAACATTTGCTCGAACATTTGCCTGAGGCAGTATCTGTAGGAAAGAAAGTGCCCGCTGCCACTGCCCACCTTTCTCACAAGCACTGATGGCCGCGCTGAAGCTCAAGATATTTGCTCGCGCCATTGCCTCATTCATATTCCAGAACAGGGCCAGTGCCTGCTGCCACTGCTCACCTTTCGCACAGGCGCTGATGCCTGCGTTGAAGCTGATCTCATTTGCCTGAACCTCTGCTTGTGGCATGGCTTGGAGCAAGGCTAATGCCTGCTTCCAGCTGCCACCCTCCTCACAGGCGCTGATGCTCGCATTGAGGCTGACTTGGTTGGGATGCACCCGTTCTTCAGGCATCTCCTTCAACAAAGCCAAGGCCTGCTGCCAGCGACCGTCCTTGTGGCAGGCGCTTATGGCTGCACTGAAGCTGTAGACATTTGCTTGCACCGCTGCTTCAGGCATGGCCCGCAATAAGGCCAAGGCCTGCTGCCATTGCCCGCCCTTCTCGCACGCACTGATGGCCGCACTGAAGCTATAGACGTTTGCTAGAATCCTGGCCTGGGGCATCGCATTGAACACTGCTAGGGCATGCTGCCACTGATCACCTTTCTCGCAAGCACTGATGGTTGCACTGAAGCTGTAGACGTCTGCTTGCACCTCCGTCACAGGCATATTCCAGAATAGGGCCAACGCGTGCTGCCACTCCCCGGCTTTCTCACAGGCGCTGATGGTTGCGTTGTAGCTGATCTCATCTGCTTGCGCCTCTGTTTCGGGCAGCGTCTTGAACAACGCCAGCGCCTGCTGCCACTCCCCGACCGCCTGGCAGGCGCCAATGGCCGCGCTGCAGCACACCTCGTCCGCCTGCACCTTTGCTTCAGGCATGGCCCAAAACAGGGCCGCCGCCTGCTGCCACCGCCCGGCCTTTGCACAGCACTGGATGGCTGCGCTGAAGCTATAAACATTCGCCACCTGTGGCATGGCCAGGATCATGCACGCCTCCCGCCAAGCTCGGAGCCTCGAGCAGGCCACCAGCGCCGCCGTGACATCTCGGGCGACGACCAGAGCTTTTCCCGTGAGAACCTCCAGCACTCGGACCAACACGTCGGGTCGCTTCAGCTGGCCCAGTGTGGTCATCAACTCCCTCACACTGGCCTTGCCCAAAGAAGCCCCCATTGCCGAGGATGAGCGCCTGTCCAACTGGCCCAGCGCCTCTTTCAGATCCTGCGAAGTAGAAACAGCTGTGGGCGGCTCTTCTTGAGCGGATCTCATGATCCGGCGAGCCCTCCCGCAACCAACAATGGAAAGGAGCAGCAGACACGCCTTGCAATCCAACGATGCCACGCGCGAGAACCCGATGGATCCCGGAGTGGCCGGTGGTATGCGCAGCACTCCCCCTCCACCAAGGGGGGTCGCTTTCAGGGGCAAGTCCATGGCGAGCCGCTCGGAGGGACCGGCAAAGACCAAATCGAAGGAACGCTGAGCGGTGCGTGCAGCCTTGAAGCTTTTCCCCTTACGTTGTATTCTTTGCACCTCTCATTTCACATGGGTGGCAGAAAGGGGGCATCCCGAGAGCAAACATGCTGTTCAAGGATGTTGGTGATGCCGCGGGAAGCTGAGTGCGATTTCAGGGACGCAGTGGATTCTCCAAGAAGCCCCTTTTACTCAGCTCCAAGATATGATCGAGCATTTCCAATATCTCCTTCAACTGAGTCTTCAACTAGCGCCATTGTTGGGGGCCCAAAGCGCAGAAAGTTCGAAAATCTCATGCATTTGGGCCAACTGTACCAATGCCAATGTGAGCTCTGGGTTCCATGCCGGGCAAATGGCACACCCACTTGACTCGTCTAACAACCGAAAGGGCATCTTGCGTTGCTTAATAAGTTTGTGTTTGTGTGAAACGTTTCACAGGGCAGTGAACGGTGAGGGAGGGTGAGTGGAAGCACCACTGCCATGCCTCTTGAGGTTGAGAGTGTGAATGCAAGGCCGCTGGTCGGCCCCTCTTGCATGCCTTCTCAGTAGGGGTTCTTTGAACGATTCTGAGAACCTTTCCATCTCTGCTTCAAAACGGGCAAGGCGCACAAATGGGGAAATCAATGGTAGACGCTACATCTGAGGCATGTGTGCAAAAAATATCCTACCCTGGAAGATGTTTTCAAAAACGGACACAAGTTGACTAGGAGCAGAGGCAGTCCCGCATAAGGCTGGGGTTGGGACCATCATACATCCATCGGGGGTTCCAACAGACCTCTAGCGAAACCCAAACACCAAGCTTGCAAGCTCCACGGCCAGAACTTGCAGTCCGGTGCTGCTAGGCTCGGATGAACGTGGATAACCCCAACTTCCAAAGGAAACCATAGCATCTCAGCAAACAACCAACAGCTACATGGCCTACATCTAGTGAAAAGAAGCCCAGATCTGCTGAAGGAACGTTTAGCAGCATTTGACTATATACCAGTCCCTCATCCGCTCCATGACAAGCATTCTGCACAGGCAAAATGAATATGCAAAACTGCTTTTGCAATCTCTGCTGGAGCAGTGGCAGGTCACGCTGGCTAAAACTCAGCTCAAGCAGGCCGGGATTTCTGGGACAAAGTTGGAATGGAATGCTCAAATGTTGCAACAGGCTCATGACGGCAGCGCGGATATCGGAGGTACCCCAATCCTTCCGTGACTTGCCATACCCTGTGATCACTTCACACCTGCACGGTGCGCCGGAGCGCAACCTGTTGCTGAGCTCTGGCAAAACTAATGCATGTAGCCACCACCATACGGCAAGTTGGGCTGCGGCTTCTGAAAGATCGTGAAGGTCAATACGATTCCACCTCGCTGCAGCCAGCTTCTGATATATCCTGTCCTGCAAGGCTTTTTGGAAGAGGTCAATTGCAAAGGGCTTGCCCTGAACCGCGTCAAGCAAGCAGTTGTAGCTCACTTCTCCTGTAAAAAAAAGGGACAGCGCCTGCTGCCACTGCCCACCCTTCTCACAAGCAATAATGCTGGCAGTGAAGCTGATATTATCTGCTTGCACCTCTGCTTTGGTCATGTCATGGAACAGCGCCAACGCCTGCTGCCACTGCCCACCCTTCTCACAAGCACTAATGCTGGCAGAGAAGCTGATATCATCTGCTTGCACCTCTGCTTTGGTCATGTCATGGAACAGCGCCAACGCCTGCTGCCATTGTCCGCCCTTCTCGCAAGCACTAATGGCAGCATTGAAGCTGCAAACATCCGCTTGTACCAGTGCTTGCGGCATGGCTTGGAACAGGGCCAGCGCTTCCTGCCATTGCCCGCTCTTCTCGCAAGCACTAATGGCAGCACTGAAGCTGACAAGATTTGGTTGCACCTTCGATTTGGGCATGACCTGGAAAAGGGACAGCGCCCGCTGCCACTGCCCACCCTTCTCACAAGCACTGATTGTAGCACTGAAGCTGATGACAGTTGCTTGTACCAGTGCTTGCGGCATGGCTTGGAACAGGGCCAGCGCTTGCTGCCACTGCCCACCCTTCTCGCAAGCACTAATGGTGGCACTGAAGCTGATATCATCTGCTTGCACCTCCGCTTTGGGCATGTCCTGAAACAGGGCCAGCGCCCGCTGCCACTGCCCACCTTTCTCGAAAGCACTAATGCTGGCATTGAAGCTGATATCATCTGCTTGCACCTCCGCTTTGAGCATGTCCTGAAACAGGGCCAGCGCCCGCTGCCACTGCCCACCTTTCTCGAAAGCACTGATTGTGGCGTTGAAGCAGTAGATATTGGCTTGGACCCCGGCCTTAGGCATGGCTTGGAGGATCAAGCAAGCATCTTGCCACACTTTGAGCTTGGAGCACAAAGAAAGCGCAACCGTAAAGTCCCGCGGGTCCAGTCGCCTTTGCTCTTCCATGAGCACCTGCATTGTGCTGAGTAGAAGGTCACCGCGCCTCTGATTTGCCACCATGTGCAAAAGGTCCCTCACTGGCATAGATTGCAAGCCAGACTCCTGCAAAGCAGCCCGCACATCCTCCAGTGCTGGGCGTCTGCGCAGCTTGCAAAGCGCTGACCCTTCTGGCACGGACACTCTGACTTTGCGCTGAGGGGCAGAGTTGCGGCAAACGCTTCTCGCTTTCTGGAAAAAACGCCACACTGCCGTGGCTGCCAAGGAGCTGCATGCTTTGCAAGGGACACCTTCGCGCGGTCTCAAGGTTGGCACCTCTGGTCTAGCCCGAGACCATGTCGCCTTTGGTTGAAGCGGCACGGCATCCATAACGAGTGCTTTGCTCAGCTAGCCGCGGTTCGCTGATAAATACAACGAGAGCTTGGTGGCTCCAACAACATGCTCGGTTTAGGATGTTGGAAACACAGGGCCTGCACAGGATCCAAAGACACAAGGGTGGCACGCAAGGGGTGCAAGTCATTCGAGGGCTGCAAAGGATGCAAGAGATGCAAGGGAGGCAAGAGATGCAAGGGATGCAGGGGATGTGGGGATGCACGCGACGCAAGTCATTCGAAGGCTGCAAAGGATGCAAGAGATGCAAGGGATGCAGGGGATGCCGGGGATGCACGATGCAGGGATGGGATTGATGCAGGTGATGCAGGCGATGCGAGGGATGCAATAGGATGCAGAGGATGCAAAAGATGCCCGTAGGATGCACGGCACGCAAACACACGCAGGATGCAGCACACGCAGAAATAGGAATGAGGATGTGATGAAGGCACCGTTTGACTCAGGCACCTCTGCCCAATGCACCACTGGCACCTGCAGCAATCCTTACATTCCCCACACAGCAGGCACTCAGCAGCCCCAATCCACTGGATTCCTTGCATCCCTGCATCCTACTCATACCTTGCATGTTACATCTACATCCTCTTCTTGTGGCCGCCGTTTGCTTAATCCACTCCTTTGGGTATGCGAGCGAAAAGTCCGTCTCAGCGAGCTCTGAAATCCGGGGCTCAAAATCCAGTTGAGATCGCTGAAGTACTGACCTTCTGAACCCCAAGGTGCAAAGGTCTGGATCTGGTTACATCTGCCCCGCACGTTGCTTGGAGCTATTGTAATTACAAGTATCAAAGAGCTCACTCAATTCCAAACTGTAACATGCATGTAACATGTATATAGAATGTACTCGCTTTGTATTCTCTCTCTCTCTCTCTCTATATATATAGCATGTGCAGACAGAAATGGAATGGAACTCGACCTCTGAGGCCTGCCATTCCCTTCCCTCCATAGCCTGCAAAGCTCCAGGAGAGTGTACCGGGTCTGCAGGGGCGTGGCTGAGGACAGCACTGCCTGGCAAAGGTCTCGTGGGTGGGAGCCCCGACTTTGGCTCGTGTGGGATAAAATGAGAGGCTTTCCTCCAAAAAAGTCTCTAACCCACTTGGATGAGCAGGTCTTCCACGAACATGGCACTGGGAGGGTGCCTGGAAGATTGGTATCCTCAAGGGACCCCATGTCTGCTATGTTAGGAGCGGGGGTAACCACGTGCTTGGTAGCCCCAATTCGCAAGTCCTTCAAGCGGGTTGTAGGGCAAGTCCTGCTTCGGGGCTTAAATGGGAGTAATTACTCGTGCTGACTGGCCGACTAGTCGTCCAAGTACTATGGACAACTAGCAGAGAAACAGAAGCTCAAGTTGGAGTCCCCACACAGTTTGGGCTCGGATCATCCCAGCAACCAACTGCACTTGGGTGTTGCTAGCGCACTGTGGGAATTGGCTCAAGGGAAACAAAAAGAAACAACAAAAACAAACATTCTTTGAGGGATCTGTATGAGGACATACCGAATGTGGTTATTGAAACGAGGGCCTGCTTCCAAGATGCGCCACATTTTGCAAATTTCAGCCAGTGGGATGTGGGCACGAGTCTCTAAGCTGGGTCCCTGGCTAAGACAGCACACCCAAAGCGTGGCCATCTCAAATCTGCTGGTATTTCGGCCATGCTCAACAGGACCTGTTGAGGAACCCTGCATGACCGGGTGACCAGGCCATTTTGCCCACACATCAGAAACGATGTCTTGCTGACAGTGGGAATATGCAATGGTTCAAACCTGCAAGCGAGCACGGCCAAATCCGGGCTTGTTGTCACTCAAAAAGTATAACTACCAAGTAGGTGGTAGTGCAAGAGTTTTAATAGTCTTGTATTGTGACCTCCTATTGGACAGTCGGAGCTTTTTGCTCAAAGGAAGGACCGTCAACCAATTTCCAGGAGCATGCAAATCATGCGTAGAGGTGCTACGAACTCTCTTAAGGACCAGCCTTTTGACCGCCTGGGAAATAAGGTGTACGTCTTTAAGGGGTCCCCATCATCCCAGCACGGCATATTCCTCTACGAAATGAGGCATGTCGGCTTCCACGCTGATCTACAGGTGCTCAAACCCAACAACCCCTGGTTGATGAATGAGGGGGACATTTCCTCGGTGGCTTTCTGCTCCCCTGCTAAATGTTTAACTTTTAGTGGTTTAATGGAAAACCCGTTAGTTGGCAACAAGCTAAAGTCCTAACATCCAAGCAAAATGCACCAAAGTTTCAATTGGGATCCTTTATTTCAGAAACTTCAACTAATGATGCTTAAAGCGCATGACTGGGAGGACCTGGACCGGTGAATGGCGTTGTGATTTCTGGGGTTGAAGCGAAGCCTCATAGAGCAGCGGCAAGAGGTGCTTGTCCGGATACAGCACCTCAGTCAGAAGGGAAGACACGCACGCATGATGGGCACGGGTTTGTCTCCAAATGAGGGAAAACCAAAACTCTAGGGGTTGATTCCGCTTCCATTCTGTTCAACCATCGTTCTTTTCGACAAAACGGCAATTTTCCCCGGGGTCCGGAAGTTTTCTAGAAAGAAGGATCCCTGGAAAGCATGGGGAAGGTACCCCTAGAAAAATGGATGGCGTCCCTTTCGCTTCTCTTTTAAGCAACCCACAACCCAAACGGTAGCCGCCCCAAACCGGCAACAAATAAGTAAGCCTTTCGGTGATATCGAATTGCCATCTCTGATGATCACAAACTGAACCACACATTCAATCACGCCTCAAACAGCGAGCAAGTTTCCTGGTACCACAGGGTTTGTGGGAACGGTTTCGATAAAGCCAAGGAATCCCCTTGAAAGCGATCAAGTGGCTCGAATAGCCTTCTACAAGGCACATATGAGCCAACCTCCCGCCAAGGTCATGCTTTGATTTGTGGCAAAAATGGTTTACGATCCCCGAAAGAACATGCGCGATCCGTCCCTGAAAGCAGGCCAGCTTGGGGTTCCCTTTAAACCCTCCCAACAGGTGGTCCCCATTTGTTTGACACACCCGCCAGGGTTCCGTTTGTTGACTACCCCAAAGCAGACTCAAACTGAACTCGGTTGCTTTCTGCTCCCCTGCTAAAAGTTTAACTTTTAGTAGTTTAATGGAAAACCCAGTAGTTGGCAAAAAGCTAAAGTCCTAACATCCTTTGGCAAAATGCACCAAAGTGAACCCATGGCTTTCACCTCAGGGTATCCCATGAAAACTCCGGCCCGCGCGAGCTCGTGCCACCCCGAAGGCCCCGCAGGCCCTGAAGCCCGACTCATCTCAGAATCGAGCGTTGTGCAGAAGCTCGTGGGAGACGAGGCGGCAGAGCCAGTCGGACTGCAAAGCCGTCTGCACCAACAAAGGCACCTCGGTCCAGCTTCACGTTCAGGTGGCTAGTGGGAGGTTAGGGTGGCGTTAGTGTTCAGTCTGTTCTTTGTAGCAGTCTTAAGGAAACAAAGACGCAAAGACATAAAGACACAAAGACACCAAGACACAAAGACAGAGAAACAGGTCTGTGCATATATGCATATATGTACGATATGTGTGGTGTAGGGCTAAGGGACAGGAAGGAACTGCCCCCAGGGCGTCTCTGAAACAAGGTGTCACTCGCCAGAAAAATGCGGGGCTGTGAAATAAATATGTGGCCAATCATCTAGGATGTGTTGACTCCTCAGGTCATTTCTCAGTTGCCTGGATGGGAAGCAAAACATCTGGCTATCGATAGAGGAGTGCGTCCTGGAAAATCAAGACGCTCGATTGTGGAAGCTCAAGCAATGTCGCAAAGTGCACAAGCCACAAGGTAATGTTAACCCCGGATTAATAAACCCTGGTATGATGAATAGGTGGGTGTCCCCTTTTAGTGGGGAGTCATCACTTTTGGAGGGAGCACCCCCCTAAGAATGGGACGGGATTATTAATCCTAGGTCAACATTATGGAACCGACAAGGTACGGAACAGGGGATCCCTTGTTCCCTACTTAAAATATCAAACGCTTCAACTGGTAAAGAACTCATCCCCATGCAAACGGTCCTTTGCATCTTAGAATTTTACGCCATCCACGAGTTGCAGTGACTGCAAGCAAGCTCATTTGGCTGTGGGTCAATACCAATGGGACCCCATTTTGGGGTGGGTGCACCACTCATTTTAGAACCTATTTTAGTGGGGATTGGGATGTTCACTGGGGGAACGGGGTTTTGGCCCATGGCCATTTATACTCCTAAACTCCTACAATCCCACGAGGCTCCAATCGTCACCCCGCCTGCCAGCCCTTGAGGCCATGAAGGGGAAGAAGGAAGTTGGCACAAAGCAATACGGCAAGACGGACAAAGAAACCAAAACCTCCTTTTCTATCTTGTTGGCTGTCCCCTGAAAAGGTCGATTCAATCTGGGGGCCTAAATTCTCAACCCCCACCCAGCCAGCCCCCGACCACTGCCCCCTTCAAGTGCCCAAAAGTACCAAAGTTCGCAAAAAGAAGGAGTTGCAGCAAAACGACCCTTCAGTGTCCACCCCCTAAACCCCCCCCCACCTCAAAATATCCCTCCCTCCCCACTCCCAGGAGATCGGGCCATGGAGGTGTAGAGCTCCGGCAAGTTCAGCTCAGCGAGGATCACCACCACGTTGGCGTAGACCTGCGAATCCGCGCGCCGTCCAGGCCGCGGAAGTGAGGGGCAAAGCCGAAAATGGTGACCATGCCCAGAAACGATCCTGTGTTATAGTATCGCTTCTTGTTGGTTTGAGGTTTATAGCGTGCCCTTTACCGCTTTTTGATGGCTTCTTGTTTGGTTGATGGTGAGTTAGACCTTGATTGGAGGGTTTAAATGGTTTAGGGTGGTTCTCCAATCAATCCCAGCCCCCAATTCAGTGGCCAGGAACAGGGAAAGCAAAACGTTCATCCGACCGAAAAGAAGAAGAGAAGAAAGGGTACTTGCCGCTTTAACAGATTTCTGACAAAAAGCAAATGGAGAAAACACGAGTACGGTGGACGCACCAAATGTTGCAAGTAAGGGAAGAAGGGGATCCTCAAATTTTCCGTAATGTACCATGGTTACGTGGTTGAGCGTGGTTGGTTTACTTGCAATACTTAGGGCATCCACCCCTTTGGTTTGAGTTCACAACAGAAGCCCACCTAAAGGGTGAGAACGACTTTCGAGTTGGCAGCGAGCCGCGCCGAGGGAGACCCTGGCTGAATTGCGGCATCTGCTCAACTAGCCTATGGTGAACACAGGGTGCCAACTAGGGAGCCATGTCTCGGGCACCGTGTTGCCTTTCAAACATAGAAATGCGCTTAGGCGGCTACTCGTACTCCAATGCGCAGCGGGCAGGGAAGAAACCCAGCATGAGACCTGGAAAGCCTTGAAGGGGATATGAATCTTTCGGGGGTCTTCAATCAGCATACCGGACCACATAGCAAAAGCGCCATTAATAGTTCGCCCTTGGTGGAAGCGACAACAAACGGAGCTCAGTCGGGAATGAATACATGCTGCCCATGCTGGATGAAAGTGACACTGCTCATCATGACCATGGCAGGAAGGGTAAGACTCTCATAGGTCCGTGGATGTCGATCAAAAACACCTGTGTCACAGGAACTCTGAAGCCAGGTGATGGTGGTTGCAGCTTGACTGGAGTATGTTGCCAGGACCTCAGACCGTCGGAACACCCATCATACGGCCCCCTTGCAGATTGCAAAGCCCGGAGGAAGCCCAATGTCGCAGACTCTCCGGGAGAAATAATTGCCAGAATTCACCAACCTAAATGACCATGGGTCAAAATCCCGTACCCCCAGTGAACATCCCAATCCCCACTAAAATAGACTAAAATGGGTCATTTGTTTCGACCCACAGCCAAATTGAGGAATCCCTGACAAACCGTCAATGGCCCGGGATCAGCGAGCTCGCTAGAACTTGTGTGAAACAAGAGGTGTGGACCCGCCCAAGCATCGACTGACGCGCCCAGTGGACTTGCCAGAACAAGTTTGAGCTCTTTGGGCCTCGGCTAGACTTGCTGGTTCTCAGCAGGGAATGAGGGAATGACCGTCCCTTGAGATTTCCTTTAAGGGGACCCCTGGGTTCATTCCCACATTCCCTACCTATCGCACCAGCAAGTAGAATGCAGAACTCACTCAACATCTCAGGAATGAGGGAATGACCACCCCATGGCCATTTTTTGTGGGGACCCCTGGGTTCATTGCCAACTTCCCCTCAACAAGTGCCAACTCAACCGGCAAGCCAACGCCATTCAGCAGCCGCCGCCTCGTCCTTGAAGCGGTTGTTGCACAAGACCGCGTTAGCGAAGGCCACCAGACGCGAGGGCTCCGCGCAGTACTTGTGCCCTGCCGCTCCGAAAATCGATCGGCGGAGATGTGCCGAGGATCCCTCCCGGCACCGGGGCAACATGGCTTTCTCATGGAGGAATCGGTGAGAAAGGGACGCTTTGTCTCCGTAAAATGGACTTTCTGGTGAGTTCCATGTTGGAGAGAGGGCAATGTTTGGACTTTTTTAAGATCACCCTTCCAGAGGAAATACATGGGGGGCCCATGAGTGTTGAGGGGAAGTATAGGGAATGATGTGGATATGAATTCCAACGAGAAGTGCCCTCCAAAATGGTTGGTAGACATAAGTGCCCATGAGCACAATGCAAACCAATGGGTCTAAATGCATACCCATGGTTGAAACTGCAGTACCGGGTTCGGGCACTGCTCAGGTGTGTTCCTTTGGGTTTCCTTTCAAACAACCCCAAAATGGGTACCCTCCAAAACCGACACAGACAAGATATTGAAAATCGATCTTGTTTGATACCTACTTTGTCACGGTGAAGGGGATTCTCGTGACGTCGTAGAAAGTCAACCTACTAAATCCCCATGTTCCACACTCATGAACAAAGAACAGTTCGGTTCGATGACAAGAACCTCCTTGCATGGGCGTCTTGCAATTTCAAACAAAGCCGAAAAGAGAGTCCATGCGAAGGCAGGCATTTTGAGGAGGTCGGTTGGTTGAACCAAGGAGCTTATTGTTAGGATAACTGCACAATTGTTTGCTGGTCAGCAACGAACCCTTTGGATGATTCCCACTGACAGAAGGCTCCAATGCACTCCGTGGAAAAGTGCCTCGTTTTGACACGGCCGTCTCAGTACATCCGAAACTCGCTGGAATCTGATTGCAAGCAATGGTCCTGTCATCTACAGCAGTACAAGTGACGACATGGGGCACACTCACCAAAATACTCTTCGCAGACGGAGGCCACTCACCAGAAACAAATGTTATTGGGGATACAATCAACGTTGACCGTGGCTCATGTGGAAAAGTACTGAACCAAGCCCAAAACTGGAAAGTCCTGCAAACTCGCAACCTCCTTTCAAAGCGTGTTGTGGAAGATCAAGTGTTTCGGGGCCAGCTCCTATTTTTCGAAGCACCCACATGAACAAGCGCCAGCCCTGTCTGCTGATAGCGATGCATCCCACTTCTGGTGACCCTAGTCCAGCTGCTTACCTTTTGCAATTGCCTAAACCACCCACACCAGAGTCAGGTTGAAGGCAAACCATCGAATGAACTCTGATCTTGCTAGGGAGAAACCGCCAACTTCAACCGATCCTTTTTGGTGAACACTTGCTACCTAGAAACAGCCAACTTCAACGGGTCCACAGGGTCCTAGAAACAGAACACCAGTTTTTGGGAGATCTCCGTTGGCGCCGGACCCCTTTGGGGCAAAAACGACAAAGGCACCGCCCGCGACGACGACAAAGGCACCGCCCGTCGCGCCTGACTTCTTCACGGGCACCTCCACCGGCGGCTCGTGGACTGCCAGGACCCGCACCTCGAAACGGGGCGAATGCCGCGTCCTTCGTCTTTTTCGGGAATTCGGAGCCCCCGAAAAATGTGGGCGTCTTTATTTTTGGGCGTGTTTTAAAGGGCGTGGTGGTTGTCTCTTTTTTTGGTTTCCCTTTAGAACAAATCCCAGAAAGGGGCGTAGAACGTGATCCTTGCTGGTTTCCCTTGAAAAAAAAGACTGAACGGGGCCCCACACAAGAAACAAAAAAGACAGGGAATGTCATGGGCGAGCTCGCTCTACTCACGTGGTGAGCTTCTAGACAATATGCTCAGAGAACCTGGGCAATGAAAAAGACGTTTACTTGGGGATTCGGGGAAGGGGGAAGGACCCACTGCATGAAGTGGCGGGATTCCTTGTTGGTTTCCCTGTTTGGTTGATCTACCCTCAGAATGGGTGCTGTTCCGTTGGCTGTCAAGCAAGTGTCGACATAACATGACTGCGGGCCTGACTTTAGCACGCCTCAATATCAAATCACACCACCCCTGTGCGTGCTTTTAATGTCAAAGCAAGTGGCCGCCAGACCTGTTCAGTCTCATGCCAAGAAGATAGAATATATATATATATATACTGTATACATATATCATATATGTATGTGTGTTTGTGTATGCATATACGCGTATATAAATATATGCAACACATTACAAGCAAGATGAAACTGAACAGCAATTGAATAGAGAGGTTGCTCTTTGTCTGATTACAAAACATTTAACATTCAATAACATGCTCAATGTGGCTGGAAGATCCCTGGTTGCTTTCATGCCTGTCTTCAGCGGCTTCCCCAGGCCGCGAGCCTCGGTGTCCGTCATCATCTTGGGCTGTGAGGATTGGAAATGGATCCAAGCCTGGACAGCGCTCATCGGTTGTTCGTTGAGCTAAACGAAGAAACGGGTGGCTACTGGATCCAAAATTTTCAAAAGGAATAGGAAGTCGAACCAAAGCCAACCTAGGAAAGGTGAATGAGACTTACTTTCTTCCGCATGCCTCGTATCCGAGACATGTATTCACGCTCGCCTGAAATTTGCGACCGGCATCCATTTTGCTTCAACATGGCCTGAGATGACCCCTCTGGGAAGTTTTAGCTCTGTCTCCTTGGAAAGGCAACCGGGCTTGGGGAGCCTTCATCCCAGAACACCTTGAGCAAGTCTTAGCCCTTCCCAAACCTCAAGGGTGAGTCGCTTGGACGCTAGACGCTTGGAGGCGACAGCCATGGATGTTGGTGTTTGCAACACTTGTTGCCAAACCCCGTCAATCCTTCTCCCCAATTCCGATCCCTCTGCCCGGTCACGCTCCGGCCTTGTTGCTTTGCCTCGGGGAAGCGCCCAAACGCTCGCTTCGGGTCCCTGTCGGCTGGTTGGGGCAGGGCCGCCAGAAAATGAAATGTGCCCTGACCAAGCATGGCGTGATGGGCTCGTTTTTAAGCCCACGTTCAGGAGGCTTTAGCAAGGGCGCTGCTTTGCAGGGTTCGTACAGTTGCCCCCTAATTCGCTACTCGTCTGAGCACACAAGGCAAGTGGCTTAAGTATATCGACCGGAACATGTGCCTCCGTATTCGCAAAGAAAACTGTCCACGCGGGCGGGGTACCCTCTTCACATGCCACAGAGTTCCAAATCACAAAAGTCTTATTTGGGCTAGGTTCCCGGCTTCGTTTTGGTCCCAGGTCTAGTTTCGCTGTTTTTTTTCAGGGAGGATTGAAGAGAGAACCCGTCCAATGGTTGCCTTGCCAAGTGGCCAGTGGTACAATTGCATGCCTGGGGATAGACTCTTCCTCTGGGATGGGTGGTGTGCTTCCGTTCTAAAAAGCAGGCCTAGGGATTTCCATGTCTGGCATTGAGCGGCCTAGTACTGCCTGTGAAACATTGTTCTATGGAGTGAACAACTTTTAGCTGGTGTCCGTTTTGGAGTTCTTTCAATGACTGTTGAACTTAAGGCCTGTTTGGTTGCTTGCCAAGCTCTGGATTCATCCGAGGGAGGCATGCCAACCTGAGGAATCCCCAAGAAGGAATCCGTTCCCAACTGAAGCTAAAGAGGAACTGCTCGTGATGAGGAAGGTCCTCCGTTTTCATCCCAAGTGAACACTAAGAGCACATCACGTTGCCAGCCCCCAACCTCCGTCGGTCGCCTTCCGAACGGGTATGTCCAACTGGGAGCCCAACAATCGTACCAAATTGTCGGAGCTTTGGTATCGCTTGAAATCCGGCTTTTGGCTTCCCGCGCAAAGTATGAAGAAACTTCAGGACCTTTGGCTTCCCTGAAGGCCCGACCTCTTGGGTTTCCCGGCAAAAAAGATCCCTCAACACCATCCAAAAGAAGTTACCAATTTAGCGGGGAAAAAAAGAAGCAGGACCTTTGGATCCCTTGAACCCTCTCCTTTTGGGTTTCCCCTTTGGGCACCAAAAAAGAGTCGTGGACCCACGTGATCTTGGGCTCCCGGGCGTCAAGGCCCCGATCTCCAGGCGGGGGGAGCCGATGTGCTTCTTGTCGCGCACGCAGACCTGCTCCTGCAGATCCTCCAGCAACGTGGACACCTGCACCGGTGGCCACGACCACGTGGCTGGCATGTTTCTTTTTTTGGTGGGACCCTCTTTTGGTCTTAAAAACGAAACCAGAAGAGAAGGAAACAAGCAACGTGGACACCTGGCGCACTCCAATGACGGCGCGCCACCGATTTTTCCACCGACCAGACCGGACGCTGACGATCGGGGGCTTGGGACTACTTGTTCCTTTTGGGGGACCCACCTGTCCACTTCCATGTTGGACAAAGGGTACACATGGACTCGAAATCTGCGACTTCACGATTTGAGGATACCTTTGGGTTGTTGAAAAGGGACACGAGGAAATCGGAAACCCCATGGTTGGGTGTTCACTCTGTTGGGCAGGCACCAGTTGGTAGATTTGTCAACCAGGCTTCCATCCCAGCTGGTACAGGACTTTGTCCATCCATGGCAGGTGAAGCCAGAAGCACTGCTCTGTATTTACCATGACCAATGGTTGGTTGATTGCTTTTACCCCAAAAGGGCTTACCAACCACTTTTGATTGTTCACCATAAATTGTTGCTCATGTTGGATCTGTTTTTAGTGGACCTGCTGAAAACAAGGTTTGATCGTGACGCATGATTCCGGTACTGCTCACTGCTTGTAGTTCAACAGGATACTTGGATGAACAGCTCACGTCCCCTGGGTAGGAGTTACCCTACAAGCCACTTGAGCAACTTACCAACTAGCCACGTACTTCTGGGGGTGGTCATCCAAGCAAGGCCGCAAAGAAAACGTCGAAACCCCGCGGGTTCCCTGAGCCCGTCCAAACGTCCAAGCGTCACCCCAACAGCAAAGTCACATCAAATTCGCCCCCGGAAAGCGGCGTTTAAACCCATGGAAGGAGGTATCCGGCGCGAGTTGTGAGGCGCTAAAGGGCCTCGTGGTCTGCCCCTTTTTCAGCCAAAAAGGCGAAGCACCACCTATGTTTCTCTCATCATGCCGTGGGGTGAAAAGACCCTGCATAACTCCTTCCCGAAATGGCCTCAGGGAAGCCACATAGGTCTCTGCAGAAGTTGACCAGTTGCTTACTGGTTCCTTGTGATAGGCCTGGAAGCGTTGCACGATGCGCTGGAGCCCCCTCGCCCCAATAGTCCAATGCCTAGAAGCGAGGTTTCATCTGGCTTCTTGACGCTCGGCGTGCTTGGAACGTCGCTTGGAACTTGTGCCTGCTGAAAACCTGGTCACCACCACAACCATTGGTTTTTGAAGATGAACGAGAACAAAAGGAACCCATTGAGTGGTGTAGGCGATCGGAACCCGGGAATATGGGCCGCATTCCCTCGCCTCTCCGTAGGTGCGCAGGGACATGGGGTAGAACTTTTCCGTCCACACCTTCCGCAGTCGGCCCAGGGGCGTGGGCGCTGATACTTTGGTGTACAACCCGCCAGCACGCATTTCTCCAAACAGGGTTAAAGGGCAAGGGGAAACCACCCAGCAACTCTGACTTTTAACCCCCAGAATCCGTCCACCTGACAGAACCATGCCCCTGAGGTCTGAGGGCTTGGTGCTCAAAAAAAGTCGCCCCTCTCAGTGCCCCAGGCATCCGGGGGGTGTGCTAACCTGAAAAGTCCGGGCCAACCCCTTGTTCAGACACGTCATCACGGTTGATGAGGCACACTCTCCAAGATCCAAGTCTACAAATCAATGCAACGACTCTGGCTGTGTTGAACCATTGACTTCAAACACAAATCTGGTTGAGTGAAAGTACAACTGACATGCCCCTCCAACACCCAGAAAGGTTTAGCTTCATCGTGGGTAAGGTCGCAAACCCCGGCCACAATTTGCCCTCTGCCAAAGAGCAGAAAGGCACGCCAAGATGGGGAAGCCTCTCCAATCAACTTCGACACCATCCCCGGACAATCCCCGGACGTAACAAGAGAAGACTCCTCCAGCCGCAGCACGTACCGCCGTTCCAACGGGCGAAGCCGTATATGATCTGTTCCCCTTCAGTCCAAACAGCAGAAACCGGGCTTCACTTCAGAACTAAGGAAAACATCGTCGGCAAACGTCTTTAGGAGTAACAAAACGAAAGGACTACATAAATACGAATTGTGTGTTAATCTGTCTAAGGAACATCTATTCATCTATGCCGCTCATCTATTCAGCGATCTATTTTGTTTATTCATGCTTGAAACCGGAATTCCTGCGGCAAGACCTCCCAACTTTTTGCTGGCGGGGATGTACAGCCTCATCCAACCCGCTCCATTTCAGGCATTCTTGCCAAATCAAACAACTTCAAGCGCCGCACTTGAAGCATCTCCAAATCCGCGGGAAACCAACAAATGGGTGCCGTTTTTGATTGTACCTTGTTTTGGTGGCGTTGGAGGAAACCAAAAGGAAGACCGAAGCCATTTTGGGGGTCCCCAAAAAACAAGACGTACCCAAATGGCCATGGGGCAAGAGCCCGTACCTTGAGTGAACATCCCAATCCCCACTAAAATAGACCAAAATGGGTGGTGAATTCACCTACCCCAAAATGGGATTCCATTGGTTTTGACAACCACAGCCGAATGAGCTTATTCGTCAGAAGAACTTCGCGCCAGCCACCCAACGCCCGGAGTACTCCAGGCCAGTGCCCCGAGGCCCCGGGGCCCTGGCCCGCAGCTTGTCACAGGACAGCTCCCAGACGCTGCGCCAGCACTCGAAGGGCATGCCCTCAGCCACCTTCAAATGGCCGGACGCGCCCGCGTTCTTCGAAGGTAAAAATCCACCCGGTCGGTTCAACCGGTGTTTTTTCAGACTTGATGTAAGAAAGAACCGGGCCTCCTTTGAAGGGAAACAACAGGAGATTGCCTATGGACCCCTTCTTGCGGACCTGTGCCTCCAGAAATGTTCGAAGCTGTGCAAATCTGGAATCCTTTTCTTCTGAAATGGCCCAACACCAAGGGGAAATGAATGGTGTTGGAGCAAAATGATATAATTGAAGAGAATGAGGGATCAACCCTCAGCGTGTCAGAAGTATGCCTTTCCTACCTCATCTTCTGGCCTCAACTCAAAATGGCGATGGGTTGCCCCTTTGCGGACACTTCCTCTGCACGGTGTTTTGCCAGAGAGCGACAACAACAAATGAAGCATGAGGCTAACATGAAAAAATGGATCGCAGGTTGAGCACTTTCTCCGGGTTGTCTCCAGATCTCCAAGCCGCTCCCCGTCTCGGCCCCTTCCGCCTCGATGTCTTGCATCTTCTCCGCATGCAGAGAGGAGGACGGCATGAAGATCACCTGGGGCACCTGACAAAAACCCTCACAGCACGACGTCCTCCAAATGGCAGTGGCTCAAAAAAAGGTGCCCAAAATGGCCCCTTTGCTAAGTGGAAACAAAGACCAAAACCTGCGTAACCCTGACTCTTTCATTTTGAGCCACACCAATGACCAAAACCGAATGCCCGATCCGCGTTCCCTCCACGCTCGAATCCGCTCTTCAACAAGCGTGTTTTTTCTGCTCGCATGATGCGGGCGTTGGCAATGTCTCGCCCGTGGCGCACGTTTGAACGTGTGCCAAGATCGGGCCTTGGTCCACCGAGCTAACGCCGGCCTCCTCTTTTGCCCCTGCCCTTACCCTTGCCCTTGCCCCTCCCGCCCTTAGTGCCGTCCATCCACTCATCGCGCGTTGAGATCTGCTTGCCAACGGTGAACTTGGCCCTCCACTCCTCCTTGACAACGGGATCCTGCAGATCTGCAAGCAGTACTGGGATGGACTGGTTTGCTGGAAAGGCGGACTTCGCACACTTCAGCCGGCGATTGTCCAAGGCGAAATGTACAGACTCAACGGCCACAACTCGGATGCCAAGCTCGGCAACTGTCACATCGCCTCGCTGCAGAGCCTTGACTGTGGACTGCAACTCCCTGCCATCGCGAAAGGTCCGCGCACAGCTGTCTTGGCAAAAGCGGATCTCTTCCAAAGGTAGGAAAACCCTTGACGCAGGCCTGCGGTCACCCAAGAATGTGCAGGTCTGCGCTAGTTCATGTTTCACAAAGTAATGCAGCTCTTCGACTGGATCTCCGTTTTCCGTCCTCCTTTCGGTGATCTCACCATCTATGTAAACCACCCAGACTTCTGGTCGTCCAACGCAATCCTTGTCATCCATTGGTTTCCACCCTTCAGAATCACGCACAGCCGGCTGGCATATCAAGCTGATGTTAGTAGGGTCGACCCTTTTGGAGACGCCATTGCAAACCAAATGGGGTAGCCCACTCTTATAGCAGTCCATGCGATAGTGTTCTGCATCCACCGAGAACCGCGCCACTTCGAAGGTCTCCCCAGGCTCCAAAACCGCGCTGGACGCCTCTTCCGGACCACGCATGAACCGGCCAGCAGTCACCCGTGGCATCAGCGCAACTGGAAAGCTCGCAACATTCTCAGCCACGATCCAAGGCACTTCGCGACCAAGTTTCAGGAAAGGACCAACGTCTCCAATCCGCGGCTCGAAACTCGGTCGGGCCAAGCCCAGAGTCCTCGGCGGAGACTGGAACCCCGAAGGCGCGGCAAAATCGGGCTCGGGGCACGGGGGATTTGCAGCCGCGCTCTGCTCAGATCCCATGGCTCCGCACAGCTCAGAACCTGAGCCTCGCAGCCATGCGCCTTCCCAGGCAACCACGTTCTAAGGGGAAATGGCACACATGACCTTTGCATGGTCGCCATACAGGGGTTGCATACTCTGTTGCAGGGTTCGAAACTTAGGTGTACACTAAAACAATCCTTGAGGCATCCAACCATTTGTCAAGGTATTTGCCAAAACACGGTGACCCCTCAGAATGGTTGGTGTCATCTTGCCTTGCTGTGTCCCAGAAAGGGCCCTACCAGGCCAGGAGCTCCAATCAAAGTACCCTGATTGTCAAAGAGTCAGTTTCCGGAAAGCGGCACCTGCCTAAGTTACTGTTGAACTTTATTACCCTACATACTGATGCGCCCCTTTTTGGGGAGGCCGCTTTCGGGTTCCATTTGGATTTGAGTGCTGCCAAGCAAAGAAGCAGCTTCTCTTGGCAGAGAGGCCCAATGTTGTACCGCCACGCAGGTCTTCCGTCACATCCTTCCTTCTGAAGCCCAGGACGTTGTAGCTGTTGAGTCGATTCACGGGCGAAATCCCCTTGCTGTAGTCTGTGCCTGTGCTTCCTCGCGACAAAAGAAACTAAGCGCCAATCCAGCGACGACGCCTTGGAAAGCATGCCACGCCGTACTGTGGATGGACAAACTCCTGCACGTCCTAAGACACCCTGGAATGATTCCCCTGTAAATACCCAACAAACAATATGTTGCCATGGATTCAAAGTAGTGCCGGATTTCGTCCATACACAGTAGCTCAGCAACTTGATTTGTGCTGCCTGGAAAGTATCAACCCAGGCGCAACTTTCGGAAACCTCCGCATGTCCGTCTGACGAAAGGGTGAGGACATGAATGAGAGCACCAAACAAACCCACCAAAGACAGCTTGATGTGGGCATTTGTACTCCTAGCCCGTTTTTTGTTTTTCTGTTTATGCCCGTTTTCTGCTTGGAGCGTATGTCCGTTTTCTGTTTCTGTCCGTTTTCTCTCAACATGAAACTGTCCTTTCCTTTGAGTTCCCCGTCCATCTCTCAGAGAAAAAAATGAGGCACTGCCCTTGCCTCCAGCACGGTGCCGATCATCTTCACCTCGTGTCACCCGACCGAATCTCCTAAGGGGGGTAGGTACAGGGGGGATGGGTAGTTGAGAGCGGGGTTCCTTAGGGAGCCTCACACCCCCCTTCCTTGGAACGACCACCCCCCCCTTTACAAACTCCATAAATGGAAAACTTGGCTCTTCAAAACACACCGAATTTACCCTGCCAACCAAAGCGTTTCGTGACTCGAGTTGTGCAGTCAGAAAATCATTAGTGGGCAAACGGCAAGTCTCAAAATAGGGACCCCAGAAACGGTGGTTTCCCTTTTGGCTTCCCTAAAAAGAAAAATGCTCACACAGGGTACCCTCAAGCACCCAAGCACAGGGGTGTCTAACATATGATCGGCCAAGTTGAGCGGTTGGCCAATCCACTGATAGGGCTAGTTCCACTTTGAGGGACTGAGTGGGTGTTTAACCGAGCGGTTGTCACCAACTTCCTAACTTGGCCGAGACAAAATCCACTTCGCACCAATTGGAGTGGTTGAAACCCTATCAATACCGGGTGATAGACAACCCCAATCCCAACTGGCGCCCATCACCGCAAGAGCATAGGTGGCCTTTTGGAAAAATAGATGGCCCTGGTAAATGGAATAAACCCCATCTAAACCAGTGCTATGTGGCTGTGGGTCAAAAATGGGTACCCAGAATGGAACCCAGGTAAATGGAACCAAGGACTAAAACCTGTGGTCCCTTTTGATCACAGCCGTCTATGTTTAACCAAACGAACCTAAAAAGGGCACCTACTGTGGATGGACGAAATCCATTTCGCACCACCGAACATGGAATGATTCGATTCCCCTGTAAATACCAACAAACAATGGTTTCAGCCATGGATTCAAAGTGGCGCGACATGGATTTCGCAACCATCCACAGTATGCGCGAGATTTTATTTCGGTCCCAGCCGCCAGCGCCAGCATAGACACCTCGTCCAGCGGCAGCCCATGGATCACCTGCACGGGCGCACGGGCGGGGCGGAAGCTGGAAGTGGCATGTGCGGCCGGGCTCAAAACGCCGAACATCTGGATTTTATGTGTTTATCTGTCCTGCTTTGTTTCGCTCTTCTCAGGGGGGTGAAGGGAATCTAAAGGAAACCACTCCATGTAAGGGGTATCCCTATTTTGAGACATGGGAATAAAGCGCGGTGTTGGCGGTACATTGTACCTCTGTTACATACCAAAAAAGGCCAATGACCCGCTTTCGGGCTTGCTGGTCCAACCATATCCTCACCCCATCTGCAAGTGGGTTGGTAGGAAGAAGGGATGTGTACCACCCATGGACCATCCCAAAACACGAGCGCCGGAACTTCCAACAACAAGGTGAGATTTCCTGGCAAACAAAAGACAAAGCATATCTTTTGGAGCACTTCCTGAGGAAGTCGCGGGGCAGTGGTGCAATGCTGTTTTCATCTCAAAGACAAGTATAAAAAAGCTGGAAGGATAACAGAAATGCAAAGGACCGTAAACACGCATAACAGGAAAGTGGAACAAATTGGGGAACCGGAAAGTCTATGTGATTTCTTGATGTTCTTGTTTCAAGGACCACCATTTAAAATCGAACCAGCTGAAACAGGGGTGGAGAAATCCATAAATCAAAAAAAACACGTATGTATGTCAAAGAACAAGGAACAGCGGTGTCAAATGAAACCAGATTCCTCACTTGCTGATGCTCAGCAGGGAATGAGAATTGGAATGACTATCAACCATCCACCTGGTTTCCTTCAAGGGAATTCCCAAGGGTTCATTCCCTTCTCTGCCTATCGCAGCTTCCTCACCTAGGGCGCCCCCAAACCAAAACCGCCGGATCCGCCCGAGCGCCTCGTCCATGACGTGGTGGAGCTGCAGGAAGAGCTGGCGGTGGATCCGCGCCGCCAGGTTCCCCACCTGACAACATGGGCAGCTCAGTTCCCGTTTTCTGGGGGGTTCCCTGTAAAAACGGCCCGTTTTCCAAGCAAAAAAAGAAAGGCATAATAGGCACTGTGCCTCAAAAAGGATAAAACCCCCGTTTGGTCTTCCGTTTGGTCTTCCTTTTCTTTTGGTTGTCCATTTGGTTTTCCGTTTGGTGTCCTTTTGGTCTTCCTTTTGGTTTTCCTTGTCGTGTGGATGTAGCTCAAAATCAAAAGAGCTAGAGCAAACTGCAGGTTTTAGTATTTCGTTGCATTTCGCAAGGTACCTTTTTTGAGCCACAGCCATTTAGTTTTCCTTTCGGTCTTCCCTTTGGTGTCCTTCAGGTGGGTTTCCCTTTGGTCTCCTTCAGGCGGTGTTTTTTCGGCTTCCTTCGGGTGGTATTCCGTTGGTTTAACCCCTTGAAACCACTTGAAGCGGTTTCGAATTTGGAGACGGGCCCAAGTCTCGGTTGCTTTCTGCTCCCCTGCTAAAAGTTGAACTTTTAGTGGTTTAATACGGAAAACCCACTAGTTTGCAAAAAGTTAAAGTCCTAACATCCCTTGGCAAAATGCACCAAAGAAGTTGCGGGCTCGCCGGGAAAAAATGAAGAAAACGCCGGCGAACACCTCTGGGTCCAGCACTTGCTTCCTTATTTCAAATGGGTGTGGCTTAAAATTAAAGAGCTAGGGTTACGCAGGTTTTGGTCTTTGGTTCCATTTGCCAAGGGTGCCATGTTTGGGTACCTGTTTTTTGACTCGCACCCATTTCAAATTCCGGCAAGCCTTCTGCAAGGCAAACCTTCTTTTCGGGCCTTGCTCTTTTCGGGCCCGACAAACCAAGGGTAAGATGGAGGTCAAAAAACAGGTGGATATCAAATCCGTGTTGGTTTGAAGGCACTGCACAATGAGCTGGGGAGGCTGACTGCTTCCAAGAAAAAGGCAGTGACACTACTCAGCCTTCATCTCAGAATGCAAACAACAGCCTACCCACAAATGGCCATACATCTTAACTACGTGTAAATCACGTCTGCCAAAGGTCCTCAATTGAAATTCATGCCTTCAAGTGTCGATATGGTTTGCTTATCAGCAATCTGCCGTGAAACTCCACGAACTGTAGGGGTCCGCTTCAGAACTGCCATTGTCCGCAGCTGCATATGGGTCTCTCCTTTTTTACGGGTACCCTTTTGTTCGGTGGTTTAAAGGGAATAAAGGGAAACCAAAGCAACGCCAACACCGAATCCAAGAAAAAACTCAACTAGGCCCGCCAATATCAAGGGACTCCACATGTTTGGGTAAACAAAAAACAGTCAACTACCCAATTACCCAGTAACCTTAGTAAAACAAGGAAACCCCTTGCGGGGTGACAAGGGCAAAAGGGGTGACACTGCGCTGGGATGATGTTGATTCATTTACAAAATCCAAAGCTGCCATAGCCTGGTCCATGCATAGCCGGTCTTAGTTACCCATCAGCCCTTTGACTAAACAACCTCTTATAGGTAGAAAAAGGGGAAATCCCATTTTACTGATCTTTGGTTCATGCGCCATGGTGAACGAGGGGGCGGAAAATTGGACGAGGGGCGGTGATCAACACCGGATAGATCAACCCCCTGGCGTGTCCAAGTTTCTTCACTTTGGGAAAACCCACCACCCAGGCAATCCGCCAGGTTCTGCTTAAATCCGGAGTCACGTTGTCCCCAACGAAAAAAATGAGTCTCGCACATTTCGTTAGCCGGAAAGTGGCTTCAAGGATTTCAAAGGCGAACCGGAAAAGAAAACCGGGAAGATGACAGCCATTTCGGGAAAAGTCTTGGGAAGGTAAACGACCGCCAAACCCGAGGAGCCCAAATAATTGACGATGGCGGCGGCCTGTTTTTGGAGGCGGCCCTTTCTTTGTGGGTGTGGAAGGGAAGCCAAAAGGGAAACCGACGTTGTGCCCATTTGGAGGGGCCACCCAACAACAAAAAAAAGAAACGACCGCGCCCAGATCCCCCCCGTCGGCTCCATCGGATGAATCGTGGCCTGCTCCAGCGCCAAACGCTCGGCCTTCTCTTGGCGTGCTTGCTCCTCGAAAGGAAGAGTTCAGGGAACCGCCTCGTTTTTCCTCTCTACAAGAAAGTCGCTGAAAATGGGGGGGTGTCTCCCTATTTGGGGCACGCACCCATGTGAATTCGTAGCGATTGACTGCTTTGGGCTCCGGGGAGTAAATCTGAAGCCCTTCTTGAACCAAAGGAGTTTCGAAAAGAAAGTCAACGCCGAGTTTTTTGAGGGGGCACAAAGCAACGCCCCATTGCTGCCAGCCACCAAACCCTTCTAGAATTCGGCCCACTCGGCCACTTGCCAGGCACCAAGCTGGCCGATGGCAACTGGCGCGCGGCATCCGTGGCTGTCTTAGGCTTGTGAAATGAGATCACCTGGCCCGACTCGAAGCCGCATTTCAGCGCTACGAATTTACATGGGAACCCCCCCCCCCGCCCATGTTCCGCGATTTTCCGGTTGGCTTCAACCTGAAATTCAACCTTAAAAGGGTATGGACCCCCCAGCTCTAACCAATGACTTCAAACGAAGAAACAATCGCCAGCATGTCCCCCACGGCGCAAGCTGCTTGGAGAATGCGAAGTGGATTGTAGTGTTCCCAAGCCAGTTTTCGGGAAGACTGGCAGGACCGCAAAAAGCACCAGGTGGCTGACTGTCACTCATCTGCTGAATGAAGCTCCGCAACATGTCAAGTAAGCCAAGCTCAAAACACAGCCACTTGCAAGCATATGCTTGTTCCCTACCTGCAGTTCGTTGCGGTGTTTGTCCAAGCCGTAGCTCAATGAGGGCTGTCACAACCCAAGTTTCTGGTGCCATGTGTTCTTCCATCATACCACTGTTTACCCATTTAAAAACCCAGCAATTTCATCGGATGCCCCCATGCCCCTGTGCCCTCATGTCCTTGTCGAATGCGACAAAGACAAACAGTAAGACTGTCCGTGGTTCATGGATTGACAAGACACCCCGCCCCCCCCCCCCCCCCCCGCCCCACACGTTCGGCATCCGCAGCACACCCTCACGCCTAGGTGTACTTCTTGTCAAGATCTGCGGATTCCACTGGTAAATTGCTCAAACCAAGGTAAACCAGTGGAATCCATTCTCAACCAAGCTTACCTCAACAACCAACAAATCGTCATTCAGCTGCTTCCCCACAACCAAACACAATAGTTCTGACTCTGGTCCACTCAGCTGGGGTGCCTCCCCCAACCAAAAACATGATGTCTTCTTGACGTTGCTTTCCAGGGAAGACCAAAAAAAGATGAAACCACCCATTTTGGAGCGGAGACAACCCCGAAAAAGAAAAAAAGAAAAACGCCCACACGGCCCTCGGGTGCCGTCTCCTCGCTCTCCGCTTGGGTGAGGCGCTTCGTGTCCCCCTTCTTCCGATCCCGCTCGCGGCGCTCGATGTCCAGTAGCCCCCTGGCATAGACACATTGGACACCCCAAAAGGGGTACACACAGGCACCCGCAGGAGGATCGGACTCAACTCACGCAGAAGGGCCGCTGCTTTTCTTTTTAAGCAGCTAGGTTCAGCTATGCAAAGGTAAACCAAAAGGAAAGTGATCTATTTGATCCTGGGTGCGACCCTCCAACCATCATGGAACATGATGTCTCCACCTTGAATCTGTGCGCTCGCTTTGCAAACAATCAAAGGAAGTTTAGGAAGAAAACTTCCGTAATACGAAAAGTTGAACCACAAGATCCGGGCGCACTTAGAAGTGAAGTCAGCACGAAAAATCGCGAAGGGTACCTCTGTTCTCCGTGCGGGTTCGCCGCGGGTTCGCCGCGGGCTCGCCACGGGTTCGCCACGGGTTTGCCACGGGTTCGCCACGGGGGCAAAATGTTGCCCACTGGCACGGCCGCTTCGGAGGTGCAAATCGCGTGGCAGGCGCAGCACTTTGGCAACCTGAGGTGCAGATTTCGTGGCAGGCGCAGCATTTTGTGCCCGCGCAAGGTCAAGTACAGATTTCGGGGCAGGCGGAGTATTTTCGCAAGGCCGAGTACAGATTTCGTGGCAGGCGCAGCACTTTCGCAAGGTCTAGTGATGGATAGGTAGATAGATAGATAGATAGATAGATAGACAGATGGATAGATAGATAGATAGATAGATAAATAGATAAATAGACAGATAGATAGATAGATAGATAGATAGATAGATAGATACATAGATAGATAGATAGATAGATAGATAGATAGATAGATGCATAGATAGATAGATAGATAGATAGATAGATAGATAGATAGATAGATAGATAGATAGATAGATAGATAGATAGATAGATAGATAGATAGATAGATAGATTAGATAGATAGATAGATAGATAGATAGATAGATAGATAGATCAAATGGAAAGAGAGAGAGAGAGAAAGAGAAAGAGACAGAGAAAGAGAAAGAGAAATATAAAGAAATACAAAAGGAAAGAAAGAAAGAAAAGAAAAGAAAGAAAGAAACAAAGAAAGAAAGAAAGAAAGAAAGAAAAGAAAAGAAAGAAAGAAAGAAAGAAAGAAAGAAAGAAAACAAAAAGAACGAAAAAATGGAAAGATAGAAAGAAAGAGCGAAACCCACAAACAAACAAGCCAAGCTCTTCCTATAGGCACTCTTCTCGCTTTAGAAACTTCCGTCCACCGGCTTCGCCAGCTCTAGTAATACCCTTCCTCCAATCATCAGAAAAGTGGATGATGTTGTCTCCCCTAAATGGCTGCTAACCAACCAGTCAACCGAGCGCCGCCTGATTTTGATGTGCAAAAACTCCAAGCCCAGTTGCTCTTGATGAGGATAGCAGTCACAAAGGTTCTGTTGATCCCTGAACCGTTGGTTTTCGCTTGGAGGTTAGCGAACGTTCACGCAACGGGCAACCATGCATGCGAGGTGTTCTTGTTCTTTGCCATACAAAGCTGCAGCAGAGCTTCGGAAGCCTAGGTTAAATCGTCTGTCAACCTGAGAACGGAATTCTAAGACCCACCCGCCAGAAAGATTCTTAGAACCTTTGGGGGTTCAAAGAAAGGTTCTGAGAACCTTTCTGGCGGGCCCTCAAATTTACCCTGAAGATCGAAGGTCCAACATAGCGATAAAACACAGCTGACAGCTACACAGGCTGCATCCATTGAAGGGAAGCCCGGACGCTCAGTTTTTCTCAAAATGAAGCACCCGCTGACCAACTGTCCCTGACTCATCTCATGACAAGAGCCCTACACGAGGCACGGTTAAAATGTATTGTTCCCCCAAGAGAAGATGGGACATTTAGTGAGACCCCTGCATGGTTTTTGTGGGAAACTTTGTGAGTCCCCACCAAATGAACAATCGACTACTGCAATGTTTCACCAAACCTCATGCGGGCAGGTTTTCTTAAAAGCCGCTTTTGCAATCTCTGCTGGAGCAGTGGCAGGTCACGCTGGCTAAAACTCAGCTCAAGCAGGCCGGGATTTTTGGGGCCAAGTTGGAATGGAATGTTCAAATGTTGCAACAAGCTCATGACGGCAGCGCGGATATCGGAGGTAACCCAATCCTTCCGTGACTTGCCATATCCCGTGATCACTGTGCAAATGCACGGTGCGCCGGACCGCAACCTGTTGCTGAGCTCTGGCAAAACTAATGCATGTAGCCACCACCATACGGCAAGTTGGGCTGCGGCTTCTGAAAGATCGTGAAGGTCAATACGATTCCACCTCGCTGCAGCCAGCTTCTGATATATCCTGTCCTGCAAGGCTTTTTGGAAGAGGTCAATTGCAAAGGGCTTGCCCTGAACCGCGTCAAGCAAGCAGTTGTAGCTCACTTCTCCTGGCTTCAACTCTGCCTGTTGCATCTCAAAAAAAAGGGACAGTGCCCGCTGCCACTGCCCACCCTTCTCGCAAGCATTGATTGCAGCACCAAAGGCGACGCCATCTGCCTGCACATTTTCGGTGGGCATGGTCTGGAACAGGGCCAGAGCCCGCTGCCACTGTCCACCCTTTTCACAAGCACTGATTGTGGCACTGAAGCTTATCTGATCTGCTTGCACCTTTGCTTCGGGCATGGCCTGGAATAGGGCAAGCGCCTGCTGCCACTGCCCACCGTTCTCACAAGCACTAATGCTTGCATTGAAGCTGATGTCATCTGCTTGCACCTTCGCTTTGGGAAGGGCCTGGAACAGGGCCAGCGCCTCCTGCCACTGGCCCCCCTTCTCGCAAGCACTAATGCTGACATTAAAGCTTCGGTTGTTTGCGTGCACCTTCGCTGTGGGCATGGCCTGGAACAGGGCCAGCGCCTCCTGCCACTGGCCGCCCTTCTCGCAAGCACTGATGACGGCATTGAAGCTGACAGTATCTGCTTCCACCTTCGCTTTGGTCATGCCATGAAATAGGGCCAGTGCCTGCTGCCATTGTCCGCCCTTCTCGCAACTACTGATTGTAGCACTAAAGCTGATGACATTTCCTTGCACCTTTGCTTCGGGCATGGCCTGGAACAGGGCCAGCGCCTGCTGCCACTGGCCACCCTTTTCGCAAGCACTAATTGCAGCGCCGAAGCTGACGACAGTGGCTTGCACCTTCGTGTTGCGCATGTTCTCAAACAAGGCCAGTGCCTGCTGCCACTGCTCACCCTTCTCACAAGCACTAATGCTGGCATTAAAGCTGATGACATTTGCTTGCACCTCCACTTTGGTCATGTCCCTGAACAGGGCCAGCGCCTGCTGCCACTGGCCACCCTTTTCGCAAGCACTAATGCTGGCGTTGAAGGTTCGGTTGTTTGCTTGCAACTTCACTGTGGGCATTGTTTGGAGCAGAGCTAGCGCCCACTGCCACTGACTACCCTTCTCACAAGCACTCATGCTGGCATTGTAGCTGACAACATTTGCTTGCATCTTCAGTTTGGGTATGGCCTCGAATAGGGCCAGCGCCTGCTGCCACTGCCCACCTTTCTCGAAAGCACTGATTGTGGAGTTGAAGCAGTAGATATTGGCTTGGACCCCGGCCCTAGGCATGGCTTGGAGGATCAAGCAAGCATCTTGCCAGATTCGGAGCTTCGAGCAGATGGAAAGTGCAGCATTGAAGTCGCGAGGATCCAAGTTCACTCGCCCCTCGATGAGCACCTGCAGTATTCTGTATAAAATGTCGCCACGTTTCGTCTCTGCCACCATGTCCAAAAGGTCCTTGACTGGCACAGTTTGCAAGCCAGGCTCCTCCAAAACGGCCCGCACCTCCTCCAGGGATGGGCGGCCGCCCAGCTGGCCAAGCACCCCCCCATCTGGCACGCAAACGCGGACTCCACGTTGGATGGCAGAGTCGCGGCACCGGCCTCCCGCTTTCCTCTTGCAATGCAGTGCCAGCACTGACAGCGCTGACACGGTGGCTGCTGTGGACGGGGAGTATGCCGGTGGCTTCAGCCTCAATGACACCTCTGGTCGAGCAGGAGACCAAGCGGTGGCCTTCGTAAACGACACGACATCCATGGCGAGAGCTCAGCAACTTCGCCCAACCCCGCTCTGATACAAGCCGCGTGCAACAAATCCAGGATTGCCTGCGTGTTTGGTGGAGCTGACCCTAAGGAAATGTGCTGCAAAGGGCGCCGTGTTACCAGCGCATCCTGCTCAAGGGGATGAACATGCTCCGTGCAAGAAGGGGGTCAAAAGAACTGGGAAGATCGCAAGGCTGGATGATGTTGCTATGGAAGCCACTTGGTGTTTGATATGGCAAAGCAAACGACAAGAACACCCATGTGTGCCAGGGAAAAAACGACATCCCTATTCCACCCGAAAAAGAGGACTTTCCAGGGGTATTGACCGCAGGGGCGGGCATCCAAGTCTGAGTCCATATTCAAATGAGTCCCAGTCCCGCCATGGTGGACATCAAAATTCGGCCACCAACCACTTGAGTTTTAGTTTGGTTCCAACCGTTAAAATTCACAGCCCACCATCTCCGCCAAGGGAAAAAGGAGAAAAAAAAGAAAGACCCGAATCACAAAAAAAAAACTTAAACAACAACCAAAAAGAAAAACGATCCGAATCCGTCCGATCGATTCGCCTCCCCACGAAGTCGAGGACCTGGATCACCGCGCCGAGGCCCTGATCCACCAGGAACTCCTGGAGGTCCTGTGCAACCGGTGGCCGGCGGGCGGATCCCCCCCAAAGCTCCCCCTCCCCAAATCTTGAGTTCCAGAAGGCCCATGAAAATAAAAAGAGAGAGCCCGTTTTGTGGGGCTGGCCCGAAGAACTGAAGATGGACAAGACCATGGGCTTCCCGGCGCCAAGGCCAAGATCGTGGTGGCCGCCCTGGATCCCAACTTCCAGAGAAATGGGCTGCCCGATCGGTGAGTGGAATGGACCAAAACCTGCGGTTTTTGCCCCCCCTGTTGAATTTTGAGCCACACCCATATTGGCCTTACGCATTCAAAAAAAAGAAGCAGGCACGACTTGCCCCACAGATCCGCGCTTGCGAGATCGAATCCCCCCCGAAGAGTGAGCCCGACCCTGAGTAAAACCACTTACCAAGAATGCCAATGGGAGATTTGGGCGCCGCTGAGGTTGCGATTGAATTGCGTCTGTGTCCACAAGATTTCCGAGCTGAAGAAGATCATTGTAGTTCCAAAGCCCGAGCCCTGACCATGGACCCGAAATCTAATGGACTCCGGATAGAGTAGATCTTCAACACCAATGTCAGTCATCCCCAAATTTTCAATCTTGCGACAACTCTGTTTGCCCCAGCGAAGTTACTCACGACGACTCAATGCCAACATAACTGTTGCGATGAGTGCTCAGTCACGGTGTGTCTTGCTTGCAAGGCAGCCTCTTAGAACTTCTAATTCCAAGCATCCTGTTGCTCGAAGAACCTTGCCAGCTCCAACAAGCTACTCTCTCAGAAACAAGCTGGGCCATGTTGCAGTTCACAGACCGGACAGAAGGAACCCCGAGGGCCAAGGAAGACTTCAACGAAATAAACTGCTGGCTTTAAGTCTAGGTGCCCTGGCAGGCCCCATTGGAAAAAGGAATGCTCAAGTGGGAGTTTTTCAGAGTACCCAAAATGGCTTTGCGTCCTTCCGTTCCCTTCCCTCACCCAAAAAAAACAAAACGGAGCACCAACCATCTTGAGAAACCCAAGCCTTCATGGGCGAGCGACCCCTTCCGTCCCGTGGAACTCCCCGGGAGCACCGGGCCTCCTTGAAGATCACCCCATCCTCGTTCACGATCCTCGAGATGACGGCGTCCAGCACCAGCGCCAAGGTGGCCGGGGACTCCTCTTCGACAAACCCCCCGGTCACCCCTTCAGCCGGAGGTCCGGCGGTTCAGGTTTCTGTGTAGGCCTCGATAAGTATCCTACCAAGATGAAGCTAAGATGCAATGCAAAAGATTATGTTACCCTGAGTTGGCATGCCCTTATTCATGAGGCCCTTATTCATTCTGTAGCCCGTATTTCTTCTGTAGCCCTTGTCTAAATCCCCGATCCAAGTAGGGAGGAAAACCGTCTTTCAGGGACCAAAGGCTGACCTTCGTCTTGATACTCGGCGTAACCTTCACAGGTGCGGAGCCTGCCGCCGGCGTCCTGCTTGGCGCGCAAGATCAGCACTGCCACGCGAGAAGAGATGGATTGGCAGTTCTTGATGACCTCGTTTTTTCGAGGTCGAAAGGGGTGCCGGAAAAGACAGGGGAAATCTGGGGTGTGGCTCAAAAATAGGGGATTTCCCAAAATGGAACCCTGGTCAATGGAAAGGTAGTGGCTCTCAAATTTTGAGCCACACCCATATAATAAATATAGGGACCCCTCCAATTGCAATGACCACTGCCCTATCCACCCCATTACAACGCCAATGTTTTGCCGGATGCGGATGCCAAGTTGTCGCTGTCTTCCTTAACCTTTGGCATGACCGGGCCTGGGGCAGTCACAGGAGACAGGTGCAGCAGTAGTGCAGGGAAGAAAAGTGCATGGTCATGTGGCCATGGGTCAAAATCCAAATCGTACCCCCAGTGAACATCCCAATCCAACCACTAAAATAGGTTCTAAAATGGGTGGTGCACCTACCCCAAAATGGTACCATTGGCTTTGACCAACAGCCATGTCTACATCAGCGCTGTCTCTTCCTGTCACACCCCAGCCCCCATAGCCTTTCAGTGTGCTGTCACAGCAAACGTTGCGATTTTTGGGCGCATGCTTTACTCCACTGCAAATTCATGCGGAACCCGGTCTCACAAACAAATGATGATTTCTTGATCCGCTGGGCTCCATGTGAAGAATGTCGGGTGGCAAGCAAGGAGCGAGGGACCGATGGTTGGGCTCATTGCAAAAGAAAACCTGAAAAAACATCACACCACGAGCAAACTTGTACAGTCAAAATAGCCCAAAAGGTGATGATCAAATCATGTATCATCCAAAAAGGATGCCTAAGGACGCCTGCACCATTCCCGTTTGAGCTCAGCTAATATCAGCGCCAGGCCCTTGGTCTACCCTGATTCCTGGCTCTGAGGCTCGGAGGCCCACCCCGCCCGCCCGGCCGAGGTCCGAGGTCCGAGGTCCGGGGTCCGAGGTCCGGGCGTAGTCGCTGAAGTCGATGGGGCTGTCGCTGTAGCCGTTCATCTTGATGATCAGCTTCGCCGCAAGGTCCTGACGACCAAACGTTGCAGTTCCCCTAAGCCAAGCCAGAAGTCTCCAGTTGGGTCCCATGTTCGGTTTTTGGAAGCTCCAGAGCGTTTCAGCAAAATGGTCCTAAGAACAGGAAAAACCCAAAGTCCTAGGTTTCTTTCAGGAAGTACCACGGGCGTTTTCACGCAATAAAAAGTACGTGCCCAAAAAAAATACCTTGTACACATCTACCACACTAACGAATTTGCGGATTCGTCGGAGAAACGCGGGTAAGTTTTGACCCCACAGCCACCCATGATAAACTCGACATGTAGCGCCCCGACAAAGGAACCTACAAACATGGAATCACACGCCACCTTGCTTGCTTGACAAATGGTGACCTGCTTTGTTGGTGCCCCTGCTTTCGATGGCACAAAATACACGACACCAAAGCGGGTCAATCCAAATGTGCGTAAGCAACAAGTATGAGTTGATGAGTCTGGCAGGCTCCACGGCGAACGCTCCAAACGTCTGCTGCAAATGGCGAGTTGGCCTAGGCACCCCGGTTCCAAGCACCAAGTCGTTTCGCAAGACCCCACGAGAAGAATCTTGCAGACCGCCTGAGCTCAGAAAACAGGACCCCCTCTCAAAATGGCGGTTTTGCCCTTACAGTACTCTCTTATTCTGGATTTTGGGTGGATGGGCCAAAAACAACTTGCTGTTTGCCATCTTCCCAAAATGCGATTTCAAGGACTGAGCGTTTGCCTCCCATGAAAACCCCCCCCCCCCAAGCCGACGCCGACTGGTTGCGCCGGGCGGCGTCTTGCAGGATGTTCTTCCCCCGCGGTGAGGCCAACACAAAGGCCACGTACACCGTGCAGGCGGCGATGAAGGCCTGCTCGTAGTTGGACAGGTCCTCTTGGCAGCTGGAACCGGGACCCCGGCGAAATATATATATATATATATATATTTGCCCAAAGGGGACCCATATGTTTCTTGCCTGGGTGGTGGAAAAGAAAGAGGACCCAAAAAAAGCGAAGAAAACAAATGCCTGGTTAGCGGAAAACAAAGGGGACCCATATTTGTTTTTGCCTGCGTGGTGGAAAAGAAAGCGGACCCCAAAAAAGCGAAGAACAAAAATGCCTGGGTAGTGGAAAACAAAGGGGACCCCAAAAAAGCCGAGAAAGAAATAAAAAGGGAACTAATTCTGGGGAAGTGTCCGGTAGCACGTGGCTGTGGGTCAAAGATATGGTAGCCCCAAAATGGAATCTCGGTAAATGGAAACATGGACCAAAATCTGCGGTCTAAAACCTGGTACTAAAATGGAAACATGAGCCGCAATCAAAACCGATCGGTACTAAAATGGTCGTAATCATAGAACCATGTACAGGATTAAGAAGGCGGATATCCGCAGCTATTTATGGTTGGGACGCGGACAAGAATGATATGGCCATGGTTCAAAACCGTTCAACCTATTTTAGTGGTTGGATTGGGATGTTCCCTGGGGGCTAACCGTGGTTTTGAGCCAAGTTTGGGTGGGGCGCCTGATGCTTCTGGGAATTTCGGCGGTGGTTCCAGTGTCCTCCTGACAGGCAGCCCCTTGATCTTCCACACCCTGACGCTATGTTAGTGGGAGGACGAGTATGAGGTAAAATTGGGTGGGACATCATTTGCATGTGCAAATTCTTTGAGGTGTGTTTAGACTCCCCCAGCCTGACTATCAGTGAGACACAACTAGGTCTGCGCCATACATCTTCATTGGGAACACTCTCGAAGCTGGTTATTGGACGACAAAACCCCCATGTCAATACAATGTCCACCAGTGGGTTCCAAAGTAAAACCACTTATCAGACTGCAGACTGTAACCGAACACCCAAGGAGCTGCCTTCAGAAAGCAAAAACTGGGTGTCTCCTCAAATCAGGACACCCACAAATGGCGGATGTGCAGGTTTCCCGCTGAAAGAACGACAATCCCAAAGCTGGCGTGCGTGGAGCCGAAACATGGGTTCCCCCAGCCTGATTTAGACATCATCCATTTGGCTGGGTCTGGTGGTTGAAACAAATCTTGCCCAACCAACATTGCTGAAACCCTCTAGCTCACTTCCTGAGTGGGGTTGCCAAAAACTGACCTAAGCTGTCTGTTTGCCACCATGGAAAAATGGTCCGTACTGAACAAGTCCTTGGCATTGCCATCAATGATGCCGGCGATCATTTGCATCACCTTCACCTGGGTTGGAGTGCAGATTGAGGGTTCGACGTTCGACAGTGGATGGACAAATCTACTTCGCACCAGTGGCTAACTGGTGTATCCCAGTATTCATAGGCTTATGGCCCTTCCTACAGAACCAGCAAACCAAGTGGAATCGCAGGTCAAAGGAATCCCTGAAATCAGCTGGAAAACATGGCGTCAAAACTGGCAACAGCCTTATGGGTGGTGGGCATGCTCCCCCATGTTGCGCCCTGCCCCTTCAGAAGGGGCAAATTTGCGACACTCCGCCAACTCCACATCGGACAGGGCTTCGTATACGTCCCTTTAAACATCCAAAAATGCGAAAATCCATCAACATTGGCAACCAAAAGGTGAGGTTTGCCACCCAAGAAGGTTCTATGAGGACCCCTGTTGAACCACTTGACTACTACCTCTCACTTAAAAGGGGATTCTCTTGGCCCTCACAAGTACCAGCAACCTAAGCCTATCACGTTTCCACAGCCATGCTTCCCACCCGTTCTCTTTCGCTCATAGCGCTCACAAAAGAGGTGCCTGGGTGCGAACCTACCTGAGCCTTTGCCCCCAAGCAAAATCTGAAGATGTTCTAAGGTTTGATTCCCCATTCTCTTCACCCATCGTTCTCTTCAGACACCACCTATTTTCCATTGGCCCGTTTTTGGAAGAAAAGGATCCCTGAAGAGAATGGGGGGGGTAGAGTTAGAGATGTTTGATTCTGGCCCACAAAGTGAAGCTTAAACTGCAACATACTCTCAAAAAGAGGCAACCCAGAAACGGGTGGCGCAGCTTCCCTGGCTTCTTTGCGCTTTCGCATCCCGGTGACGTACAGGAATCATATGAGGACCCCTGAACTCTTTGATCCCGAAACCCCTTCGTTCTCGCGTGAAACCTGAAGGAGGACTACCTGCTTGACATAAGGATCCTTGTAATCACCTAAACAACGGAAAACGTGCTTCGTCTCCTTTGAACAGACCCTGCTTTGCTCAGACCTTCCCAACTCATCTCACACACCGACTCATCACTCAAACCAACTCGTCGAAGGTGCGAAGGGCTGTTTGATGAGCTCCAGGAACTTGGGGTGCTGGTGGGGCAAGTACATGGCCGCAGTGCCCAGGGCCAGCACCATCCACATGATGGTGTCCGGGTCCAGCACTTCCTCAGAGATTTGGCGTCGCTTTTGTGGCGAAGGGCTGCCCTGAGAATCAGGTTGGCGAAAAAGGGAAAAGAGGAGATCCGCCCATTTTGGGGACGTCCAGGATGCCGGTTGGTCAGTGGCTAGTAGCAAGTCCCTTGCTTTACATACAAGCCGCAGAATGGACTAAGCAAGCACTTTGTGCATCTCTCAATGGGCTAGTCCAAGTGCTGCACACCATCCAAATAGGTTGTTTGGAGATTTAGGTTCACCTGGGAACCCATTTTGGGGTACCAGTAAGTAGTCAATAACTCTATTCGGGTTTCAGTGTCTCTCAAAAACTGGGGACAACAGCCAGAAGTCCCATGTCCAGCAGGGTAGACCATGGCTCCCATTTGTGGCATCTACTTGGGTATCTGTCAAAATAGGGCCGAGGCACCTGCAATCCAGCCTTCTTGTGGCCCATGGCTGCCAAGGACTCGTCATTGAGCTGCACATAGGTGAACTGGATCACCAGCTGGGTCACCTGGAGAAATCCAACTCTCCACTAATGTGTCAAAGGGATTTGGAGCCCCGAATTGGGCTTCGGTGTTCCTTTTGGTTCCCACCAACACGTGCCATTTCCTGTTTGAGGCTCGGTACCCTTCTGGGGTTGGCTGAAAAAGGGAAACCAAAAGGAAACCAAAGCCCTTTGTGGGCTCCATATCCCTAAGACTCCCTTCCCTTCCCCTCTTCTCCCCCTCCTCCCCCCCAAGGGATTTGGACCCCCGAAATGGCTCCCCCTTCCCTCCTCTCCCCCCCCCACACCTCGATGATGTTGAACACCGTCAGCGGGATCTCCTCCTTGCCCCCGCGCTTCTTCAGCGCCTTGGCCGCCTGGCTCCGCGCCACCTGGCGCAAGGCTTCTTCGGCGATGCCCCGCCGAGCGGCAGCTGCAGCGCCCGTTTTGGGTGGGTCTTAAACTCCGGGACCTGGCAAAGATGAGTTGTGTTTCCTTTTGCGCTTTATTTCAAAAAACGGATACCCTCCAAAACATGACGCCCATTTGCACGTGTGGGTCAATTGGTCTTGGTGCAGGTGAAGCCGCCCCTTGAGGACGGGGGTTTGAAAGCCTCGTTCACCTCAGACAAGCTGGAGATAGACTCCTCAAACCGCACAAAACCAACAAACAAACGCACAAACAAACGCAAACAAACAAACAAACAAACAAACAAACAAACAAACAAACAAACAAACAAACAAACAAACAAAGCAAAGCAAGCAAGCAAGCAAGCAAGCAAGCAAGCAAGCAAGCAAGCAAGCAAGCAAGCAAGCAAGCAAGCAAGCAAGCAAGCAAGCAAGCAAGCAAGCAAGCAAGCAAGCAAGCAAGCAAGCAAGCAAGCAAGCAAGCAAGCAAGCAAGCAAGCAAGCAAGCAAGCAAGCAACACAAGGGCCGAGGCCGTTTGCATTTTATGGGGCTGCGGGACACTGCGCGGATTTTTCAGCCAGCTATGGTCAAGGACCAAAATACGTGGAGGGAGAGGCAGGCTCATTAGGGGCATCAACCACTTTGACACATCGAACACTCCCAGTCGCTAGTCAAGTTCGCCCTTCTGGAATGAGGGAGGGGTTTTGGCGTCAAGTGGCGGGTGGTTCTTTGGCAAGAGCTGTTCCAGGCCATTACCCCCAAGGTCCGACGTGTGGAACCCTCGATCCACAGGGCCGAGAAAAGCGGATCTCTGACCAATTGGCCACAGAAATCCCATTTCACTGTCCGACCCTTTTTCAAGGAGACCTGTCTTCGAACAACAAGGAAGAATGGCTATCTTAAAAAGAAAAAGGGGGAGGAGCCCAAGGAAGAAGAAGCGGGCTCTCTCCATGCACTGGTCAAGACCGGCAAAATTGGTTCCATACAAGCCTGCAAGTACTGGAGCTCACTTCCCAAGTGGATAGGCCAAACAAAAGACTGCTTGTTCAACAGCAAATGGTCTTCCCCAAAAAGTACAAGTCCGCGCACAGGAGTCACTGGATTTCCCCAAATCCAAAGCTGCTCTTTTGATTGGTGGCTTGCATTGAAACGATCGCCACTTGTGAAGCTTCCAAAGAGAGATATGGCTCGGAAGCCGCTGAGGAGCCTCAGCCGAGAAAACGGAACCCACCTACGAGGCGCCTGCATCTTGGACTCGACCTCATAGGCCACCATGGCCCTGGGATAGAAGCGCAGCAACAGCAGCGCCCCCGACAGCACCGGGTCCTCTCCGGCCGATGTGAGGCTAGGAAGGCAGAAGAAACCAATGGCCCCAGAAAGATTCGTAGAACCTTTTCAGGGCTCTCGGAGGGGTTCCGACAGGCATTTTTCGGGGGGGGGGGGGGGGGTAGAGGTTTCCAGCATCTAGAAATATGGTTCCCCTAGAGTACCAGGATCATGTTGTCGTGTTCATCTGAAGTTGTTGATAGAATGGACCCTGCCACCCCGGCGCACGCAGGCGCGGACAAGCAGGGGAAGCAGTTCGATAAGACTGAGCACAGACATGGGATGTGTCAAGAAGTCACACCTCCCCAAAATGGCGCTTGTAAAAAATTGTCCAAACATTTCCAAACGTGGCACCTTGCTTTTGCGAGGAATTGCGTGTGCGGTGCGCATCTCAAAATCGTGGGACCTGTCAATTTGTGCGGCCCTCGCAATGGACTTGGACCAACCATTTGAATCAATTTTGGCTCTCTCGGTTATTTCCAGTTGAACCAAATCCCAAACCACTTCCCCCCTTTTGCGGCACCGTGCACATATCGGGTCGAGCTGGCATGGGCCAAGGGGCTTACCTGTTGCCATGCGTCTTGGGGATTGAAGTGACGACAAGTGAAACACGCGGCTGGAGTGACTCTTGGAAATTGGGCCCGGTTGGCTTGTCTCGAAACCAGCTCCAAAGGGTTAGTTCCCCTTTCACGTCCCTCAAAGACTTGGTGCCCCTTCCAAAAGCCTCCGAATGGCCATTGCCTTTTTGGCTTCCAATCTGAAGCACTCACACTGGTCCCAGTATTTTCCCATGATCAAAGTCACCCCGCAAGTGGTAGGTCAAAGGGAAACAACCCTTTGTCTTGACGTTGACAACCCCCAGAAACAATGAGAATAATGACCCTGTCACAAAAGCCAATTTGGCGTCCATTCCTCCCGAAAACCCACCTGCGATCAAAACACTGTACTCCAGGACTCTAGCGACAAAAACATGAGACAAAAAATCAAAAGGGCCATTTTTCTACACATGCTTATGGCAAGGGTACTGCCCCCCCCTTACCCCACAAACCCACATGGGTGCGTTTTTCGGAGTTACCATCATCCTTGTTTGCGGTGAAATCCAACGGAAATGTTCAACATCTCAGGGAGGGTTCCCCTATTCTCAGCCAGATCCACATCCACCAGATCAGCAACCCTTTCTCCAATCTTCCTCTTAAAAACCCCCAAGCAATTGAAGTTCTTGAAACTCTAGTTCTTCGTTTATCCAAGAATCATACAGAAGTGGACCCCATTGGGCCTTATTTTTCACGGATGCAAGTTCCTCTTCAGAACCCTCCTGTCCACTTCCATGGTGGAAGGACACCCCCTTCGCATCTCCTCCTCCTTCTTCACGAGGCCATGCTCCAACGCCTCCACCGCCTTGTTGGACCTCGCGAACGTGAGTGGAAAGGGGCCACTTTGAGCAGCCGAGTTGGCGCCGGACAACCAGACAGTTCACTTGGCCGCGAGAAAGTCGCACCCAATGAACCACACATGTGGCCACAAACATGTTCCGACAAGTGGCCACGGGTCAAAATCCAAATCGTACAAATCGTACCCCCAGTGAACGTCCGATTCAATCCAACCACTAAAATAGACTAAACTGGGTGGTGCACCTACCCCAAAATGGTACCACTGGTTTTGACCCACAGCCATGTCAACTTTCTGGGGGGGGGGTCAAGCCTCCGCCCACCGCCCGTCGTGTTCCGCGCCTGCCACAAGAGATCTCGCCGGCCTGCACCTCCGCCGCGTAGTCGGACAGGCGCTTGGGCTGGTCCAGGCCCTGCAAGGCAACTGGCGAGTCTTGTTGGCGATACTGTTGTAGTTAGGGCAACTGCTCACACCGGACAAATGAAAACAACAAACTAGGGTAACTTCAAGATTTATGAACCAGGGCTATTCAGCACTTTCCAAAAAGGCTGGTCATCCAAGTAGAGGCTGCCTTTTTGGGAGGCATCCCGGGGAGGAGAAGGCTTGCCCTGCTGCCAGTTTAGACGAGGCACTAGGGTGGGGATATGACCCCCCCAAAAAAAAAGAGAGTGGTTCGCTTTGGTTTCCTTTGAAAGCAATCCCAAAAGAGGCACCTTGAAAAAGACCAACCTGTATCGTTTTTGGCCATTGTTTCTTCATCAACTTGCTGTCCATCTTCTCAGCAGATAGTCAGGGAGTTGCTGTATTTTGGTGTGGCCCAGAATCCAACTGAAGGTATTTGGCGCGGCCACAGCATCGTCCGAAGCAATTGAAGGGTGCCAGTTCAGGGATCACATGCTAGTTGCTGTTTCGCGTGTCCCTTCTCCTAAGGGATGAATCCTACGTGGAGTTGTCAAACACACTCCTTGGAGTCCCCCTACAACCCACTTGATGGACGCATGGGATTAAGCCATCACCAAGTGGGGCTGGCCCAAGTAGCCAAAGTAGGCCGAACCAAGGCAAGCCTCCCCCAAATTTCGGGTGCCTCCCGTCCGTTCAGGTAGAGGAACACCAGAAGACCGTCCACGACCACAGTCACCGTCACTGGCATCACCTGCAGTCACGGCGGAGCTTCCTGTTTTTGTGCGCCCCGACATCCCATTTCCCAGATGTGGCCGATATTTTAGGCTTCCGGTTTGACCAAGTTCCAACCTCTTGGGAGAAGTTTGGCATACCTGGTGATTCGCACGAAACCACAGGGTACATCCCCTGAGGACTTGCCACTGCAAGGACCTCCTGCCCGGACACTTACGAGCCACTTTCTTGCGGTAGTCATTGCATTCAGTCACTGATCAAACATATTTGCCCCTTTGGTGGTTGAAATGCAAAACCGCCGCCCCCAACTGAATTCACATTCTTTTGCGGGACCCAGAGACACTGGGTCCGCCAAAAACGAACGCACATTCGAACATCTCCGCCTGGTCAATCAGCCTCAAGGTGGACTGGACCGACTCCAAGCGTCCGCTCTTGGTGCGCACCTGGAGGACACGGTTTTGCTCTTGCCGTGTTGGGGGGTGTCACTCTCAAACAGACAAATGGCCCAAGGCAGAGCACAAGCTGGAAGTACCAAACAGTTATGACTCAAAGCGTGGTCAGCAAAACTCCTCCATGTTCACTCTGGCAACGAGACAAACCACCGTTCCTTGAGAGATCTGAAGACCACCAGCAATGCTCAACTGGGATTTGGCAAAAGCTTTGGCCAAAGCAACGCTACACAAATCCAGAAACATCCAGAACAAGCACCCCGTGAAGGTACCTCCCAACGTGGATCAGCTTGCGAATGGCAAAAGCCACACCGTGGATTCAGGTTTGCACCGACTGCGTCGCTTTCGGTTCGATCATCTGTCAAGATATGCTACGGTCTCCATCAATGCGCGCTTCAGAGAACTGAACTGGCACTCTCGGAGGAAACTGGCACGGACGTTCTGCAAAAGATCCTTCGCAACTGGACGTTTTGGGTGTGCGCAGGGATGTTTCACCAAGCTGAACAAATCCCCCTGCAGCTGCCCACAAACATAAGACAAAACTGGGGAAAACGAGGTGCAAAAGCAACAAGAACTAAAGGAGAATGGCCGAGCCGAAGCCGGGGGCCTCTGGGGCACGTCGATGTTCAAAAGAACCCGCGGACTCCGTCGCGCCAAGAGAAACACCGTGGCCACTCAGGCGCTCGAAAGCAAAGGTCCGCTTTCCTCCGCGGTTCTTGGCTGGGACCCGTTCGGGATCCCACCCAGGCGCTTCTCAAAATGGAGCTGTGGCTTTTGGGTTCCCTTTCGGCCTCCCAAATTTCCCTTCCCTTAAAACCCGCTGGAACCATTGGTCCCGCGGCTTCGGCCTAACATCCCATGCCCTTGTTGCACAACAAGCATGGAAGCCTTTCTGTGATACCGTGTTAGTTGATTCCAACGCATCCAGCTTAATCACAAGCGAAGGAGAATCCTCGAAAACCACCCCCAACTTTCATTTACGTAAATGTTTTTGACATAAGAGGTCCCGGTCACAATAAGAAAGGCGTGCGGCTTCTCCTCCCAGTTTCCACTGAAACCCATGGGAAACCCCGTACGCGGGCACCCCCACAGGTCGCCCACCCACTTGGCCCCCGCCAGTGGCCCCCAGTGGCCTGCACGCACACGGTGAAGTCCTCGAGACTGACGTAGACGTTGGGCAGGTTGGACTCGTTGACCACCAGGGCCTGGAGATCTCATCGGAGCCCGAGGTTCGGCTTGGGAGTCGAAAAAGGAACCCAAGAGGGTCCAGACCGAAGCCCTAGCCATTTAAAGGACCCCAGCTGGTATTCAAAAGGAACCCAAGAGGAGACCCTCTTTGGCCATTTTAGGGAAAGGACCCCTCTTGCTTAGATTTTTTGAAGGGAAAGCCAAGGGAACCTGTGTGGTTTTGGGAAGCGGACCCCTATTTCGAGAAACATCCGCGTCGGGCAAGCGCTGCGATGCAACAAAACGCGCGCAGTTTGCACACGCTTCTCTGATGCCAAGGAGGGTGAGGGGTTAGTCCTTCCTGATCTGTGGGGAAGAAGGCAACAGACTGCATCATAAGATGGGCAACAAGTAAAGCATCATGGCCTGGTGTTTTAGTGTTGGTTTTACCAAAGAGTGAAGAATCAGGGCCTTCAAAGAAACGTTGCGTTCATGGCGTTGCACTAGCTTGAAGGCGACATGCGTTGCGGGGCATGTGGGCTTGGGGAGAAGCAGACATATCCCGCACAATGCCTCTTCGCATAGGGGTGCACTTAAAATAATCAACGGAACCCAATGCAAAATTTGCAAAGCCTCTCATCGGATGCCGAGGGAGCTCCAGAGAACAAATGGCCCTTCCTGCAACCTGGTCTCAAGTCTGTGTCTCGTCACTGCCAAAATCCAAAGAGAGTGCAAGCAAATGTCTCCTAGAAACATCACGGGAAAGTAGATCGACATTGGGCCAAGAGCCGATGTTTTAATCCTGGCGGATCATGAAGGGAGGGGTTTCCTTCCAGAAGTGAGGATTTCCGTTTAAGAAGGGCCAGGAGTTTGCTACTGTAATCATGAGTTGCCGGAACTTGAATCAAGGGTACTGGTGCCTGAATAAATTTAGCAGCACTCAAAGTTGCAGCCTAAAATGATTACAAGTGGGAGCAACATGTTATGTTCCTTTCCCCTTGCAGTTCTGCGTGGCTGGTTGGCTTGCCACATCCAGGCAGCCCACCATGTGAACGGCAATACCGTGAGTCGGGGTCTCATGCCAGTTCTAAAAACAATGCTGCAACTCCAGATTCCAAGTGGTACTGTGGATGGACGAAATCCGTTCTAACAAGCCCTAGAATGGTGCTTCCCCTGTAAATACCAACAAACGTTGTGCAAAGATTCATTGCGTGGTGCGGTCTCGGATTTCGCATGCATCCACAGTATGTCATGACGTTCGCCGTGGCTCCGTAGCTTGCTGCAAATTCACCTGAAAAGATTGAATGCCAAAAACCGGACTCTATAAAGGCCGCTTTCGAAGGATTCCACGCTCATCTGCAGGAAAGTTCAATTCACCGAATCAAGGGAATTGCCAACTGGACCAAAGGAATAAAATTGATTTCCTACCCTTGTGGTTTGGCCATGAGTCCAGTTCACTCAGAAAAGCAATGGCTGTTGGTGTTCCGCGCAAATGGTCCGTCTGAAAGTGGGGGGGGACCTGCTTCTTGAGAGCCACCCCCAAATCGGAGTACCCTCACAAACAAGGCACTGCCCCATACCAGCTGGCACAGGAATCGGTTTTGGGCGCTGCTCAATTTGGTGGGTGGTTCTCTTCCCTCATAATAGATGTGATGTTTTGTGTTCTTTTTCTTTTCTGAGAGCTAGGCCGCTAGGCTACCATTTTTGCGTGTGGGTTCTTCAAGCGAAACCTCCAGGAACCCCCCCCCGCGCCAGTGGCCGTTCCGCTCGGCCTGGAAGACCGCGGCTTTGGCGCTGACGCAGAGCTCGCGCTTCACCGCCGCCACGAACATCAAGGTGTACCTCGGGCTCTCGAACGCGTGGCACGCGGCCGGTCAAAATTGGGACAATAGATGGATGTGGCTGAAACATGGGGGTCCGAAATGGAGGTAAATGGACAGGTAGACCAAAAGCTGCGTAAGCCCAGTTGCTCAATTTTGAGCCATACCCAGATGGCCATTCCTGTTAAATGGAAGAAACCCATTTAGACCAGTGGAACCCATCAATTTCTAAGCTTTGGCTGGTTTGGGTCAAAATATATATGGCGAGTCCTGGTAACTGGGCTGCCCTCAGATCCCTCGCTAAAAGTTTAACTTTTAGTGAGTTCAATGGAAACTACAACTAAACACTAAAAGGCTAAAAAGCTAAGGGCATGGCTGGGAGCCACCAAGGTAAATGGAATACACCCATCTAGACCAGTGGAACCCATCGATTTCTAAGCTTTGGTTGGTTTGGGCAAAAAAAATAGATGGCGATTCCTGGTTTGCTAGGAGGCTCATCAGGACCATCTGTTTCTAACCAAACCAACCAAAAAGGGCACCTATGTTGGGGACGTGTTCCGGTGTCCGCGCCTTGAGAAGGTACTCTCATCTAAACAAAAAAAATGGTACCGGGATCGAAACCAAAAAGCGGGACAAGCCAAAAAATGGCACCACGGCATGGTCCTGGAAAATGGCAAGGCCAATTGCTGCGATACTTCTTGGATTCGAATCCATTGTCCTTTATCACTTTGAAGGGGCGAGGGTGACGCTACTGCCAAATCCAGGTGCTATTGGAGGTGATTCCAACGGGAAGCAAAAAGGAACCAAACAACTGGAGAGGACCAGTTAAGAAACACCAACCTCAGGTTCAAAGGAAAGCCTCACCTGCATGGCCAACCTGTACATCAAAGCAGGTGCATTCTCGGCAAACTCAACCAGGTCGCTGCTGGGGAAGAATTTCAGCATGCCGTATGTAATATAACTGTTCTTTCGGGTTGGGCGATTGACCCTTCTACTTTGCCCGAGCCAACCAACAACATCCAGCCACAAAGCTTGGGTATCTCTTGGTAAATTACAACGTGTCCAACTCATTCCTCTATTTGCATCCACTTGCTTTGTAAAGAATTCATCCCTCATACTCTCCCACAACCAAAAAACACCATTTCTTTAGGGGCCAATCAAATCAGATCATCACTCTCTTCTTTTCTCTTGCCGATTTTGCTTCTTCTTTTTTTTGGGGGGGTGGGCCAGGCACCACATAGGGACTGCCAACCAACCAACCAACCAACCAACCAACCAACCAACCAACCAACCAACCACCTTTGCAATTCACCAATTTGGGGGCCGAGCCCAGCGCTCGGATGCCAGTCTCGCCCCCCCCCCCCCCTTGGGCTGCCCGGCGAGGGGAAGACGGCGGGGTGGTCGTTGGAGGCGTCGTGGGTCCCCAAGATCCGCAGCAGCCGCTCCGCGTCGTGGTGGTGCAGCTGGCCGATGGGCCGCTCACGCTTCTCCAGCACACAGCCCTTCTCCTGAAGTGGCAGGGTGGAGACTTTGTGGTTGTTGCTTCATTCTTGGTCTTCTTCTTCTTTTTTTTTGAGGGGGGGGGGGATGGGGTGGGGTTTGGTTGGGTTTTCATTAATTTTGGTTTGGTTTGGATTCGTGGTTGCGTTTGGTGGGGCAGTGGAGGCAAGTTAGCCCCATATGTTCACAACGGCCATAGCACTGGGGAAGTGCATCCGTGCAATTGGAAGTCTTGGAGGTCGAAGGTGCGATTCCCGCCGGCTCCATCCGGTGGATGGCTTTTGGCATGTTGGGCTGTGCTTTGCAGGAAACAAGGTGGAACTCCAACCTAACCTCCTGCACCTCTGGCTGACTCCATGCACCTAGCGCGGAAACAAGATTGCAACCTCCCACATCGCAACACGCTTCAAACCTCCTTGCGGCTCGCCGGGTGCAACGGCTTTATCTCAGGCATTCGATGCGGTTCCACATCGGAGGCATGTGGAACCGATGTGGCATCTGCTAAGTTTGCCCAGTCTTGCGGGACCGCCAGCCATCTGGATCCAGAGGCTCGTGAGCAAAACCACCCCTCCCCCGGCCGCCCCAAAAGGGTACGCTCGATTGCTGCTGGCAACCAGTTTGTTCCTTGTGTGAGATGGGTGTTTTGTTGCGGGACAAAACGAGTTCGCGACGCGAAATGATATGCACAAACCTGCGTCCATCATTTCCAGAGTGGCCGGCTGGTGGTTTGGGAGGAACAAAACCGGTTCCCCAAATCAGGTTTCTTTTTTTTTCAGAAAAGGACACCAATTCTTGCGAAGTGAGGCGTCGGGGGTGGGGGGGAGAGGGGGGGGGACAAAGCCCTGCACAGTCCCCTGGTTTATCAGGGCAAACCTCCCTTCCTTGTCCAGTGGGCTTTCGGCATCAGAAGCATGGTTTGGATGGGGTCAAAAGAACCAAGATCAAATTGGAGAAGCTGGGTCTTAAACCGGGAAAAATGAGTGGCGTCCTTGGAAGAGATTGAGACTTCTGGGTTAGGTTGCCCGGTGACGACTCCATTATCGACGGGATGGACTAGGTAACCAAATAAAACCTTCATGTAAACGCTGCTGCTGCGGTAAACAAAATCACTGCGCTGAGTGCGACATGATTTCGTCATCAAAAGGGTTGCTCTGCAGAGAACCAATAACATTACATCTGGGTCTTTTCGACAATCCCGAAAAGCGCTTGGACTTTTTTTCCTTTGGAGGTCAGACGGTCAATTGTTTGGGGCGCCATAGGATCAACTGGGCAACCAGCAGATCGAAAGGTCCGCTTTGGACCATCGAAACTGGAGCCAAACCGGGCTGCCGACCTCCACGTTCACCCAGAAACAGGGCCGGGTCGTCCCAAACCGAAACCAAAAATCAAGAAATAAAACTAAAACCTCCCCCCCCCAAAAAAAAAAAACACACACACACACACCACAAAAAAAGAACATTCTAACAAAAGAGAAGAAAAAAAGCTGCCCGCCTGCAGCTCCGCGGAGGACTGGGGCAAGCCCAAGGCGGACAAGCAGAAGAGCGCCGCGTTCTGCAGCCGGATGGTGGGCTGCACCTCCGTGGACCCCGTCTCGCTCCTGCGACGAAAAGGAAAAAACGCGGGAAGCGCCCCCGAGCCGTGGATGCGGTGGTTGGGCGGGGGTGGTGGTTTAGTGGTTTGCTTGGATTTGCTTGGATTTGCTTATTTTTTTCTTGTTGCTTGGATTTGCTTGGATTTGCGATTTTTTTTCATTTTGCTTGGATTTGCTTGGATTTGCTTATTATTATTATGATTTTGCTTGGATTTGCTTAGATTTGGTGGCTTGGTGGCTTGGTGGCTTGGCTTCTTGATGAAACGTTTTAACACGACCCGACGGCATGGCTGGGCACCGCCCAGGGAAGCGTGGGTTTGCAAACCCTCGCAAGGTCGCTCGCTGCCCAAATTGTGCTGGTGGTGCGACTTCAAGACTTGAAACCTCATCTGACCGATGAAAACCCTGCGGCTGCCCAGAGTTGAGTTCCAACTGGATTCCAAAGGCGCAAAAGCCAAATGTTTAACCAAGCCTCACTTGTCAACATGACCTGCAAAGAAGAGCTTCAACCATTCCCTTGGCTAAAGGGGAAACCGCAAGCTTAAGTCGGCTTAAGGGACCCAAGCACACCTCATCAATCCGGCTCCCTCTCTATCGGGCGTCCTGGCGATGAGATTCTCCTTGTGCGCCCGCCGCGAATCCGCAGACAAGCAGTTCCTGGGCGAATGCCCCAAACGACTTTGACAAAGCTGACAGGTTGCAAGCCTTGGAGCTCAGTCATTCTGGAGCCAGTGGTCATGATTCACCAATTTGGAGGGAATGGTAAGATTCAGGCCAGTTGGGTGGCGAAACTCTGGACCCGGCAACTGAGATCACCACCAAACCGGTACTTTTCACCCAGGATCACAAACCCCTGCTTTTGTTTTGTTCCTTTTCTGAGGGGTGTGCCTTTTGGAGGGCCGTCCTTTACTTTTGTGGGAAACAACCCCCAAGTAGTCCATGACGTCAATTCAAGATCGGGGTCGGCATCTAGTGAAGCTCTCGGATCCGGCGCCCAAGAGCCAACCACACCCTCGACCAAAACCCAAAACCTGCGGATCTTCCCTAAAAACCGCCCACCAGCCCCCCCAACCAGCCCGACCCTAGCCCGACCTTTGGCGACAAGGAACAAAAGGGAAAACAAGCAAAGGCGAAAAACCGCCCGTGTCACCGGTGCCACCGGCGACACCCGGGTGACCAAAGTGGTGACGCCGCCAGACGTTTCCGACCCGCCAGTTTCGTGTCGCGGCCGGCCGGGGCGCTGAAGGCCCACGGAGAACATCGAGTTGTCGAACTGCAGCAGCTCCGCGGAGCGGTGCTCGTCCCCCGCCACGCAGTGCCCCAGCACGTGGACCTCCAGCATTCGAGTCCAGGCACGAAAGGGAACCCTAGAAAAATGGAACCCCACAAAGCGGAATCCATGAAATCGGGGGAGGCTGGCGCAAGGCTGGTTTTTCGGGAAAGGGAGAACTCCTTTGAGTTTGGGCATCCAGAAGCGGTCGATCCTGCAAAGTGAACCAGCCACAAAGCCTAAGCAATAATGCATCCCATGGCCCACGTGGCTTTCTGTTTCTTTTTCGGGGGCGTCGGCTGACCTCTTCCCTTCAGCCGCAGAGGGCCCACCAGGCCAATTGCCCGTGTCAAGGCGCTGTGCAAAATAATTTTAGAGGCTTGTTCGAAGCCTCTACCAGGCGTATGAAGATCCCACTCCAAGCCGAAGCGGGAAAGCTCCCTTGGGATTTGTTTGCCAGCAAGAGGAAGTTTAAGATGAAGCTGAAGAAAGTGAGGAAGAACAGGAAGAGAATAGAGAAGAAACTCAAAGGGGTGGTACCTTCCGTAGTACGCGGGGTGAACAGACCTCGCTCTGTCGACAGTGGTCGAAAGAGCTTTGGGTGCTATCCGCCACCCGTAGTCATCAAACAGCCGTGGAGAATGGGCCTGCCTCCCTTAACGAGAACATGGGTATGAATCTTGATGGGAGGTTTGTCCGCGAATCTCTTGTGACAAGATTCATTAAGAACTTTGAATCGCCAAAAACGGGTCGGTCTAGAATGAGACACGATGGAGTCGGCGCATGGCATTTGGCCATTTGTCTGAAAAGAAGCTTGGTGGCAATGAGCCCTTGTGCGAAGCAAGGCCAGGCAAGAATGGCACGACTGGCAAGTGGTGGGCAATGTGTTTTTTCAACTTGCTGCAGCTGTTGATTGGCCCACTTGCAGTATGTACACCAACCGCCAGGTGAGCTACAAAGTTTCAAGGGAGGGGGGGGGGGGGCTTCACATGTTTGACCCTGTTGCGAGCCGTTCTCCCACCCAGTACCCAAGCAAACCCACAATTGTTCAAACCTGCATCCCCGCGTAACCTATAGGACCCTAGCCGTTATCTTGGGATCATGAAGTAATGCCACAACAAGTCCAGGAAGTCTGGAGTCTGATGGAGTCTGATCCCTTCCGCCTCCCTCCCTTTTGCCCGAGGCCACTGCGACGCATGCTTGCTCCCACAAGTACCTCGGCCGAGACCCATGGAAAGCCTTCTCTCGCCAAACACCTCAGTGCGTTCTCCTGTCGTTGCCTCAGGACCGCCAATTTCGGCACGCCCAAATTGGAACGCGGCCGTTTCGCAAAGGACACACTGTGGATGGACGAAATCCTGCACCACCAAAAAAGCCCTGGACTGATGATTCCCCCGTGAATACCAACGAACAGGACATAGTTGACAAAAAGCCAGAGAATTGCAGTAGGGGCATGGGTCGCCCCGCAAACAGCCAACCGTCGACTCCCTGTCTGGCTTGGACCAAGTGTGTGGCTGCGGGTATTCCAAATCGCTGGAACGGGATCCTCAAGGTAGCCTTGGTTGCTTTCTGCTCCCCTGCCAAAAGTTTATCTTTTAGTGGCTTAGTGGAAAACCCATTCGTTGGCAAAAAGTTGATTTCCTAACATCCAAGCAAAATGCACCAAAGTAGCCCTCTAAATCTCCAGCCTCCACTTCTTTGGCATTCGTCTCTCAAACCTCCCGGCAACTTTAAGCCAGCCCCATCCTTTCAGCACAGTTCCTTTTTTACCCCACAGACTGAAACCCAGGGGTGATTGATTCCAAAAGGGAAACTCCTTGGGTTTAAGTCCACCCGTTTCCCCAAAATCGGAAAACCACCGCTGGCACCGGCTTCCTTTACCCCCGGCCCAAACTCGGGGGCCGCATCCGGGAATTCAGATCCGGGCTGGTCGGACATCTCCAGGCTCACCAGGAAGTCGAAAAGCCGCACCAACTTCCCCAGGTGCGGCATCAAGGCCCCCTCATCGAAGACCGAAGGCTCTAGGCCGGTTCGTTCACCCGGACCGCAATTTGTTGGAGGTGCTCAGAACCAAAGGGGGCAGAAAACCGAAGGGTGAGAAAAAAACACGGGCTGAAGTTCGGCCGCTGCACCCAGACCTGCCACATTCTTGGAACAGTCAAAGGCAGGCGCAAAGATGAAGTACAACCAATTCATGAAGTGCATTCAATGGTGCGGAGGATATCTGGGGCTGGGCAAGGGGTGCATCCCCAGGTAACACCCGCCATGCAGGACATGCAAAGTGGGTGTGCCCGGTTTCCAGGTCCAACAACGTGCGTTGATTACTTTAAGAGGCAGATTAACAATGGCTTGTGATATTTTGCCATTTGCGTGTAGTTTTAGTTTTCACTGTTGATTGCACCCTGCTTTAAATACATGACAAAGCGTGAACATCAGATGAAACAAGGGTAGACTCATTCAATGTATTTGGTGAAAGCAAATCGAGATCCTACACTCGCTGTTACACGTTTGGATTTGAGCTTGAGTCTTACTGTTAATCGTTCAAAAAGAAGCACCAATTGTCATTGAAAATTTTCGCATTGATTCACACACAATAATAGTGCAAACAAGTATTGCGGAAAATAGCCACTGGAAATATGTCCGCGATTGACAAAGCCTCCCCCTGCATTCCCTGCATTCCCGCATTCCCAGAATTCCCCGCATTATCTGTTCCCTGCATTCTTTGCTTCTGCATTCCCTGCATTCTTTAGATGTTCTGAATTTCCCGCATTTGCTGCATTCCCTGCATCCCTGCATTCTCTGCATTTCCTGCATTCGCTGCATTGTATGCATTCCCTGCATTATTTGATTCTGCATTCCCTGCATTTTTTGCATTCCCACATTTGCATTCCTTACATTCTCTGCATTCCCTACATCCCTGCATTCTCTGCATTCGCTACATTTCCTGCATTGGCTTGCATTGCCTGCATCACTGCATTCCCTGCATTCGCTACATGCCGAAACAGCTCGATGGAATTGGGCATGCATGATGCAGGGGGTGCAGGTGATGCAGGTGATGCAGGAGATGTTGGGAGGTAGAAATGTCAGCCCACCAGTCCGCTCAGATGTGGGGGACTCAAGCATGCAAGTGAGGATGCAAAAGATGCAAAGAATCCAGTACGCTCAATGCAAAAGATGCAAGGGATGCAGCACCCTCTGAATGTGGAGGATGTAATGCAGACATGCAGTAAAAGTTGATCAGGAACCAGTCCGGGGTTGGTATAATTCCACGATTGAATCGAATTGCGGTTGAACAACCATGACCTTTGAAAGCTCTTTGCAGGTCTTGATCAGATATGGTGCTTTGATGCTGACTAGTGTGCCGGTCCCTTTCTCATGCAATAGAAGCTCGGGAATAAACAAATTCTCTGCGCTCGAAACGTGCTTTGATTTGGAGAGGGTGATCCCTGCTTCATCACAGGTCGGATATCACCTCTCGGGTCCCTCCTTCCTCTCCAAGTGATGAGCCGCAATTGCTTGGTGCAGGGATGCCACTGTTCATAGCCCTTCCGATCAGTTTGAGCAGCGCCAAGAAAGGACCCCCGCAGCTTGAGACTTGAGGTTCTGAGCAACAAACACCTGAGCAGAAGGGGCCTGTCCAAACTGTCCCCCACTAAACCTTTTCCAGCCTGGCTTGGGTTTTGCTCGAATGCTCCCGGAGAACAAGCTGAACCAGCCGAACACGAAAGCCTTCCCGGAGCGAAGCAGCCTTCCACAACCTGCAAACACCCTCGAAATCCCCAAAACGTACGGTCAGTGTACGGCCACCTGTGCGTTGGCTCGGGGAGCAGAACTTGGTCTTGTGTTCGCTGGAGGTTCAAGGATGGCGGAAACTTGTTGAAGCAACATTTTACAGGAGGACCAAATGATCAATTCAAACAATAGAACCAATAGATGTTCAGGCCAAAAAAGGGTCGAAACGAATTGCCCATCGCCTTGTCTTCTGGTCGGAGGATCAAGAGGTCGATACTCTTCAGGATGGAGCTGATGGCTTTCATGCCACGAGTCCTGCAATATGTCTTAGCCACCCCTTTGTGCTCACAGAACGAAAACAATGGAGGTTCCCACCACCCCATGTTGGATGTTCGGGGAAAGGGCTTCAAAAGGAACTGCGAGGAGTTGCTACCATCTCAACAAAAAGAACCCTGTTGACATGATCATACACGGCAATAGATACAATGATGCTCCGTGTCCTTGTCTTATGTCAGCCAGAAAGATGAACCCTTCAAGGAACCGCATTGGACCTCGCTGGGCCGGACGCAATAAAGGCCCCAGACCAGACCGTTGATGGACAAGGGGTAAATGGTCCCTGGTTTACAATGCGACGTGGTATGGCAGGATGCTGGTGATGCTGGCAGTGCTGGGGATGCGACGGAAAGTACAAGGACCCATTTTGCTCCAGCTAGAGTCAGCTGGCCCAAAAGCAGATGCTTCCCCATGTCGTGCGCCGACGGAAATTAGACAGAAAGCCATACACAAAGGCGTCTGACACGTGAGTCGACTAACTTTAATAGTGTTTTTTGAGAAACGCTATGATTGACTGTTTGCATTTATCAGATAAAAACACAACAAAAAACATATTGTTTGTAGATGGGTACAAAAGATGACCCTCTGGATAGTTCTCTGTCCCAGAATGAGAACCCTACACGCAGGCAAGATGAAAGGGCAAGGCTGATTTTGAAAGCACTGCTGGAGCCGTGCCAGGTCGCGCTCGCCAAAACTCAGCTCAAGGCTGCCGAAATTTCCGTGGCGAAAACGGCACGAAATGCTCAAATGTTGCAACAACCTCATGACGGCAGCGCGGATATCGGAGGTTTCCCAATCCTTCCGTGACTTGCCATATCCCGTGACCACTTCACATCTACACAGTGCGCCTGAGTGCAAGCTGCTGCTAAGCTCTGGCAAAACTAATGCATATAGCCACCACCAGACAGCAAGCTGAGCTGCGCCTTCTGAAAGATCATGAAGGTCAATACGATTCCACCTTGCTGCAGCCACCTTCGGAAAAATCCCGTGTCGTAAGGCTTTCTGAAAAAGGCCAATTGCAAAGGGCTTACCCTGAACAGCGTCAAGGAGGCTGTTGTAGCTCACTTGATCTGGCTCCAATTCTGCAAGTTGCATCTCCAAGAAAAGAGACAGCGCCTGCTGCCACTGTCCACCCTTTTCGCAAGCACTGATTGTAGCACTGAAGCTTATCTGATCTGCTTGCACCTTTGCTTTGGGCATGGTCTGGAACAGGGCAAGTGCCTGCTGCCACTGCCTACCCTTCTCGCAAGCACTAATGCTGGCATTAAAGCTTCGGTCGTTAGCTCGCAACTTCGCTTTGGGCATGCCCTGGAACAGGGCCAGCGCCTGCTTCCACTGCCCACCCTTCTCGCAAGCACTAATGCTGGCATTGAAGCTGATCTGATCTGCTTGCACCTTTGTCGCGAGCATGTTGAAAAAAAGAGATAATGCTTGCGGCCACTGTCCACCCTTTTCGCAAGCACTGATGGTAGAACTGAACGTGATGTGAGTCGCTTGCAACTGTGCTCTGGGTACTTCCTGAAACAAGGCCAGCGCCTGCTGCCACTGGCCACCCTTCTCGCAAGCGCTGATTGCGGCGCCGAAGCTAATGATATTTGCTTGCACCTTCACCTTGGGCATGTCCTGAAACAAGGCTAGCCCCAGCTGCCACTGCCCACCCTTCTCACAAGAACTAATTGCAGCACTGAAGCTGACGACAGTTGCTTGCACCTTCGCTTTGGTCATGTCCTTTAACAGGGCCAGCGCCGGCAGCCACTGGCCACTTTTCTCGCATGCGCTGATTGTGGCATTGAAGTGATAAACGTTTGCCTCAGGCATGGCGAGGAGAATCAAGCAAGCATCTTGCCAGATTCGGAGCTTCGAGCATATGGACAGTGCAACAGTGTAGTCACGAGGATCTAGTTGCACTTGCCCCATAGCAAGCACCTGCATTATGCTGAGTAAAATGTCGCCACGCCTCTTCTCTGCCACCATGTTCAAAAGATCCATCACTGGCACAGATTGCAGGCCAGGCTCCTCCAAAACAGCTTGCACATCTTCCAGGGATGGGCGGCTGCTCAGCTTGCAAAGCACCGACCCATCTGGCACGCGAACGCTGACTCCGCGCTGGGTGGCAGAGCTGCGGCGACTGCCTCCCGCTTTCCTCTTGCGATGCTGCAGCGCTGACAGCGCTGACACAGTGGCTGCTGTGCAAGGAAAATCTGCTGGTGGCTTCCGCCTCAAAAATGGCACCTCTGGTCGAGGACGAGACCAACTGGTGGCCTTCGTAAACGATACGACATCCATTGCGAGACAAACTGTGCACTCCGTCGCGTCAGGAGCAAAGCTCAGCGGCTCTGACCGCGCAACAGCACAATTGACCCTTGAGAGGTTGAGAACACTGTAACACTGGGTTCCAAATTAAATATCACTGTGGCTCAAAGAACCGGTACCAAAATGGAACCCTGGTAAGTGGAAACATGGACCAAAACCTGCGTAACCCCTGCTGTTTAATTTTGAGCCACACGCATATCACTGTAAGCAAAGCGTTAAACATGAAAGTGCTACAACCACTGGACTCCGGCTGCGGGACCCTACGAGAAAGATTGCACGGTGCTGGTGGCCGACAGAAAGCCAGCAAACAGCTACTTGACCTGAAAACAACAGACGACTCAACGAATGAAGACCAACCAGTGCACTGCCCAGATGTAGGGGATTCAGCTGAAGATACGGAGATGCAAGAAATGAAAAGCATGCAGCTGATGCAGGAAGAGGGGAAGCCGTGGGATGCAGGACCGCAGGATGATGCAGCGGATTCAATGGGAAATACAAAATGATTAGGGAATCCCTTTTTGGACCACATCTGTCGCACCACACCCGCCTGACCGAGGACTGCGTCAAATGCACCTGGCCGAGTCTCTATGAGCTAGTCATGCTGCAAAGGAACACTACGGAGGCTGCAGGACAAAGGATCGCACAAATCTGGATGAGTTGTAATATAACGGAGGGACTAGAAAGGACCCTTCATCATGCAGGTTGCAAACCCCTTTGCGAGGCGCGATAGTCTGCCCAAATGACATGACATGCAACGCATGCTAGCACTGTTGCCCCGCTGGAAACCATATTTGTGGCCATGCCACATGATATTCCCGACTGCGGATGGACAAAATCCTGCACCACCTTGAATCCATGGCAAACCATTGCTTGTTGGTATTTACAGGGAAATCATCATCATATGGTGCGAAATGGATTTCGTCCATCCACAATATCGAATGTCATTGTACGGGCGACACGGTCGGTCGTGAAGCTGTGGGCCCAACTTGCGAAAGAGAATCCCCGAAATGGCTGTGGCTCCAAAAAGTGGTACCAAAATGGCACCTTGGTAAATGGAACCAAAGACTAAAAACCGCATAACCCCAGCTGTTTAATATTGAGCCATACCCAAATTGACCCCGCAGGTTGAACTGGGCTGGTGAACTGCTTCGAAATTCGCCTTGGACTGCCATCCAGCGGTGAAATTGTATGCACTCAGCGAAATTGTCTGCACATGCAAGAAGCCCATTCAGTCTCCATATGTGTGTGTGATGCCATTTCTGTCAGCCAAACGATGGCTCGCAATGAGGAAGCACAAATGCCCCGTCAACCAAAAGGTAAACTGGAGGTCAAAAACCGAGTTCAGGGATAGCCAAGCAGCGTGCCCCCGCTTGCCCTGCAAAGAAAATCACGTCCCGGCAACTTTTTGCTGGTTGCAAGAGAGAACCGAAAGGGCTCAGTAAGCAAAAACGGCAAATGAACCGCCTTAGGCCTGTTGGTTGGGTTGTTCTTGGAACCCTTCCTCCCCAAGCTCCATTCCCCCAACCCAACGCAACCCCCCCCCCAAATCCCATGCACCAGCGTGGTGAAGATGCAGGCGATGGCTTTGGCGCGGCTGTCCGCCCCGAAGCTCCTGGCGCGCTTTTCGAATGGCGGCCAACTGGCGCAAGGCGCCGGAGCGCGGCTGGAGGGCCGTTTGACCTCACGCGGCTTCCTTGGATTCATGGCTTGGAGAGTAGTTTGACCTAGTTTCAAAATGGGGGGAAAACGGATGCCAAAAGGGAAACCTCCAGTTTTGTCTTTGAATTTCATGGCTTGGAGGCTGGGCGGCTTATGTTCCCTTGAGAGATTTGGGAGTGCAAATCCCAAAAGCAATCCAAACCAATTAGTTGTTACTTGTTCCCTTGCGTCCCTTCAAAACCATCCAAAAAGGGTTCCCCTATTTTGAGAAAGACCCATTCAGCGTACTTTAGTGCAAAAAGGGAAATGAAGGGATCCCTAACTGAACATGGAAGCCAAAAAGTACATGGAGCCACGGCCAATATTCATTGCACAACCTCCATTTTCTGATGGCAATCCAGTAAATGACAACCGGGTGAATTTGCAGGAGTGCCTCTCGGGGTCTAACTAGAATGGGGGTGTGAGAGATCATGACACCAAAATACCTCATGATCGGGAGAATGTGGGATGTGTGTGTGTGTAACTTCTTAGATCCTTCTTTTCCGTGCAACGGACACGAGAACTTTAGTGTGTTTTGCGAAACATTAGCAAGTTCCTTTGTCCCTCGCAAAGTGTCTTGTGGTGCTGTACTCCTGAGTTGCAACAATGGCTCGGTACGGTGTTCACCCTCGAAACGGCTTGCTTTTTGCGGTAGCCGTGCCGGGTCATCCGATGCATTTGAGTCATGATCAAAACCAGGTACAAAAATGATTAACCCGGAACTATGTAAAGAATTAGAAAGGCGGCCGCAACCATTTCTGGTTGGGATTGTCCCTTGCTAACCTCCACTTACCCGGGTTTTGATTGTGACTCATTTGGTACTTTTTCTGGTGGGATGCACCAAGCGACCCGGACTCTCGAGGCTGATGACCTGGATGAGCCCTCAAGACTAGATGCAGGATCGAATCCTGCTGATCACTACCCTTCCAATGAGTCCCCCAAAAGGAAGCTAATCTTCCCAAACACTCCGATCGTCAGCTTCCATTGGAGGATAACAAACACCAAAGGAATCTCCTTTCTTTGATGGTACCCCCTTTGCCGTTGGTTTTAAAGGAAACCCGGGAACCCAAACGAATCCGCGGCGGTGGTGCACGGTGCCGGTGTACTCCCGGTTGCAGCCCTCCATGACCATCCAAAGCAGCCTGCGAAGGGTTTGGCTCAGGGGCCTCACGAGGTGGCACAAGATGAACCTCCGCAAAGTGGAGAGGAGGCACCGAAAAAGGGGACACCGTGCCCCAAAGGCGCTCCTTCTCTCTAAAAATGAGGGCGGGGGTTTGCGAATCTTTCAAGATTAACAAGATGCAAAGAAAGCTTCGCCAACTGTGTGAAAGTCAGCCTCGTGAAGCGGGGATGGGGTCACCAATTGGAAACGGATATGGCTGTGTCTTTCATTGAGGGCACCCTCTTTTGGTTGGCTTTAAAGGGAAACAAAACCGAAACCCACCATTTTGTGGCGGGGGGGGCGGGGGGGCCGGCAACAATATCAGGACACACCCATATAGAATTGGATACGCATCTCACGTCCCTCTTTGGCCCGCCTCTCAGCACGGAACTTCAGCTCCGGCCACACCTGAGGTCCATCCAGGATCCCCAACCAACCTCCAGCTGCCATGCTGGAGCCCTTAAAGCACACATGAGTATGTATCAAAATGGGGGAGGGACCAGCGGATCCGAAACTGGTGGCCTTCCTTTTGGCGTCCCTTTAATGCGAAAAGGGCCCTCAAAATCACAGCCCAAATCGTTGCCAGCTCCGAAGCTCCACTGGGCCTACCAGGGCCTTGGAAAGCTCCAGGTTCACGCGGAAGCTGGAAGAACCTCTTAAATAGCTTCGCTTCTCCGGATTCGCCCAAGAGACGGTGCGGTCTCTCCTTGCAAACACAATTCCTGGACAGGTTCTGCTGGACTGCTGGACTACCCTTTGCACAGCCGTCTGTTAAAGAGGAGTTCATCCCTGCGCAAGACTAGGACCATTCCTCAGCCAAATCCGCTCCAAGCCAACCACCCCAAATCTAGTTGACCACGCACGCTGGGGCTCCAAAAAAGAAACCTTGACAAAAGGGTGTGGTTAGCTACGAATCGAGGGGTCAACCCCACCCCCCCAAACGGTCCCTAGACCATATCAATATGCATATCAAAGTTGCATGCCAAGCCCAGACATTGCCGGCCGAAAGTGTGACTTGGACAGCCATGTTGACTTCCTTTGCTGGCAAGCGGCTGGTATGAGACGCGTGCCTCAGCGAGCACACACTCTCTCCCTCTCCCCCTCTCTCCCTCTCTCTCCCTCTCTACCTCGAAAATGGCGCATTTCGATGCTGCCAAGCTCAAGAGGGCAGGCGCCATTGAGATTTTGGACTCATCGCCCGCCACGCCCAAGCTATCTGAGCCAGGCGGCTCTGAGGGTCTTCCTCGTACTGCAGCAGGGACAGACTTTCAATCCTGAACATCCTGCCGTTGCGATGCACCAAGGGCGACAGGTTCAAAGATGGTAGCCCAAACTAAAACAACCACCAGCGAAGTCGCGTGATCTGGATCCGCTGCCTAAATCTGCTTGGTTTGGCACTCTCCCACTGTCATTGACCCTTGAATGGCGCTCTCCTCCCGATTCTGATTAGAGTTCCCATTACCTCGGTTTATTCCAACCAGGTGCTCCAACCCCACCCACTCCCCCCCGCCCTGCCCCACCCACTCCCCCCCTGCCCCACCCCTGCCCCACCCACCCCCCCCCCCCTTCGGTCTTCTCATCGCCGCCGTCCGCGAAGATCCCCAAGAAGTCCGTGGCGCGGCTCGCCGCGTTGCAGAAGCCCAGCCTGGCTCGCCCCGGTTCCACCGAGACGCCTGACGCCTCCCGAAAACTCCAGAAGGCAAAGGGTTCCGAGCCCGGAACCCGACAGACAGGAATTTGGGTAAACCCAGTTCCATCCGTACTTGGGGGGCTCGGATAGGAGTCCCTTGATCTCCCGCAGAGGGTGAACCCACTGACATTGCTCAATTGTGGACGCTCCGGTGAGATAGAGAGTGACATTGAACAAGAAAAGAACAGTCGGACCCAAAATCTGAAAAGGTCTGTGCTCGCTTCGGTGGGCCACTTTGGAGTCTCTCGCTTCACCCAACCGCAGCGCAGTTGAATTCAGGTTGGTTGACTTCCTTTGGTGTTCGCGGAAGAAAAAACATCATGGGAGAAAAACACTCTTTCAACTGCAGATGTCATCAAAAACCCGTTGCCTTTTGAACTTTCAAACCCGCATGTGGCAAATGCCGCTTTGAGGGACAAGTGATGAACAAATGGTGTTCCGGCAAATGCAAGCAGAGCATAGTGAATGCAGCGTGCGGTGGATGCAGTGCATGTAGCCAATGCAGGGACTACCATGATGACGCACGTGATGCACGAGATGTGATGGCCTAGGATGAGGGAGCAGGATCCAGGGATGCAGGTGACAGTGGAGTCGATGCATGATGCAACAAATGCAGAGAATGTTTTCCCTGTCCAACAAGGCATGCAGCGGCGCAGGTAATGCAGAAAATGCAGAAAATGCAGAAAATGCAGAAAATGCAGAAAATGCAAAGAATGCAAAGAATGCAGAATGCAAGTAATGCGGGGAATGCGGAGGCAAATGCAGGGAATGCAGTGAATGCAAGGAATGTGGAGAATGCGGGGATGCAGGCAAATGGAATGCAGGGAATGCAGTGATGCAGGAAATCAGCAATGCAGAGAATGCAGCGAATGCGGGTGCGAAATGGATTGTGTCCATCAGTGGGAGGGATGAGCGGTGAGAGATGCGAGAAATTGGCGCAGGGAACGGGTGCCCCTTGCCTTTCCAGGTTGGTGAATCATTGTGGAAGACAGTCGCGTTTTTCAGGAGTGCACAGTATGGGAATGCAGGGATGTAGGGAATGCAAAGAATGTAAGGAATGCAAGGAATGCGAATAAGAACGCAGGAAATGCGGGGAATGCAGCTAGGGAATCAAATAAGGAAGGCAAGGAATGCAGAATTCAGAAAATCCAACAAATGCAGGGAATGCAGGGAATGCAGGAAATGCAGAAGCAAACAGGTAATGCAGCAAATGCAGCGAATGCCGCGAATGCCGGAAATGCAGCAATTGCCGGCAATGCACGGAGTAGGGAATGCGTAAGGAATGCAAGGAATGCAAGGAATGCGAATGTGGTAAATTCAGAAAATGCAAATAATGCAGGGAATGCAGAAGCATGCAGGTAATGCAGATGCAGGACATGCAGCGATTGCTGGCAACGCAGGGATGTAGGGAATGCAAAGAATGTAAGCAATGCAAGGAATGCGAATGTGGTAAATTCAGAAAATGCAAACAATGCAGCGAATGCAATGCAAGGAAGGCAAGAAATGCAAATGCGGTAAATTCAGAAAATGCAAAGAATGCAGGGAATGCACGAATGCAGGAAATGCTGCAAAGAACGTAAGGAATGCAAGGAATGCGGATTCGGGTAAATTCAGACAATGCAAAGAATGCAGGGAATGCAGGAGCAATGATTGCAGGTAATGCAGCAAATGCAGGACATGCAGTGATTGCCGGCAATGCAGGGAGTAGGGAATGCAAAGAATGTAAGCAATGCAAATGCGGTAAATTCAGAAAATGCAAAACATGCAGGGAATGCAGGGAATGCAGAAGCAAAGAATGAAGATAATGCAGCAAATGCAGCGAATGCAGGAGATGCAGCGATTGCCAGCAATGCAGGGATGTAGGGAATGTAAGGAATGCAAGGAATGCGAATGCGGTAAATTCAGAAAAGGCAAAGAATGCAGCGAATGCAGAAGCAGAGCAGGCAATGCAGCCAATGCAGGCAATGCAGGGATGCAGGGAATGCAAGTATTGCGGGGCATGGAGGCAGGAAATGCAGGGAATGCAGAGTGAATGCAGTGAATGCAAAGGAATGCTGCCGAATCACCGGCCCATGTTTGAAGCAAGCGTGCTTATTATTCCTAGCTTAAGCTGCACGCAGATGATCACGGAGCCAACAATCACACAATGTGTAGAGGGGTCTATTAATTTTGTGTACCCATGCAGGACAGTTGCAACCTGCCTGGAGAGTTGGCAGCAGCAACGTGCTGCAGCACTCTCCTCCCTGCTTGGGGATTCCTGTGATGAGGTCTCCTCCAAAACTATTATGTATTTGGCGGTAGACTAGTTATGAACCAGTATCAGCGACTACAATTTTCTGTGTACCCCACAAGTGGGCCAAGTTTGAACTAGGCAAGCCTTCCGGCAGATCTCAATTGACGCTAGGCAATGGGTCCTATGGTTGTCAAGGGCCCCCAATACGGGCCCCAAATCCCAAGCGGGGGCTAATAGTGACTTTTCAGGGCTAATAGTGACTCAAAGGGTTCTATGACAAGGGATCAAAATTGGCGGAAGAGGAAAAAGTGTTTGAGTCTTAGGAGTGACCATAAAAAATGGCACAAAAGTAAGACGAGGAGGTACGCTCGCACCCTGCATCTCGCCTGTTCAGCTCCACGTCTTTTGAGAAGGCCGCGCTGCCCGTGGTCTTGCAAAGGTGCATGGTGGACATGTGGTCCTCACATTGGAGGCCAGGAACATTCTGCAGATGTCGGTCTGGTGGACCCGAAAGCAACGCCGTCTCCGAAGCCCAAGGCAAACCGCCGTTCAGGGCAGCTGCGTTTGGGTCACTTCCAAACAAGAAAGGTGCCTCAATCAAGCTTGCTTTTTCGCCCCCCGACCTGGCGATTTGTCCAAATCACTTGCTGTTGAAGGAGACAGTAGCTTTCTCTGGACGCCAGACTGTTTGGACGAAGTGACAAAAGGCTTGGTGAGAACTTAAATGGGAGGGGAACTGGGTGATGAAAGCTCTTTCGAGCATTTCCTGGGGCCTTCCGCATGCGGCAGTGCCATTGGAAAACGGTCGAATACCTGACCGCGTGTGATTGCATCCCAAGAACTGCTGCCTGCAATGAGTTGTGGAAGGCGCTACGTTTCTGCAGGATGAGCCCAAGTTTCTAATTGGAGCCCTGGAAACCACCACAAAAAAAAAAAACACAAAAAACACGAGCGCCGCGATGTCGCGCGCGCGCGCGCGCGCGCGCCCTCTGCGGGTCTCCTGGTGGATCTGGAAGACCACCCGCATGAGCTCGCCCTCCAGGAAGGCCGCCTAGAATTTCAGCCGAAGCTAGGTGACTAGAGAGCCGGCCAAAAACCAAAGCCAAAACGCGTGGGTTGAAACCAAAACCCATGGAGGTATGGAAACCAAAAACGAAACTTAGATTGGTGGTGTTGCATATGCAACCACAGCCAAAACGTACTTTGTGGATGGTTGTGAAATTCCCTGCTGGCTCGCACCACCGTTTGGAAACCCTGGTGTCTGATTCGTCCCCTCAACATACCAACAAACAATGGTGTCAACCATGGATGCCAAGTGGTGCAGGATTTCCGTCCATCCAGATTATGGATGTCATGTATCCAACAACTGGCAACAAGCTCTGGTTCGGCTTGTGTAACCAAAAACCAAAGAAATGTGGCGGTTTTGCATAGTGGACATGGATACCAAGGTTCCGTGCTGCACTACGGCTTGAGCTGCTCCGAAGCTGCGCTTTGGCTCACTGCGATACATCTGCAAACAAATTTGAGAGCCCCACTCAGACTCACAACAATGGTCATTGGATTGTCGGGCGTTGCCCTCTAACTGTGGCTTGGTGTGGCCGTCCTAAAATGAGCCCGACATCTTCGAACAGCCTATGGAGTTCGGGGGAATCTTGGATGTCAAACGGACACTCGGTGGGCTTATCTCAGGCGGAAGGGAAGTTCTCAAAGTCGGCATTTCTTGAAGGACCAACATCTGGACGCCTTTCGGCACAATAGCCGCTCCAAACGAGCCAAGCTCAACCCGTCATGAGAGCATCGGGCCTGGTCCAAGTATTCCACCTGCGGGTCTGCGCCTGGGCTCGTCTCGCTTTCGGCTGGGCTTCTCCGAGTGCAGAAAACGGGTGCCTCGCTTCAAATCTGCCCGAGCCAATGTAGTGGAAAAGGAATGGCGCAAGAACATAAACGGTACTCGAGTTGATCGCATGAAGTCTCTCGGTGTTCTCGAGTTGATCGGTCGACACAGTGCGCAGCATGTGCGTGATGCTGTCGGATTGCATGTATGTGTGTATATATATATATATATATATATGCAGCCCATCACACACGGCCGAACCGCTGTTTCCGTCATTGTCCATCCACAGTGGTAGAGAATACTCAAAATGCCTGGTCTTTTACTCCTTCTCGGCAAAAACCATGGTGAGCAACAACTTCATCAAAGACAACTGGGCGTTTCTCAAATTAGGGGGGTCTCTTTTTGGACGGTTTCACGGGAAACTAAAAGTAAACCAACTGCCTCAAGGGGTCGCTAATTTTGAGAAAGCCAAATAGCCCGCCTCGGAAGCCTCTTTGAACTCTTTCCCTGTTGGGCGCCGGACCGGCCACATGTGTGTAGCACCGGCGAAACTGCCCAATATCCGTGATGTCGGTGTCAGGCACGAAGTACACCTGGAAGTATAACGCCGGGCGGTACCCGAAAACGAAGAGTTTCGGGTGACCCGTTGAAGAGGTTCGGGGGTCCTTTCGGATGTTTGTCCCTTAGTGCAAGCTGGAACCCTTTTATTTAGAAGCCGGTTCGGCTCTCCTGACCACTCATGGCCGTGTTTCGATAACAACAATGAAGGATGGCTCCCCAGCCGTGTGCCACGGTCCATTCTGGGGCTCTTGATGCCCCCCGAGCCCCCCGTTTTCTTGCGAGTGCGCTGGAGCGATCAGCCCAGCCTCCAGCTGACCCAACCGGAAGCCAAAGCGCTTCGTCACGCTCATATCCTGCAGTGGGGATGGATATGGTCGGTCTGGTTTTTCCGCAAGCTTTGGGGGAAGCCAATCGCAATGTGATTTGGACCAGTGAGACGCGGACTGGCAACACCACAAGTTGTCAAAAGTGCAAGAGGGCCTGGGAGGATCGAACAGGGCCGATTTGTTGGGTCGGACCTCATGAGAGTGCGAGCTGTGACGGGGTCATCACAGATTGGTTTCAAAACGTGAAATCTGTGATGATGAATGATTCTGAACTGTGCTTGAACCTGCCAAAAGCTGACACCACCGCAGCAGCAGCTGGAGGTGTATAAGTGTATCTATATATATATATATATATATGGAATCGTACGCACTGTGGTTGAGAATCCGAATATCTCTATTCTCATCCGCTATCTCGCTATTGGAGGCACAAAAATCGAGCTTCTGCACTCAGCTGCTTTTCTTTCCCAGAGAAAAACAAAACAAAAAACCGGCTGGTCGCGTCCTCCCCCAGGTTATCAATCGAGAAGTAAAAGGACACCGTCATCTCACCTGCGAGGCCCCGAGCTGGATCGAACCCCTCGTGTCAGAGGGAACCCCTCAAAAACTACGGTGGGGGTCGCCATTTTTTTTGAGGATAGCGGACAACCACCCTTTTTGGGAGGGAGGTGGTCTTAAAAAACACACACACACAAACACACACACACACACACACACACACACACACACACACACACACACACACACACACACACACACACACACACACACACACACACACACGCGGATACTTGATCCAAGGCCGGGACGCAGCGAGCCGAAATTCAAAGGCGGTATGTACCTGACAAGCCGGTCACAGCTCGAAGCTGGAGGCAAACTGAACACATGCCACGGTCAAGCAAACGGAGCATGTTCAAATGGCTGTGGGTCAAAAATAGGGTAAACCCAAAATGGATTCCTGGTAGATGGAAACATGGACTAAAGCCTGCCCATGCCCTGGCGGCTTAATTTTGATCCATACCCAAATGCAAGCATGAGCAAAAGTGCGATTCACAGCATGTGCTGGTTCTCACTCTCTACAGTGTTGGAGTCGACTTTGTCAGCGGCACACGGCAGCATAGCTGTAGGAAGTGAATGACAACTGCCCGTTCCTCGAGTCGAGAGATCTGGAGCGACAAGAAAGCCGCTTCTTCGGCGTCAAAAGATTCAAAGAGACCAGCGATTCCGTTTGAGTTTAAACGGTCAGGGACAAAGGTTGGCCAGTCACAAAAAACTCTGCAAGCCCGGCCCTCCCTTCGCAAGCTCATCTCGGCCAATTGAAAAAAAAGGTAGGGGGATAGAGAACAAACAAAAGAAGGGGGGGAAAAAAGGGAGCCTTCACCAAGCGATCCCTAATCCAACATCGTGTGTGGTGAGCACTCATCAAAACCGACCATGGCCGAAGTATGGCCTATGTCAATAGAAAAAAAACACCTTGTGCATTGGCAGATCTATGACCACCCCATTGGCAACCCTCACTCATTGAGAAGGGTAAAAACACAACCCCAAACTACTACCCAACCACCACTTTTTAGGACACTGCATCAAGGGTATACTCCATTTCGAATGGTGAACCGCCATGCATGCATCAAATGTGTGATGCCTTGAACTTATGAGTGATTGCGGGATACCGATGACCCTATCAACCACTTGTGCTTCGGTATTGGCTTATGTGATCAAGTTCACTTTTTCAGAAATCTGCCTGTGTGTTTGTGTGTGCGTGTGCGTGTGTCTTGTTAAAGGCGCCCTGCTTTACGTTGCTTGCAATTGAAACCAAAGGCAAACCCACCTCCACCCTCTTAGTCCGGCGCCTGACTACGGCATCGTCGCTGGCCGAAACGTCGCATTTGAAGAAGTTGTACCTGGCACGCGCATCCAGCTAAAGGCTGACCGCCCTGGTCCTTTCAGCCATCCTCCTTTTGTGTTGCCTTTGTGTTTTTCGAAAAGAAGAAACATCACTGAAACAAATGCAGGGGAAACTAACAGCTGCGATGTTGCCCAAACAAAGACATATCTCCGCCTTGCTGAATTGGCCAAAACGAAACGTGTTGGGGCGATTGGCTGGCTGAGGACACCTGCAAGAAACGAAGTTGACCAACTCAGCCAGCAAACCTCCAAATGAAGCAGGCCCTTAAAGACGTGCCCGTCATGAGTCAAAAAAAATAAGTCCAACATGTCCAAAACAAATATGGAAAAGTGTCCACACAGGAAACAAGGGCTGGCAGTTTGTACAAAAACAAACCAAAAAGTGTTGCTGTTTCTGTGGGAGCGCAATGAGCATAGTGGTCCGGGCGAACCGGAGACGCATTTTGCCTTGCCCACACACGGTCAACTGTGGTGGTCCTTGGAAATACGGACGTGTCGCTGGAACCATGAAAATTGGAACTTCCAAGCCCATCTCAATTCTTCTGGTGGCGCATTGGCAAATTGAGCCGCAGCGAATCATCCTGTTCACCGCTGTGGCGCTGAATGCTGAGCAAGGGAAATCCGATTGTCCACGCAGCCATTGCCGTGGACACAACCGGTCACCTTATCCTTTCCTACTGAAATCCTACCCCGGCAATACAACCCCCAAGCAACGCACACAAACACAAAACACGCTCGGAGATAGACCCTGCAGCCGCCTTTCAGTGAACTCCCCGAAGTCTTTGGCAGGGACCTGAAGACATGAAGCTGAGAGAGCAGTCTGTTCTGATTACTCTGTTGTTCGCTCCCGCCACCTGTTTGGTTCCTGGTGGCTACTCATCCTGCTGCGCGCTCTCGACAACCCCAGTCCCAAAGTCGACTTGTGTATCTGCATTAAAAACACGCCGGCAGTCTTGTTGAAGAACTGTTGCCATGGTTAGAGGACGTTGGGGAGACGCTTGAACCCTATTCCATCTCTCAGCGCTCTGGGAGGCAAGTTCTCGCGACGCGGAAAGGCTCGGGCATAATGAGTCCAGGTCGATTCCGCGATTGCTTTGTTGATGCCCAAGGTTGTGGGAGCCTCCAGCAACAGACCCTTGCCACACGTCTCGCGTGATGCGCCAACGCCATCTCCACGCTGGCCGCGTCATGATTCCAGCACTTCCCATCCTGGGGCGGCCCGTCGAACGCGTCTCAAATCAGAGTCGACGCCAAGGGTTTGGGCACACGCGGATGCTTTTCTCAACGCGGAGGCAGCCGAGATAGCGGCCTAGCTGACAGCGACGCAGCCATGTGGACACGCAGCTGCTGCGGGGCCCTCAGCGAAACGCCTTGCGCGCAATTAGGGAAAGGCGCCGGCGTTTGTCTATGATCGACAACAGCCGCTGATGGTCTTGCACATGTGCAATCAAGGCTGCAGCAGTCAAACGGCTTGCATGTCTGTTGGTTGTCAGCCAATGGCAATCATGAAAAGTTGTTCTGCGGGTAACTGGATGGTTTCCCAACAACGTCTTCAACGAAATGACTCACTTCGTGAGCTTCCCCGTTCACAAAGTGGAACAGCGGTTTCTCCTCGCCGGAAAGTGGGAAGCCTGGTCCGGCAGATCCCCGAAAAACGCCTCCCCTTCAAATGGCAATCTTGAGATTCCATCCCGAGAAACACTGCAGACGGCGCTCAACGAAGGGAATGGTGAGGCGGGGGTTGCGACAGTACCTAGGACTTCAGGATTCGCTTGGCAACATGCAGGATCCCGAAACCAAACCAAAGCTATGCTGGCCAGCCTTACCTTCGGGTAAGCTATAGCAATTGTGCTGACTCAGCTTCCATTCCCCAAAACGAATGACCGCGTCTGCTCATCGGCAACCAGGGCAGAACTCCGAAATTCCATTTGGCAGTGTCTCAAAAACTCAGCCTGCAAAGGAGTGCCAAACGCCTCACTGCCCTCACTGCTCACCGCAAATGCTTTGAGCAGGACCCTGCCAGCTGGCACGGCCTGGAACTGATCACAGCCAGACCTAAACCAACCAACACCATTCAGATTTGAGCAAAAGCGAAACCAAAGCCGGAAGGAGCGAAACCAAAGCCCAATCGATTAAAAAAATGTCCCAAAATGGGGTCCACAAAGTCCCGGATGCTTGAAGGAGACCCAAAGGAAGACCTTTGTTAGGGATAAGATGGAACATGGACAGTGGGAAAGGGGGTTCAGAATGGAATTAATTTGGAACATTGAGCCGCGGAAGAATAAAATATGGAGAATGGCAAAGGAACATTGGGCCCAGGAAAAATCCAATTTTTAGGTAGTCAAGAACATGAATCTGGAAGCTGCAGTGGAAAAGAGGGGTTTCAAGCAATGGAGAATGCTTCCCTTTGCTCAGTTCCCAAGTGCCCAAGCCCCCAAGCTCCCAAGCCATGTTTCGACTCGTGCACTATGACCAAACGTGCGTTCAGCATGGCTCTGGCTTGGTTTTCGGTCTCCATTCTTTTGCTTGTAGCTCTATGATGCAGCCTGTACAGGCTGTGCTTCTATATGGCATGTTCAGTTTTGCGGAGCGCTATGAGTGTCTCTTTGAGACGTTGCCTTTCTGGGTTTGTCTGTTTGAAGGGCAATCAACGGGCAAGCCACCCACATGGGAAGCTCCCCATGGGAAGGTCCCCCTATCTTGCGACGCCGCCATATTCTTCGGGCTCCCCGCATCCAAAGGCAGCACATCCAAGCGCGAGTACCTCCGTCTGGGACGAGTAGGAAGTGGAAAAGGGGGGGGGAGGAAGGGGTGGGGTGGGGTGGGGTGGGCGGGGAATCAACAAACTGGCCAGAGCAACATAAGGTTCCACTTAGGGGTGGGGGGGGGGGAGGGCAGCGTTCTTTTTGTTGATTCATGGCCATCTATCGCAATGAATGGCATCCTCTAATATTGAATTGAATACTGGACCTATCTATCATTTTTAGTACGAAACATTCAAGCGACATTCTGAACATGATTCTCTCTGCATGGTGGATCAAGGGAAACCGTCCCCGAAGCGGTGCTCACTCTGAGTGACCCTGTTTGATGCCCTTTTGGGCGTCAAACCGAAAAAGCGACAAAGGGAAACCCGAGCTTCGTTGAAGGCTGTTGAGAGGGAAACCAAAGCACCAAAAAATCGAAACTGACACCCGTTTTGGGCGTTGACCCATCCGGAGGCAAAGCCATATGGGTGTTCCGGACCTCTTGCTATGTGTCCCTCTCATTCGCCGGGATCGACCAAAGGTCTACATGCGCCAAACGAAGGGACTCGTTCCTACCGTCTTCTCACTGCATGCGATGATCTCTAAGCTCACTGCATCACAGTCTCGTGACCCATCACGGTTTGTGATGAACCCCCTACGACCATCATCAAGGCAGGGAATGGCTCTCATTCCTTGGAATCAATTGAGGTGACCCGGTCTGCTTGGGATGAATCTGAAATTTGGATGATGGGATGATGTCCTCTGAAGCCATATGTTGCCTCCGCATCCTCCGAATGACCCTCGACAATCAGCAGTTTGAGAAACCATTGGTGTGGTTGAGTAGGATCCTTCCCATCCCTACCAGGCAACCCAGGAGCAAGTTACATGAATGGTTCGTGGGGGCTGGGACAATGGGCAATGCTCCTCAGTCCTGCCGGTGGCTTTGAAAAGATACAATTGTCAAGGCTATGCTTGTGAGCATTGGTAGCCCTTGCGTACTTCGGAAGTTGACATCCATGTGCTGCTCAACTATGGCCGATTCAGCTGACTCAAAGGACTTCTCTGAAGTAAGAAAGAGCTCCAACCTTGAATTCCAGTCTGACATGACGAATCAGAGGCCGTCTCCATCAAGGGAAGCAGCCAAAGAATCCAGAGATGCTAACATGCTCTAACCTTTGGGGGGGCCGGTGAGATCTCATAGGTCGCATAACGCAAGGCGAAGTGACACCTGAGCACTTTGACAGAAAGAACCACCGAAACAGCTTTTCAACCTCAGGATGCCTGGCCCCTGGAAAATCAGCGAACCGGGCCGCATGGTTGGGTTGACACCTGCCTACCCCACCTTGCTGCGCAATGAGTTTGTTCTACTCCTCTTGCCGCTCTACCTGGTTAGCCGCTTGGGATGTTCAGGCTGCCTTTTGGAGGGCGGGGCTGTTCACCAGTCGGGAATATACATGTCCGTTGATGCTTCCATTGTACTGTTGACATGATGATCCTCCCTGTCGGAATTTCCAGGCTTAGTGTGGCACTTTGCAAGTGCGCTGTCATTGTTCAGCCCTTCTTTTCACCTCATTTCATTGATCCTTGGATCTCCGGAAACTGTACACATCTGCAACTCCATATACAAATGCTACTCACGAGGTGAGGAGCCTCAAATAAGCAGCGTCATTCCTGTACACTGTACAATGGGTTTAGCATGGATTAGCCACACCAGCTAGTTCCCCGTCTTTTATTGGCTGCCCTTCGAGATAAGAAAACAACTACTCCACTTGCCTGGGGCTGTGGGATCCTCGTCCTCGGTCCAGGACCTTTGGGCTTCTTCGCATCCGGCACAATGGGCCGCTTCCTCACGTACGACCGGGTGGCCAATGTTGGGGGTGGACGCCTGGCCTGACTACCTGCTGGCACACTCGCCTCAAAGAGAGGCACCACGTTGTGGTCGGTTTTGAAGACATGGAAGGATCCGTGGTGAGACACCTCCTCCTTGGTTCCATCGCAGGCAGCACAAACCAACAAGGGCCTGGACCCACCTTTCGCATAGTTCCAGGAGATTGCGGCGTTGTTGTCCCTGCCAGCGTAAATGCCCACGCCGTAACACGCGCCATTGACCACTTTGACGCCCTTCTTCTTACCAGGGACCAACAAGCCACTGCTATAGATAGATCCCAAGGCATTTTCATGCGTGCCATGAAAAACCAACATCAGCTTCTCTTCACCTTTTGATGCCAAAGTTTCAAGGAACTTCTTCTGGACAGAATGGCTGACAGGAGTTGGCCTCAGCTTCCAAGCACCACACACTTGGTTGTAGAGGGGCTGCAGCTCTCCACAGAAATGAGAAGCTTTTTGGTAGAAGAACTCCGAGCGGAACTTCTCAAATCTTCTGTCGGGTTCTGCTTTCAGGGCATAGGCGAGGCGCACCGAATATTGCTCACTCAGCGCTGCCAAGTACTTCTCCTCAGCACTCATCTGGGGTTTCTTTTCTTTGGGCTCCTGAGTGGCACTCGCCTGAGTGGTGCCCATTGTGCCCTTGTAGCACATGGCCGCCACACGTGCCCGCAAGACGGCCGCCTCCCAGGGAGACCGGCGCAGCTGGAGGTACACGTTCACCTCACAGCTGTCGGAGTCGGAGCTGTCGGATCCGGTGGCCGTGGTGACCGAGGCCACCTCCAAGTCCTGGAGCAGTTCAACGAGAGCCGTCAAACTACTCACTGAAAACGTCCTACGGTTTGGGGTGTTCCAAAGATCTCGGAAAAAGAACAACGAAGAAACATCGAAACAACAGCAAATGACATGCAGCTCAGGTGGGGCCATTTGCTCTCTGAGGATCGTCCGTCTCCTTCCAATGATCGTCCTTCGTGGCGAGTGGGGCATGCTCGAAACGGTATGCCTCGAAGGCCAAGTCCGTCTGACTGCTCATGACCTCCTGCGCCTGGCGGTGCTCAGTGCAGGCGTCGGACACTGCCTCCTTCCATTGACGGGCGCGAAGCTGTCGAGTTGTACCTTGCGGGCAGGTGTCAACCAGGCCGCACAGGGCCGCAACCTTTAGTCACCCCCGGCCTCAACAACACAAAAAACGAAAAGATTCGAGATCAAGCATGTCACCATAGATAAAACTGGTACGACATCTAGACCTGTCTTGGGCAGGCCTCAAAAACTCCAAACAATACAAGTTCAAGCATGTCACCATTCACCATGGATAAAAGTGGTGCAATATCTAAACCTGCCTTGCCAGGCCTCAAACACACACACACACACACACACAAAAAAAAAAAAAAAAGATACAAGTTCAAGCATATCACCATAGAAACAACTGGTACAACATCTAAACATGCCTTGCCTAGGCTGCCTAGCTGCCCATCTCTTCCTTCTCAAAACGTCTGGAAGATCGATTCACGCTGCGCTTCACAGCTGATCGGCCAAGACCTTTTGCGAGGCTTGGAGTGCTCGATCGCATCCCTTCACTGGGGCTTTGAGATGTTCGAATGAGTCGCAGCTCCATGGCCTTTCGATGGCCACGCCTCATAGACCAACCGCGCGCGGGAAATGGCGCGAACGGATCATCCCCGCATCCATCGATAGGGGCAAAGGCCATGATGGGCGATGCGCTGGGACAAGCTGATTTGGGGCCCAGTCTAGCCTGCGGGTTGAACATGGAAACAGAAACAAATCAAATGCCTTCAGGCCTGAAAACATGTCGGGTATTTGATGCCTACCGCCTTCCGCATTCCGAAGGCTTGGACTCCAAATGTCTCGTCTGCATCGTCTATCGGCTATCGGCTAGCCTTTCTAACCGCTTTCTGGGGTGTCTGTGCGAAGCAAGAATTGCTGGTGGCGCCTCCTGCCATCGTCTGTCAACATGGGTTCAACTAAGAGCAGATCTTCCCATAATAGGGCTGGGCTGAAGGATCGAAAACAAAACAAAACACTTGGAGATGTTGGAAGACGGGACCCCGATACATATAACCATGGCTCAAAAGCCTGTACCCCAGTGAACATCCCAATCCCCACTGAAATAGACTAACATCGGTGGTGCACCTACCCCAAGATGGTACCATTGCTTTGGACCCACAGCCATATGTGTTAAGCCATTCTCCTGAAACATAGACAACAGTGAATGGCATAATTATGATTGGATATCCCATGGTTGTATGGCGTAGTGTATGTATAAGCTGCAAATGGCTGATCATGGACCATCCTGCCTTCATACTCCCTTGATCCATCTTTATCTCCCGTCCCAGAATTGACTTGGAAGACGCAAGCTTGCAACTGCAGGCGACTCCTGCGACCTATTTCTCCGACTCAATCGCCCCACTCATTCAAGCATGACCTTTACATGACAGTGGATGAACAGTGATGCTTGCTCTGGCAACCATGTGGCAAAATACGGAATTTGTGCGGAAAAAGACACCACACACCCCACGCTCTCGAACCCACATAATGTGGCGTGCCAAGGATCCACCAAGGCGGCCTGGGACAAAGATCAGAGGGTCAAAGGTCCTCTTTTTGATGGCAAGAGAAGCGAATGGGTCATGAAGCTTTACTTGGCGAATTGGCCATCCTTGTGCTGCTCCCTACCCCCAAGGCATAATCCCAGGCCTTGTGTGGTCCTTGCCCATGCGAACTCCTTAGGATGCCCTGGGCGGCCTTGGGCTAGGCGCACTTGAGCACGCGCTCGATCAGATGCGGATGGTCCAGCAAGAAGTACTCGGTGGCCTCACTCTCCAGGACTTGGTTTAAGGGGCAAATGCGCTTGTGCGGTACCTCAAAACCAAACTTAGGCATGATTATAGGAAGATAAGGTGTGCAAAGATTTCGCCTCGTTGGATTTTTTTCAAACTAACATAAACCAGCCAAATCGGCAGACGTTCCAAGGGGGAAGAAAGACCTTTAGACCATTGTTGCACCCAGCCTGGCAGTATCTTTGGAGTGCTCTGGTAAAATATGTCAACGTATTAAAAGGAAACCGGTCCGGACAAAACCCGAGATACCAATGCTGACCTCGGATTAGAATTTCCCTTGAGACAACACCCTATCGACCAGAGGTTTATAAGTCCTGGGTGCTGTTTAGATTCATGTGGGTGGATGTTGGAATTTGGAACGCCCGAATCTGGGGATATACGGTGTGCTGGGCTCACAGGCGACCAAAAGAAGGACACCTGCTCCTTCTGAAAAAACATTGGACGAGGGCAAACACTTGGACCAGCTCAGCACCACCAACCCCCGGTGAATAGAAAAGGTGTCAAGAGGTTGGACAATTCCAAATGTTCAGTGATGATGAAGGGAGGTTCTCTGGGATGTTGGTTGAGGGTTTGGGAGGCCCTGCTACTCGCAAACAAAATCACTTCAAAGCTGATGTACGGCTGGTGCGAAATTCACTGGAATCGAATGCGCATTTTGACCCCTGATCATCCGCACCCAGAACCACGAGGCCCGCTTCGAATCCGACTTCCGATCGATTCCCGAGCTCCCCGCCACCGAGTTGTCGTAGCCCACGAAGATCTGGAGCTATGTTTCTCTGAGGGTAGCGACTTTTTCAGGGGGTTGGTTTAAAGGGAAAAGGAGAACCGACATTCTGATCTGTTCCTTTTGCGCAGCTTGAATTCTAAACCGGTTCAAAAGAGGTGCCACTTGGGCGAATTTGACAACGTCGCCTTTCTTCCGGCTGCCGCAGTCTCGTGGCACCCCGCTTCACTGGATTTCCTCTTCACAACATGCAGTTGGGTTCCAATGAAGCTGGCATCTCTGAAGGTCCAAAACGGGAGGACCAACACACCCAGGGAATGAATACGGGAGCTTCTGAAAATAGTGGTTCAAGAGCTTGGAAGGCTTGGAGCTAGGCAAGTAATTAAGGTGTGCTTTGACTGGCAAGGGGCAAGGCAAAATTCCACACGCTGGTGCACTTTCCATCTCTGACCGAGGCTTGAGGTGCTGCTTCAGGTCTGCCGAGATGTTTTGCCTGCTAGGACTGTTGGGCATTGGTTACATGCGTGTCAAGACGGGAGTTGGGGAATCATTGCAAAGTGTTTGGCTGTGCCTTCTTTGTGGGTACCTCCCCTTTTTGTCTTTTAGTTTCAAGAGAAGCCAAAAGGATACCATCAAATTGTTTGGGAGCTTCAACCTTATAAAAGACGAGCCGCCCGTGTCCTTGTGAGTCACCCTAATTGGGAGCTGATTCCGAACATCCTTTCGCTTAGCTTCTCTTCACCTTTCGGACACAAGGCGAGCGTGCAAAGTGCGAATGTGCAGAGCGCCAGCCTCCCACATCTTGTGAAAAGCATCGCAGACTTCGCGATCATTCCATCCCTCGAGGTTCTCCTCGGGACAATCGCTAGGTTGTGAGCTTCCCTCCTGAACTTCTCGTCATATGGCTGAAGTACTTTCTCATGAGATTCTGACATGCGCAAATTGCGGAACTTTGCATCAAATCCTCAACGACCGGTTTGTCTCCCAAGAAACCGACTAAGATGCCTTGAACCTCGAACCCAAGAGACCAAACGAAAGAGCGAGATATTCCATGGGCACGTGATGCCTCATGATGCACAGTCAAGATTGATGTATTGCTGCTAAACAAAAAAAGGCTTGCCTCGCCCATCTCAGGCGCACTTCAAAATGAAATGCATGAGCCACTTTGAACATGAGATGCCAGGGACACAGGGCAGGCAAGCAATGCAAGCAATGCAGGGGATGTCGGCAATGGGCATGCAAAAGAGGCAATGAGTGAAGCGTGTAAGGGGATTTCTCGCAAGTTGCATCGTCTGCATCTCCTGCATTGTCCTGCATCGCCTGCATTCCCTGCATCCCACACAAGAAAGTGCTGTGGATGCAGGTGATGCGGTGGATACTGCGAATACAATGAGGCAAATGATGCAGCTGATTTGAATGATGCAAGTGATGCAGTGAAGTGCAGCTGGTGCTGTGAATGCAGGGGATGCGGTGAATGCAGGGGATGCGGTGAATGCAGGGGATGCTGTGAATGCAGGGGATGCTGGAAATGCAGGGAATGCTGTGCATGTCAAAATAACACATTGAAAAAGTGAGTTATGTTCATCCACTATCTCGGGCAATCTGGTTGGCTAAACCTCCGCAAATCTTCCATTGGGTGCCCGGGCAAAGGCACGAAGCGTCCTCAGCATTCCACGGATGTTTGTTTTTGGGTTGAACAAACCACACCCATTCCGGGAAAATGGCCTCATTTCCTTTTGTGATAAGCCCATGTAAACAGACATCAACACGTTGGTGCGGGGTGTGTCTTGTCGATGTCCCCGTTTTGGGGGGCAAAAAACTAGACATGCCCAAATGGTTGGTGTTGGGTTTGGAGATCTTCTCTTTCGTTCGTCGCCCCAGTGTCCAGACACCTGAGACTGCCTGCTTCGGCTTCATTGATCCGAGATAGGGGTGCTGCCGGCCCTTTCCCAGCCAAGCAAGAACTAGATGTTGATTGTGCGCAGGTTCAAATGTGTGCAGGTCGCCCGCTTTTCCCAATGGCCATATGGCGTGCCCAAAAACGGCCCCTCAAACAAGTACTGCCTTGAAAGATAAATATGTTCCCAAAACACATGTTGTTGTTTGTTGTCAGGGTACATGTTGTTGTTTTTTTTTGGGGGGGGGTCCAAAGGAAATAACAAAAATGCAGAGAATGATAGAACATGAAAAACGCTTCTGAAATGCTCAAATGGGTGTGTGATGGTGTATGCTTTCTCTTCGGGCACCCTTTTAATGGCTGGAGTTTAGCGGGGTCGACGCAGACCCGATGTGTTGCCACCGACTACCGCCCCATATGGTTGGCTCCAACAAGGAAGTCTCCGGGCGTCCCTGGCTCGAAATGCTCGGGCTGCAGGTAGCCCGCCATCGCCTCAGGCGAAAGGAAGGCGCTGAGAGGAGAGCCATCCGGAAAAGCAAGATGTTTCTAGGTGTTGATTCCCCATTCTTTTCAACCATCGTTCTTTTCAAAAACCCGCTGTTTCCCCTGGGTTTTTCATGGTTTCCTGAAAAGAAACCTCCCTGGAAACAATGGAATTGGAAGGTACCTTAAAAGCCTGGACTGATGATTCCCATGTGCATACCAGCAAACAGTGGTGTCCCATGGTTTCAAAGTGGTGCAGGATTTCGTCCATCCACAGTAGGGAAGCCCCACTCGGTTTGGATCGTTCGTCGGCTGGAGTAGCCCTCAACCCCCCTGCAGTGGTGGCCCGACAAAGCTCTAAGCGTTAAACTTGTCATGGTCTTTCTCAGGCAGAAAGTCCAAGAAAAATGGATATCCATTCGCTGAGCCTGAAGCTCTTCAAGTTCAACTGACCAAAAACTTGTGAAGGGTGAGTTGTATGTAAAGTTGATACGCTTCGGCCCTTGGCATGATCCATGATTCATGCATCCTCGTCAAACACCAGCTTGTGATTCTGCATGCTGCGCAAACTGGCCCTGTGCTGGTGTCCCTTGTTAAACACAGCCTTCACCGCATATACGAGCCGGGCTGCCAAAGAAGCCGGGTGGGACTTTTTTGGGGGCCTATGGTAGCGAAAGTCCCTGACTCCTAGAAGTAGCTGGGGCTGGGTTCTGAAGGATTCCAACTCACCCGACCAGACCCCTTTGCTGCAGGGTGCGATTTGGACGCTTCTTCCGTGGCTTCCGTTGCTCGCTGCGGAACCCTGCCATCAGACTCCGTGGACTTTCTGGGCGCGGTGCAACTCACCTGGAAGACAGGGAGACGCCTGCGGCGAGAGATTCGGCGCCCTGGGTCCACTTGGCTGCGGCTCAAAAAACCGGTCCCAAACTGGAACCCTGGTAAGTGGAAACATGGACCAATACCTGCATAACCCCTCCTGTTTAGTTTTGAGCCACACCCACTTGCTCTTTCAATGAAATGGATTTGGCCAAACGATCGACTTGGTCAGTGAGTTTGGCCGGCTTTTCGGTGATCCGCGGGGCTTTTAGCACAGGAGAACTCCCAGCCCCAAGGATTCCTTTTCTCAAACATCGAGAAGGGTGCTAACTCAAACAAGACACACCCGCATTGATGCAAAACTGGTGTCGGGGAACGACCTTCTCTCCTGCGGAAAGCGAGCCCCAGCTCGGGCATACAGCCATCCTCCATCCCCGGGTTGCCTAGTCTGGACACAGTCCTTCTCGAGTCTCCGTGGTCTCCCAAAGCACACTCCTGGACTTCCCCTTTTGACCTGCACTCCGTCCACCCTTCTGGCCCTCCCAGCCAATCCACCTATCCACCCGCCCGAATTACATTCCCTCAAACAATCATGGAAGCTCCCAGAAGGCCTCTGTAACTGAAACCAAGTCTTCCAAAGGGGTTCTGGGAGCTTCCATGTTAGCCTGGGGGGTAGACCCAATGCGCACACCGCCGATCCCTTTTCCCCGCGTCACTGCTTCCGCGCCAAGATCCGAACGTAGGTGCAGGGCGCGATGCCACCAGTTCCTGGACCAAAGGCGCTGCCCGGTTGAATCCAGCTCCGTCCCAATCAAGTCTAGCAGAAAAAAGGCAGAATCGTCCGAAAGAGCCACCGGTGAAGCCAAGGCAAGTCTGGATAGCACCAAACAAACAGAAGTGCCAGCCGTCCAAAAGGAAGCAGGACAGATCTCCAAACAAGTTCCAGAAGTGCACATCCTCCCCCCTCCCCCCCCATGTCGAGAACAGGCAAACCTGTCTCCTCCCCCCTCCCTTCGGTCAAGTCTCCGTGGGTCTCCCCCAGCTGCACTGGGGCAAGGCCCGTGGCGCGAACCCACTTCCCCATGTCCACGCAGACCTCTCGGCATGAGCGATCGACCAATCGCATCTCAGCTAAACTACTTCGGGAACACGGTGATGCCCTACCACCCAGAAAGTTGTCCATCTAGATGGTAGATGGGTACAACTATGTCGATCTCTTCTCGGTAGAGGCTTATGGACCTGAAGATGAGGCCGCCATTTCTTTGTTTCGACATTGCAAGCCAACATAGCAACTCCTGAGATCTTCCTTTTGAAGGGTTCCCCCCCTGTTGTGTTGGGTACCGGTCTGAGCTTTGCTGTCGGTTTCGCACCTAAATAGGCCAAAAAACAGCAGGCCTCCACGGCGAAATGTGCTGCCTCCAGCGCCGCCGTCAGCTCACGCAGCCTGAGGAGGCGGGCGGAAGGGGCAGGAAGGGTGGGAAGGAGTGGGCATGTGGCCAGAAAGGATGCAAAACCCTCCACATCCAAGACTCCCTGAAAAAAATGGCCGAAGCAACCGAGGCGACTGGCACTCATAGAGTCATGAAGACCCATTAAGACCAAATAAGCCTCACTAGGACTCATTCAGACTCCTTCGGACTCATTAAGACTCATCAAGACTCATTAGAACTCATTAAGACTCATTCAACCCAACCAAGACCCAACAAGAATCACTAAGACTCAGTAAGACTCACTAAGGCTCATTACGAACTCACTAAGGCTCATTAAGACTCAGTAAGACCCTTTAAGACCCATTGAGACCCGATAAGACTCAGTGAGACTCATGAAGGCGCCTTAAAAACTCATCAAGGCCTATCTAGACCCATTTAGACTCATTAAGACTCATTAAGACTCATTAAGACTCATCAAGACTCATTAAGGCCTCATTGAGACGCACTAAGACTCATTCAGACTCAGTAAGACCCACTGAGACTCATTAAGACGCACTAAGATGCATTGAGACTCATTTCGACACGTTAAGACTCACTATGACCCACTAAGACTCATTAAGCCTATTGCGACCCACTAAGACTCGTTAAGACGCAACACGACCCACTACGACTCATTAAACCTGCTTAAGACTCATAAGACGCACCGAGGCGCATTGAGGCCCGCTGAGACTCATTAAGACGCACTAAGACGCATTGAGACGCACTAACTGGCTAAGACACACTGAGACTTCTTCCGACTCCTTAAAAGTCATATCAAGCGCATTCAAACGCAGTAAGACTCTTTCGGATCCTCAAGACTCATGTGGCTGTTCCTCAAAAAGCGGTGTCCTTGTTGGCGAGTGTCAAGGGCAAGAAAAGGAACCGGCTCACAGGGTCCCTACTGTGGACAAAAGCCATGTTGCACCACTTTGAATGCCTGGTTGAAGCGAATCATTCCAGGGTGTTTTTTTAGGTGGTGCGAGATGGATTGCGGCCATCCACACTACTTCAAGAACGCCCCCTATATTGCCTTCAGAACTTCAGGGCTGGCCTACCTCATGAGCTCGCCATAAAAGCGCAGACGCATTGTTGAGCTCCCTTAACCGCTGTTGGTTGGGATGTCCCTTAACCCTCTACCTGGTTACCCACTCAACGGGTTCAAGAGGGGGTCATCCATCTTGAAAGAGAAACAGCCGCAACACCCAAACTAAGATTCTTTTGGTGTCGTCCTGGGGACCCCCAAAGTGGGTGGTGTCCCTTTGTTTCCTTTTCAACCAACCCAAAAAAGAGTTCCTGCAAAACCACGACACATCCACATAGGTGTCCTTTAGCCAAAATAGACGGGCTTCCCTAAAAATGGGGCATAGCACCAATCGAAACCAGTGGAACCCATCCATCTGGACCAGTGGAACCCCTCCTTTCTCTACCCAAACCCACCCCCAAAAAGGGACACCTCCCCCCAAAATTGCACCCCTCACCCCAAAAATCGGGGCCGCCTCACCCCACTTTCCTGCCCCACCAGAAAGCCGGGAGAAAAACAAAAAGACGCCGCCGGAGGAACTCCAAATCCGATCCGCGTCGCTGCTGGGACTCGAAGGCGTCGCAGAGCAGGAGCAGGCCCTCGGACCTCAGCACCTCCGCGCAGCTCCGCGCGAAGGCCGCCTTCCTCGGCGCGGGACGCTGCGGCGATTGGAAGCCATGGCCATGGTACCCGAAGAAAGAAAGAAAATAATCCGCCAGGGAACCCGAAGGCGTACAAAAGGTCCGCTGAAACCCGGTGGGTCGCGAAATCCGAAAGCCGATCGCACCACCTAAACCTTGGAAGGATTCGAGTTCCCGATGAAGAGCAACCAACGAATGGTGTCCACAATGGTTTCCAAGTGGTGCAGGATTTTGTCCATCCACAGTATGGGGAACTCGAATCCCAAAATGGGGTTAGAACCCGATCCAGAGGAATCTCCTCTTGAAAGGATTCACCTTTTTTAGGGTACATGGCCCCAGTAGAAGAATCTTTTGGGTACACATGGCCAACCAGTTCACATGAAATCTTTTGGGGTACACATGGCAATGGTTCGCATGGAAACCTTTAGAACCCGACTTCAGTTGTAGTGAACGGGTTCGCCTTTGTGGGGAACACTTTTTTTGGGGTACACATGGCCAACCAATTTACATGGGAACCTTTACATTGGTCTCCACCACAAGGAGGAAGGTGGTTGTGGGTCGAAAATCGGGGAACCCCAAATGGCTCAATTTTGACCCATACACACATAGGGGTGTCTGGGGGTGGCTGCTATCTTTTCGTTGTTTGGGGGGGGTGTTTAAAGGGCAACCGAAGGGAAAACTTCCTTTCTGGAGGGGTTCACTGAAAAAAGAAACACCCACGTCCGCCATCCAAGCAGGGGTTTCCCATGAAGAAAATTCCAGTGTTTTCTCTTTGTTTCCCACTAAAACCACAGCAGCTTCTCCCGTTGCATCTGGCAGGGAAGTCCCAGGCTGAACTGGCCCTAAGCTGCCGCTTAATGTAAAATCGCTTCCAAATCAAGCAAGACATCAACTCCCGCTAAATTGGGCCGCGTCTTGCGTGCCAACTCTCCGAACACACCCAACATGGACCGCCCAATCTCTGGGAGCCGCCCCTCGAAGTCGGCGCCGTCCTCTACGCACAGAAGCACATCAAAGGCGCCGCTCCCGAAGCGCGCGGCCAGGTCCTCGAGAAAAACTTGGCCCAAGGCGAATGGGCCCTACTGGTTGGGTTGAAAAAACTGAAAAACCAACCAAAGGGGGTTTAGGGTTTCGGGCTTCGGGCTTCGGGCTTCGGGTTTAGGGTTTAGGGGTTTAGGGTTTAGGGTTTAGGGCCCAAGGACAACATTTGGGTGACCTGTTGAATGAGTCATAATTGTCAAAACCCATCGGTATTAAAATGGTGCACACAAACCAATGAAAAGAATTGCAAAGGCGGCTGCACCTATTAGTGGCTGGGAGCGTCACTTCCTAAGCTTCATCTACCGGGTTTGATTGTGGCTCGGATGCTGGCAATTGACATCAACGCCTTCATACCTTTTGGCCTTTTGGTTTTCCTTCGGGAAAGTGAACTGGTTGAAAGGGCGGGCAACAGGCTGATGGCCCACTTTTAGTAGGCCCCACATGGTTAACCTTTTTATTTGTGGGTCCTTCACAAAACTGAGAAAAAGGAAGAACCTCCGAAGGAAAAATCCAGTTGAGTGGCCCGGTGGAATTGGTGGCTTGAATTGGGTACCTAAAATGGGGTAAGTGCACCACCCATTTTCGTCTGTCTTAGTGGGGATTGGGATGTTCACTGGGGGTACGACTTGGATTTTGACCCATGACCATCTGGGTTTATAGAACCCTTTGGCCGTCCTCGGGGGCGACTTGCTCGTACCGCAAGATCTCCGAGGGCCTCGTACCCGCAAACAGCGGGCGACGGTCCCTCCCACAAACGGAGTGCACGGGCGAAAACTTTAGAGGAAAGCTCCAAGAAAGGTCTGTGCAACAAGCCATGTTTGCGATGGTGCAACAAAACCCGCTATCCCATTTGTGCCATCTTTTAGACGCCCAACCCAATTTGCATGGCCCCAAACACCGGGATCTCTGTGCCACATGGCGTGAATCTTTCTCTCGGGTTTTTCTTTCTTTGGAAGTGTTTCAAAGAAGAAAAAAAACAAGCAACTCGGTATTTTCACCCCTGTGTTTCCTTGCGTGGATAACTCAGTCGTTTGGCCCAAAAAAAATCCTTTGCGCCACGCCCAATGACTCCTTCCCTCTCGGCCTCACTTTGTGCCGCTCCCGGCAGATCTCGATGTTCTCGGCGCGGGAATCCGTGGCCACGTAGCTGGCCACCTGCGCCACCTGGGCGTCGGCGCGGCGAGCTTCGAACGCGTCCCGGGTTCGCCGGGCCCGGTCTTGTGGTGCCATGTCTGACCGCTACCGACAAACGAAGATGAAAGAGGTGGTCTCTGTCAGAAACTGGTTTTCCAAGTCTCTGTCGGAAAATGGCGTTCCAAGAAGTCCCAGCCAAGATTCAGGGGGAGGACCAACTGAGAACAGCCACCAGCTCACCAGCTGGCTGCGACTCACAGGTTGATCACAGCCGCCGGATCTCGGGCAAATGAGAGTCCCTTTGATCCCGGGAAACGGATACGGAGGTCTCACAACGGTGGCAGCAATGTGCAACCAAAATCAAAAACGCGACATGTTCGAAACCAGAAATGAACGCTGAAAGTATGAATCTGGGTGCAAGATCGGGGATTCTACTCCCTGCTTCATCCGCTGACCTGAAAAAGTGGGCCTCTATCCAAAGCTGAGTCCCAACCGCTGGCTTTCGGTGACCTGAGAGCCTATGCTTTAACCCAACCCAGCCTCCCACGAGTTGGAGCGGTTTGGATGGCTCGCGGATTGGAACCCCTGCTTCTTGTGGGCACCACCTGTGCCCCGGTGACACAAACTTCAGCCTCCCACTGATTGGCGGTTTGGATTGGTGGCTTGGGGATTTGAACCCCTGGCACCCATCCAAACCACCAAGTGGCGGGAAGCTGAAAACTGCTTCATCAACCCCCCAAACAAAGATGACGGCGCACAGCTGGGGAAGACTTGCGGTGCCTCAGCCAGGTATCGGGCGCCGCCGCCGCGCATGCACGACACCTCGGAAGTCGCTGATGGCAAACCGCCCACGAGGCCGTCATGGAGCCATCACAGGGTGCCGATGTGCGGGCAAAAGGGGCCACAAACTAACCAACCAACCAACTGATCATGCAACAACTGATTCGCAAGATCCGCAAGGAAGCAACCAGACATTGAAAGGTCCATTCGGGAAGAAGTCCGTGACAGGTTTGGCGGGTTCGATCAACAAGCTTCAGGCCTGCCTGTTTGTTGACCCATGCTGAGTATACCCGCTTGCAAGGCAAATGCCCATTTTAGAGGTCTTTGATTGAAAACCAGAAAACACCGAGTTCAGAATCCATTGCCACCAGTTTAGAGGAGAACTACTACCATTTGTCCAAGACCATCTAGAAGGATTATTCTGGGTGGATACACATGGTCTAAAAAGGCGGATCCTAGAAACGGTTGTCTTCTGATGACCCTTCCAAGTGACATCCTGAACACTACCCTCTAAATGAACTACAATTTGGGGAACTCCCACCTTTTAATTAAACACTTCTTGAACTCCCCACGGGCGAGGAATGGAACGCTGGCGCCTCCAGCACCCGCTTGTGCTTCAGCATCTCCTCGTCGGCATCCGCCACCGCGGCGCCGGCCGTGGTGGCCAAGTGCCAGTACAGCGCAGCGCCGTAGAGGTGCATCTGCCACTCCCAGCAGCCTCGACTCCAGGTCTCACGCGACGCGTCGAGCTCTGGGAGTCGAGGCGGGATTCGGTCCGAAAAGCCCCCGGTACCAAAAGGAAATGGCAGCGAGATCCCTGAAAAGCAAACCCTCAAAGCAAGACGCACTTTGCTTCCCTCGCAAATCACTCCAGAAAAAGGCAGCTCATTTTATGATGGCCCAAAGGTGACGTTTACAGTAAGCCACGTACTGCAGACCTCCCTAAATCTCCCTTGGAGAGCTGACAGGAGTTTTCCATTATCATTAGTATCATCATCATGATCATGATCATTGTCATTATGTTTGTTATCATTACTACTGCTGACGTTTGTTGTAGTATGTCATTGTCATTGTGACTGTCATTGTCATTGTCACAGTCACCACTATCATCACTACTATCTTTGTAATCATGACTATTATATAGCATGATCATGAGCTTCACCATTGTCATGTTTATCATTTGTGCGTGGTCGTAGAAGTAGGTAGTAGTAGTGGTGGTGGTGGTGGTCGTAGTAGTCGTAGTCGTAGTCGTAGTCGTAGTCGTAGTCGTAGTCGTAGTCGTAGTCGTAGTCGTAGTCGTAGTCGTAGTCGTAGTCGTAGTAGTAGTAGTAGTAGTAGTCGTAGTAGTAGTAGTAGTAGTAGTCGTAGTAGTATTAGAGCTACTAGTAGTGGTGCTGGTGGTGGTGGTGGTGGTAGTTGTACAGCAGCAGCAGTAGAAGTGGTAGTAGTGGTGGTCGTGGTAGCAGTCGTGGTAGTAGTCGTGGTAGTAGTCGTGGTAGTAGTCGTGGTAGTGGTCGTGGTAGTGGCAGAAGCAGTAGTAGTAGCAGCAGCAACAGTATTAGGTATCAGGTACCAGGTATTAGGTAGTAGTACTGTGGATGGATGAAATCCCGCACCACCTGAGTAACCCTGGAATGATGATTCCCATGTACATACCAGCAAACAGTAGTTTCCGTTGGTTTCAAAGTGGTGCAGGATTTCGTTCATCCACAGTATCGTCATCACTATTATTAGTAGCACCAGCATTGTCATTGTTATTATACTATTGTCAGTATTATTGTTAGAAAGATGTCGTTTGAGATTCATAATATAAACTTCCAGAGCATGTTCATTGGGAACGTGGTCGGTCAAAAGGAAGCTAACTATTTTGGGGCTCAAGACACCGCTGTAACTAGCCCTACCTGGAATTGGCACAAACTTCCATGGGCTTCCCTCCCTCTGACCCCAGATCCGCCTCTCCTCCAGCCATTTGGGCACTTGTCAAACCAGAGAACCCTCAAAAACACACACCGATTTGGGGGTTCTCAAAATAGACCCTCTTTTGGTCGATAAGCAAAGCAAGAGGAAGCCGTCCGCTTCCGTCTGGTTTTGAGACCCATCGTGTCCGACAAGCGGCCTTTGGGGAAGCCGTTTCGCACCAGCTCCGGCGCAGGGATCGGCACCCCGAACTTGCCCCCGGAGTTGCAGAAGTCCAAGTGCTCCGGGTACAAGGTCTGCTTCTGCCCCACCCACCTGCCAAACAAGAAGGTGCCACCTCACAGTATATTGTGTGTGTGAAAACATCTGCAGAAAGCAAGCCAGTTCCTTGATCGTGGCACTGACTAGAATGAACCTGCGAGAACCGCTCAGAAGGCAATCAATTGCCTTCTGAACTGGGAAGCCCTCAGCGAGTGGCCACAGACTGCATAGCCACGCGTCGTTTTTGCTGATGAATCTAAACGGAACCCAGCATTCAAAACATGGGAGTATGTTGTCACCAGGGTAAGAGATAGATAAACATCCACCTGCATCCGAAACGGAGGGGGCAGAGGAGTTCTATGCCATGGCTTCAACCCAGGAAAATGACCATGCTGCCTTTGATCCTCCATACTCAAAAGCTAAAGCGTGTCTCGATGGCAGTCTAGCCACAAGAGATAATCATGAGCACCTTGGCATGTGGATTTGCCTTGCAGATCTATCATGTTCAATGGTGAAGCGCCCAACCAATCCAAGAAAAATCGAACCATGCCAATTGAGCAACCACAGCTGTGGTTTGGCTCGCATTCTCACCATAACCCGTGAAACTAATGGCCAATTTGGATGTTGGGCGGCCTACTCAACTGAACCAAACCAATTGCCATCCCGCTTGGCGCACGCGTCTGCCAAGGCCAGGTGGGAGACCCCTTCGAGTTTGTCACTCAAGTGGGTTTTCCGCTAAGTCCTTCAGGTCTGTTGAACACTTAACTGTTCTCATCCAAGTAGCCACCTTCTGACCTTCTCTGGAAGATCGCTTTTCACATTCGATCACTCATCTCCCGAACAGTAGCTGACCATATACTTTATGGGGGGCATTCCACGTCTCTTAGTGGTGATTGGTCGGCCTCTCCAGGCGGTACAACAGGCGAGCAGCGATGGTCTCAGGCAGGTAGTCCCGCCAGTCCGGCAGCTGCGCGATGTAGCCGCGCCTGGCGTGGGATGGACGGCACTTGGAATCTGGTTTGCAACCTGGTCGTTTAGGGTGTCTTGTATTTTTTTGGGGGGGTTGGCTGCAAAATGGCCTCTAAATGTCACAGGGAGGGAGGGGGAGGGGGGACCTGAAAAGGCCACCATTTTGTCAACCTGACGTGTGGCTGGACAGAGAGTGGACACCAGGTCGCAGGAGACGCAGTCACGAGCCCCTTCATGAGGTTCTTGCAGGGCATCCCCCAAACTCGCAAGCGGAATGCAGCGAGTGGGCGCAATGCAAATCCGAAAGGTGCTGCAGCTTTAAATGAGGCAAAGTCGTCATGTGACAAATGCGGTTTGAAGAGAGCAGACCATTCACAACAACAATTAGTGAGACTGCAGAGAATTGAAGCCAAAGACGAGCAAGCACGGCTCGGCATCAAAAAAAATGATAACACACCTGTGGTAGAAAAAGAGAAGCAAAGTCAAAGGAACCAAAAAATAAAACTAGGCCTGGGATTTTTCCGCGCCCAGTAGTGGCGCTTGAGCGGCGTGAGCCGTCTTGCACTCAGGATCCCACGGGCGGCTCTGGCCGGCAGCATGGCTCGCAAGAGCTGTTCGGTTGGGGTTAGCCTCTATTGGTGGATCCACTTAGGGCAAGCCGTTTTTTGGGGGGATGCCTTTGGGATGCGTTTTGGGAGGATGTTGAAGGACACTGAAAGTCTCAGGGTTTTGGTTGAAGTGGTCCAAGCCTTTGCTTGACTGCCAGGACTTCGCCGAAAAGCAAATCCCGGAAAGTGAAATTGCGGGCTTCACCGATACGCGAGAGGTCGTTATTTTTCTCCGATTCGGACACTCAAGCCGAAGGCTGCGGTTTTTGCACAGAAGTCTGTTCGGATTGCAAGCAAAATGCATCAGCTTCCAAAGCTTCCAAGGGTCGCAAACAAAAAACATACGCGGGCCCCTCCAAATGGTTGACAGTGTTTGGTCATGTTCCTTTCAGTCAAAAAGAGATCCCACTGTTGTTGACAACGTCCTACATTTCATTCAGTGTGTCCCCTGCCACTGTTCGACGGTGCCTTCAGCAGACGTTGACATCTGGAGCAGTTTCGGCCATAAGCTGAAGCCTATCCAACACTTGGCTCGGGTGAATCCAAAACCACCCAACTCCATGAAGTTGAGGAGGTGAAAAGGCCTCTATTTGGATAGGGGACGGGATTAAATGCAAGCCTCCTTGGGACGTTCAGCACTCTCCTTGCCTTCTTGCGAGCGGGTCACATAAAACCTGGAAGGGCAAAAGGACAAACAGGAAAACTCTTGATCTGCGCTCATCTCCCAGCCTTAGGCTAATCTCCTGGGTCAGACCTGTTTCCCAAGCCACGACGCGCGCTCGTCGCATGCCTCCTGGGTCTTGCGCCAACCGCCTGGGATAGGCCGAGTTGTCGCATGCCGCGCGGTTGGAGGCTGGAGGTGGTGTGTAGATACTATTCCATTACAGGCGCCTTTCTCCTTATTTATTGCTTTCTTTTCTTTCTTTCTTTCTTTCTTTCTTTCTTTCTTTCTTTCTTTCTTTCTTTCTTTCTTTCTTTCTTTCTTTTCTATTATTTTCTTTCCTTTCCTTTTCTTCTTTCTTTCTTTTTTTCTTTCTTTCTTGATTTCTTTTGTTCTTTCTTTCTTTCTTTCTTTCTTTCTTTTATTGTATTCTACATTATTTTGTTTTCTTTTCTTTTCTTTCCTTCTTTATTTCTTTCTTTTCTTTCTTTTCTTTCTTTTCTTTCTTTCTTTCTTTATTTATTTCCCCGTTTCTCTCTTTGTTCGTTCTTTCTTTTCTTTTCGTTTTTTCTTAAGTTTGTTTCTTTCTTGATTTGTCTTTTCTTGCTTCCTTCCTTCCCTTCTTTCTTCTATTCTTTCTCTCGCCCCTTCTTTCTTTGTGTCGTCTGTTTTTTTTGCTTCGCGGTTTCTTTCTTTTCGCCCTTGCTTTCTTCTCTTTCTTACTGTCTTTGTGTATTCGTTTCTGGCATCTATCTAAGAACCTATCTCTCCGTCTACCTATCTATCTACTTATGGGTCTATCTACCTACCGACCTATTTTGTTTCTCTCTCTCTCTCTCTAATACCCTACCCTCATCTATGTGTCTGTTTATCTATCTATCTCTCTCCCTCTCTCTGGCCTCCATCCCTCCACTTTGTCGTCTTTCTATCTTCCTAGAGTGTATACGCTACCTCTGTCGATCTCCCTGTTTATCTATCTATTGATTGGCCCACTCTATGTATCTATCCATGTACGCACGCCATCTGTTTACCTACCTATCAACCAGCTATCTAGCTTCTCTCTCTCTCTCCACTGCCAGGTGTCTACCTGCCTATCTACTTATCTATCAACCCCTAACTCTGTTATTCGTCTTGCCTATCGTGTCTGTCTGTCTATCTATTTGTCAGAATCATCTATCCATCTACCTAACTCTGACCTGTCTCTCTATCTTTCTATCTGTCTATCTAATCTATCCTTCTATCTAGCACCTATTTATCCTTCTTTTTCTTCTATCTACTTACCTACTTTTCTATCCATCTATGTACCTAGCAGTCTGTCGAATCTAGCAAATCTATCTCTCTATCTACCTATCTATTGTCAACATATCTGTCCCTCTCTTTATGAACCAATTTATGCATCGACCTTGCTAAAGTGCTGGCCCACCACGCAAACTGCACATGACGTTGCGACAGTGCCGCGCATGCCACGAAATCATCTCTACTTGGCCTGCCACGAAAGCGCTGCGCCGGCCATACAAAATAACGTTGCGAGAAGCGGCCCGGCGGCTCCAGGCGTGCGCCGAACGTGTTCCGAGCATGTGTTCCCAGAGTGCTCCGACTAGGCGACGCCATCAGGCTCACTGTCGACCATCCCAAAAAGCGAAACCTGCAGAAGGTTGCACTTTTTGAACATGTCTATTCCCCCGCCACAGGCGCGCACATGTTTTTTGCGCATGATTAATCTTCTCTTGTCATCTGTCTCAGACCACGGAAGTTCTTTCTAAACTTCTTTGACTATATGATATATAACAAATATCGTATGAAATGTGCATTTATGTATGTATATATATATATATGTAGAGGATCCCCCAAAACAACCTCAAAACCGAAGAGTTTGCGGTAAATTGACGGGCTTCCCCGGGTACTCCACTTGCAATGTCTACGGAGTCAACAATATCATCTGAGCAGGAATGGCGCCAAGAGAATCTTTTTCGTGAGAGGCTGTGGAGGTCCCCTCAATTCGACGATACAGATCTCGTGATAGTAATAGAAATGCTTGCGGAAGTTGCTGGGTACCATCGGTGTCAGAAAGGCCCTTTCAAAGGGGCATCCTCCTGCTCAAAGTTTCTCCATGTCCTACCTCGATAGCCTGCCATTTTGCTTGCTAGCGGGTGTGAAATTCACATGATATTTGTCTTTGTCTTCCCTATTGAAATAACATGTGCGACCGAGCTACAAGCAAAAGCGCCGTCAGATATTGCCATGGAGAACAGACCATTAGGATTCTTGATTCAGCCTGGCTCACGTCTCCAAACAACTCTTCAACATGTTCAGGCCTGGCATGCATCGCGACATCAGTGCATGAGTGCGTATACGACTGTGAATAGCGTGATCTGCATTGTGGCCATGACATCTGATGTTGTTGGAATTTTGCCATTAAATAAACATGTGATCTTGCTACTAGCTTGCCTTTAAGCCAAAAGATGCTAGCTTGCCGCAGGCTCAATCCTTCTGTTTCAATGTCATTTCATGGAGCTTCGATGAGATTGATCATCTCTGAAGGGCTCCAGCTGGAGTCTGATGTTATGCTTGTTCGATTGCGGCCTGACTCCGTTTCCGCATGCATCCTGGTTTCGTGGCAAGGTTCTTCGTGCGCTCCTTGCAGATTCCCTTCGCTTCTCATGTTGGAGCCACTGCGACGGCCGTGGAATCGGTCTCCTTGCCCCCCTCCCACCCCACAGTTTGTGTTGTGATCAGGGACATGGAAACTAAGCAAGTGGCCGCAAGTTGCTTCTTCCGTGGGCAATTCAAGCACAAGCTCGATGCCTACCGACAAGCACAACCGTCATGGGTGCATTGCGCCGAGGGTTAAACCATTTGCAAGAACCCTCATGTACCACACCAAATGTTCAAGTGTTTGGTTCGGCGCAAAAGGTTGATTGCATTGATTGATGCGGACTAGCACCACATGGCTCGAGCGTCAAATAAACGGATCAGGGACTGAGCCCCAATCACAATCTGAATGCACCTCCACAAAGTGCTGAGCGGGACAATGTTGAGACGTTGTGACATTACCAAAGCTCCTTGAACAAAAGTATAGCCGTCCAATAGATGCACACTTGAATACAAGTTTGCCCGGATTGGAAGAACTCGAGAGCACACGCCAAAATGTTCGTATCTGCCCCCTTCGAGGTGGCGAGCAGCCAAGCAAAGATTGCGAGCCAACCGGCGATGCACTTCTTCTGTGCTGTCAAATGACTGTATTGCCAAGGGCCCCACAATTGAATCCACAGAAACCTTTCAAAACCAGTACCCAAAACAAGATATGCTTCGCGAACTGACATTCAATCTTTCACGACAAACCAAAAGATCAAGCGAGCCCGCGTTTCCAATGTGTCCATTCTCGCAGGCAAGACAAGCTAAGACTGTTGATGACAGTTTTCCATGACACAGCATTCAGGAAAGGAAGCATACAAGATACACCCGCGTGACCCCCTCTGAAACATCCACAGTGCATCGCTTTTGCTGCTCAAAGACCAACTGTTTGGGGGGTGTATCAAGATCTGATAAGCCTCCCACCAACCCCAATCCACCCAACCCACCCGCGGGGTGCGCAGCTCCGGACAAACACCGCCTCGAGATTTGTGCGGCTGGCGCGCTTGGCGAGGCAGGCCCCCCGCGCCAGCAGGTCCTCCAAGGTCCTCTCCCAACCAACTTCCCGCCGCAAGATGCGGCCATGGGTCAAAACCCAAATCGTACCCCCAATGAACATCCGATTCAATCCAACCACTAAAATAGGTTCTAAAATGAATGGTGCACCTATCCCAAAATGGGATCCCATTGGTTTTGAACCATGGCCATGTCCTCAATATGTTCACCGAAAAGACAAGTCCTTTTGAAGAATTGTATTTGGCTCCTGGTTTCCGCAAACCCAAGGACCAGCTCGCTTTGCGGAAAATTGTTTGCTTCCCCGCAGTTTAGCTGACAGAACTTGGTTGCTGTTGACCCCCCCTGCAAAAAGTTCAAAGTTCAACTTTTTGGGGGTTTAGTGGAAGACCCCTTTTTTTCAACCAAAAAGTCAAAGCCTAAACATCCAACCCCACAAGAGGGGGGTTCCCTCCAAAAGTGATGAATCCCCACTAAAAGGGGACACCCCCAAAAAAATCAACCAGGGGTTTGTTACTTTGGGGTCAACAGAACGACCGCCGTTTCGCCTTTTGACTCCGCGCTTTAGTCGCTCCTGTCCGCGGCCTTAGCCAAGAGCTGCAGCGCCTGGTCCGAGATCTCAACGCCGGCGCCTCGCCGAAAACGAGCTGTGATCTCGCCCTTGTGCTGTGGTTATCTCGCCAAAAAGAGCTGTGGTTTGGTTGGTTTGGTTGGTTTGGTTGGTTTTTTTGGTTTGGTTGGTTTGGTTGGTTTGCTTGGTTTTTTTGGCTTGGTTGGTTTGGTTGGTTTGGTTGGTTTGGTTGGTTTGGTTGGTTTGGTTGGTTTGGTTGGTTTGGTTGGTTTGGTTGGTTCGGTTGGTTCGGTTGGTTTGGTTGGTTTGGTTGGTTTGGTGTGTTTGTTGGCTGTGGCTCACAAAACCGGCCCCAAAATGGGTTGCCCTGGTAAGTGGAAACATGGGCCAAAACCTTCAGTTTGCCCCTCCTGTTTTGTTTAATTTTGAGCCACACCCATATTCATTGTTCTTCCAAACAATCAAAAGGTGGGGTTGACAGGACTAGGTGCGGAGGATGAAGGAAGACGTCGAGTCAAGCCTCGCATTTGGTCTGGCCCTTGGGAGTGTCGCACGCCATGGTTCCGGGAGCAGCAAAAGAGGGGTCCCCAGGACAAGCATAGATCAAGAAAAAAAACAGGAGTTTGCGACTGTAGCTCACACATGACACAACAGGAAATGTAAAATGGGTTGTCCCAACAACCTGCCACAATTGCAGAAAGTTCTCCGTAAGCGAATGCAACAGGAACCAAAACCATTGTATGCCTGCATAGTTTGGCCAATTTTGAGGTTCGAATTGCACGGCCAAAATACAGTTTTGACACCACAGAACTGTCCAAGGCCTCGAGAATGACGGGCCCAAAACAAGAGCGATTTGTGTCTGTGTGTGTTCTTGTTGGATTCCAGTTGAAGCCACCCCAAATCAACGCTACAAAAAGAAGGGCGAAAGACTTTGCCATAAAAGTCATGCTTGGCTATCGCTTCTTGGTCCAGAAAATGCTGGACACCGGCATCCGTCGCAACCGGCACGCCTCGCAAGAGGTCTGCGATGGCAGCTGACGCCTGGGTCGATAAAATGGTCCCACAAACGGGGAACTTAGCGCCGCATTGGCCTGTGTGCAGCCTGCAGCATCCGCTTTGACAAAAAGAAACGTCAATGCCACAAGTGCATCATGCCGTCAACAGACCATGTGCCTTGGGCTGTCCACCACGCCTGCTCACCTGCATGCCTTCCACGCGCTTCTGACGGCTTTGTCGCTCACGTTCCCTGGAAACTCAAAAAAATGACAAGAAGCCACAAGCAGTCCCCTCACTGCCAGATGTGAAATTTGACCTCTAAGAACCAAGCGGGCTCCGTCGGCAACTCCTCCCCCATGCGCTCGCACTGGGCGTGAGCGGCTGCTCCCTCTTGCTGCTTTCCGCGGGATGGAACCCTCAACCATCGTCGACCTCCAATGGACAAACTGTCAACAATTTGGTCCAATACAAATGACAATACGGCCGGGCGGCAAACAGAGCAAGCGCCATGTTTCAACTTGTGGGCATGCCCTTGTATCAAATCACGCCCTTGCTCCAAACACTCTCAGCCAAGGGACATATCTCAGCCACATGGTGGGAATGCTGCTTGGGGAAATGGAGGAATGCAACTCAATCTTTGAGCCGTGCGGTCTGTGTGTGTGTGTGATGTGTAAACATACTTGTTTGATCTTCTTCTAGCCTACCTGTGTCTGTCTCTGCGTGGGTGCATCCACACGCAACCCCCGAGACTGAACGCGGGCCCCACTCACCAAGCTGAAGCCATATAGTGCAACCGGTTAAAAGCTTGAAACCCGTGTCCAATCACAATTCTGCGAAGAATCGCGTTGTAAATCCAGGCCACTCCGTTGCACCCTGCCGTCCTGTCGGTCACTTAGGCATCGCACGGACGCACGGAGCAGCATTTTTCTTGATGGCTCACAGCATTCGCGTGCACCGCCTCTGTGCCATTCTATGCCAGCATATATTGCACAAGACGGAGTTCGATCTTGTGCATATAGACCTACAAATGTCATGTCCATATCTTCGTGCAATTTTGGCTTGAGTGCTGCACTAACTTGCATGTGTACGTCAGGCTTGGATTGTTACAGCCTTCGGCCCGGCGGCACGGCGCCGGAATGACATGGCTAGCTACGAGAAGACTGAAAACGGACCCCATTGTCAAGCGGAAAGTACTGCAAAACAAACACGCACTGCAAAACACACTGTCCTTGCCCTTTCGAATGATTCTGCGCCGTCAGGGCATCATCCAAGCTTGGCATCATTTTGTGCGGAACCGCGGCAATGAAATGATGGAAGCTGTAAAAAAAAAGTTCGTAAATCTCGCTCAGCCCTTTCTGGCACCTGTAGTTCTCACATTGTTTGCGCCAGGCCCACAGATCTAGCCAGTCTGCAAAGCCTGTGCTCATGACAAGCCATGCTGCATCAACATCAACCGGTGCATGAAGCGGCACGGCGCGGATCAAGGCCCGCCAATAATCTTAGGGCAAGCGTGCCGTCGCCTGAAGAGTATCGGCTGCCGACCGCACAAGCTCGTTGCGCAGCTCGTTGCCCTTGGCCGAAGGCCTGCGCGCTGAAAAGGCCTTCGAAGCAATAACCCCCTCCAAAGGCCCACAAACCACCCAGGAACGGCAAAACCTTTTGCTGGTCTGTCCCAGGCAACTTCCGAATCGGCGCTTCGGGCTTACGAAAAGCGAAGTGACTCGCATTTCGAGGTGAAGTTCTACCCGCGACGCTTGGCTCGCCGCTCGCGCCTCGCAAACGCCTCGCCGCTCGCCTTGCGGCCATCTCAAGGCCATCGAAGGGCCTCGCCGGCGCGAAGTTGTTCGCGCTTGAAGCCTTTATTCGCGCATCTGTGCCCAAAAATTGGCCTACCCTAGAAGCTCTTGTGCATTGGAGGCTGACAGTAAGGCGACAAACAGAAGTATCCTTGCCACTAGCCAGCAAAGCTGACAACTGGACCTACCTGTGGCTCCCGCCACCCACTACAAGGCATCCGGACAGCTGGGCAATCAAGCACAGGATGGAATAAATTGGGTTGATGAACACAAGTTCACAAGCAAGATGACTTTGATGGAAATGGGCAACAGCTAATGTTTCCGACCTGCTGGCACAACAAAGAGAAGGGACGGGCCGAGTTTACGTGCGCGTTGGTCGCTCGAAGCAGGCCTAGTGATTGCACCAACGCAGGCCTAGTGATTGCACGGTGGCAGAAACTAAGAAATGGCAACAACTAGGCCTCTTCTCAATCTTTCTTTTGGCCGATCTTGTGTTCTCAATCCATGGAATTGCACACGGCATCACCTCATGGATTGTAAAGGCAACTATGACAACATCGACATGATTGCTGTTCACAACACGGCACCAGAGAAATGTCGCCCTCGTAACTGGCGCCAAGCGCGTCGGCACGTTGACCAAATACGATATAGAAGACCCCGACAATCAAAAGGGCGCTTGGGGGGCATGTATTCAGCTACCTGCAACTGATCCAGCAGCATGTGTCGAGGAAAAGTTGCACACTTTCTCAAAGACCAGGCATTCCGGTTGAACCTCCAAGTTTTTTTCCGTTCAAGGGTAAATAACGCGTGACAGCTATCTGCCAGCCACGCGTTCGTCAGAACCTCACCTGGCACTTGATGTGCAATCGAATTACGCAGCCTGTACTGGCGTGCCATTATACTCGGCTGACTGCAAGGCTTGGCCTTGCAATGGCCTGCTAAAAGAACCCAAAATGCATCGGGGTGGGATGCGCGTGCCACCGTGGACCATGGCCTGGTGAAGCAACGTGGCTCCTTTGCCAATCTCTATCGGCCGCAGGGTCACAGTGCCGTCCACGTTCACTGAGTGGGGGACAATGACACCTGCGAGCTGACCGCTCAGGCGTAAAAGCCACGGCTCGTAGCACCAAACAGATAAGTCCAAATGCACAGAACTGTCCACTTCTGCCCCCAGCAAGCGCAGAAACAGGACATACCAGGGAGAGTCTGCAAGATAAACGAGCCACATGCGAAAGAGCAGCATCGTCTCCTGCTGGAAATACCAAATGTTGAACTGCGCCGTGCCAGGCTTCATCACCAGCTGCGGCCAATCAGTTGAAAGCACTCTGAGGCACCCGATGGCTATCCAGCACCAGCAGATGCACAGGACTGCCGCCAGCAGGGCACTGGCGAAACCCAAAACGCAAACGCGAAGTACGAACAAAGGCCATTCCAGCGCGATCCCCGCGCCAGTGTTCGCGCTGGATTGTGTCAAATTTGCCCACAACAGAAGCACAAAGACAAAGGCCATAGGCTGCAAGGCGATGGCCCGCACCAGGGTCTTCAACAAAACCTCCTGACCAGCCCAGTTGAGCAGTCGGAGAATCGCTTCCTCTGGTCGAAACGTGCCGCCAGAACTGACTGGCACGCCGGGATTCCCAACATAGGTCTTCCGCGCTTGTAACTGCGACTGATCCACATAGCTCATGGCGCCAACGGCAGCCTCTTCACCCAAGGAACAGCCATAGTCCACATATCCTCCCGCCCCGACGTAGGCGCCATCTTTGAAGTGCATCGCAAAGAACTCCTGACCTGGACCTTACAGGGCGAAACAAAGCAGCACGCGCCGCACTGCTCAGTTGTGTGTGTGTGTTGCAGTCAGCCAGCAGCCAGCCAGCATCCAGCCAGCAGCCAGCCAGCAGCCAGCCAGCAGCCAGCCAGCAGCCAGCCATCAGCCAGCCAGCAGCCAGCCAGCAGCCAGCCAGCAGCCAGCCAGCCGCAGCTTGCTAGGCAACCCATCACCCAGTTTGTCAGTTAGCCAGCAAATCAATGTGTGGAGTGCGAATTGTGGAGTGTGGAGTGTGGAGTGTCGAGTGTGGAGTGTGGAGTGTGAAGTGTGGAGTGTGGGATGTGGAGTGTGGGATGTGGAGTGTGGAGTGTGGAGTGTGGGATGTGGAGTGTGGAGTGTGGGATGTGGAGTGTGGGATGTGGAGTGTGGAGTGTGGTGGAGTGTGGGATGTGGAGTGTGGAGTGTGGAATGTGGAATGTGGAGTGGGTGTGGAGTGGGGCGTGTGGAGTGTGGAGTGGAGTGTGGCGTGGATGGGTGTGGAGTGTCAACCAGTGCATCCAATCGTCAGTCAGCCTGAAAAACCCCAGCCAGCCACCCACCCACAAGCAATTTGCGTTGTGGGTCTTGTTAATGCGAGCAAAAATGGCATATGTTGCCTTGACTGTTCACACCACAAGCCCCTGTTGACGCTAGGCCTTGGATCTCATCGAAACACAACAGCTTTCTCAAAGTTGCCACCACAGCTAGCTTTCGCAACTAGCTTACACGCTCATCGGTTCTCAGGCAGCGCTGAAACAACAGCTTCGGGGACGCTCTGTAGGGCGGACCTGGCGACTCGCCTGCTGGGCTCTCAGCGTCGCCTTGTCTGGGGGCTTGTAGACTTTTTCTGCTGAGTTGCTCACACCGGAACACGCCTGCGAAGACGCAGAAGCGCCTTTCACAACGCGTTGCTCTAAGTTGGGGTTTCCTACCGCTCCTTTTACAAAGAACTGCCTTGTATGCATCGTGCATCCACTCATCCTGCGTGCCAGTTCGTCATGAGAGTCGTTCGTACGGGTGGCCAACCTCATTTTTCCCGGTTTGACGGATTCGTGAAATTGAACTTCTTGTTTTTCGCTTTCATTTCTCTTTCATTTCTACTCATTCTTCCTTCGCCAGTTCTTCCCATAAAGGCGCCTGCTCGCTGTGCTCACGTCTTGTTGGGTCTGTCACTGCGTTGTGTCACTGCGTTGTGTCACTGTCACTTCACGCACAGCATTGCTGTGATTTCTGAGTTGCTTGTACAGCTTGAGCACCACCGGGGTTTTACATCCAAGCCACCTAGACAAGATATCCCAAGCGAGAGGCGGCAACGATAATCACCGTGACCCTACAAAGGCGTGAGAGAAATGTGCGCACACCATGCATAGGGATCGATGCAACGTTTGCTCCAATCTGCTACACAACCATGGAACCTGCTGCGTCGCAAGGTCAAACGTGTGAGGAGATTTGAGATCGCGCCTTCGAATTGAAAGTCTGTGAAGCCCCCGAAAAAGCTGCTGCCCATGGAGACCAGAGTTCCTGCTTGAAGGGTCTTCTCTGCAAACTCGCCGCGAAGTTCCGTGTCCATGGCTATGGAAGAACCGTTGCAGAACGCGGCTATCCTTAGTGCAACAAGCCACTGAAAAAGGACGCAGAGAAGCCAAACCGGCACATGTGCAATTTCAACACAACCCAGCGCGCGATTGGCAAACTACAAGCAGTAAAGCTGCATGCTCCGAAAAGTGTCCGCACCACCCACGCAGGTAACGACTGTATCCAAATAGGGAATGAGCTGGAAAGCATAAAATTGAGCCACCGGAAGTTGCTGTACTGCATCGCTGGCATCTGTCCTGGCCGAATCTTGCCCACCAGCACCCACCTGAACAGAACGAACAGGCCCAAAGCCACAGAGCCGGCGAACCAAAATGCTGGGACCACACCCAGCATCAAGGCGAAGAGGCCCTGGACACCAAGTCCCGCACCCAGCGCTCTCCAAACAGCGATCCATACGAGGAGGGCAAGGTACAAAAGTGCCACAAACACATATGGATGCATCAGAAGCACGTATGTCAGCTTCAGCCAGTCAACGCATGCCTGGCTCTCCTCCCACGTGCTCTCGGCCTTGTCCAACGCAACTGCCGGAACTCCACCGCACACAAGCCCAGCGGGCACACTCCAACCCAGCGGAAGCACAGACATAGGTCGCAGACTAGCGCCTCTGCCCATGAACACGCCTGGCTCCAGGGCACATGCAGTCTTCACCTGCACACCCTCCGCAAGCTCCACTGGCGCAAGAACAAGCTCGCCATCCATAAAGATATGGCATTGGACATGACCCTTCACCGTGCATCCGCTTCCAACCTGCAAGAGTTGAAGTGAAGCCCTGGGCTCAAACGACAGCATGGCGCCATAGCCAATGTTAGCCCCCAAGGCTCTCAAAAGACAGTTGTGCACTGGGGTTCCGTGGTATATGCCCCCAAATCGGCGAAGGAAGGTAAGAGAAACGTCCAGCATCCAAAATCGCAAATGCATTGAGCGGTTCAGCATGTAGCGGCCGGGTTCCACCCTTTGCGGAAAGAGTGCTAAGCGAAGCAGGGCGATCTCGATGAGCAACCAGGCCATCAAAGCTGCCACCAGAAAGGGCGCGCAAGCAAGAACTGCCTTATGGCCCATGGTACTGTGCAGCTTCTCCAAGCAAGCAATGATCAGGAACATGGGAATAGCCACCAGAACCACAGGCATCAGCACGCCAACTGTCTTCCAAATCCAAACTGCCCATGCAGGCACCGCCTGCTCCTCAAGAAGCGGCAGACTGGCCACAAACTGTCGGCGATTGCTACCTTGTGGCTTTGGTCCAGCTGATGCGATTTTCGGGTCACCTGGGAACTTAGCCGCCTCTGCAGCCACCACAATTGCACGCA